ACAGACCGGAAAATCCTGCAGGACAGTCTTGGTAAGGTACAGCTGACTCTCCCTCTCCTCCTCCACACCAAGCAAGGCATCAAGGCCACCTTGGACTTCATCAGCAGGACCAAGGTTGGCACAAGGAGGTGGCATCTTGGGCAGTCATCAGAAGAGCTGGTATAGGCATGCTACAACAGCTTCTATTTCTTTTGTTTGTTTGTTTTGTACTTCTTTTGTTTCCAGCATCTTTGCTCTGGGCCTGAGCCCTCACCATCCCTTGTACCTGCATTGACCTCACTCTCATGTAACTAAATCTTTGCATTACCAGAGGAGCTACTGCTCCTCTCGTCTTCCATAGTCTTAGACTCTGATAGGACGTTAAACCAATCAATCAATCAATCAATCAATCGGATCGATATCGTGTACCCAGCTTGCCTGCACTGCAGTACCGGCTGCTGGAAAGATGATGCCTGGGGGGAGAGTTGATCCATCTGCGCATATTGTAGCCAGAACCGTCACCCACTCTCGATTGCCATTGTGCTGCAATTGCTTATACTGCTTTGCCTCATACAACACCCTATCAAAGCACCTCTTCACCCTGTGAATCACTCCAATCATGAAGCCCTTCTCGTCCATGTTGTATGTATTCTCAGGCAGCACCTCGTGTTCAGCCATTTTTCGATGCAAAAGATCAAAGTATTGCCTGTATTTCTCACCCGAATCAGCCTGATGGCGCACAGATTCCATGGGGGTGGACCAGGCAGTGAGGAGAGTGTCGGAGTGACGGTGGAGGAAGCGGGTAACCCAGCTATCGGATGGCTCCCAGGCACCCAAAGGAGTTGCAAAATTGATGATCATTTGTCTTGTAGGCATCAAGTGTCTCTCTGTCAGTCCTCTGATATACTCTACAAGCTCTGCCTCATCGCGTGGGTGCAACAGACGTTGGGAGTTGATGGTCTCTTCACGCGGGGGTGCTTGACCCTTGTGTTGGCGCGTTAACGTAGTGCGAGAACAACCATGTTTTTTGGCCAGAGCGCGGTATGAAAATTGTTCTCCTGGTCTCAAACTATCAATCTCTGTAATGGCTTCCTTTACCGGCATTGTGGTGTTGAGTTATAGGGGTTGCAAAGTATTGCTCAAAGATGGTGGGGTGGCCCGTAAGCTGAACAGGCCCGCAAGGTGCACGGGCACGGTAAGGCGCAGCTCCAGGTCGGAAAGCGCGTTCCGAGTGGCATTGCATCGTCAGCTCGGCAGGCTTACGCCGCCGCATTCTCTACGCTTCTCTACGCTTCTGACTGCGACAAAGACCTGTGTGTTGCCTCTGCTTTCATAGTATACCTCCAGACATCACTTAGCTTTTCCACCATCGCGCATAAAGAGCAAAAATATATCAGCTACATACACCTTGGAAACTTGCATAAGATGGCAACTGGCGACATAGAGAACATTGGTAGACACTGCGAACTAGAATACTGTGGGCAGCTAGACTTCCTGCCATTCCCATGCGCGAGCTGCAAAAAGCAAGTACACAAGAGTTCGAATTGAACAACAGCTAACGACTGAAGGCACTATTGTCTTGACCATCGATCAGAGTACGCGCACAAGTGCCCGAAGGAGGGAAAGGCCGCCAAAGATGCCCAAGCCGCAAGGCTTGCAGAGCAGCAGGGCAGCAGCACAACGGCCAGCACAACGTGGCAAGGGAAGCCCAACATATTACGCTACGAAGGGCAATGTTCGAAGCCATCCTGCAAGACCCTCATCGATACAAGCCGTGAGCAGGGTGTGGACTGCCCACGATGTAACCACCGATACTGCCTGTCGCACCGTCACGAAGAGCAGCATGACTGCAAGACCCTTCCACCGATCGGCGCGCGGCCATTCACCGTAGGGCAACGAACCCAGTCAGCGCTCTCGAAGCTGAAGCTATGGGCAGAGAACAAGCGTAAGGACGACGAGAAGAGGCGCGCCTGGCCTAAGAAGTCCGGCCTTCTCGGCTTGGGCAAGAGCTCGAACTCAAGTGCAGCAGTATCAGCCCAGGTTGAGCTGAACGCGCTGAAGCGGGCAGCGAAGGGCGACGCAAAGGTGCCACAAGAGAAGAGGATATACCTGCACGTCGAAGCATCGAGCGACACCACCAAAGCTAAGTTCCCGACGGGAAAGTTCTTCTACAGCAAGGATATCAGCGTGGGTAGGGTGCTAGACATGGCAGCGAAGGCGTTGATGGTCGAGAACGTGAACAATCGCAGCGAAAGAGAAGAAGACAAGCTGCGAGTGTTCCACGTGGAAGGAGGACGGCTGCTGAAGTTCAGCGAGAAGATTGGAGACGCAACTCAGAGTGGTAACATGATTGTCCTGCTGAGAGGTGTTGGAGACGGAGAACCTGATCTTATTGATCTCTGAGACTCGACGAGGACGTTCGACGATGCATTCAGCAAGGCGCAAAAAGATAATGCATGTTTAGAGAGGAAGATACCCAATTCACAACGACTCATGATAGCATTCACGGCGCATAGCTCTGAATACATCAAGTTTTGCATTGGTTTTGCAGCTTCAAGTTCATTGATTGATCGATTGATCGATTGATTGGTTTTAACGTCCTATGTGAGTCTGAGACCATGGAGGATGAGAGGAGCTACTGCCCCTCTGGTGATGCAAGGGTTTAGTTACAGGAGGTCGGGTTCTATGAGACTACAAAGGATGGTGAGGGCTTTTGCCCTGTGCAGCTCCAAGTTGTTCTTACGTGTTTTTGCTGTTCTGGTGTACCGTAAACGCGACTGCCCAAACTAAACGAACAGTGCGCCCACCACAGCCCACTTACGCCTGCTTGGCATGACGCCAGGCAAAACGCTCTTCACCACCGCAAGCAACTCACCCACCACACAGCTCACGTGCAGTCGTTGCATCTGATAGTTGGTGAACCTGCGGTGATGAACAGCATATCCCACAGTCCTTGCACTCTATACTCCACGGTAACCCAGGTAACCAATCCCATATAAGGCTCTTGAAGACTGAATTTGCTCCTAGATTGTGCGCAAAAGCTTGCTCTACATCGTTGGTCCTGACCACAGTGGTGTCGAGCACTTCGAACACCAGCGTCGTTTGCGGCCCCCAGGAGTCATAAGAGGCTCTGCCGAATATATACATTAACCACGATGAACAACCCCAAGTTTGACGAGTTGAAACCACACACTAGTCCCAGAAATGCCTGGATTCTTCGTCGAAGATATTCCCAAAATTGTGTCCAAACGCCAATACGCCTCGCTTGTACTGCGGCAAGACTACCACCCTCTTCTTTCCACTTTCTCACGGTGACGCAATGACGTCGACGCGACTCTCGCTAGAATCATCGGCTGCTGCGAGACAGCGTGTTTATAGTGTCTTTATGGCATATGTGGCTTTTACGACGGGAAGTTGAAGGATCGTCCATCTCGGGTAAGGTAGTGCTGGGTGCTAATTGCTGCTCATGAGCTGCTTGGGTTCTGATTACGACATCGCAAGCCGTGAATTTTTGTCCCCCAGCCGATGCTCGCCAGGTTGTTGACCCCGTCGGCGAATGTCAGATATTGGTCACCGCTTTCACTCTTGCAGTCATAGTTGCTAAGTAAACGTTAGTCCTCATTCGATCCAACCTAGTCCGGACGGCACATACTCGAAGAACTGGCAGTACCAGTAATCGTCTCTGCTCAGCACCGCAGAAACGTCATGGCCACCCACGAGGATTGATTGCACTCGTCCATCGATTCTATATAACGTCAGATGTGCGCTCACAAGCAACGTCCCACGGCAATCTCACAAGTTGTTATCGAGCGACAGGCACTGGTTGTTGTACGCATCCACGGATACCTCGGAAAAGAAGGCAGGTGCGGCAAACAACTGGACTTTAATTCGGGAATTCGTAATCATATCACCGGCTATCGCGACATTTGCATACGCCAGGACCGACGAGAGTATTGCGAGTGGGAGGCTGCGCATTGTAGCGCGCACATTCAAGTGGTTGGCGCAATCGCAGGGTTGATCTTCGTGGAATCGGCGGTGGGTTGACTTGGGTGAGGTTGGCCTGAGGTGAACGAAACAGGGAGACTGGTGACGCTCAGCTGGTGGGTCGGCGCGTGCGCCAATTGGCTTGCACTGCCTCCATGCTTGGCCGTACCCGGCTTAGGGCCAACATCGTGTGCGAGCGGAGTTGGGAAGCAAGACACACAATGCAAAGCTGGAGTCTTGGTGTTTGTTTGTTTGTTGATGAGATGTCATCATTTGCGTGAACGACAATGCTTGGAAATGTTTCGTGGCAAAGTGTGGCGGCATGGGTTCCTACACCGGGTCCCCAGAACCGAAGCCGTCAAACATAAATGCGAGCTAACATAAACAGCCTATGTACCTGACACTGATGAACGACAACAAACACCAGGTCGTGAAATCCAGAACAGATTTTTCGAGGTACAAGTATGTCTTGTCAAATCTTCAAACCCTCTTGAAGATGCTTCTAGGTACCGTGGAGTGCCAAAGATATGGTGACGCGTACGCTCAACCGAGTTGTGCTGGCGGCACACGCACCTCTTTGGCGCCTGCCGCAACACCAGATGCGCTTCAGGACTCGGTAACTTCCGCGGCTCTACTCAGGACTTTGCCTGTCTGATCAGCGACGATGCTGAGAACCGTCCAAGGGCAATTGTCTTCCTCGCTCATTATTTCTTTCAAACCCTGTAAACAAGCAACGATCTGTCTACAAGGGCGTCCGATGAAGCGAGGAGCGCCAATTTGATCACCGCAGATCCCTGCAAAAGTCCTCGTGGAAATGAGATTCCCTCGGTAGTCGCCGGCAGGGGCTGTCAACGCACGACGTCAGTTCAACATTTGCTTCCCACTGGTCGCTCAAGGGCAACCTTGCTTGTACAAACGCCAAATTGCAAACTCTGAATTTGCCTGACAGGCAAGTCCTCCCCCTGCGGACACGATTTGGCGTACCCACCATCATTTGCGATCACTACAGCGACTCTCGTTCAACACAGACAGTCACATGTTAACATTACAGTTGTAGCACAGGAGAGCAATGTTGTCTGCGAAGAGCAATGCCAATTCGATACGTAGCTGGGTATGTGAAATATCTACACTGAGAAATCGTAATGGGTCATGATGAACGTGGTATCCGCCCAAGAGAAGAAGAGAATCGAAAGATATGCTCCAGATGTTTTCCAGTTTCCGATCGGCCAAATGCGCTAGAAACCTTTTTGTCAATGAAAATGCAAACTACAGCGATCCAAAGTAATGCGCTTAGTTTGAGAAGTCCCTCGCGTGGCGGCGAGTGTTGGATGCGACAGCAACGGAGGCGAGCTCAGGGCCGGGCGCATCGGCGATGGTCTTGCCAGCGTCGTGCCAGTAAAGGTCCCAGTTGAGGAGTTCATCTTTGGCCGAGTAGATTTCAGTTCCCTTGACGCCCTCAGGGACGGACTTGCTGTCGTCACCACCGGTGACCTTGATGTTGAAGGCCGAGGGCCAGAACTGCCTATTGGAGACAGCGCCGTTGTTGTGGATGGAAGCAACCTCAGTGCGCAGCACATAGTTACCGGAGGGGATCTCGTTGGGGATGGTGACGGTGTGGGCATTACCGTTGTCGTAGAAGATCTCGTCGGTACCCCACTTGCCAGTCTGGCCCTGGGTCTCGCCCTCAGCGTAGCGGGTGCCCTTGGGGTACGAGGTCAAGGCGACCTGGTCGATCTTGAAGAACTCAAGCTTGGTCTTGTCGACCTTGGAGCAGTCACCGTTGCAAGCGGCGAGCCAGGTGGCAGTCCAGCCGTGGTGAGAGCAGTCCCAGCCCTCCTCACCCTCACCGCAGCTGCCCTTGTGGTGCCAGTGGAAAGTGACCTTGGAGCCGGCAGGGGCCTCGGCGGTGTTGGGGGAAGGAGTGGCGTCCTTGTGGGCGATGATGTCGGGCTTGTTGATCGAGTCACCCATCACAGGTTGGTAGCCCCAGCCCTGGTTGGTCTTCCAGGCAGGGGAGTTTTTCTCAAGGGGAGCATCGATGGATGCACCACGGAAGCCGGCGTAGGTAACGCCGCCAATCTCGGCGCTCTCAACGGAAGTGTGGCAGGAGACCTGGGCAACGAGGCCCGCGAGGAGGACAGCAGTGTTGAAGATCTTGGACATTTTGATGATGTTGAGGGTGGATTTGGTTTTGGAGTGGGTTGCCTGAACTGAAGGTTTCGGTTTGTGGTTGTGTGGGTATGTAGAGAGTGAATGTAGTAGGTCGAGCTCACAGAGCTGTAGAATGAATGACTGTCAAAGATTGACTGAATGACTGAGGCGGCCGAGCGTGAGGAGTGAATTGGACGGGAGAAGTACCAACCTTTTGTACTCTACGATGGCTCCCGGCAAACGCTCATCTCATTTTTCGTGGAGGCGCTTGGTTCCTTCTTGCGATCAGCCACGCGGGCCCAAGCTGCACGTCCGGGTTTGTGGTTTCTCAACCTGGCAGCCCGACTGGTCAACAGTGCGGGCACTTGACATGAGCTAATGTAGGTACGAAGAAACTAGGCCCTGGTCAAACAAAGGCTTTATCGATAGCCTCGCGCATCTCGAAGGAGAAAGTTCTTAGATATGCCCCAACATTTGTTCCCCTGAGATCTCCCTACCTGGTGGCCAACACTGAGGTCCGTATGACAGGATTTCTCGATACGTTTTTGCATTCGTCCGGCACCCTTGTCACTTTCGACACTGTTTTCTTCATCACATCCGGCTCGGACGCCCGTAGTCTCGCTCTCTGACATCACGACAAACCTTCTAGATTGCGAGCAAGGCCGAAGCCGTTCGGTTGTTGGAATCCAGGAACGCTCCCCCCGGGCGCCAAGCGTTCCCGAATCCAGACTTTGGATGTGCGGAGCCGTAGAGCAGCGTCATTTACATACCCAGCGAATCAAGGCTGGTGATGTTACGTTTCTGCTGTATTTCTCCTTACGAGCACCATGAATTCTTTGGAATCAAACGGCTCGGCTAAGGGCTCGGCGCGGTTGGTGCGCGGCAACGTGGTGGGCTTGCCGCTCAGCGCTAGCGTTTCAGATGTCAGCCTTAGCGAATGCCTATCGATAAAGAAGAGGGACACAAGCACGGCAAGGCACGTCAAGCCGCTGTGTACCTCAACGATCGTCACAACTTCCAGCCACGTTCTGGGCAAAGACGAAGAGCCGGCGCGATTATGAAAATTAGCCGGATCCATATTGCTTCTTGATCATTTCAAATTGCTTTTTGAGTGAGGCACGAAGATCCACGAACGAATCGTCCCTCGCTGAAACCGGGAGCATCAAACCTCAAATCGGCGTCGCACTCGCCACTGGTTCTTCCCTTTGACGGATTACGTTTGTGCCACTTCCCCATCTTTCCCGTAACCGTGGAGCTTTGGGTTTGTTTCGTCTCATGCGAGACTCATCTAGTGAGCGGCTTGTGTACCTTCGGTAAAGTGACAGCACAAAGCGCCTGGGCAGCCACAGCGCGTTCTGGTGTTGCTGTGACGTGGGAGTGGTCAGGACCAGCAGTGAACGGTGAGCCACATCTCAATCAGGACACATTCCTGTGTGACAACATACATTATTTCATTTCGACATCCGTAAACGATGCAGACCGAAACGCATGAGAGAGCACAACATCGTGTATGCAGCAGAACGTACAGATCTGGTGAAATTGCATTTTTGATGAGGCTGGCACCTAAATATCTAGATGTTGAGGACATGGTCAGGTAGTGACCAAGCTCAGAGGCGGCAACCGTGGGGCTCATCACAGTCAACGGTAAGTTCTGCTCTCTCATTCGTCAAGCTTCCTCATTAATTCTGTTGCAAAGTGCATCCCGTAATCCTATGCGTACTCGAACCACTTAACCTCACAATGGAATCTTCGATACCCTAGCTACGAAGTTTTGCGGCTGGCTAGCAACAAAAGACCATCAGTTGTCAGGTCTGTCAGCTCAGCTACGTGGATCTCGAACATGCAGCATTCAGCTCTACGCATGCGTCGGACACTCACACAGCAGTCAAATATCGATTTTGACGCATTGCGTACAGCCGATCCTCTAGACCAAACTCCACTGACGTCGACTGAGAAGCCATCACTCCCAAAAAGGCGATTTCGGCTCCGGGTTCTAGGTATATTAGATCAGCTGCATCATGAATGCACCGCGGGCAGTCAGACAACAATTGCAAGGTTATATTCTAGGCTCAGCTAACAGTACCCGAGCGCCATTATCCTGGACACACGTATGCGAAAGAAGAGAGCAATCGCGAAATTGCCCGTGCGTGTTGACACCCCTCAATTGGTAATGACTGGTGCCGTGTTATCCCAATCCCCCTTCTCAGCTGCATCCACAAGGAATTTTGCAACACTGCCCCTAGTGATTGCAGCCAACACAGGCACGCCCTTTCCATGCTCAGGGCACTCCTTGATCTCTTTAGCTTCACTCTCCACCAACCTCGTCGGACGCACCAAGACGAAACTCTCCCCGCTGGCCTTCGTCTCCTTGGCAACTAGGTTGTGATCATCGTACTGGTATATCATGTTGCTCTTCTTCATCAAAAGCTGCATGACGCAGGGCATATTGACCCACGACTCGCCGACGCCAAACGCTTGCATAATGACAATTTTTGATGTATTGAATTCCTTCATGACGGCAACGACGTTTGCCGTGGAGTCCGCCATGAGCCGTGGCGGTGCGACGACGTCTGCAAAGGGACTGTCGCTTGCACGTGGTGCGCTTAGGGTGACGATGACGACTTCGGGCTTGTTCTGCGCGAATGCGTTGCGGACGTCTTCTATGTTCATCGGTGTGCCGGTAACAGTCTTGAGTCCAGCGTCGATCTCGTTCTGCACAGCCTCAGGCTTCCGAACTAGGGCGGTGACTTTGTGATCTCGTCGGAGGAGCTCTTCGATCACGAGTTTGCCGGTGCGGCCGCTTCCACCGACGATGAGGACGCGCTTGCTTGATGGCATGCTAATTTGGCGGTTGCACTTCAGTTCTGAGGCAGCTGTCTTGCTAATGATATGATGAATGTCAACGACCTCAAGATGGAGATGATATGACCAAGTGGGAGCAGAGGAAATAGATCACGTGCTCGTCGTTCGTTGATGTGAGTAGATGGATAATGCATGTTGTAGCTCTAAAGCACTTATACAAAATGCTGCTCGTAGCTCATCTCTACCATCTCTGCTGTCGAAGGTATTGATGTTCGGACAGTCCGACATCTCCGGTCGTTCGGGCTTTTGCTGCTATTCGGCTCCGAATGGCCTCACGGAGCAGATGCAGATGGAAGCATCCACGAGGACGTGTCGAGACAAGGCAATGGGGTGTCAGATTCTGCGGTCGTAAGGTGCTCATGGCACTGTTACTGTGCCCTCTCGGCTCCGAATGATTCGCTCACACAGCCAAGACACAGCTTGCGGCGTAGAGCATGTATTACTTTGCTTCACAGCCTTCCATCATTCCTTCTTCTTTCTTCCCACCTTTATGAGGATACCTGTGCTTCTCTTGCACTTATCTCCGAGTACTCTCGTGTGCTGGAGCGACCTACTTCCTATTCAACGGCTGCGATATCACTCTTGAATTCGATAAATGGCCTGGAGCACCCCAACGATGCCTTTCATACCGAGCTACTGTAGTTCCCGCCACTGCCATCGTTCAAATGGACGGTGTGTTCGCGCTACCTAAGGTTGCGCCATTGTCTCATGTCAAAATCGGGCAACTTCACGCTCGCGCTTGTATTTGGCTGGCTAAAAGGTTCTCCGGGTTTGTTGTTGTGCCTGAAGTGAGATGACGAGGGCCTAAGTAGCGGGGTTGTGCTCTGCCGCTCGGGGAAGAACCAATTCAACACCTCGACTCCGAAGCCTCGCGCTTAGCTTCACACACATTTCAATCCTTTGCTCCACTGCATACCGGTACAACGCGATGATGAGTTGGTAAATTGTTTTCGAGATGGACGAATCGAATCCCCGTAAGCGGCCTCGGCCTGTCGTGTCTTGTCTGCGCTGTCGCGACAAAAAGTTGAAGTGCGACCGCACCTCGCCATGCGAGAACTGTGTCAAAGCACAGATAGCGGACAGCTGCACATATCAGCGCGGGCTCAATGCGCCGTCAAAGGAGTCTCCACCTGTATCAATAGCTACTACCAATGCCGTTGAGGACCTCCAGTCAAGGCTAGCAAAGGTTGAAGAGTTGTTGGGCATTCGAACCAGCAAGTCCCACAGTCCAGCGGAAGATGCGAAGCCGCACGTGATTGGGTCGGTGGTGGTGAAAGGGAACAGAAGTATCTTCCACGGGCAAAATGACCGAACTACGCTACTAAACCAGGTATGAGCCTTCGGTGGAGCTTGTCATCACATCTCTACACCTTCTTTCCTGCACTCGCGCAATGCTGCAGATCCATGAAAGCGTTCATAGCTTTGCTTCATTGAAGTGCTGACGATTTGCAGTTCTTGGAGGTCAAAGAATTCATCAATGAAATGTCCAAAGACAAGCAAGTCCAGGCTTCAGCGAAACAGATCAAGTTCTTGCAGAACAAGACAAGGAGCAAAATAGGCTCACCAGACAGTGCCGTGGGTTCAGACTTCTCCATGGCACTTCTCAAGCTACGCGAATACCTTCCCTCAAAACCATACTGTGACCGACTTGTGGCCATATACTGCCAGCATTTCGAGCGTACATTCAGGGTGTTGCACATTCCAACGTTCATGCGCCGTTACAATCAGATTTGGACCAACGACCATGCCGACATCTGTACTTCCTCCAGTATCATACCTGAACTCACCGCCGTCATGACGATGGCCTATCATATGGACGATACACAGCAGCTCGGCGATCGAAACCATAGGACGTATCTGAAAGGAACCGCCATAGATTTGATTCAGGTTTGGCTTGACGAGCTTGGTAGGAAACAACGTACGGAGCTCTCTACTTTACAGGTAGATGTCTTACTTGTTCTCTCCAGAAGTCTCCGAGGTATTCAGCCTGAAAAACTATGGAGTGTCACTGGTGCTTTGGTACGCTCCGCTATGGTCATGGGTCTCAATGTCGATCCTGCAATTGTCTCCGGCATAACCCCGTACATGGCAGAGATGCGTCGGAGACTTTGGGCCACTATTCTTGAGGTGGACCTACAAGCGTCTATGTTCTGTGGCATGCCGCTCGTCGTTCCGGAGCTCAACTCGGGCTCTGTGGTACCGTCCAACATCAATGATGCGGAATTCGACGAATTTTCAGCAGTTCTGCCTACATCGTATCCAATGCATACCTATACGGATAATCTCTATCAGGTCGTTCTTGCCTCTTCGTTACCGCAGCGCATAAGAGCTTTGTCAATCATTCAGTATTCTACCCTCGACATCCAGGAAGGGATTCGGCTCGGAAGGAAAGCCGAAGAATGCTTATCGCAGAAGCCGCAAACGTTGAATCTACACAACAATGATGGATCTCCTATCGACGGTGGCTCGTTGTTACATCGTGTGCTGCTGGATCTCTACATGCGGCGACCTGTGCTTCGTCTATACAAGGCTTTGCTTCTTGGACATGAGACGCAGAACGCTCCGAGCAGATCACTGCTTGCTGAGCTTGAGAAGCATTGCCTCGAATCCTCTCAAGTTATCCTCTCATACCAAGACCTCTACACCATCCCTGCCCTTGCAACGGTAACGACCAGCCCGTGGGCTCATCAGAACTTTTTCAACAATGCCTGTAAAATGGATGTGCTATGGGCGGCGCTCACCCTGTGTCAAGAGATCAAGCAGTGCTTTGAGCTGGACAGCCCAAAGGCAGGCTATGACAGACTGGCACTTGTCCAGTCAGTGGAGACCACAATCAGTTACTTGATCAATCGCATAGGGCAGAAGGGTAGTGATCTCAAGGATATCGTTTTCCTCGCCCTTGTGCTACAATCCGTTCAAATCTCTGACTCGGTTCCGGGGAGATCACAGTCCCTACAGCAGACCGCCAGGAATACTCTAGCGGCATGTCGAGAGAAGTTGTTACAGCCTCTCGTTGTGAACGAGCCGCCACAACCCACAGCACAATCTACCAAGCGCCCGAGCATGGATGCAACACAGACATTGATCTCAATGCCAAACACAGTCACACCGCCAGTATCCAAACCTAGATCGCCTCCGATCTCCTTGACCGACTCGGCCTTTCCATTAAATCTGCCGGCGGGCACAGAGCAGTATTTCGGTGATTTGTCTGACCTGACTGTGGAGTACAATACGTTCCAGGCGGGCATGTTCGACCCCAACGACCCTCTGAATTTTGGCATTGCACAGAACTGGAATTGGGAACACATGTGGCAATGAAGACCTAAATGAGGCTGCTTACCGCTGACAAAAGCTTTTGGTGGAGTTCGATCCACACCCATGGCGGTTACCATCTCAGACTAATGTAATGGTGGCTCCATACCCACGAACGCACTGCCCTCGCGAGGTATAAGACAAGCCGTCTGGGCTCCGAACTTCGACATTCATACTCAATCACGGCATCGTGCCCCCCTTAATCACCCTGCTCTTTATTGCCTTTCTCATTGAACAGATCTACGCACTCAACTATCACTTCTCACATCCTCCATCTGGCTTGGTTCACCCTTGGTCCCTGCAAATGTTGAAATTCCCTTCTGTCGCTGCCGCTCATATTGCTTGGAAGCCAATAAGTCACTGCCCTACCATCATTGTTCTTCCTGGCTAGTCTCGACCTCTTCGCATGGACAACAGCAATCGCACAACCACGACAACGCAGTGTCCTCTATGGCCGCGTTACACCGACACACATACTCTCCTCCTGTCCTTTCACGTTTGTGTGGCATCCGACATACGTTGCATACGCACTCTATTGGATAGGCGCCGTTATCCGCAACATTACCACTACGGGTATGGGAAAAAGAACGCACCAGGGCCGTTCCGGATCGTACCTTCGATGTCTTCGATAGTGGGACTATTCTGGCTCTATCCTAAAGGGCTGTTCTAGAAGATAAGCAGTTTTTGCAGAGTCATGAGACAGTAGAAGGCCAGAAAGTTGAAGAGCGTATGTGAGGGTCAGATATCTGGCTTATCAGGAGAAAGTACCGTCCCGGTGGATCCCTGTTGTAATGTAATGTAATGAGATATCGTGCTGCCCTCATTGCGCTCACAATTCTGTGGCTTTATCAGGCAGAGCAAGATAAAACCATGCGAATATCATCTCATCAAGATAACGAGAAAAAAAATGCCCGAAGGCGTCTGCGTCTGATCGTGCTAATGTACAAGCAACGGAACCCCTCACCGCTCCACTAGACGTGGGGCTCATGACGACGGGATACTCTGATCATTCGTCGTAAACACACCCCCGTCGGATCAACCTCCGCCTTGACCTGCTTCACCCTCTTATAATTTGGGTCATACAATCCCTCACTCCACTGCTCCTCCGTCAATTCCGTGTCACAATAATTCACGAACCCTCTCAAGGGCACACCCTCCTTCTTCAACGGCTTCTCAAACGGTCTGACACCGTTCTGCAAGTACTCAATCCCATCGGCCGGCCACTCACTCAGACCATTGGCGAGTCGACCCTCCTAGCGAATCAGCTACTGGCTGTTGGCATGCGCGTAAGAGGTAGAGTTGTCGCTGATGGCGCTCCCGCCCGCGTTACCCCACAAATCGAGAAAGCCGAATTTGGTCATGTCCGTGCGGTTGAACGCGAGGGTGGTATGTTCGTATAGAGCATATGCGGATTCGTATGTGAATGGCTGGTTGGCGCGTAGGACCAGTGCTTGGCGGTACATGCTTCGGGGTGGGAAATTGTCAAATATGCCATTGAGAGATGGTGTAGCGATGTTTTCCGTGAACCAGAAATCTTCCACAGCTATCGAGGAAGTCCATAGGTGTACCGAGAAACCAAGTCATTGTGCCAAAGCCACTTCCAATCGAAGAGCTGGCAAGACCGAACCAATCAGCTCGAACATGAGGGAAGTGGCGGCCATGGTTCTCCCACAACCATGTGGCCACCGTTCAGTGCTGCAACCTTGACCTCAGACTCAACTGCACATGCCAGCGCCGTAGCGATGTCTTCCGATGTAGTTAGAGTAACAATAGCTGCCGGTTCAGGGTTTTACCGCAGAGACCATGGCGAAGTTGCGGTTTCCCCATTGAGTCTGCAGCAACAGTGAGCTGCAGGGTTTTCTCCGTCAAGCAGGCCCTGAGGGTCGTGGCATCCTGGGCAGCTGCGTTGGTGAGGAGGGTAGTGAGAAGGGAGGATGATAAAAGTACGCGCGGTAGGCTGTGCTCCAAGATGGAAAAGGACCGCGTGGTAGTCTTTAGTTCAAAGCATATGGGCGCTGAAGCTGAACCTCAGCTGCGCAGCATACCTTTATGTACCTCTCAAAGATCCGCAAGCTTCCAGTACTGCCGCCCAGGTAGTTTGGGAACGCTCACTAGAATATCTTACAACTCATTTTACGATAGCCTTGGTGCCAAAGACATGCTCGGAATGGGTCCGAAATGGTGCCTTGCTCACGCAACTGACTACTTATGCGCCGCTGATATACTGTGTTAATAATTCCCACCAGGATCTTGCAATTAACGTCACCACTGACCTGATGTTGAGCTGCAGCCTTGGACATATCGAATAGTGTTTGTTGCAGCAATGGAGCGTTCGATGTGTATCGTATGCTCGGCCAGACTTGTTCGGCAATCGCGCCGGAGCAACATGCGGACCGATGAAACGATGCGCATTCGTTTCTGCGAAACAGGCGAAAGTCTTTGGAAGATACGGATGAGCGCAGAAGACCGCAGCTGGGACACATGATCGAAACCTGTCCATGAAGGTACTTCTAATCTACCGTAAGGTGTGAGACCAGAATGCTAAGGAGTGCTGAGAACGGGACGACTAGACTTGTTGAATGAAATATCCTACCAGAGTTGGTCAGCGATACGGCTCGAGTCGAAATTCACTGATGCACATAAGCTTCCGCGGGCTCAGAGTCTTGCACGAGGCGACACCTCAATCAGCGACTCCTGCCTCGCCTTCTCATTCTCCCCCTTCCACCACTTCTTCCTCCTCTCGTGCCCTGCCATGAACACCTCAAACCAACTCTTATTATACTGCGGCAGTCTCCTTCCTGGCTGACCAGCCGCTGGTTCTCCAGCCAGCTTCCTTACTGTCTCAAAGTATTCTTCAAAGTCCGGAAACACAAGTGTAAATGCTGGACCATCACCTTTCTTCGCGATCCTCTCGCGTTCCCACTTCTGTTGCTCTTCAAGCGGTGGTAAAGAGGCGCGTGCGGCAAGTAAGCGCGCAGCGAGGACAGCTTGCCACTCGAAGATTTTGAATGTGAGACCCGCGCCGACAGCTCCAACGAAGAGCAGTGTTGGGTCATTTTGGTACACGACGTGCTGGTAGAGGCCCGGGACGCGGTTGTTGCGGACTTTGACGTCAGGCAGGAACGGTAGGGACCACGAGTATCCTGTACCAAAGACGATTTCGTCAACATCCTCGACAAACGATCCATCGGTGAAGTGTACAGTTCTCCGACCATTCGAAGTGTCAATGTTTGATATCGAAGGCTTCTGAGCAATGCCAGGATGCTTGAAAGCTTCGTCGCCAAAGTAGCTGTTTGCTTTGTGACCGATGATGACTGCGTAAACGGGCCCCTTTGCTGTGCCAACGAGATCGTATGCGATGTCTGCCCCTGAAACAGACGCACCTACTATAATGACTCTCTGGTCGAAGTTAGCAAATGACTTGAGAGGAGGACTGCGTCCCTCCAACCTTCCCTCTGTAGGCATCGCGCCCCCGGAACATTTTGCTGTGCTTTACGCTCCCTGGCTGTGCCCGTTCAAACGCATCCAGTCCCTCAGTCTTAGGTATATATGGGATGTTGAAGTGCCCACTGGCCACAACCACAGCGTCGAACCATTCTTCCCACCACTCGTCTTCATCCCTGACGTCGCTGTCTTTCCGTAACACCAGTCTCCACTCATTGCCTACTTTCTCTGCCAGTTCAACGCTGGTGTTGTATGATATCAACTTGTCGTAACCGTTGCGGTTTACAAGAGATTCAACGTAGCCACGGATTACTGCATGACTTCGGAAGGGTGTATCGTCGCCGTGCTTCGAGATCGAGAGTTGACTTCGCTGTTCGGGGATTGTTTCTTGTGAGAATGACATCGCAATGCTGTCGACATTTGTCTCCAGGTACGGGTAAACGGAGGTTTCTGCATGGCGTGCTTGAGCGAGCTTTGGCTGTCGTGCAGGGAGTTTTGCAGGCGATGGTAGTGGGGGATCGCCGGTACGCGTCCCGAGTGCTTCAAGGTCCTCGGGCAGAAGGCTCGGCGGTGGTGTTTTGTCTTCGAGCCTTCCGTATCATAAGTTTGGTGTGTTGTTTAAGGGGTTTAGAGTGCGCGTTCAGCGTCCCTTACCAGCAGCCACCCGGCGCTTCTCTCCGCTCAAAAACGCGAATGACGTCAAATGCCTGTTCCTGCGCAAGCGCGTCGATAGAAATAGCTCCAGATGGACCGAGTCCGATCACTGCGACGCGTTTGACGGCCATCTTGTCACAATATGATCACTGCAAGGCACAAACAGCGTCAACACGGGATGCGAAAGTCCTCCAAATGCCCTAGGAAACCCGGAGCACTGATAAGAGAAAAGCGTGCGTAGCGTCAGCACATCATTTTGGCCGCGGCACTGTGCCATTCTTTGGCATGCTGAAGGACCTTCCCCCCCACCCCATCGCATGGCAGGCTTGTGATCTGGCTGTAAAAGACGCGCAACTTCCCTAGTTCGATGTTTGCGACATGTGTTTCGAGAATTGCGCAATCTCAAGGACCCTAGTCCCAAATGGCTTGGCCCCACCAAGTGCATCACTCAACACCGTAATGCGATTCTTGATTTGGCTACAACCGTTGTCTGCCAAAGAATGCCATGCATCTTGGATGGGGCGAATCATGTAATGACCATCGGCATCATGGTCGGGACGATAAGAGACGGTGAAGATGCCGATTCTAGAAGGCTACCAAGGCTGTATGCAAGTTTGTGACAGGACGGTGAATTGCTTGGATACGAATCCTGATTCAAAGTCCTTACATCGTGAATAATCCCAATGTCCCAAACTGTTGTTCACGATAACTCGCTTCCACAGAACTGGGACAACCTGACAGTATGGCATCAAGAGACAAAATAGTGTATTCGAAAGCGGGGCGTATAGCGATGTGTCTGATACACAAGATGTTGTTGACATCGAGTTGAGCAAGGCAACAAGACGTGCGCGACGAAGGTAAGTGCTTCGTTCGAGTCGTCAAAGCAACACTGACAACGATCAATGCTTCTGCCATCAGGTACCATCCAGTACACAACTCGTGGGTCTAATTGAACTGCAAGGCTCCTCGTGAGCGAAGCATCAGTATTGCTATGTGGGTGATGGCCGCCATATCGGGTTTGATGGTCGGTACGCAATACTGCCCTGCTTATGATCTGCCGTTTGACAGCAAAGAATTGAGAATACAGATCATCATGGTTGCAGTCGGTATATTCTTCGTCATCGTACAAGAATTGGCGTATGTATTGTACAACCGGAGGGCGTTAAGGAAGTGGAAAGAGGAGGGTGGCGAGAAACCATGGCTGTACACACCCTGAGCAAGAGTGTTCATCCAGGTGCGATTTTGACATGAGGAATAAACTTGCTGCAATTACGCCGCTGTGTCTTCGACCGGCTTTGTTGCTGGTTCTTGGAAAGGCCCGCCAGTAGCGGCCTTCCGGCTCCATTTGCCCTTGTACTTGCCACCTTGCTGCTTTATCCTCTCTTGCTTGGTGTCAGCGACAAAACCTCCTCGGAATCTTTGCTTCGGTCTTTCGCCTTGTTCTGCAGCCTTTCTCTGCCTTGTCTCTTCACTCCGACCATTGACGTGCCCTGTAGCCACAGGGTTTGCAGCTACCCAAGACTCCAGCTGCGGCCGTATCTTTGGGCCCCATATCTCTTCTCCAGAGTCGAGGTCCGCAAATGTAATTGCTGGCATCAAATCGGGCGACTCTGGTGGATCAGAGGTCGTGTACGTGGCTTGCCGCGTTCGTAACAATGTCGCCATATGAGATCTCGACTGGCAGGCAATGCCAAGATCGTGCGCAAAGCTTCGGACATAGAAGCCGGAACACACAGTAAGGCGTATACGTGCTGCCGGTGCGGCAGCTGGCTCCTTGTTTCCGGGATAACTGAACCCATGTTGGCCGGGCTCGTACCACTCCAGCAGTGTACAATCATCGACGTGCATCTCTCTGCTTTCGAGCTGCCTTGGAAGCTCTTGACCCTTGCGCGCATACTCACACGCCTTCTTGCCATTGATCTTCAGAGCCGAATATATCGGTGGGGCCTGCAAGATGTCCCCTCTGAATTGCGCGAGTTTCGCTTCCACCAACGTCTTAGTAATATGCTCACAATGTACTCGCTCAGCAACAACTCCCGTACAATCATACGAGTCCGTACTCGCACCAAAAAGGACAGTCGTATCATAGGACTTGGTGCAGGCAAGGTACTTTTGCAGCTGCTTCGTGCCTCGACCAATGCCGACAATGATTACGCCTGCAGCTAGTGGGTCCAGCGTGCCGCCGTGACCCATCTTGAACACCTGGTCATCGCTCTTGCTGGTTCTTTGAGGTTGATGGCGCAGAAGCGGTGCGAAGGTTTGAGATGACGCGAAGATCGCTTGGAGCTTCTCTAGCACTTCTGCAGACGAGACATGTGCCGGTTTGGCAACAGCTGAGCGTGATCAATAGTCAGGCCTGACACTCACTCCGTACTGCTCACCGAATATCCCTTCAAGTACCATCCCTTTTCGAATGTTCATTCTGTATTGTTGTGGCTGATGTGAGTGGTGTCACGATGAAAGAGGAAGGTTCGTAGGTCGATTGTGCGCTAACACCGCATTCGGCTAGCTTGCTCAAAGTTTAGCAACAGGGCAGGAAGTCTTCGTTGCTCAAGGTTGCATAACTTAAATGGATAACGTACTTCACAAGCGAGTCGCCCATACAAGCGAGTTCCCCACCCCGCCAACTTTGCACGCCTTTGCAGGTGTGCAACTCAACCATGTTATATAAAATAATATATAGATAGTAGTGTAGCAGGTTAAGTAGTATCTACAGTATCCTTTTTGCACGTACGTGAGTTATGGCCAGTCTCTCTACACATTGTACTGCGCGCCAGAGCCTGGCGGCTAAGGCCTGATTGCTCTCCTCTCTGACGCCTCTCATGAGTAATCTGCCCATCAGCCTCATGTTGAGCAAGTATATCCTCACCAGCTCCCTTTGCTAAGACCCCTTGCTTTTGTGTACACTTTTCTTACGTTGTTTATGTGCTGATGCTGCCTCGTTGGCTCTCTCAAGACTGGCAATCCAGTTGCACATCAGCTCAGCAGAGAGCATCATCACCTCAGCCCCCTTCTTGAGCTGGTGATGAGCTCTTGTGCTGCTGTACGCGATCATGTATCAATGTTGATTGGGCCTCAAGCTTGCGTGCATTGCATGGTGCACAGGACTGCCAGAGAGCCTCTGCAAGAGCAGCTGGAGGAGTAGGTGTACACAGCTGCACATCAAGCTTTGTGTTGAAGTCGTGTCTTAAGCAAAGCTCGTAGGCACTGTTCGATTGGTTCTCGGGGATGAGCAGAAGTACAGAGAGTCGTCAGGGGTTGATTATCACTGAACGAAGCTCGGAGCGACAGAGGTTTGACTGTGATAAACCGCTGTGATAATCAGGGGGTAGTCCATGAAAACAGACCCTGATGGCCCGGTGAGAGAGACAGAACACTGAACAAGAACAACAACAATATATACCGATTTTACTGCTTCGCGCAGTTACCCCTGACTTACTGCCCTGCGCAGTTACACCTTCACTTATTGCATTTACTGCAACATTATCATTATAGTTCGTGAGCTATTTCATATCATCCGCAGCACGTGCTGCAGACTATGCAAATCTATGCTCTACCAACATGCCCAAATCAGTATGTATCTCCCAATTCTGTCTAACTACTAACGCCAATGCTTGCATTCGTCACTTTACGTCTGGGCTTTCTTCGCTGATCCTCTGGATCAGCGTCGAAAGCTTTGGCCATAGTTCTGGTATCCTAAAAGGCTTGGAAATTGCATCGTCCATGCCCGACGCCAGAGCCTGTTCCACTTGCTCCATCCGCGCATTGGCACTGACAGCTAGAATGGGTAATCTTGTGTGGGCTTTCGGCGGCGAAGATGGTTTCGATATGTTGGGCTCATGGAAAGACGATATAGGGCGGACAGACGATGTCGTGAGCTGTCTCGAGAGCACCGAAGGTCTCCTTTGCGGAGGCGCCAGTAAGCCCTGTGCTTCGTATTTGCGAATCCTCTGAGCACATGTGAGCCCATCCATGATGGGCATTTCAATATCCATAAGTATGATGTCGACATCGTATGTGGTCGGCTTTGCAAAATACTCCTTTTCCTCCTGTCCTGCAATACTGTCGTGGTTGTTTCTTGGCGTGCCCCGCCAGTACACGCTGCCCTTGAGCCAGTCCAGGGCTTTTTGACCGTCGCCAGCGACGCTGATGTTCCAACCAAACTTGGCCAGCTGCTTCTTGAGCACTTTTTGGTTGACGAGATTGTCTTCTACAATTAGTATATTGAGCTTCACCTTCCTCATGGCTTGCTCAGTGGACTCGGTGCGTTGCGGGTCTAGTCGGGTCTGCAACGATTGGCCAATAGGGGGCTTAGCCTTGCGTGTGCTGACAAAGAAAGCGAACGTAGAGCCAATGTCTGGGTTGGAGGAAACACCGATTGCACCACCTTGGAGAGATGCAAGAGATTTGGAGATAAATAAGCCCAGTCCGGAACCACCGTACTTCACATGCGTACGAGGAGTGGCCTGGGTGAATCTCGAGAACAGCCTGTTCTGCTCGTCGTAGGTCATTCCACAGCCTGTATCTTCTACTTTCAGCCAAAGATAAGCTAGCTCTCCATCACCCCATTCAGGACCGGCGGTCAAGTCTTTCGGTTGGTCTCCGGCATGAGTGAAGGTGATTGCGTCCCAGACTTTTGGTGGGCGTGTCAGAGAGGCACCTAACGTAACTGTAATCTTGCGAATTGGCCGGTCTTTGGTGAATTTGATAGCGTTCGTACTGCAAGCGGTCAGTCGTGTAAGCGCTTCCAAATTAGCACCAGTCACATACAGAAGGTTGATCAAAACTTGAAGCAGTCGAGATGGGTCCAACATAACCCAATCGTATCCTTCAAATGTCGGGTCCTTTCGAAATTCTAGCTTGATGTCCATTTGACTGCACTCGACATCGAACATCTTCAGTGCTTCGGACACAACCACAGCAGACTGCACACGCACAGGCGTGATCAGGATGAGATTCGAGTCCAACTTTGACAACGTGAGGACGTCGTCGATAACGCGCTTCTGGTGCAACGAGCACGATACAATGGTTTGCAACGAGTCGATACTTGTCACAACCTCTTCCCGTATCTTCTTCAAGTCCATGTCGCCGATTGGAGTCTTTACATCATGAAGTAGCAGTCCTTGTAACGATGCTATAACTGAATCCGCACATTGTACTATGGCGGACAACGGGTTCCGAAGCTCGTGAGATGTCATATCGATGAAGCTGCCCCTCATTAATGATCAATTGACACTCAAAGGATCAGCGTCATACTTCTCTTGTTGTCGTTTTGCTTCCAAGGCTTCTTCTGTTCTCTGTCTTTGGACTGTTTCTGCCCATTTAAATTGCTGATCGAGTTAGTCCCATGTCATCCATCGTCAGAGTATAGGTCCGTACCGAGATGTCGAACAAAGTGCCCAAAATACCTGTTCATTGTCAGTTTCCTCATCCCCACTAGATACATACATCTTACTGATGACATTCCCTTTCTCGTCGAGCTCAGGGTGATTTGAGCTTTGCACCCAAGTATTCGAGACGATGCCATCCTGATTGACCCAGGTTTTCTTAAGTCGGAACTGCACGCCATCTGACTTCTTGCCCGCCAGCATCTGCGACCAATCGTCTTCCACCATCTTTAGGTCCTCATCTGCGACTAGACCAAACCACTCAAACTCGTTGAGGGGCCGGCGTGGGTGGCCTGTCAATTCGAAGAATTGATCGTTGACATAGTTCATGCCTTGTAATCTGTCAGTCTGGGCCTCCGACTCATCAGAGAAGCTTACCTTGTTCGGGGACGAAAATGTAGATGGCTATGGGAGAGAGCTGCGCAAACCTTGCAAACTTCTGCTCTGACAAGCGTGCTTGCTCAAGCGCCTCTACACGTGTCTGCGCAATTTCTTGTGACTTTTTCTGCGCCATGATATCGATTGTGTTTCCAGCGATACTGATCAGATTTCCTTCATCGTCGAAAACCGGTACGCACGCTGAGAGAACCCACTGCGCTAGGTCATCTGAGCCTGGAGCTCCTTTCCATCTCATCTCGAACGTGACGGGGTTGCCGGAAGCCAGGGTATTCCACATGGACATGACAAGGGCCTGGTCTTCAGGATATACAAGGTCCATAAATAAGAAGTCGACGTGGGCTGGTACATTCCGCGGATGTGACGAGAGTCGGTACCATGCCTCGTTGGCGTGGACCAACTTTCCCTCCGTGTTGTACTCAAACACTCCCACATCTGACATCTCCATCATGGTCTGAAGCCCCTCCCAACGTGCTGTCAGATTAGTGCGAGGCAGAGTGTCCGCTAACACCGACTTGTTGGTCTTCATGTCTCGCAGCATATCATCTTTCGAACGTTGGTAAACGCGATTCCAGTTACCAATGTTCGACTTGATGACCGCCTCTCTCTCGAATTCTGATGTAGTAACATCTTGTTTGACATCTTCTTTCAATAAAACTTCCGCAGCTCTTATGACCTTCCACCTTCGGTTTTTCCCCGCTTCCTGCGAAAACCATCTCTTTTTGTCAAATTCATATTGTGGCCTATAGTCCCCTAAAGCTTGCGACCAGGATCTGAAAAGTAATGCTGTTCGGTTCTGCTCCTCAACGCGTTCTTTGAAACCTTCGCGTCGGAAAGCTTCGTTACAGAAAATGATAGCGAACTCGAGGACATCCTGACCAATTTTGACCACAAATATCGGGTCAGGGTTGGATTCCAATATCTCCAGGTCCAGAAATGTTGTTTGAGGGGGCTCCGAAGTTGACGACATGTCGAGCCCTTTCCTGTACCCTCAATGATCTCGCGCCTCAGCTCACCTGTTTGTAGAGAAAACGATGGCTGGTATCCAATGTCGCGATAGCGATACGCAGACGGCCAACGCGGGGTTGGGGCAGGGTTACGGAAAGGTGTAAACTCGGAGGTGGCAGTCTCAATCTGTGGCGCTTTCCGGTCACTACACGCACCGGTCTTGCTTAATTTGCCACCTAGTTTGAGGAGCCAACTGCGCAGTTGCGACCGCAATACCTGGACAGCAGGCGCAACTCTTTGGGTTCAGAACGTCGGCGACAGAGGATTGTTGATAGGACACGGCTGTGCTCGTCGACAGATACTGTATGGCGTTACTCGGGTGACAAAATAAGCCGCACTCACAAAAAGTGTGCTTCTGCCCACCTAGATAATCGCACAACACCACACGATATGAAAAATCCAAAAAAAACACAAAACTGTAAAGAATATCTTATTCTACAATTTGTGTTTTTCTAAGAATTAGTCTCATGTCGTTGTTGCGTGGTGTCGGGGCAAAGAGGGCAACCTTGTTGGTATTCCTCGACTTTTGGCTGGTTTAAAGTGCAGCTTTTTCTGGCACCCGAGGTGGGCCTCCAAAGGCTCGCCAACCCACGCATATTCTCATCCGGGGCCATGTACGTTCCAGACGGATGTGTTTCTGTTGGCAGACTAACTGAATGGGTGCATACAGCCTGATGTCATAGTTACGGCGCAAGGCTGCTGCTGGTCAGCCCTGCCTGCTGATTGGTTCATCTGCCGAATCGCGGGTCGGATCTGGCAGATCTCGGTGATCTTCGCCCAAGACATCGTGAGACTTGTTCGTGCTTGCGGAACTTCTTCATCTCGAGTCTGTCTCTGACTTTGAGCCTCACATGCTGGTCTGGACTTTCAGTCAAGTTTCTCCAAAACTTCAGATGTTTGAGATGCCGACCATTCAAGTTACAACCCGAATGTGCACATAGCAGAGATGAAAGCCTACACAAGCGTTGCAACAACCTCAACGCGCCTGTGTTAGGGTACAAGTTTGTGGTGAGATAGAGAAAGAGCGTTGTTATGGGGGTAGTGACAGGAAGTCATGGCCAGGATCAGATACGACGGCACGTACCCACGTGTCTACTCGGGAAATCTGCGCCGTCTAGGAATCCCTCTGAGCTCGATGGCCGACCACACGAACTGTTGATGCGTCAGTCATCACCTAATCCAGATATCTTGCGACTGAGACACTCCCACCATCATAGGCCTCCAAGCTAATAATTGACGAGGCTGCTATCTTACGCAGCTCACCCTCATCACCGCATGTTGGTACTGGTGCCAATAATCTGGACTGAACATGGCGCTTTTAGCGGTCCTACCCATGGACTCATAGATGCTGTCGTTGGGGTTCGATCGACCTTTGGGACCACATTGATGACACCTTATTAGATGCACCGAAACGGGCGTATTGGTCTTCGAACAAAGGTTTCCATAGACAAAGACCGTCGAATCGAGTCTTGAGCTACGACTGTCAACCCCAACCTAGCGAACTCACAAATCCCTCGATACAGTCCGTTCTTCGATTGCTGAAGCGAGACGAGCAGCTCATCTTGAAGCTAAAAATCAATGACTCCAATATCAACTAGATAGTACTAAGATTATTTGCTTAAAAAGGCAAGTACAAGTCAGCCTGTAATGGGTGTTCTATACTTTACCAAAGGTAGCAAGTCTTGGGTTAGGTAAGCTGTAGGGTATGTTGGACTGTAGGAAGGTATCGCAAGGTTGATGGTTGTCGACAAGAACCTCGCTGGTAGTGATGTCAAAAGGACAAGAGCAGTACTCTCAAAAGATTGTATTCTTGACTACGGAGATGCTATCAATGCTGCACAGGGTGCCTACATACTGGGCGATTCTAGGGGGTTTAGTGGGTTAGTGGTTGTGGTTGTTTCCTAACCCGCTAACACCGATGTCCTCTGGGTTGGTGTTCCTGCACGGGCCCATCAGCCACACGCTAGTGGCTTGGGAGGTGCCTGACCCAGTAGCTCACTTAGTAGGGCAATCGACCTTTCATCTCAACTCTGTGTGACCGTGTACAGCATCCGTACAGCAATAGATTGCGCAGCCGCTTTACAGGCTCAACAAGCAAGCAGTACACCAGAAAAACAAGTTCAGGAAGCAGCAGCAGCAATAACAGCTCTTACTCCCAACTCTATGTGTACTCAGTGACAAATATGAATCTGGCTATTGAAAGAATTGCAACTCAAGACTGTGTGGCTATCTTAGTGGGGTGGCCGAAAAGTATATGGCCAAGCTTAGAAGTTTTACCGATATTCTCCGTCATTCAATGTGCACTGACTAACAAGACGTCATTGTGATTTGCACGCTACATGAGGATAACAAACCGGAGGATCCGTAGGTTTGAGACTACTACGGGTAGTGACTTCACCCTGTGTCATTGTTTGCGGAGAGGAAAAGATGGATCTACCGTCTTTGGACTTCAAATAGTTGACTTGCCTTTGTTCGCGCGTCTATTATTGTTCGGTATCTCCTGCTGTAAGATTCTTTTCCACCAGAGGATCCTACGATCTAGTTACAAAGTTTTACGGCCGACACCGCAAATTCGCCCACCATGTCCGAAGAAGGCGAGCACAAGACGCTGGCGCCGTCAAAGATGACCTCTGAGGTTGACGCACACACCCCGGTCGAAATGCTTCGCCTCGCAGAACAAGCCGGCGTAGCAAAAGCGAATCTCAGCTGGCTCGATCTGATCATCAAATCCTTCCTGGGTGGTGTCTTCATCTCGCTCGGCGCCGCCTTCGACTTGGTCGTTGCTGGTGGATCTCCAGGCCTCCGCGCCAGCAACCCAGCCATCGCAACAATGCTAGCCGCCTTCGTCTTTCCCATCGGTTTCGTCATCATCATGTTGTTCAACGTCGAGCTGTGCACTAGCAACATGTTTGTCATGGCATACTCGACACTGCGCCGCCGGACCACCATCTACGACCTGCTCAGGAATTGGATAGTGAGCTACGTTTTCAACATCGCAGGCTGCTTATTCTACGCTGGAGTACTTTGCTACTGGTCCGACACTTTGTCGTCAAGCGCGCAGAAGGACTACGCGGCGACACAAGCCAACGGTCGTGTCAATGTCAATTGGGGATACAACGTAACTCGTGGCATCATGTGCAATTGGCTTGTTGGCATTGCCTTTATGTTCTTTACCGAGGCACGCGACTTGCTCTCCAAGATCGTCGGTATCTGGATTGCCATCTGGACGTTCGTTGCGATGAGTTACCAGCATTCAATCGCCAATTACTTTCTTGTGCCAATCGGCATGTTCTATGGAACAGAATTCGGTGTCGGCAAGTTTGTCTGGGCTAGCTGCATTCCAGTCACTATTGGTAACATCATTGGCGGTGCTTTTTTTGGTGCATTCGCGATGTGGACGGTATATGGCAGGCACGAGCTGTCTGTAAAAGAGCTTGAGAGGCAAGAAAGCTACGTCGGCAGGGTATGAAGGAGGTGTGGAGATGTTCGTGGCTTTCGGATTCTACAATCTAGGTGTTGTCGTCTTGTTTTGCTGCGTTTGAGAGTTTACCATGCCGCTATGGCGGTTTAATTCTAAATCCCTGCATCGGGTCCAGCGCGCAAAGTCCAAATAATTTATGTCAATCCAGCTCACACTGTTGTTCGACCATGTATGATATCAAGTGTGTTTCGATTGCTTTCTTCAGCCAGTAACAACCGTGCGCATAACTAATCCGTCAGAATTATGATGCCATTGCTGTTTCTCAAAGGGCAGGATCGTGTGGATTAGTACTACCTATGGTGGTGTTTATCTACACAGTGAAGCGAGTGGGCGCTTACTCATATAGGGAAGGCGCAGAGGCTCTGAGAACAGGATGTAGTGAAAGTACAGGCTGACACTGTTATCCAAATCTCAAACATTTCCATGCGGTCGGCTGGGCCAACTAACCTCAAGTCTACGATCGCATTATTTTTGGAATGACCCGTACTGGACATTGTGATTCCAAGCGGCTGCGGTTGCCATTGCTACTTCCTGTTGCGGTATCGGTTGGTCCGTACAGTGTCTGACCATACCCCTGACCACTACCCTGGACTAGTGTGTTACAGGTCAGGTATATAGTCGTCTCCTCCTAGCTAGATAGAAATCCAGCACAGTATTCCATCGACCCGATAGTCCTACTTTATCGTTTACCGTAGCTATCAGTATTCTACAGCGGTCCACACCGCTACACTTCCCACTGTTGCTGGCAGCCGAAGAACTCCCAAACGACCGATCAAGAGGACACGCGTTTCCTCAGCCTGCAATTCATGCCGTGCACGTAAGACAAAGGTCGAGTTCATGGGATGCGCTCTCCTTTGTTGACGACTGAGACCGGCAACAGTGCAATAATGAGCAGCCACAATGCAGCGAATGCGTCAAGCGTGACACCACGTGTACATACACTGAGTCTGAAGCATGCGTCGCGAATGTTATATCTGATCAGACCTACATAAACATCTTGGCTTACATGTGACAGCGCAATATGCTGACCTCATAGTTCGAACGACAGCTAGAGAAAGTGTTTGAATTGATGAGGTCTATGCCAGAACAAGACGCACTCGAAGTGTTTCGACGCGTTCGCATGAATGACAAGATCGAAGATATTCTTGCGCATGTCAAAGAAGGGGATCTGCTTGTGCAGTTATCACTCGTTCCTGGGTCTAACCGCCGCTAGGAGTTCCCGTATCGATCGGGGATGCATCAGCATTGACTTATTTCAAGCAACCCATGTCTGCATTGGTTGGTCTATGGCCTGTTTCGGTCTGGACAATGTTCCGACTCCAGTGCCGCCAGTGCCTCGAGTACCTCTTCTGTCACGGCACCGGCTGTTCAAGTCTTCTACCTAAAGCCATTCCATGCTGCTGAACTTGTAGATCCTTTATTATCACAGCTATCGGCCTTGAAATGGACGTTTGTGATCTCAAGCAACGTTCTGTTCCGAGCGCTTCTGAGCAATTAATTTCTTTACATTCATCCAGCAATATATGTGGCGACGTGGGCCGCTGTAGTATACTGATAGCTACGGTAAATGATAACGTAGGACTATCGGGCCGATGGAACACTGCGCTAAGTTGCTATCTAGTGAGGAGAAGATGGCTATATACAGACTCTGGAACGTGCTAGTCCAGAACAGTCTAAGCAAGGATAATAGGGTCTTGTATGGACTGATTAATACCGCAATAATATACGTTCTTCACATGAAATACCTCTTGTAGGACATGTCCACAGGCAAATCTCAGTTCTGTTCGTTTCTGTTGGCGAACGCCGTACTTGCAAGTTCTTGTGTAGGTGCTACGTTATCCAGTCTTTCAGAACTCACGCTGCACTCAGGCTAATTCTGGCAGCAAAGCTATGGCCAAGATCCCAATCAATCAATGTATTGGCTTCTTGAGAACCTCGGATACAAGTTTCTGGCTGAAGCGAAACGGCTGTGGGAACTGGAAACCCTCAACAAAGTCGAACTCACGACAGTACAGGCTACGCTAGTCCTACAAATCACCTTAAATGTGATCTGTATTGACCGTGTCATTTGTATAGTGGTTGAAGAAATGTAAAGAACCCCCTGAACTTGGTTCACTACTGTGACAGACTTACGTTGAGTAAGAATGAAGGCTTCTAAGTGGCTGTTGCTATCTTGGTTGACAGATTTGACAGTCTGGTACATGTCCTGCAGGGCATCACCGTGGTGAACGGCCACTCACAAGGCTACCTGCCCTCATGAACCACAGTACGTATCTACTGTACGATTCTGTTGGGGAGTATGGACAGTGCGCATGTGCGGAAATATTGAAGGATTGAAGTGAGGTTGTATTGTGTGAAGCTACGGACAGTATGTATAGGTGAGTAGCTGTAAAAAACGCTAGTGTGACGTGGCAGTCACTCTCATGGCAGGTGAGGTTCGACAGGCAGGAGCACCCCAAACCGTGACAGATTCACTGTACTAACGTCAGAGCGGTCTGTACATTCTTACAAGCACCGATATTCGTCTACGCGACTTAGAGGCTGATAAGAAATTGGATTTGATATGTCGATTGAGTACTATCGAGGAGGACGACTAAATACAGTGCGGAAACAGGCGTTAAGTGAGGTGGCTAGTCAGAGAGGACGCTAGTGGTACCTCGAACAGAGGCTGACTTTCCTCCCGTAGGTTGGTAGGAAATTTGCGGAACAAGCTGTAGCCATGTCGCAAAGTGTCACGGTTTGGGGTGCTCCTGCCTGTCGTACCTCACCTCCATGAGAGTGACTGCCACGTCACACTAGCGTTGTTTACAGCTACTCACCTATATATACTGTTCGTAGCTTCACTCAATACAACCTCAGTACAATCTTCAACTTCTTCCTTTGCGTACAGTTTTTCCCTGAACTCTGACACAAAGCATCGACTTGTTTAAGGCCCCGAACAATAGAATGAGTCGAAGGATGAGGGAAATGCGTACGCTGCTAGCATGGGCGTTCTTTAAGTGATTGAGGAATTGCTACCTACAGCATCACTGATGCAAGCACATTGACCTCTTGCCGCGTTAGTTAGACATGTCGGCGGTCATCTGATAGTAAGTCTTCTTGGCTCGCAGCTGGTAGGGACGGTTGGTGGCTGGGTTGGCAGCTTCACGCGCCTAGTACTGCGGGCACAATGGCATGTTCCGTTTCCTGTGGAGCATGAATTGCTTCTGGGCGATAGGGATGGTGTCCGTGGTGCGCGCATTGGCTGCCGGTCCAGTAAATCCATTCACACACGATGTCGTAGTAGTTGTTGTTCTTGCTGTAGAGTCGGTTTATTAGTTGTTGTAGTTGTGGTCGATAGGCTTTGTTGTGTTGTGGAGAATCTGGAGAGCAGGAGATTCGGAAGATGTTTTGTACGCCTGAGGGCTGATAGTGTTTGCCAGAGGTCTGCTGCTCTGATTGTCCAGCTCAATCGGTTAGTTTGGTTTGCTTCCCTACCCTTTCACTGCTATTCCCTTCTACTATATAGTCTCGATCGATTCCCGATGTAGCTCTTCAGATCAACCAACTCAACCATCTCAACCCTTCTACAGATAGTGAATGGCTACCTGTCTCGTTGTGAGCACAAAGTGTGGATATCGTAACTGTATGATGTGCCTTGTTTGTGAAAGCAGTCACAGTTGTTCTGGACCTAATGTGACTTGTGGGTTCTTTCAGTGAACCCACTTCATGGACAACAATGGATCGTATCTGTGATTGAGTCAGTGTCCGCATGAAAAGCGGTATAAACATGCCTCCCCGTCACTAGTCTTTCTGAATACAGTCAACAGTAGCACGTTCATCAGATACGAGCATGTGTTATTCACGCCTTCGAGTTTTATTTTATTCTCATTTTACTTCACCCTAATGACTTCAGAGATTCAAAACAGTAACACAAACATCTCAGTCCGATCATCGTAATGCTTATCCATGCTCAAGCTTCCAAGGTCCTCGATGCTCAAGATAGTAACCCAAATGCCGACATCCCATATCTCCTCATCACATCCCCCAACACTCCACCCCTCTAACGCGCGCGTCGATCCTCTTGATAGCGACAAGACTCACAGCGGTACTCGGGTGACAGAATTCCCCGCACACTGCCAAGATTTGAACCTCGACACCCCCTTGCCCTCACCACACCACCACTCCCCCTTCGCAGCTATTGCTTATTTTTTGAATTGCAGACTGAGAAAATTGTAAAGATCATGAAATGCACATAAAAAGTAGGGTGCGTGGAGCTAATGAGTACATGGAAAAGCGCGGGATCCCACACAGCAAGGAGGGCATCTTCAGGGTTAACAAGGTCTCCCATTGTCAGAGATTGTTCGCTAGCGGTTCGTTGCAGCGTTTGCCAACGGTCCGTTGCAGTGTCTACCAGCGGCCCGTTGCAGTGTTTGCCAACGGCCCGCTGCACTGATAGTCCAGCTCATTCGGTTAGTTCGGTTTGCTTCACTGCTATTCCCTTCCACTATATAGTCCCGATCGATCCTCGCCATAGCCAAACAGACCAATCAAGACTCTCAACACTTCCACAGAGATGGGCTGTGATATCTGAAGCCAGTGAAGACAGGCATAATCACAGAGCTTCTGGGCCAGAAAAGAGAGGCAGGAAATGCACAATCACCAATGATCAGCTTGCAAAAATTGATAACCTCCTAAAGTCTGAAGGCTCTGAAGCACACTCTCTCCTGGCAGATTATGGGATGGAATTGTGGCATCACAGGCCTTAGTGACTGCACTACTTTATGTTCTATGGTGATCACCTTGGATACTTCAAGTGTGTAACCTGCCAGAAGCAGTGGGTTAATGATTCTACAGCTAAAGCCTGCATAAAATACGCTGACAAGCTCTGGAGAAAAGCCCTGAGCCTGAAGATTAGGAAGATGTGAGGTTTTCAGATGATGTTCACTGGCAAATAGGGCCTGAAGGCAAGCTTATAGTTGCAAGGAAGAGGAGACTCAATATGATGGGGTTGATGACCTCATTCAAGCTGAGGTGAAGCGAATTATTGCACCCCCTAATGCTGCTGATGGCCCAGTGAGAGGCAGAACGCAGAAGAACAGAACAAGAACAGAATATACTGATTTTATTGCTCTGCGCGGTTACACCTTCATTCATTGCATCTACTGCAACAGGTTGCCATTCACGTCACGGGGCCGATGCTGTTCCATATCCCACTTGAGGTGAGGCTTACGCAGGTTGATGACGTCCTTTTACTTAGGCTCAACTGGGATGTCACAGTGGCGATGGGTACGCTGTGCTCGACGCAGGTTTTCTGGCGATCGGTACGCTTGCGCCAGAAGGCGTGGCCGAAGAAGCCCTCGCTTTTGGTACGCAAACGGCGGCGATCGAGCTTGGGGTTGAACATGTAGGCGCAGTGGTCGGAGGTGACGAATATCCAGTAGCACGTGACTTCGGTGTGTTGTGATTGTCGTTTTTGGTTCCATTTGGTGTGTGTAGTTGTGGCTGATTGTATTGTATTGCTGTGATGGTGAGGATTTGTAACTCGAAAGGATCCGTCAGGCAATTTATATGACCAAGGACTCGATGGTGAATAGCTCGCGATCTGATCGCCCATTGTGAGCTTTCAGTGCAAGGGTCGCTACTGTATGAGGTGCCTTGAGCGTGAAACCGTGCATCTCATGTTTTTTCTACAGACTACTTGTACTTCTGGTACTCAGTCAATCGATTTGAGCTTCAGATGTGTAGTCTTCGTCCTCACATGTGCAATCTTCGTCACCGGATGTCGACCCGTCGCCCTCTTCGAGCCAATGTTCCCACTCAAGTATCGTCGGGTCGTCGTCGCCAAGTTCCAACATCTTGTGGATGTTCCTTACTGAACGTGCAAACCTTCCATCATGGTATATGAGAAGTATCAACCCAGCAAATAGCTCTACCAGCGATTTGTTGTAATCCGGAATGATCACAGACTGCCTCTTAGGATCCGTGAGAGAGATCATCGCGTAGATACGATCTCGTACGTCATGACAACTCGAAATGCCGAATTCCAAATCCCAAGGGTCCGCGTAGGTAAATGATGAAGATTGCCGTTGCTCACGCTCGGTGATCAGCCTGATCACAGGGCTTTGTAGTATGGTAGTAGCAATGTTGCGGTTTCCTCAAAAAAGATGACGGCCAGTAGCCAGACGATTGCGGAGCCTGATCATAGCGCTCACGGAGACTTTCTTTGCACAGCACCAAGTCGTAACCCTCTCAGGGAGGAGAAACTCCTGAACTATCCAAGCTTGAGTCCAGTATTCATGGAGGCAGAACTCTTGGATATCCGTCAGTATCGACAATGGAAACGTCCAAGCGACACTCTCCGAGTTCACTGTTATCTCCAAGTCCGTTGTATTTTCTGAGTCCGTTGTACTTCTTGAGTCCGTCATACTCTCCCACCATTCATTGTCTGTACGGTCAAGCTTGATTAAGTAATGCATCGCTCGAGCCAAGCGTTTGTTTCCTCTTCCGAGCCAGACAATGACTGAGAATGCGCGTGAGTAGATCTTGCCCATTAAGGCAACTTGATAATTACGCTCAGCAACATTCGTTTGGTCAATGCAGATAGCGTCAATCCAGTAGCCACCCAAACAGGACCATATAGACCGATCCTTGATCAGTTGTTGGAGGAATGAGTGTAAGTTCATTCTTACAGTAAATGCTTTGCCATTTAGCAGAATTTCCTTTGTCTTGACTGCGTTTCCCCAGACGTACGACACCGCCTTGTAGGACAAATCGCCATACGTGGAAACTACCGACAGATCGCACTCAACGTGAGACGGATTACTCGACGGAGGGTAAGCTGATCAGACGGATATTTGAATTGCTGGCGAGCTTTAGGGGAATGTCGTCGTAGGCGTTGGACATGCTTGTGTCGGTTGACTCGATTTGCGTTACAACATGACCTTTTGCCCTGCATTCAAGCGCCTGTAGATCGGTGGCCATCCAAAAGTATTCGCTTGTAGATACGACGTTCGAAACAGACGAGAATTGAGTTGATTTCGCTACTGTAGTGTAGAGAACACACGAGAATGTGAACCCTTCTTGCACGAAAATTTGATCAGTGAAACTTGAGGAGGGCAAAAAATGGGTTGAGGTTATGTACAGTTTGGCATAAGTAATGGGACTGGTGCACAGAATGCCTGCTTGTCACTATCAGCAGCAGTACAATCTTCAAGATTATCACGTACTTGGGGTACTATAGCTCCTTCAATTTACTGGCTTGGCTCTCCTCTTTCCTCAGCTCCTTGGCACCAGTGACGGGGCGCCCTTCAACCGCCTTGTCACCACCGACCAACTTGAAGCCGTTGTAGAAGAGCCATTCGGTCGCGTGTTCGACCGGCTCATCGAACATGTAGGGCAGGAACGGCACGGCTGCAAGACCGAGCTACATATCGTCAGCGCATGTCATAAAGTCTGGAAGTTGCACTCACGCCAATGGGACCCCAGGTCCTCAACGTCTTGTTCTTCGCGTCTTTCAGCGCGCGCCCGGAGTACCTGACGATGCTGTGGATTGTGAATGCAGGCAGACCCATGGACGCAACAGCCTGGAAGATAGCTCTTTGCGCCATAACAGCCCTGTAGTCCTCAATAGCCGGTATCCTTCCTGCCACGACCTCGCCGCCGGTCAGCACGCTGCCCTGTCCGCCGAGCTTGATACCCTCGGTACTTGTCGCCTTCTGTGCAAGCTGCTGCACCTGACCAACGACGCCCGTCGCCCTTCCTGTAGCTGCCATGTCTCTGTTCTCCTTCTCTTGTTCATTGATTTGCGCGGGTGCCTCGAGGTAGTTCTCAGGATGCAGGACTTTCTGGTTGCGGATGTATGCTTTGTAGCCTTCGTGCGCAACATCACCAGTCAGGTATAGCCATGACACTGCGTATGCACCTTTGACGAGGTAGGGGTGCGCAATTGGCCTGAAGGACTCGCCGATGTCTGATGTGTAGGCGACATAGCGGTGGGCAGAGAGCATGATAGTACGGATGCGGGTCGCGTAGGCGGCATAACGGATGGATGTGTCGGTTGTGTCCTCCGCTCTGTTGTATTTTGGTAAGCACCGTAAGCTCGAGTCTGCTCGGATGTAGTCCCTACCTCCCGTCTGAGATGGTCTCCCACATCTTCTCCTCGTCGTTCAACACATCCTGGATACCCTTGGGCAGCTGCTTGCGCGGCGGAGGAACGGAGAAGTCTGGTCGTGCTTCCTTGCGCACGTGCTCAACGCCATCCACCTCTTCCACAATAGTCTTGTCGTCCTTTGCCATTGTCGCTGGAGCCGTCTTCACGTTGTAGGATGACACGCTCTCGAAGAAAAGAAAGAAATGCAACAGCGAGATGGAGGGTTGGAAAGTCAAGTAACTTGTTCGCGCTCAATTGTAGCTGCCTATGTGGTAGCACCGACGTCATTTCGCCCAAGCTCCCCTTTCCTCCGAGGTCGTTGCTGCCACCAGCCACGGCACACGCCACGGCATGCGCCACAGACGCCACACCCTGCCAAGCAGTCAACCCTTGAGGTCCGTTCCACGCTCCGCCATCCACACGTTCACGACCTCCATCCATTGCGCCCTCATCACCCTTCGCCTAACCCCGAACTGTATACCCCCACCGCCAAAATGGTTGCTATGTACACTATCGCCGGCCGCCAGGTCGGATCGCACGTCGTACGTTGACCCCCGAGCACCTCCGCGAAAAGTTCGATGCAACTCCGCAGTACCATTCTGGGCCCACCACAGCTCCAAGTCGACTTGAGACATCATGCGCGAGGCTTTGGAAGCTGGGGGGACCGGGTCTGGAGATGCAATTGCGCGGGCGATAGCCGGATATTGCGGGGAGTCAAGCTATGTGATGGGACAGAAACTAACGTACGACAGCTCGCGATCGCTACCCTCGCAACCACCTTCTCCATTGCCGCTTTCTCCCTCTCTGGCGGCGAGAAGGTCGACAAGACCCAGCCCCCGATCAACGCCAAGAGCAAGGACGAGGAGAGCTTTGTCAAGTAAGCAGCCCCAAATAACACATGCAGCACGGCACAGCACCCAGCACGCAATTGTGTCCCAAGCAAAACCCATGTGACAGATGCATACATGGAGAGGCAACGCTGACAACACGCAGGAACTTCGTCCAGAAGGCAGAGGAGAAGGTCACCGGAAAGCACTAGATGTATACCAGGAGCGATGAGCGACGAGGAGGAAGCATGAATTGTAGATACGCCAGATGTACCAACAAGGAGCAATGCAATGGAGAATGAACACCACAGCCATTACACAAAACCAACAGCGACTCACGCATGCAGGCGGTGTTTGAACAGGTTGAGAAAGTATATTGCGATAATGTCAACAAAAGACGCCAATACTCCAGGTATCACGTAACCCACCCAGCAACCATCAAAGCTCAGCACAATCAGCCCAGCGCGCCCGAGCGCCAAGCTGTACGGAAGACGATGCAAACATACTGCCAACCAAATTCCCATCATCAAAGCTTACTCCTCATCCTCGAGTATAATTCTCTTACTCATCGAATCCACAACCTTGGAGAAGAACTTCGCCGCATGCCCTCTCGCGAAACTAATCTCCTCAGTCAAGTAGTCAGGCAGAAGATCTAGGAGGTCTTTATCTCTCTGCTCATCCAGCAGCGGCTGGTAAATGAACTCTGTATCCGCGTAGCTCTCACCGCCCTCGGAGACTGTGAGATGGAAGTGCAGTGCTGTAAGGTGATTAGCAAAACACAGTAACAGGAAGATCGTGAAGCGACTTACTCCCATTCCGTCCAGTCTGCAGACAATCATACACATCCTCATCGTCCTCGTTCTTCTTGACGCCAACGATGACCAGGTTAGTCAAGTCGCAGTACATCTCCACCTTCTGCTTCTGCAGCATCGCGTCCTTCGCTGCTTCCGCGCTTCCAGGCAGCACCACGCCCGTCGTTCTCGCCTTGACTGCACTGCCCGGCACCTTAGCTTCTGGCTGGGTGGACGAGCGTGCTGCGGCAAGCTTGGTGTTGAGCGTGGTGTTTTCCTTCTGTGCGGTGTTGAGGGAGTCGGTGAGCTTCTTGTTTTCGGCGGTGAGGGAGGAGTTGGTCTTTGTGAGGGCTGAGATTGACTTGTTGAGGCATGTGATTTCCGAGGTGCGCGTTTGGAGGTCGGCGACTTGTTGTTTGAGGGCTTTGATCACTGCGTCTTGGTCTGTGAATGGTGTTAGTTTGATTCGAGGTAGGAGAGGGTGAGATCACACCCTTTGCGGCTTGTTCTGTCCGTTTCCTAAGCTGCTCAAAGTTGGATTCCTTGCCTGAGGTCGCGACGTCCTTTAGTGTCTCGTACTTGGCTGTCATGGCCTCCAACTTCCTGGTCAGATCGCCCACCTTCCGCCGCATGGCTGGGTCGCGCTCTGTGTCCGACACGCTTCCAGCTCGCCGCCCACTAGCTGAAGGCTGTCGTGTCCTGCTTGCTGCTGCCGTTCGCCGTGCTGATGGTCTCGGTGGAGGTGGCATGCTCTCAGGTATCTCGTCCACCTCGATCGAGTCTTCGATGTCCATGATGTCCGCCTCTGGCTCAGCCTGTGTCTCCGGGATTGTGAACGCTTCTGGCTCTGCTTCTAACTCTACGCCGCGCTTGCTCGATCGTGACTTTGCTGCGGCTTTCGCCTTAGTCTCCTCCCTCGCCACAGGTTCCCTCGCGGCTGCTTTGCGCCCTCTCTTTACCGGCGCGGGCTCTTCTTCTGCGGGCTCCTCCTCCTCTTGCGCCTTCTTCGCCTTAGCCGGTCGCCCCCTCTTAGCAGGCTTGACTGGTTCCGCAGTCTCTGTGACATCGTCTTCGTCCAGCTCGTCCGCTTCCTCAGCGTCGCTCTCTGCGCCATTCTTACGCTCTGTCAGTGCCTTGCGACCAGCCTTTGTGGGCGCTTTCCTCGTGACAGCAGTGTCCTTCTTCGCCTCGGCTACGCGTGTCGCTGGTCGGCCCTTAGTAGTCGCCTTAATCGCAGAAGTAGTCTTGCTTGGTTGCGCAGCCTTCCCACGCGCTTTGCGTACCCGCGCTTTGTTTTCGGTGTTGGAGTCGGGCGTGGGCATCGCATTGAGCTCGTCGGGCGTCATGTCATCTTCTGATGCCGAGTCGACGGTGAAGGATAAATTTACGAGCGCATTGCGAGGCGCCATTTCTGCAAAGTATTGGGACGTTACGCCTGAACTTGTTGGAAGCTGCGAGTGTTGCTGGTCAGTCTTGCGACGGAAGTGGGATGTAAACAACACCAATGTCAAAAGTGGCCAGTGCGCAACGCGGTAGCGCGTGCTTCTTTCTGTCAATCGCGAACCATAGTCGCATGACTTGCTTCTTCAAAAATGGATATGGCAGTGTGTTTTTGATATCTGTTCTGACGTTGAAATGTTGCCTATCTTCCATTCTATGTATGCCTTCCTGTCTTGTTCGGAGCCGTATATTCCAGCTGGAGCATTCGCATACTCCAAACCTACACCTTCAGTAGACTTAAGTCATCTTCTCAAACACCTTCCCCATACTCCCCTCCCAACTCTCAACGATCTGACTCCCATCCCAGCACTTATCATCTCCTCCCCCTCCCTCCACTTTTGCACCGTCTCATCCACAAACTCCTCCACACTCAACGCACTCTCGTTATTCTCCTTCTTTATCAACCGGATTCTCCCCCTCCCTATGCAAATCCGTTGCCACAGTCGGCGGCGCAATCTCCACAACATTGACACTGGAGCCTTTCAATTGGACACGCAAAGCCATGCTCCAGAAGTGCATCCACGCTTTTGTCCCGTTGTAGACAGGGTTTGATGATGGAGAAGGGGACGAAGCCGAGAACGGAGGATACGTTGACGATTAGGGCGGCGGGTTTGGATTTTAAGTGCGGCAAGAGGTGGAGGGCGAGGTGCATGGGGCCGCGGATATTGATGTCGATTCCTTGATCGGCTTTTTGTGTGAACTCGGAGGTCTCCATGTCATTGACATCCAGTGGGCGCTGCACGCCGGCATTGTTGCTCAGGCAGTCGAGGTCTGGGTGTTCTTTGGTGATCTTCTTGACAAAGTCGGGTATCGAGGCGACATCGCCGGTGTTGAGGACATACCTAACGCTTCACCCTCATCTACCTGCGGCAAGGATTACGCTTTGCTGGAACTTCGTTGATACGGATGCAGCTAGGAGTTCCACCAAGCCACGGCCTTTTCAGTCCAGGCACATATGTTATTGCACAAGATGAAAATTGTCCACGTTTTGATCAGGTACCTATTGGTTTGACTTACGATCCTACGATGGACTAACTTAACTCGGCTGGCTGCCTCGCTCTCGGTAGCTTGCTCATATCCCTGACACTCGCTCTGCCAGTTGTTGTCCTTACTCGGAGGTCCAACTCCATGCCGTTACCTTCACCACAGTCGCCGGCCAAATCAGGAAGATTCAACTGCTGCTTCGCGTTGTGTCGGTATCGTCTAAAAGCGAGGAATACAAGGGTCATCAAGAATGATAACCCAACGAGCGTTCCAACTACTATACCAGCAATGGTTCCCGCCGTAAAAGAAGTTGATGTTGAAGAATTTGTGCCCTGAAAGGAACCACCAATCGCTGTATCGACGGTCCCATTCGTTGGTACTAGGAGCTGGAGGTTCACCGATCCCTTGAGATAACAGTTCCAATACCCTTGACTAATGCGCATCTCAGCTTCATAGCTCACAGCAGCACAATCTTTACCTCGTTGCACACAAATCCCAATACAATCCATTAGTGACTCCGCATGGTAGCTGTCTCCCAAGTCGTTGGCCCGGTAGTCCATACCACAGTGAGTTTCGAAAGACTTGCCGTTCTGTTCCACCTTCTGCCCAAGGGTTGGACAATCTCTTCTGGTATTGTCAGGTACCAAAATAGCGCTGTCATAGTCTCTATTGCCCTTCGGTGGCATAATCGCACTCTTAAGAAGACAACGACGAGTTTCGTATCCATAAGTGATGCCGGCACATAAGTTCGATGGCTGAGACGAGCAGCGATCCATACAATCTTCGAAACTGCTCGATACCGTCTCAAACAAGTCGCCGCCGACAAAATCTGTGTTGCACTGGATCTGGTAGGGACCCAGTCGTTGTAGAATACTTGTGGAAGAGGCCGAGCAAAGCGTTCGTGCATTTTGTCGTTGAAGCACTGCATCAGATTCATGGTATTAGCGGAATTTTTCCCGCAGGTAGATGAGAGTGAAGCGTTAGGTACGCAGAGATCTTGAGAGGACTTACACAGCGAGTACATGTTCGCAACCACAAGTCGCCGTTGTGTGGTTTAAGACAGAATATCGTCTAAACGTGCAGAGGATCACATCTATTAACATCAGCAATGCTTCGAGCCAACCCACCGCTGGTAGTGCAAGAATTAGCATGTAAAGTTGTCCACGGGACGCGTTACTTGGCATGCTCTGTGTTCCTGACATGCTGAAATTATCGCATCCCACAGGAGGGCGCAGCGGGTATAGGGATGGGTATCCCCGATTGGCTATGTAGAGAGATTCGGGACGATGTTCATGGGTCTAGCGAACGAAACCTAAGTAATGCTCGAATCATATCTCTCACAGCAGCGAGATGAGGTTGAATACCCAGTCTGTCAAGGTCAAGGACCTGTGGAACAAACGTTTCTTCTTATGCTAATTTTCTAGGGGTTTCACATGGTGTGCTGTTGCATTGTGAGGAGATTCTATCGTGTCGTCTGCCAGGTTAGGCATGTGTTTGCAGACCACTTCAAGGCCTCATCGGCGGTGCCTTTCAGCTGCCATGCGCCGCGCCACGTGGTTATAGTTTGGGGAAGAGAGAATTCAGTTGTCCAGGCATTTCATCGCATCTGCAGTTCCCGAATCTATTTGTGGAGGTTGGCCTCAGGTGTGGTGTAGTGTCAATCCGATCTAGAAGGATCCAGAGCCAACGGACCGCGATCTTAAAATAGCTGTTACTTAGCCCGCCTGTAGAAGCTTCTAAATAAGCTCCATACTTTAGGATTAGTAGGCATGACACTAAGTATAATACACTGAGCTTCACTGCAACACTGCCCACTACATAGTCCTGCTGCTAGAGCCTGTCGCTAAAACGCATAGCACCGGCGCGTTGGTGCGTCAGATGCAGCGATAGTCTCAGAGTACCTACTCTTACGTTTGAGTATCTCTGAACCCTTGGGTGTGTACATCTGAATTGGATATATTGTCCTTGCATCCTAGAATTGGACAAAGTGCATATGGCGGTGACAGAGCAGTAGTATGCTGTTGCGCCAATTTCTTTCGCAGAGTCCTTCAGCTTTGATTCTGTGCGGCCTGCAATGATGACAGTCTTGCCATCCTTAATGACCTGTTGCGAGAGCGCTTTGTCGATACCGCCGCCGCCGCCGGTTACGAGAGCGGTCTTGAAGCTGTAATTTGACGAGGACATTGTGAAGCGTGTATTTGAGAGGCTTTACCAAATCCGTAAAGACATTGAACGAGCTGGCTCACGGCACTTTTTGTTCATTCATCATTGCTACAATTTGCCAACTCTAGGCATGACGTAGAGCGTTCGCTGATGCGGCGTATGCGTCACTGAACAGTTCTTCGGCCATATTCATCTTCGAGAACACGATCTTGGATGGCCGGATCTGTACTCGTGAAATATCAAGATTGCTTACGCAAAGAGCGATTGAGGCTGCTATGAAGGATCCAAAGATTGAAGCTCCAGCGGGGCAGCCCCTCGATCTACCTCGGTCAACAGCCTCTTCATCCCTGCACTGCTTTGACACTTTGACAAACTCCTGACGAACATTCGCTCGCCCACACCACGATCCTCACTCGCCAATCACAAGTCGCGGGATCCGACGAAGCGCCACTTCGACTGGCTCGAGCTTTGCGCGTTGTGGGGTAAACAGCTCGAAACAGCACGCGGGTGTTTTGCATCCCACGGCTTGAAGTGGGTTCCCGCAGCTCCGAGATGTGCTGCCGCACCTGCTGGGCGGAGAAGCGATATGACGTCTAAGATGTATATCACGAGCCCGTCCTGGGTGGTTACTCTCGAACTGGCTGTTGACGTGTCGACCGCTATTTTCGCTCTGTTTCTTAGTTTGATAGTAGTTGCGGGGTGGCTTTTCGGACCATAGGTATCCTCCATTCAGTGAGAGATAAACCGCAAACATGGCAGTAACTGAGTCTTCGGAGTCGAAGTGCGATGTGTACGTACGAATGCAAATAAGGAAGGATCTTCGCTGACATAGTACAGTCTCATCATTGGCGCCGGGCCAGCTGGGTGAGCATTCTCAACAAGCAGAGTCCCGGAGGTAGTCCATACTAACCAGACATCCCTCAGCATGATGATGGCAGCATGGATGGCTCGTATGGGCATCAATGCCCGCATCGTCGACAAACGCAGCACCAAAATCTACGCTGGACAAGCTGACGGTCTACAACTCCGGTCGCTTGAGATTTTCGACAGCTTTGGGTTTGCCGACCGCGCCTGGAAGGAAGCAAACCACATGATCGAGATGTGCATGTGGAACCCTGGCGAAGACGGGGTGTTGAGGAGAAGCGACCGTGTTCCTGACGTACCAGCTGGTCTGTCGAGATTCACGCAGATTGTGCTACATCAAGGGCGCATCGAGCGCTTCTTCCTTGATCACATCAAGAAGCACTCCAAAGATACGCTACGAGTCGAAAGAGCTGTGCTACCGGACTCGTTGGAGATTGACGAGGAAAGGTGCGATGACCACTCAACGGACAACTACCCCATCAAGGTGCAGTTGAGACATCTCACGGATGAGGAGGCTGCGCCGGCCCAAGCGAATGGGCAAACCGTTAGTGACGGGCTATTCAGGAGTAATTTGGTAGACGACGACACCGACGACTTGATCAGGAAGGGAAGGGAGAATAAGGGCAGCACGGAGACCGTAAGAGCGAAGTATATGGTGGGATGCGATGGAGCACATAGCTGGACGAGAAGACAGCTAGGATTCCAGCTCGAGGGTGAACCGACGGACTTCGTTTGGGGTGTTCTAGACATCGTACCCATCACCGACTTCCCCGACATTCGCAATCGATGTGCCGTCCATAGTGCATCTTCTGGGTCGCTGATGGTCATTCCTCGCGAAGAGAAGCTGGTTCGACTGTACATCCAGCTTACTGATATCAAGCCGGACGCCTCAGGTCGTGCTGATCGGTCGAAGATCACGCCTGAAACTATCATCAAAGCTGCGCAGAAGATCGTTGCGCCGTACTCACTGACCTATGAGTATTGCGACTGGTTCACTGCGTACCAGATTGGCCAGCGAGTCGGTACGAACTTCGACTACCAAAGCCGCGTGTTTCTAACTGGTGATGCGGTGCATACCCACTCACCGAAGGCTGGTAAGTTCTGACCCATCCTGCATATGCTTGGATTGCTAACAAAGTATGAAGGACAAGGTATGAATGTCAGCATGCAGGACTCATTCAACCTGGGATGGAAGCTAGGGCTGGTCGTCAAAGGCATCGCTCAGCCCTCGATCCTGAAGACCTACCAGTCCGAGCGACGCAGAATCGCACGAGACCTCATTGACTTCGACCACAAGTTTTCGCGGTTGTTCTCAGGCCGCCCGGCAAAGGATGTCATGGACGAAGCGGGCGTGAGCATGGAGGACTTCAAGCAAGCATTCCTCAACGGAAACATGTTCGCGTCCGGTCTCTCCGTCGACTACGGCACGAGCATGCTCGTCGCTAAGCTAGGCAGCTCCGCTGATCAAGGCGACGGCACAGATGTATCAAGCGCACATCATCGAAAGGTCGTGGGCAGGCAGGAGCTCGCGACTAACGTCAAGCTCGGCATGCGATTCCCAAGCTACAAGGTCTTGAACCAGTCTGATGCACGGCCATGGGAGTTCCAGGAGAAGCTGAGAAGCGATGGACGATTCCGCATTATCGTATTCGCCGGAAATATGGTCAACCCACAACAGCAGGCTCGCCTGAAGGTGTTCTGTCAGCACCTCACTTCGTCTGCTCTCCTTGCGCCGCACGTTCACAAGAGCATCGCCCTCCTGACATGCCACGCTTCCAAGCGCACTGAGGTTGAGCTCCTGCGCGACTTCCCAGACGTGCTGCATCCCTTCGACAGCAAGATGGGATGGGACTACGACTCGGTGTATGTGGACGACGTCAGCTACCACGAGGGTTTTGGCGATGCCTACAAAAACTACGGCGTAGACAAGGAGACTGGGTGCGTCGTGGTGACAAGACCGGATCAGTATGTTGGATACGTGGACTCGGTGGACGAGGAGGGCTTTGTTGGTGTGGAAGCGTACTTCAAAGGCGTGCTTGTATCCTAGACGAACATCTCAAGCGCCTGTACTCCGTACCTGCAGCCTGGCAACGCGAGAGCCCAATGGCAACTGGCACCCGAAGTTTCAGACGTGTACACCAGCAGTAGCACTGCAGCGGACTGGTTGCACGGCGACTAGTGGATCTGCTGCGGAGGTCCAGATTGGGTATGAGTTGTCGCTGGTCTAAGCCACGCGCCAGGCCGCCTTATGGATCTAGCGCGTGGTTGCTGGGGAAACGCCCGAGTTGTCAACATTCACACCCCACGACTCCGCTGGGTCCGACAGCTCACGCCGCCCTACGACAGCAGTCCCACCCAATTCGAGACTCATTCATACCCAATTTTTGGCGCATTTCCATCGTTACCCAAACTGCAGCAGGGACAGTCATTGCATCATTGAGTTTATTGTCTTTTCGCAGCACACACAGCGGCGCGCGTCGCAAGGATGAACCGGCCCACGACGCCGGATGGCGGACGCTATGGACGGCCGCCTGCATACGACGAGGATGAGCTCTTGCCGTCGATGCAAGGGAGCTCAACAATGCGCTTGTTGACAAACGTGGAGGACAGCTACCAGTGAGTGTCTTTGTTGTGTGTCGTGGTTTCACTTTCACTTTCACTTTCGCATTCGCTTTCACTTTCACTTTCACTTTCACTTTCACTTTCACTTTGACTGTCATTCCTGTACAATCCGTCGTTTCGTACCCGAGATTGACGTCTCCCTGCACGCTCAGAAGACGCTCGTTCGACGACGCTTCAGATTTCATGTCGGGCGCGAACAGCACCACGGCAGCGCTGGGCGAGAAGATGACGCCGTCGGAAGTGGGCAAGACGAAGACGGCCGAGGCCGACATTGTCGATTTCCTGCGCGAGGCCGGCGATGCGCTGAAGGCGTCGCCGTCGCATGCCCCGCCGTCGCAGTCCATGCCGCGGCGGAAGACGCTCAAGTCGCGCCTGAGCGACTCCATCTACGCGTCCAAGCCGAAGCTCGAGCCGTATGACCATGGCTTACCAATGCAACCTCTCCGCAGACCAACAGAGCCCGCCCCGCGCGCATACCACCCGACCGCCTCGTCCGTGTCGGGCCTCTCGCGGACGCAGTCAGTGCTGGACACGGCGCCCAACATGCCTCCGCCCGCCGACGGCTCGTCGCCCCCGTACCAGCCATACCGCAGGCCACTGTCGGCCGACCGCCCCTACTCGCCCACGCGCACCTCCTTCGACTATGCCCGACCGCCCGCATCGACACAGTACGAGCCGGAGACACTAGACGGCAGCCCGCGACCAGGGAGTCCGACGCGACCCGGCAGTCCTAGGCGGCCACTGCCTCCCCAGCCACTCTTCGCTGGTGGCGCCCGACCCGTGACCCGCGACGCAGAGAGAGGCGGAGACATGGGCGACATGACCGCGATACCCATCGACGACGACCCTTTCGGCGACGACCCTTTCGACGACGATAAGACGTACGACCGCCGTCCCGACTTCGAATCGCGGGGCTCCTACATGTCCGACGACACATACACCGACGGCTACACGAACATAGACGACAAGGACGAGCACTATGGGCCTGCTCCCACCGGTGCGATGCCGCGGCGAGGCGCACGAGACGCCGTCATGACGAAGAAGGAGGTCCGACTGATCAACGGCGAGCTGATCCTGGAGTGTAAGATCCCCACCATCTTATACAGCTTCCTCCCACGGAGAGACGACGTCGAGTTCACCCACATGCGCTACACAGCCGTTACCTGCGATCCAGATGACTATGTTGACCGCGGATACAAGCTGCGCCAGAACCTCGGAAACCCGCGTGAGACGGAGCTCTTCATCTGTGTCACCATGTACAACGAGAACGAAATCGACTTTACACGCACAATGCACGGTGTCATGCAGAACATCAGCCACTTCTGCTCGCGCATGAAGTCACGGACTTGGGGGAAAGACGGCTGGCAGAAGATTGTCGTATGCATTATCTCCGACGGACGAAGCAAAGTACACCCTCGTACGCTGGATGCCATCGCAGCCATGGGATGCTTCCAGGAGGGTATTGCGAAGAACCACGTCAACCAGCGCGAAGTCACAGCGCACGTCTACGAATACACAACACAGGTCTCGCTCGACTCGGACCTGAAGTTCAAGGGTGCTGAGAAGGGCATCGTGCCGTGCCAGATGATCTTCTGCTTAAAGGAAGCCAACTCGAAGAAGCTGAACTCGCATCGATGGTTCTTCAATGCTTTCGGTCGTGCCTTGAACCCGAACATCTGCATCCTCCTCGACGTTGGAACGAAGCCCGGGCCCAAAGCGCTGTACCACCTCTGGAAGGCGTTCGACACCGACTCTTCCGTTGCCGGAGCCGCGGGCGAGATCAAAGCTGGCAAGGGCAAGGCCTGGCTCGGTCTTCTCAACCCGCTTGTCGCGTCGCAGAACTTTGAGTACAAGATGTCCAACATCCTCGACAAGCCGCTGGAGTCGGTCTTCGGCTACATCACCGTGTTGCCTGGTGCGCTGTCAGCGTACCGATACCATGCGCTACAGAACGACCACACAGGTCATGGTCCGCTGAGCCAGTACTTCAAGGGAGAGACGCTGCACGGTCAGGATGCGGATGTGTTTACTGCGAACATGTACCTTGCTGAAGATCGTATCCTGTGTTGGGAGTTGGTGGCGAAGCGTAGTGAACAGTGGGTCTTGAAGTATGTCAAGGCTGCGACTGGTGAGACTGATGTGCCTGGTAAGTCGTGCAACTTGCTCAATAGTAGGACAACACTAACGATTGGTAGACTCGGTGCCTGAGTTCATCTCACAACGTCGACGTTGGCTCAACGGTGCCTTCTTCGCAGCCGTCTACTCACTGCTCCACTTCAAGCAAGTCTGGTCGACCGACCACACCCTCTGGCGCAAGATCCTCCTCCACATCGAATTCGTCTACCAGTTCGTGCAACTTATGTTTACGTTCTTCTCGCTTGCAAACTTCTATCTCACCTTCTACTTTGTCGCCGGTTCGCTCGCTGACCCAGAGATGGATCCCTTTGGCCACAGCATCGGCAAAGTCATCTTCTACATCCTCCGCTACACCTGCACGCTACTCATCTGCATGCAGTTCATCCTCTCCATGGGTAATCGTCCCCAAGGCGCGAAGAAGATGTTTCTCTGGAGCATGATCGGCTACGGTCTCATCATGGCGTACACAACCTTCGCCTCCATCTACATCGTCGTCTATCAGCTCAAAAACACCGACGCCCCCAAAACAATCGGAAACAACACCTTCACCAACCTCATCATCTCCACAGCAACAACAATCGGCCTGTACTTCCTCATGTCCTTCATGTACCTCGATCCCTGGCACATGTTCACCTCGTCCGCGCAGTACTTTGCTCTGCTACCGAGTTACATCGCGACACTACAGGTCTACGCCTTCTGCAACACGCACGACATTACTTGGGGCACCAAGGGCGACAACGTGGCCAAAACCGATCTGGGTGACGCAAAAGCCAAAGCAGGGAACGTCGTCGAGCTGGAAATGCCCTCGGAGCAGCTCGACATCGATTCGGGTTACGACGAAGCCCTGCGCAACCTGCGCGACCGCGTCGAAGTCCCTGAGAAACCCATGAGCGAGAGTCAGCAACAAGAAGATTATTATCGCGCGGTGAGGACGTATATGGTCGTCATCTGGCTCATCAGCAACGCCATCCTCGCCATGGCCGTCTCCGAAGCGTACGGCAATAAGAAAGTCACGAATAACTTCTACCTGACCTTCATCCTGTGGAGCGTCGCCGCGCTCGCATTTTTCCGCGCCGTTGGCTCCACTTCCTTCCTCATCATCAACAGCATTCATACGGCGATGGAGACAAAACTCAAGTGGGAGGACAAAATTGAGGATAAGAAGGGGGGCACGACGGGGCTTGGGGGTGGCATTAAGAGTAAGAGGAAGGGCAAGTGGTGGAAGTTTGGGTTCGGAGGGAGTTATGGCGGGAGTGTGGTTAGTAGTGCGTGGTTCAGCAAGTCTTCTATCTCCAGCAAGCTCAGTAGCATTTCGCCGAGTAACTGGGGTGGGAGCTCGGTCGGGCGGTAGATGTAGCGCATGGAAGCGAGGCCGAAGGAGTTCTCGACTCGAGGCTTGGTTGGGAAATGATGCGGAAACGGTTGTTGTGTAAGCAGTCAAGAGAAGGAAGAAGGTTACGAATTCACGAAAAGTAAGTAATGTTGGGTTTTTGGCGTTTTGAGCAAGCGTTGGACATTACTTAGATACCTTACCTGTGCACGTCTCGTCATGTAGCAACAGTGAGCGGCATTGGAGATACGAATAGAGCTTGTATACTGGGGATGAGATGTATATAACGAAAGCATATCCTTCTTCGTACAATTGATCCAGTGACCAATCTCTAAGATAGTGGTGCGATCGATGTTATGTATGCCGCTACCTCATGCAGGCAGGCGCAGTTGTTGCATCACCTACCTTGGGCGGCAGACCAGATCTGCTTGGTAGATACAAGATGTACAGCTTTTAAGGGTCATGATACTAATTGCTATAACGAAGTACGTAGCTTATCCATAACAACCTCAAAATCAGATGATCCATTTTCACGAGGTTCTACCAACTCTAATGGAGTCAAAGGTCCCCATTGAAGCTTCTGCTCTAGGTCCTCCCATACACACGCTTCCTCCGCCGTCACCTTCATCAATAGCGGCCAGTCCCTCGGCTTTGAACGGAACGGCATCATCTCAAGGAGAACTGCGAGGTTCCGGACGCAAAGGCTTCGATCAAGGACCCACTCCAAGTGTTGATGAACAAGCACGATCAATAGGTCCCCGACAGTCTTGTTATAGTCTGGAACTACTCTGTAACCAGGATCCATGAGAGCAGTCATATCATATATCCGGCCCCTGACATCGGAACAGACTAGCAGCGCCTATACCAAGGCCCATGCACCGTCTTTCCATAGGGTGGAACAGCGACGGCTGCAGTCATTTACATTGTACCACTGCTCCTGCACGACGAGAACCTCGATAGTCGCAGTTTCTTGCAATGGGGTGACTATCACGCCGTTCTTGGTATAATTGCCCCATCTGAAAGGATCGGAAATCTTGAAATCCACAGAATCGGCAAACCACATCCCGAACACGTCCCAGATATGCACACAAGCTACACGTAAGTGACCACATCGTAGCCTCAGCTCCATAGCCAAGACGCATTCCTTAATAATCCAGGATCCTGACCCGTAGTCGCGCTGGAGCAGTTCTAGGACCCCGTCGTACAAACTTCCCAAGTTAAGATACTTGTTGCTCTTGGAAACTGGGTCCACAAGAACATCCATGGCTTTGTGCACATCTTCGCTCCCAACCCCCCAAGCCAAATCAAGACTTGAGAAGCTTTAGTGTACATCTGCTCCTATAAAGTGGCCTGCTGGTTTCTTTCCAAAATGCTCGTGTGACTGATACACAGCGCGTCGTTCAGAGATACCGTGTATCAGCATTTCCACAGAGTTGACCCAGTCGTATCCGATGGAGGAAATCCTAGAGACTTTGTCGAATCGAGTAAGATCTTCCATTCAAAGTGATTGCATTCGTAGCTTGTCCATCCCCCGCATGTATAACAAAGCGATATATGAACTACCTTTGTTCTTAAGTTCGTCAAACGAGATTGCACGAAGGGTGTAGGATATCGGTGCATCGATCGAGGGGTGGTTCACAATCTCCAATACTCGGATGTGAACCTTCATTCATTGGTAATGGGGTAGCGTCGTAGGTACTTTCCGATTTGGTGGTTCATGTGTTCGTCTCAACTTCCTTGATTATAGCAGCATGGCGGCGTCGAACGACCTTATCGACAACAATTCTGCGCGAGGTCGGATTTGTGCGTTCTATTTTCCGTGTTCGCAGCTGCATCGCGACGACTGTAATGGTCGCAAAGGTAATGGTCAGTTTGGTAATAGAATTGGCAATGGCAAGGCTGAGTTGCTGGTGCCTGTGAAGAAGTGAAGGATCCACCAATCGTGTGCTGACGGCCAGTCTTTTCAAGAGAGACAACGGCGCATACGGAAAATTGTGCCAATTACCGACGGCATTAAAGGTTGGATGTGGCCGTCAAATCTTTCTGTGTATATATGAGTGTTGGTGTATGAGGCATGGTGTCGGCAAGGATGAGGTGGAAACCTGTGACGGTTTATGAAGTGAAGAGGTCATGTCTGCCACGTGTGCTGGTGCAGTACTCTTGCCTGTTCCAACAGCACTTTCTGGCTGCACGACAGATACGTCATGTAAACAGACCCTGATGATTGCCGGGTGAGAGACATTCACAGAACAACACAACAGAATATACCGATTTTACTGCTTCGCGCGGTTACCCCTGACTTACTGCCCTGCGCGGTTACAATTTCACTTATTGCATTTACTGCAACAAAACCTAATGCAGAAGTGGCGCATGACACTCGACACATGTTGGCGGTGCCTCGGCCACTCAACTCGACGGTATGATGAGTACTCATGTACATGAACTGAAAGTGACATTGCATGCAATCATACCTCAACCCAGTCATCGTCTGTTCGATCCATGCGTAGTGCTTTCAACGCAGTTCTCGCACTGCCGAAGCGTCTCTGCTCTTCACCACCTCAAAGATAACTCCAGGCGTACCTTGATACGACCAGAAGGCAATCTCCACGTCCGCTGAAACAACGTAGCCTGAGTTCGCATAAGAGGGTTCCACTTTTTGTACATTTCAGGATGGAAATGATCGAGCTCGAGTGTTTCCATGAGGCACTTCGCGTTTGATCAGAATGGCTATCGATGATGTCCACAAACAAATCTACAGCAGACTTTTTGTTGTCTGGTAAGGTCCTGGAAGAGTCAGGATGCATGAGAGCAATGATCGAGTAGACTCGATCCCCGTAGATCAGCGCAGCACAGATCCCGAAGTCTGAGGCCGCAAGGATCGACATATCCACGCTTCGACGGATCCTGCCAATTCTCCCGAGCGTACAGCATCTTCAAGGCAGCGTTGCGGAGTAGATGCCACATACCACTTTCATATGGGGATATGTTGCAGTAAATGCAATAAATGAAGGTGTAACTGCACAGGGCAGTAAGTTAGCGTAGAACCGCGTGAAGCATTAAATTCAGTATATTCTGTTGTCGTTGTTCCGTGCTGACCTCTTACAAGGCCATCAGCAGGGTCTGTTTTATATGACGTATCTACAGTGCAGCTGAGGGTAGAAGGTGCTTGTTGGGACAAGCAAGAGTACCGCACCAATACATGTGACACACGTGACCTCCTTACTCCATAAACAGTCACAGGATGTGCTATAGAGCATTTCTCTAGATTGAAGCTATCTCGCAAGATTCCGCAGGTTTTCTGGGCTTGCACCTCTGGAACCACAATATAATCGTTTGCGAAATGTACGGACCCTCCTGAATTTTGGCACAATAACTGTGGAAGGGTTGACACTGCAACGGACCGCTGGCAAACACTGCAACGGACCGCTAGCGAACAATAACTGTATGTACCACAGTATAGTATGCAGGCACACATGTAAGTGATTAATTGTTTTGGTGCCCTAAAGTATCCCACGTTCTGCCCTGTGTACTGGCACCCAGACTGGCACCCATCCCATCAACCAGCCTTAGCTAGCCACTCGGAAGCTCTTGCTCACCTATGACGTGTGTTTGATGATATTGAGCTAAAAGCCAAGGGGCTTCGTACATTTTGCAAAGCACCGATATATCATAAAATGTGACTGCTCGTGTCCAGTAAGGATGTTTGGTAAGCTCCTTCATGCCTTCAAAAGGAATGTCTTTGAGGATGGTCGATGGACAGTTCTCTGGCCAACGGTATGGAACGAAATCAGTATCTTTCAGAAAGGTCATCGCGCGAGTAAGGTTCCGAGATGCCGGTCCAAGCCATATCAGCACCTCCGAAGCTCTTGGATATACCCGACCCATCAGGGCAACTTGTTGATTGCGCTCCAAGACGTTCGGCTGATCTATACAAAGTGTGTCGACCTAGAACATCTGCACGTGATAGACTTCTCGAACTAGATCTGCGTGTGCCTGCTGCAAGAAGCTACATGAATTTCTGCCGACAAGAAATTGCGACCAGTTTAGGAGTAACCCTTCCTTATCCTTAGCGTCGCCTCACATATAGGATGGTGCAGTAAAAGGTAGAGCGTTGTCTAGTCTGGTGACATGGAGCTTGCACGACACTGGTGTTTTCGAAGGATCGTCTTCTGACCTATCCCGCAGAACCTTCAGAAGTCAAATACACCCGCTGGTATCACATGGTATCGGGACAGCGTTATATGTACTAACTGTAGTCGACGGTGATAATGCCGCTGAAACCATTATGATCGATGAGGTAGGAGCTGTAAACAGGACAGTTCCAAATGGGCGTTCTTCTTCGTAATCTATGGTCTTACTTGTGAAGAGATGATTGCTGGTAGACCTGTGAGTGATTTGCTGTGGAGTGTAGGAAGTAAAGACCAAAGGTCAGCGATCAAGTTTCATTCTTGCAGTCTCAGCTGAACGACAAAAGGACCAGGGTAAGCGGAGGCACCAGCTAGAAAGCCACAACATGCTGTGCAGCGGCGCACGATGGAGCTTGGCTTAAGCGCCTTGTAATAGTCCTTGTAAGGTTAGAACTTACCTCTGAATTCGCTCGCTCTGATGGATGAAAACATGATTGGCTGTCACGTTTAGTGCGATTATGGTGTAAGTGAAGGTGTCGCAAGAGAGGAAAGTGTAACAATTACAAGACAACAGTCACGAATGGGGCAGCCACGACTAGGATTATTATACTAGTTTCCTTCCATCTGCGTACTGTGCGTTGGGTATCCTGAGCCGCAATTCTCGTTCCGACAATAAGGCTCCCCCTTTCACCCAGTCTACCACAGACCATTCGCGATCACTTGATTGTGTTGTATTTCCTCGGTGAGAGACAGGTCAGTTAGTCTTGAGAGCTCTTGGACCGATCCATGAGGTTTGACTGTAGACCTGTTGAGGGTGGTTCGTAATCTCTCCTCTAACCTCAACATCCGCCATTTGGAAATTCCCCACGTCGATCTCCAACAGCTGTCGGAGTGTCCACAAAATCATCGAACTTTTCAAGTTGCCTTGTACGTTGTGCTGATCGACAAGCTCGAGGGATAAGTATGTACGGGATTTGTTGTAATCAGGTGTAATATCAAACCTCGGATCAAGCAGCAACAACATAGAGTAGAGCCAATCTCGAGGATCCGAGCAATGCATTATGCTAAGCTTAAAAGACCAATATCGATTATGACTCGTCCGGAACTTGCATGCCACTGTTCATGCATGTTCATTACCAGCGCTTCCAACAAGAAGTGGTTCTGATGGTATTATTGAAGTGCTTCAACTACAAAAGAATTGGCTCAAGAACCGTATGTCGGAGAGTCTCCTTGTCAAACTAAGTAGTTGTATATTGCAAGAGGCATCAGAAGCTACCCAGAGGCTCACTTCACCCAACTTATCAAACTAGCTAAAATAGGAAATTTACCTGCCGTACTACTGTTATTGTCTGTAAAATAACCTATCCCAAGCTGTAAGCACGTAACAACGCCAAAACCCGAGCGGTGATTACGAGTATAGGCCTCAACCGTACAGTACTACGTCCCGTTGGACACGCAGGTGGTTGAGGTATGGTTCATAAAAGAGTGACGCGCTTTAATGATCTCAGTAGCAGGCGATGACTGAACTGGAGTGACTGGTCAGATGCATCACGCATACACATGTTGCATTCAGGCCAGCACTTCAATGTCGCCGCAGTATATGTTCGACCTTTTCCTCAGTAGCGCATGTTATCTATCGTTACTTTGCCACTTACTTTTATGAACCTTAGAGTCGAAGATCGAACAATACGTGATGGCTGACTTGAAAGAGATCGAAGAATTGGAAACCACGCAAGTATGGGAAGTGGACAAAAAAGGGTAAACACGTCAACTTCACAAGTGGCCTTTGCTCCTACCCTACCGCTTGAAGCTCACGCTTTGATCCGGATACGACACCGCTCAAGAACCCTACGGGGAAATCCTGGCGCCTTTCGAAGAATTCAATGGTTTCAAAGGACCTGAAAACGTTCGAACTGAAGCTCAGACTCTTAAGGCTTCAAAGAGCGAGTATTTCCGTGCCGTGTTTGGCAAAAAACAGGCCGGGTGTGGAGAGGTCCAAGACAATCAACGAGTTGAAGCACCAAATGAGGTTTGAGCAGCTGGAGCCTGCCGAGTTTGTCGATGATGTCTCCGGCACTACTGCTCTATTCTTTTCAACTGCACCTGCTGAAGTTCCGAAGGATAACGAGTCGTCATCCGGCCGACTTGCAGTTTGCACACCATTCGTAGTGGCACTGCTGCACAGATATTTGACGATGTTCCTGGAAGCGTTCTACAGGTTCTTGGTCTTTGCATCAGGATTGCAAGGAGGTATTCAGAAAGACCCGACACAAGCGCAGAAGCTATCAGACCCCAGCATCTGCCCTTGCACTGCTCACTGGTGGAGACGAGCAACTTCCCGAGACACGAGCCGTTACCCGCCGTTGAGAAGTCGGCACCAGAGCAGACGGATTCAAGCAACTTTTTCGAATGGGCTCGGGACCCTACCTGTGTTCCTCGGCGCGGCCAGCACTTTATTCCAGAACCCAGGCCCAAGCCAGAGCCAACGATGTTACATGGATACATACGCCGCCAGCTCGAAATGGGTTGGTCAGTGCCACGTCAAGCGCACAATGACTTTAAGGTAATGACTGAGAACTTGGTAAATACGTGTAGCGGAACCTTCCGGGTCAAATATAGTAGTGTAACTGTAATTGCAATCGTGTGCCGGGCTGTGATGACACAAGACCATGAGTGTTCGTTGAAAGTGGGCCCAGTGAACTCCGCGCTAGAGCCCCACTCCGCGCTCTCGGCAAAAGATCCCTGTCCAAAAAAGAAGTTTCCCAGCAGCGCTCAGAACGCCATAACCAAACCACATCTCCACGTACACACCGCAATCATGTTCAGCGTACCCGGCTGGAACGTCTCCGCGCCAATTGCGGCTCAAGTGGAGCAATCGAAACCCCAAGACCCGAACAAACTGGGCAAGAAAGCACAGAAACGGAAGAGGGCGCAGGAAGAGCAGCAGGTCAACACCGAAGACCTTGGAAAGCTATGGGAGAAGGCGGAGGCACAGAAGGCGGAGGCACCGAAGGCGGATGCACAGAGGGCGGAGGCGCCAAGAGATTCAGATCTGCCAGCACGAGCGCTGGAACGGGCGGCGCAGGACGACGCTGAGGCGGCAGCTGAAGGAGAGAAGAAAAGCAAGAAGAGGAAGCGCGGACCCAGAAAAAATGCTGCGACGAAGGAGGCTGCTGCTGCGAAAGCCGCAGAAGCTGGCGCTACAGCAGAGGGAGCCGCTGCGCCGGTGACAGGGCCGAAACCTGCTGACCCAGAGTCCAAGCGGTCGAAGAAGAAGCAGAAGAAGGAACACAAGGCACAAAAAGCAGAGAAGGCAGAACTGACAGAGGATGCTACCAGCAAACCCGTCGAAACCCCCGCTCTCATGGACGCCGTCTCGCTCATCCCCGAGCCCGCAGGCCTCACACCCCTTCAGAAGTCCATGCGCAGCAAGCTCGCCAGCGCGCGCTTCCGCCACCTAAACGAATCGCTCTACACCAAGCCGTCCGCCGACTCGCTCTCGCTCTTCACCGAAGATCCGTCCATGTTCGAAGACTACCACCGCGGCTTCGCGCAACAAGTCGAAGTCTGGCCGCAGAACCCTGTCGACGACTATGTAGCAAGCATCCTCGCACGCGGATCTATAAAGATCGCCAAGGACCCATGGAGAGCACAAATGCGCGAGAAGAAGAAGAAAGGCGCCACTATTGCAGCCGCCACCGAACCAGAAGAAGAAAACAACCACCCGATCATCCCAAGAGGAAACAACAAACCACTCCCCCGAACCCACGGTGCCAGATGCCTAATCGCCGATCTAGGCTGCGGCGTAGCCTCGCTCTCCTACCGTCTGCAACCGCATCTCTCCTCCCTCAACATTGACATCAAATCCTTCGACCTGTCCCAACCCTCCGGCCCCTCAAAATCCCTCGTGACAGTCGCCGACATCTCTTCCTTACCACTGAAGGAGAACAGCACTGACATTGCAATCTTCTGCCTCGCGCTAATGGGCACAAACTGGCTCGATTTCATCGACGAAGCCTACCGGATCCTGCGGTGGAAAGGCGAGCTCTGGGTCGCAGAAATCAAAAGTCGCTTTGGGCGGGTCGAGAAGAAGAAAGCTGTTCCCATCAACAGTATCGGCTCATTGAACAAAGGCGCCAAACCACCGAAGAAGAAGGGGCCGAAGGAGAAGAAAAAGGACGATGTAGAGGGAATAGAGGATAGCGCCGACGAAGCCGAACTTGCACAAACCGTCGACGGCGCATCAGGCCCCGAAGGCACCGACGTATCCGCCTTCGTCGACGTCCTACGCACCCGCGGGTTCGTGCTAGACGCGCTGCCCGAACGGCCCGGAGACGCGATTGATCTGAGCAACAAGATGTTTGTGAAGCTGCAGTTTGTCAAGGGCGCGCAGCCGACCAAGGGCAAGAATGCTGGGTCTGAGGGGACGAGTGCGGGCGCCAAGGGCAGCTTCAAGACGAGTAGTGCACTCAAGATGGGGATGAAGGGGAAGAAGTTCAATGCGGTTAAGGAGGAAGAGGATGAGCAGAGTGCAGCGAAGGATGGGGCTGTTCTGAAGCCGTGTTTGTACAAGATTAGGTGAATGATGCATAGCAAAGCACAAGTATGCACTCGAATGCAAAACACGATTGAATTTTTGATGATGATTCATTGTGTCTACCTAGTCTATACCTAGGTAGCTTCTCGTGTCCTGGTACACCGACTTTGTATAGATGTTTCATCTCAATAATACAAAGGCAATGCTGATGCCGTGAGCTCGAAGCTCGCCATCTGAAGCGTAAAAAGGAAGGGTATCGTCGATGACTCAAAGTAAGTCGTACGTGGCACGGCCGTATAGCTCAATTGAAACCCATAAGGATGCTAGCGGCCATATCGAGGTTGCCGCCAGCAGCTTCCAGAGCTCCGATAACCTGTGCGCGGGAAGACCCAGTGCTGCCAATGAGGGTCTCAATGTCTGCCTCGGAAAACCTACTGCTGGACGATGAGGACGCTGCCGGTGCCTTGCCAGCTGCACCACTGGGCGCTGGCTGTGACTGTGGTGGTGACGTTGAAGGTCCTGCAGCAACGGATGGGTCGGCAGATGCAGTGGCACCTGCAGGTCGCACAGCGCCCGTCTTTGCGCCAATCTCGGTTCCGTTGGGTCCAGCGACAGTGGGCTCATTCATTTCTGCCTCTTCGAATGATCTTGGGATCTCGGATTCGTGCAGGAACGGTACTTCGATGCCCTCGAAGCAGAGTGCGTTCTTCTCGAGATCAATTTTGGCCTTGTAGCGCTTCAACATGTCCAGCCCGAACAGCAAATCCACGTCCTTGCCTTCCATGACGGTAAACGCGCAAGGCATCTCTGCGCCGCCGATCTTGATAATCGCATGATGCACACGACCCAGAATACGCGCCGTGCCGACACCGCGAGCTACACCAGCATAACGAGTATCCATAAGACGCATTATGCCGCACCTCTCGGCGCACTCAGGAGACATGATGGTAGCCTGGGCGCCAGAATCGACGAATGCTTTGACAGGTACGCGGTTGACTTCAGTGTTGACGTAGAGCATGTGCACGCGCACAAAAACTAGTATATGTTAGCACAAGGTAGGGAAGTGATAATCAAGGCAGAACGTACCCTCAGGGTTCTCATTGTACGCCTTTTCCAAGTTCTCGACGACGCGATCTTGACGGATGAGCTCTTCGATCTTCCTCTGCGCATCGATGTTGAAAGGGTCTTCGTTGAGCAGGGCGATCTGGTTGCGGCGCTCCCGCTCGGCTTCCTGTTGCTGACGCTGCCTGTTGGTAAAGGCCTCTCTCCATGTGTTAGGGTCCATGACGGCAGCAGCGAGTCCAGGATCCTGAGCGCGCAGACCGGCTATCTGACGAGGGTCACTTAAAAGTTGCTGGCGCAGCGCCTCAGGATCTGGACCTCCTGTTGGTCGTCCTGTGTTCCTGTTTCTGTTTGCCTGTTGAGAGTTCGGCGCAGGACGAGCTTGCCTGATAACGACTGCTAGCATCTCGCCATCTCTTATACCAGCTTCTTCCAGTGTTTGTGTCTCGCTTGCCACCGGTTGGCCGTTCAAATAGATACCCTGTGACGCGGCAGGTTGGCTCGTCTCGACCTCAATGAAACCCTTGAGGTCCTTGATGGTAAGGCCTGGCGGTAAGTCCAGGGTCAGCAGATCGTTGTCCAACTGCGACCCCGACGCGGTGATAGATATGGTGACGCGGGGCCTGATACAGTAACGAACAATGGTTAGCAGTCTACTTTCAGATGTAGCACAAGAACGGTCTCGGCGAGCACTCACATGGTGGGCAAGAATGGGTGGCGGATTCCTTGGGTATATGCAGGTGTTTCTGAAAGGAGGCAAGAGAGTGTGGTACTGTGTGCAGAGCGTTGTTGTAGGCGAGGCTATGGGTGGACAGTGGATGGCGGGGTGGTGTCTGGGATCTGTGTGTGGCGGGGGTGGTTCCAGGAAGGTGAGTGGGTGCGCCCGGTGAAGCTTATAAGGGAGCACGCCGCACTTGTTGACACTGAGAGTGACCGTGAGGGCTCAACTGTTGCCGCTTGTGCTTGCTGGAAGGCGGTGGAAGTCGGTGGGCCCCGCGTTCAAGCTCCGGCGGAAAGTTAATAATCAGCAATCGACTGGAGCAAACCGCCGGAACATGCTAGATGGTTGCGCGCAGAGGCGGCAAAGCGGTCGGTGCATGTAATATAGCAGGAGTACCCTGCGGCGAGGTTGGGCAGTATCGTACGCAGCACACGCGGAGCGTACTGCCTGGAGCATGAAACGGCCTTCCTGCATGGTTGGCGGTGTATCCCTGGTCATGGTGGGGGCAATTGGCCAGACGGACAGCCTCATCGTACCGAACATCACTATGAACTAAGTGCTGATCGATGATGTGTTCGCCAGGAGTTCGAGCCTTGCGAGAGCGGAACGCACCCTTGCTGTTGTCAAATAGACGCGCTGACATCATTGTGGTCGTGCCCGCCTTCTCAGCATCCAGAGATTCCCGCGGAAGGTGCCTTCATGCCTCGAGCACAGCTCCAAGGAGCGGGTTAGCGTGCCGTTTCGACAGCTGGTCGACAGGGCCGATCGAGAATACAACAGAAGGATGCAGCATGCAGGGCGGCCTCGCCCGTATCGTCATAGGTCAAACAAGCTGGTCAGAGAGTTGTCCTGCAAAGAGCAGGCCATCAATGCTTCCTTACTAAGGCAGGAGCTTACTGCCCTGGCAACGCCAGCTATGTCAGCGAAGAAATGGCCTCCTCAAGACATCAGTGATAGAGATCAGGGTATGTCTATATAGGCTCTTTATAGACCCTGATACTCCAGCTTTCGTTGCTTTTGCTGGGCTTTGTATATGAAGATCAACGGCCGCTCAGACATCTCGCCCTAGCGTCCCGCAACCGGCATGTGGATCTGCAACGGCAAAGGCTTAAGCCATGCGTGCGCGGGGCTAGGGTCCAGACACGTCCACCAACAACACATCACCACGGCTTCCTTCATCACCACTTTGCTGCATTCGTGCCCATCTTTCGCCATCAAAACCTGCACGAACCCTTGACCATCTGTCAATATGCCACGTGACCTTCTAGCCGACAAGACCCTGGAGTCGATGTCCCAGTTGTCAAGAGAGCCCGCTGCCGCCAGCCCTCCGCCAGAGGAGTCTAAAGCGAATCCTTACGGCGCGTCCCTGATTCGCGTGGAAGACCCGTTCAAGAAGACAACGAACAACAAGATTCACCCTTTCTCTTCTTTACTGAGCGTGGACGACCTTGACGACTGCGATTGGCTGGAGCATGCTGCCTTCGACCCAATTGAGGCAGCCTCACGAGAGAAGGTCAGTGAATCTCACCATGTGCTTCCTCTAACGCACCAAACTCTACAAATTTCGTTATCTTCTTTTCTTCTCTGGTCTTTCTCGTCGTTCTTGGGCGGCTTAAGCATCTGCGCTCATTTCCATGTGTGGTGTCACCTCATACAACAACACCGCTTATGCGAGCAATGCGCCCTTGCCTCACCAATCATACCATTTTTGCAGCAACATCATCAGCGTAACCGGGTCAGCTGTTAACAATCTATCTTCTGTTGCTCTCTCAGCGTTACGCAACGTAAGGTTTTGCGCGCCTGTGGCTTTCTCATTTTCTGTTCAACGTCGCATTATGACTCGCACTTACATCGTCTGTCACGGAACATTGTCCATCTGTCTCCTTGGAATCAGCTATACTAATTCTGGCAGATTGAGTACCGACTGCGAACATGTGGTGAACTCTGCACCGGTCTTTTCTCGTCCGCCTATCCCACCTCTGCAGGACCGCTAGGTGCCATACAGAAGACACGCACCTTCCCTTCTGTAGACTCTCGCGACTCGGACCGAAAACGCATCCTACTAGGCCACATCATCAGCACCAAGTCACCTTCCAATCTGGTCACAGACGATTCCATGGACTACCCAAAGGATTTCCGTACGAACTACCAGCTCACGCCCAGTATTGGTCACAATGAGGACGGCGAGACCGTATGTCTGCATTCACTTTGTGTGCATCCCAATTTTGCGAGCCAGGGGCTAGGGCAAGTGTTGTTGAAGAGCTACGTGCAGAGGATCAAAGACTCGGGAGTAGCGAAGAGGATTGCGCTTCTTTGCAGGGAGCGCCTGATCGGGTTCTACGAGAAGGCTGGGTTCAAGAAGGTTGGTCCAAGCAAGTGCCAGTACGGAGGGGGCAACTGGTACGACATGGTGGTCGAGTTCGATGGTGGGTTTGGACATGACGATCAAGACTTTTGAAAACTGAAAACAATACAGCATATCAAATCGCAAGAGCACCATCGACTACCTAAGTGACAATTGACGAGCATAGAAAGTCCAGATATAGATCTCAGATGACATCAACTGGACTTTGATGCATACCTATTAAGAGCTGTCTCAAGCCAATCGTAGAAGGTTCACTCAGCCCCGTGGGCCTGCATGCAGGTGCGGCATGTGACTTGCAGTCACTGGAACCCAGACTGACGTGACTTCCAGGCCACATCGATAACATGGGGATGGCAAAGCGGCAGTGTTTTAAGATCGCCACGAGTTGGGCTACTGCATCACTCATTAGTGCAGCTCTGTCCGCAGCTCTGTTCGCAACCATCAGGTTCGGTATCCTCTCCAGAGGCGATCAAGCTTTCAAGTAGCACTGCGCTGCATCTCTTTCTACATCGACTTCACGGCAGCAATGCTTGCGCTGCTCATCGTCATCAAGGATCCCAGCGCGCCATCCTTAGAGGAGTTCAATGCTAGTCCAGCGTTAGGTGTCGTCTTAAGAACATTCTTTAGTGATCTCGCTACCGCATACATCTTCTTCAGACCGTACTTCCATCTTCGTTTGATGAAGATGGACCCGAGGGCCAAGTAGTACCCCATCCCTCTTGCACCGCTTCCTGTATAAAGAAAATCCGCCAATTTACTGGCCAGCCAAAGGAGACGAAGTAGTCACCAGCTACTACGAGGATGCGTATGGCAACATCACCGCTAGCACAAACCATGGAAGGTCGTACAGTTGCACCCACGAGCGAGCCGAAACCAGCGCATGGCTCATCCTCTACCGCTGCGGCGAACAGCAGCAGGGAGGACACTCAACTAGGAGTGCTCTAGCGCAACGGCTCTAGCGGCTCAGAATCGAGTGTCAGAAGCTCGAATAGCAGCAACAAGGGTAATGAAGCTATCGACCCGCTCAACGCCGAAACCGCAGCAAAGCTCGCGACAGACATCGAGAAAGGCGCCGCCCCACCCCCGCAGCTAAACGCCACGTTCAGCCCTACGACCGCTTCATCGGTTCCATACAGCATCTGTCCTGAACCAATCCACTCAAATGGTGGGACCAAATTTCTGCTCTTCCGCTCCATCCACGCCCGTGCACACCGCTACGACCACCGTATCGAGCACCTGTGGACATACTGCCAAGTCGCTTCCGCAATGCTGTCTTCATCGCGTACGGTGCGAACGATGTCGCGAACGCCATCGGCCCGCTCGTTGCGCGGCGGCAATCAATACGCCTCGATGGGATATGGCTGATCCGCTATAAAGTCATCATGGCCTCTATGCGTTCATGTAAGCGTTGGCTACAATACTTGCTGCACTGTTATGATGGGAACTGTGGCTGTGCAGACCTCATCAAATAGCGCTTCGTTAGTCGAGAGCTCCTACATCAGCACTGCCACGTCTCCAGAGCCTTGCATGTTTATTAAATCTACATAAGTAGGATAAGAACTATATCGTTTGAAACAGTTTTCAGAGAGCTTTCGTCGTTTGCAGTCTCTCTTTTCAAAGCTGCGCTCCATCGCTCGCAATGTAAGTTTTGAGAATCCGAGTCTTTGGTATGTCAAGATCTCACACAAACAATACTCGATCCTCTCTGTTCAAAATATTTCGTGGCGTGTATCTACGAGGATAAACCATTGAGCGACAGCGACAACACAAATATCAGAGTCATCCAAATCGATCATGACTATCCGACCCAGCCAGGCAAGAAGAGCGCTATCACTTGCAAAATCCATGTTATCTCAGTCAATGCGATGATTCCGTACACTGCAGTGTCGTACATGCGGGGTGATACTACGAGCACTCAAGAAATCCTCCTGGACGGAAAATTTTTCTCGGTCCGGTCCAATCTCTTTGACTTCTTGGTAATATTTAGCAAAGGTGGGTACGATGATCTATTTTGGATCGACGCTCTGTGCATGAACCAGGGAAACATCGTCGAGCGCAACCATCAGGTGAACTTGATGGGCCAAATATTATCCACCGCAGAACATGTGTTCGTACGGCTAGGAATGGGAGACGAGGCACTTTCATGCACCATGAAGGACTTAGAGGTCTCTCAGACTTGGTATCGTCCTCTGTTGCATTATGAGCATTGGAGTGAAGTAGCACAGAGACGAGCACAATCAACACACTAGAATATGCTGAAGCTTACCGAAGAACGCCTTTACTGGATGCGGGCTTGGATAGTGCAAGAAATCATGTTAGCCAAAGAGTGCTCGATTTGTTGCGGTCCGTACAGTGTTTTCCGCATAAGATCAATCGCGTACCTGGATTATGTGACGAACTACACGGCTAAATACGATTTGAGCATGAGTTCGGACCGGTAGAACGGACTATCATACGAAACGTAGCAGACAAGCTCATGAAAGGGCGAAAGCTGTGGCAATCAGAGAGTCGCTGTTACATTCATCCATGGCATAGATACGACAAGACCGTGTGTTCAGACGTTCGAGACCGCATGTCTTCGATGATCTCGTTCATAGATTCGGTCATAGCTGTCACTCTGGATTACGACAAAAGTGCCTTAGAACCATTCGTCGAATTGGTGGATCATCAACTTCAGCATGACGACATTTACGGATTCATGAGTTCCATTTGGAACTTATTGGAGATCCTAGAGCTTGATGAGGACGACAAGACAATACAGAGGTACTTAAACAAATGGGAGTCGGAAGGTATGTTGGACTTTACTCTGAAACTAGGGTTCAAAGAAAATGATCAATTGTGTCCTTCCATAAGAGGTGAGCAACCGCATCCTTTCAGTACGAGTCGATCCATCGTATACATCTGCGCCGTCTTCCGTCCGATCCTTTTGCACTGAGGATGAGCTCGATATGGTGGATATGCTCGGACGAGCCGAACTGTTGTTGGAAAGTAAAGCAAAGAACGACCATACTTGTGATGATAATTACATCTGAACTGTAATCATAGATTGTTGCGGGACATACAAGAAGTCTGTATTTAGTAATAGTTTTTCAATACTTATCTCTTGTTTATTGCTTTGGATGCATTAACCACATGGGCAGTCATGACCGTCTTGGGGATGTTGACCCGAAAATGCATTACGCATATTTATCGATTGAAATGGCTAAAATGAACTTGCTGAAAATTGCACATGTCCTACTCGGGCTTGAATCATGTACAGCTCTGACATTAGGTACTACATGGCATCGCAAATATGAGAAGGATCGCCGATGGGCTTGCGGAGGCCGTTCATATGAGGAGATGTGAGATGTGATCAATCGAGTTAAGCATTTGTAATCTCCAGACAAGCTGGCTTGCGGAGGCCGTTCATACGAGGAGATGTCAGATGTGATCAATCGAGTCAAGCAATTGTGATCTCCAGACAAGCTGGCTTGCGGGTAGGGACGAAGCAAACCCTGAGTACAGGAGGCCGTCAAGATGTGGAGAACGTAACGCCGCCAACAGATCTCCATGCATGTCGGGATCCCCAGTCATTCGACACCGTATAACAATACGCTGATGGTATCCAGTCGTTATATAGATGGTGGAGCTGTGTGCGAAGGCTGCACCGAAGGATTGCATGAGGCCGCCTGTAATGCAGCCTAAATCAGTTGATTGGCTGTCAAGTGGGCGCAGCATTGCATTGTGGAATGCTCGATGCCTAACAATATCTAGTGCTCAGCCTGCTTCATTCATGCGGTAGGACTTGCGACGTTAATCTGCGACTGGCGCGGCTGAGTGGGCTGCCTGTTGATGACGGTGAGTCGTGTATGTTGAGGCACGGATGAGTAGGCTGGGAAAGGAGCAATGTATAACAAAGTGCGCATCCCCCAGCCGCATCGTTGGAGATGCCGGTATCGAAGGCAGGCTTCAGCAACTCTGCTCATCCTGCTGCAATTGTGTCTCTTTTCCGCTGCTGACTACCCATGGCGTACATGCACTGGCCGGCTTGGTGAGCTGCTCGTGCAGGATGCTCTTGAACCGCATCGCGTAGTCAACGAGCACACTCCGCATTCGAAACAACAAACGAGGAAAAATCTAGTGCGAATTCAGAGATGAACAGCATTGTGGTGTTGTTGGGCGCAGTGAAGGCGAAAGACAGAACATATGGAAAGAAAGAGCCTGCGGGAATGACATCACGTGAGAAACGGCAGCAACAAACAACTCAACCTTGGGAACTGACGTGCCAGATCACTCTTGGAGGTATACACTCAATTGTATCAGGTCGAAAAACAAATTATTATCAGGTGAGCTCATGATTGACTCGGAAATCACGTGGTTGCAGAGCCGCATTGATGGGGAAGGGTCGATCTTCCCCTCGAACATTTTGGGACCGAACGTTTGACCGTTGCGCACGTCTTTCACAGTTGTGCACCCAAACACCACCACCATCGCATACTCCGCAACCGGGGAATTGCACTTTGATCAATGCTAATTCATGAAACTGACAAAACTGTAGATGCAGAGATGGAGAATCCGATGAGATCACAGGAGTGGCTTAGCCGTAGAACTCAGGCAGCCGGCCTCCCAGGTCCTCCAAACCAACCCACCCACCTTGCACTTTTGCACTTCCTTACATTCTCTGCAAACTTCACTTACACACTCTTCCTGTCATACCAGAATATTAGCAGTTTCTGCATGCTTATTGCTACCAGACTGCGTGGTCTTTACCAGCTCCCACCACCCTCATCATCACCTGCACCCTTCTTAGGCACCGGCGTCCTCCCACAATAGCATGAACAGGCGCTTGATAGTTGTGGTGTTATTTACCCTCTACCTACAGCCAGCAGCAGCAGCGAACACAACCATGGATCTCTCATTCTCCGTGCCTCCAATGGAGCAGTTCTACACTGACCTTGACGGTACCCTGCGCTGCTTTGAATGTGCACTCTCTTACTGGGACTGCATGTGTGCTTTCGTATGATTCGAGCCCTTCAAGAACTCGCGTCGATCACTGACTGCCGCACAGTCCCAGTCATCGACGTCTTCATACCCCCCTGCGCCTTCCAACGAGTCCTCGACGTACGATCCTTTTCACGATGACTACGCTGTCACAGTGGACCTCATTGAGGTGCTACACTACGTAAACGATTCGAGTCAGCTTCTCATCGACGACACCGTTCAACTCATGAACGAAAATGGGACGACCGTGCAGCTTGACACAGTTCAAGCTCACGTCGACGACACATATCTACCTGGTTATCGCCAACCGTCAACGTCACCAGCGGAGTCACAATGTGTACCGCACAGACGGCAAGCACCACGAAAGAACGGGTTCATTTGTACTGTGGAGGGCTGCAACAAGACCTTTGATCGCAACTGCGAATTGAAGTGAGTCTAACCGCAACCCTTGATTGAGCCCTCGTTTACCAATTCCTAGTCGCCACCTCAAGATCCACCTTGGTCGTAACGAACGGCCTCACAGGTGCACGGTCTGCAATGAGGGGTTCCTCTATCCAAAGGATCTCACTCGTCACCAGCGAAAGCACGTGAAGCAAGCCTCGGCCAAGATCACCTTCTATTGTCACGTCCCCGGATGCACCAACACGGAAGGCTTCTCTCGTCGCGACAACCTCCTTCGCCATCATCGTCGTCAGCACGAGGACGTGGCTTCCCCAGCTGCGTAGCTTCATGTACACATGCTTCGCTGAATGGACGTCTGACACCACCGTCCACTTCCTACGCTGCACCCAGTAGCCACCGGCCCTCTCATTTCCACCTACCCGCCATGCCCCCGCTAGCACTAAAGACGTCCAACGAGACATACTTGTGCTAGCGATGACACATTGTCTTCTGTCATTTCATACATCCTTTGTCCCTCCTCTGCTACATGTTTGCATATTCGCGTCGCCGTCGAGCTGTTGCCTGTTCGCACTGTGCTTAGTCTCTTGTTCTTCACTGTTCATATACCCCCACTTCAGCGCCCCACTTGCGCGCTGCTGGTAATGTTGTTTCCTAATTCCTTGAGAATCTTATCTCCGTCCTATTGGGGCGCAACTCGCATCGCAAAAGCCTGACTTTGGTCTCTTACACTGCTTTTGCACATGTCTGCATCTACTCGTTGGATGGCATTACAACAGATATACGATATTGCTACGACATGCTGGTCAAGGATAGTATCAAAAATAGACTTTTTACATATGGCTCCGTCAGCCTCAAACATGCCGTGCCCAATACGTTGTGTGACTACCCCTCGTGTGACAAGTGATCGCCCACATCCAACCATTGTAGCCAACATCACATCAACACGTTTCGTTCTTTCCTCTAGGAGAAAGACGTAGATTAACAGCTCTCTCATGCTTTGCTAATACCTGACATGGCTTTTGGATCGCAACTTTTATCTTTGCTACTCTGGACATATATATTGCAAGATCTACACGTAGTCTCACATGTCGAGATGAGGACCTCGAGAGGTGAACATGAACGAGAAGGCCATGTGACGACGCGCGGACACGACACGCGACTTAGTGCGCGATCTGCAGATCGATCGACCCACCACGGCGGTTCTGGCAGGGACAGGTGCGTCATCACTTCCAGCCATTGCGATCGCAACCAAACATTTTAAGCAACACCACCACGACCACAAGTCCTCACTGCATGAATAGAAGGTAGCGAAGTCTTGGCATCATGCCACCAGTTTTGTCGCGCAAGCGTCTGCAATCCGACTCTCCAAAGCCAGAACCACCACCGAAGCGCGTCCGAGCACCTAAGCCATCTGCGCCAAAACCCTCTGCACGCCGCACCAAGCAATCCGTTTTCGATGAGCCGCCCAAAGTAAATCGCACGCTCTCGCAGACAAAGAAGTTTCTGGAAGGCAGCAATGACGACAGCGAGCTTTCAGACGCCGATAGTAGCGAAGACGAATTCGAGGACGTGCCTTTGAACAACACGAACACAGGGAAGGGCAAAGGCAAGGCACAAGAAGCATCAGACTCTGAAGAGAGTGAAGAGGATGACTGGGAGGATGCGTTAGGAGTGCAGCATTACCACGCAAAGCACGATGCTGGTCCAGACCCAAAGATCTCCGGCGACATCGCACTTACCCTCTCAGCGGTACCAAAGGCTGCATTCGACTCAAAGCCAGACGGCAAGAAGGGACCTTCGAAAATACAGCGCCAAATACGCAACGTCTCGCATTGTATGCATGTGCAGTGTCTAATGTTTCACAACTTGATGCGCAACGCCTGGATAGAGGACAAGGAGGTGCAGAAGACACTAGTCGAGGGTTTGACGAGTGGCTGCTGGCGTGAGATTGAGCAATACTGGCGTGATGCTGGCATACCTGATGGTGCAAGTCGCGCCATTATGCAGAAGAAAGCGCAGAAAACACCTGAGAAGATCAAGGACACAAAGACGGAAGCTAAGTGCAAAAAGGGCAACTGGAAGGCTAGTGGCAGCAATGGGGTCAAGGTGTACGACAATCCGGACAACAAGCTCTCGAAACAGCGGAAGGAAGAGGCTCGTCGCGAGTATGAAGCCAGTCTAGCTAGGGATAAGATTACAGGTGCATCGGAGAGGAAGCAACGCGATTGGGGTGCAAAATCAAAGCGTATGAATCCGGAAACGCCAAACATGGCTCATGGCGATCCTTTGCTGCGCCTGTTGAAGTACCTCTCCGCATACTGGAAGGCGAAGTGGAGAACAACAGCACCCACTCTGCGCAAGCGTGGATATCTGTCACCCTCAACGCTTCAGGGGGAGATTGACGCTTGGAAAGAGTATGGATCTCATGCAGACAGCTTTGGTGAGCGCGTTGAGAGTCGCGAAGCGTTCCGTGTGATGGCACGCAGGTGTGAGGGTAGCAAGGATGTTGGCCAGCAGCTCTTCACAGCACTGATACGAGGACTGGGCATTGAAGCTCGCATGATTGTCAGTTTGCAGCCTATCGGTTTCGGCTTCAGTCAGGCCGAGGAGGGCAAGCCAAAGAACCTTGAGAAGCTGAAAGATCTTGCGAAGTCTGCGCCATCAAAACCTACACCCGCGAAACCGAAGAAGAGCACTAGACAACAGCCCATTTCATCCCGAAACCGCAGAAAAGTTGTTGCATCGTCAGGCTCCGATTCGGATAGCAGTGATCTCAGTAGTGTAGTTTCGATCTCATCTGACGCTGAAGATGATAAGTTGGCGAAGAAAGCATCGAAGACTCGCGACTACAACAACGACCTTCCGTACCCTACATACTGGACTGAAGTCATCTCGAACCTGACGCACACGCCTGTGACAGTCTCTCCACTTTCTCGCACGATCATTGCAAGCTCAACCATACCCGAGAAGTACTCAGACTTCTACGCTCGTGGTGCTACAGCCGACAAAGCAAAGCAAGTCCTTGCCTACCTTATTGCGTTCTCATCAGATGGCACAGCGAAGGATGTTACAACACGATATCTTCCTAAGCACCAGTGGCCTGGCCGAACCAAAGGCTTCCGCATGCCCATCGAGAAAATACCAATCCACAACAAGCGTGGCAAGGTCAAGCGTTGGGAAGAGTGGGATTGGTTCAAGTCCGTCATGCGTCCCTTCTCACGCCCGCACGATAAGCGCCAGCCCTGGGACGAAGTTGAGGAAGAAGGCGATCTTGTCCCTGCAGAGCCTGAAAAGAAGAAGACGATGGATGAAGAAGGTGGCAAAGAGACTCTGCAGGGTTATAAGACATCTGCTGAGTACGTGCTCGAGCGCCATCTTCGCCGTGAAGAAGCGCTCAAGCCCGGCGCAAACATCGTCCGTCACTTTGCCATCAGCAAGAAGGGCGAAGAAGACAAGCTCGAGCCGGTATACCGCCGGAAAGACATTGTAAACTGTAAAACCACCGAATCCTGGCACAAAGAAGGTCGCGAAGTCAAGCCCGGCGAGCACCCACTCAAATACGTTCCCATGCGCGCTGTGACCAAGACCCGCAAACTCGAGATCGAAGAGCGCGAGCGCATCGAGGGTGGGAAAGTACAGCAGGGCTTGTACGCAAAGAGCCAGACAGATTGGATCATCCCCGATCCAATTGTCGACGGCATCATCCCCGTCAACGCATTCAATAACATCGATGTCTACGTATCCACCATGGTGCCCAGGGGCGCAGTGCACATCCCGCTCAAAGGCACAGCGCGCGTGTGCCGCAAGTTGAACATCAACTACGCGGATGCATGCACAGGTTTCGAGTTCGGCAAGCAGCGCGCTGTGCCAGTCATCACCGGCGTCGTTGTCGCCGAAGAGAACGAGCATTTGGTTATTGATGCTTGGGAGGCTGAGGAGGCGGAGAAGCTGAGAAAGGAAGCGGAGAAGAGACAGAAGTTTGTGCTGGGGTTGTGGAAGAAGTTTTACTCTGGCTTGAAGATCGTGCAGCGTATGAAGGATGAGTATGGTGAGGAAGCGGAGTTGCCGCAAGAGGATCTTTTTGCGCCGATGGAGAGGAAGGAAGAGACAGAGTGGGAAGTGTTTCAAAAGCACCAGGGTAAGGACTTCGAGGGTGGGTTTCTGCACGAGGAGCCTGGAATTGGAGGTGGTGGGTTTGTGAGGAAGGAAGCGCCGGCGGCTACTCATGACGAGGATATGGCTGGTGGCTTCTTCCCCGCAAGTCAGGAAGAAATCAGGCATGGCGACCTCACCATCGATCTCGGTGACCACGAAGACCAGAAGCGCACACCTGTCGCGGATACCGCATATCGAACGCCGATCTCGCTATCAGCAGCTGTCGAGCAGCCGGTTGATGAAGAAGATGATGACGGTGCGGACCAACAGGAAGGCGATGCCCAAGATACAGACGCGATCGACAGTGAGGACAAGGATGATAAACCCCTCGTACCTCCACGCCCCAAGTCTTCCAAGCTAACACCAACCCGCTCAGAGCGCACATCCACATCAACATTAACTCGGAAGCGTAAATCCATCATCGAATCTTCAGACGAAGAGTCGCTCTCAGACGCGCCTTCCGACCCACCGACACCGCCGCCTTCCACTAGAAGCGCGCCGAAGCGCAAGGCTGCGCGCAAGAGTGATGCGCAGGTCAAGAGCCACTTTTTTGCGATGGGGAGTGAGGATGAAACGGATGCGACTGATATTACGGATAGAGCGTCGCCGAAGAAAAGTGCTGGTACGGGAAGGGGAAGGGGGAGGAGTGGGAGGGAAAGAGGTGGAGGACGAGGAAAGGCGACATAAAGATGGCCCGAACTGCTCTTGAACACGCACTTGAAAGCGTAGCTTACTTTTTAGAATTAATCGATTGAGGCTCAGACACTTCTTTGCAGCGCCTGGACGTGCATTGAGCTGTAAACAACGCTAGCTCGATCAAGTAAGGGCAGTGCGGGGCGTGCAGGTGGTGGCCTCGATGCCATCTTCTCTCCTCAAATCTCGCACAATGGCTGCATCTCCTGGACACTAGCGATCTATTTTCATCATTCTTTCTGACTCTACGTTGACACCAAAATTTGTTCTCTTCTCTTGGAGCTCATTACCTTTTTGTCATTCGTCTTCACCACGCATCCTTCTTTCTCAGCCTCGTCAGTGTGACTTGCTCGTCAACATCTGGAGGCATGTCTGACGACTGTTTAAAGACCAAGTTAGTGGAGATGATCCATGAATACGATGAGCATGACATGCTTTGCTTCCCAGAATTTAAAGATTGGTATCTCGATGATATTGGAGCACACTTGAAAGCTGAAATCGAGGAGCTTTTTGCATACAAAGTTGAGCGAAATAACTCAGGGGAAACAGCTGCAGGCTTGAATGGGAAGTCATCATCACTGGAGGAGCTGGCTCTGGTTAAGTCGCGGCAAGATGTGGAACCATTCAATGCCGGAGACTTTGCTCGAGTTAGCAGCAAGCATAAAGAGAGCAAGATTGCTTCCAGTAATTGGGATGCAATGTCATGTGTAACTGCGCAAACCGCCATGACTGAGAACACATTTCATACTGCTGTCTCAGGCTATGGCGAGCGCGCTGCACCGAAGCCTTACGTTCTGCAAGAGTATGTATACTACTACACCACGCGTTCCACACCCGTGCATAAGTCTGACAGCATGCTTCTTCAGAACGGATGACTACGCCAAACTCCTCCAATCTAAGGAACTTTGGCCGGTTGATGTCTCTGTGGAACAAGACTGGTCCGGACGAGGTCAACACGTTGAATTCGAAGATACGGAGCAGGCACGCGACGAGATCAACAGAATCCTGAAGTTCCAAAGATCGCTTGGGACTCAGAGCACCGCAACCGTACAGAGTGTCAAATGTAGACGAGTCCTTCTAGCTCGCAAGTCTATCATTTGTAGCAAGCGCCACATCACGCGATCTGAAGCTATCGATGAGGTTGTACACCTTACTCAGCTACGCCATGCGCATATCCTGCGAGTCATTGGGACGTACGTTATAGGCAAGGAACTGTCAATTCTGCTGTATCCAGTCGCCGAGTACAACCTCGAATCGTTCCTGGATATATTGCATGAGCATGTCAAACAGACTGGTACAGCTGAAGCATACAGCGAGTCTCATATCTTCGATATGATGACAGCATGTCGTCAATTTCCCTTGTGCTTGGCCAATGGTATTGCATATATGCATTCGAAGTTTACCAAGCATATGGACATCAAACCCCAGAACCTGCTGATTAAGTTGCACCCGCAGCATGCCGATACCTACAGAATCTATGTTGCGGACTTCGGAATCTCGCGTTCGTACCGGGACCTTGACGCAAGCAACACTGATGGCCCTACTTCGTTTACCTTCAAGTATGCTGCGCCTGAGGTGGTCGCGCAAGAAGAGCGAGGGCTGGCTGCCGATATATTTTCTCTTGGGTGCGTGTACTACGAGATCTTGGAAGCTTTACTTTCTGTGACTGGAATCAACCACAGAAGCTTCCAGCTTCAACCTGACACTGGAAGTGTGTCGTATCAATCGAACATAGAGTTACTCCATGGATATCTTGCCAGCATGAGCTCATGGCTAGATGACTTTCCCATATCGGGGGTCCTCCCGCACATAACCGATACCGAACTTCTAGAGGTTTTACGTCAAATGCTGCATTGGGACCCTACAAAACGACCCTCTGCCGCAAAGATTAGCTCAGTTTTGTCCTCAATTTGGCCATTAGGTCCTGACTCATGCTGTTCCGAAGGCCAGGTTCAGCTCGAAGCACACGTCAGCGGCTGGAGCCTTTACGGCCCGAAAATGTTCACCGACCTCGAAGCTGAAGATTAGGCTTGATTGGTGTGCTTGTGCCATAGACGATAGATAAGGGTTATTCGCATCGAAAAGCCATCTTCCGTAGCATGGCTGAATCAGGTATGATCAAGCTCATCCATTGATATCAGACCACTTCTCCACGACCTATCCTTCCATTGTCTATGCGTTACTATCTTCCACTCAACTAAACTTTCACCTCTCAAGCTGATGGCACTGAGCCTCGGCCATCGTACCAGTTCAAACATCTGCAAATGGTCACTTGCTCTTTTCATAAACCTGGCAGATCACGTTCACTGTAGCATCGTTATGCTTCATTACCAGAACGCTCGCATGCGAAAGGTTTTGAGTGTGACCCTGAACATCACACATGAAATGTGCCGTGTCTGAGGGATAGCTATCGCTCATCCAGTTTAGAACCCCTGAGCTAAGCGATTGTGTCACGGTTCAGGGTGCTCCTGCCTGTCGAACCTCACCTGCCATGAGAGTGACTGCTACGTCACACTAGCGTTGTTTACAGCTACTCACATATACATACTGTCCTTAGCTTCACCCAATACAACCTCAGTTCAACCCTTCAATATTTCCGCACATGCGTACTGATCACTCACGATACAACGCTACAAATTGACTGTATCCCTACTGCACCGTGAGCACAACAGCCTGGCTCCTTCAGAGTCTGACTACAATTAACGAAAAACTCTTTTAGTTTGTATTCTAACTTGAGACTTGAGAAGACAGATTGTGGAGGGTAATTGTCACAGCCTATTTCCGGATGCCTTGGTCAGATGAAAGTCGAGCCATTGAGCGTGACAGCAAGCTCCACTAACTTGGAATCAAATTTAAGTCTCAGATATAGTCGATAGCATACTCATACTAATCGCTTAAGTGGCCTTTTGACTCTTCATCCGCAGCAGCTATCGCCTTCAACTCACATGGTCCTTGACTACAATACGGATTTTCCAGTATGACTGCCTTCAACTCAGCAGCAGTTGGCTGCTCACTGGCCACGCCACTCATAATTTTCTCTATGATCAGCCTCAAAGCTGATGTTGGACGATCAGGCCATATGTTCTTTTTTCGCCTTGACCAAAGCTTCGAGGTTGGCTTGGTATGAGGCGTCGCTGTTGGTGTTGGCTTTGAGTGCTTCCCGCAACTTACACCAGGACAACGAGAGTCGGTCCTTGTTTTCGTGAAGTCCACGGAGTCTGCGACATGCGAGGCGTGTAGGAAGTGGAACATTATCGGCATATAATTCAACGTCAGCATCCCATAGAACAGTGTAGATCTCCATGAATACACAACCCAGTGGGAAGATGTCGAATGGGAGGCCACTAACTTCTTGAGCAATCAGTTCAGAGGCGGCGTAATTGTGTGTTAAAGGTGTGAGACCATCGGTCTACACGGCTTCGATTCGGTCGTAGGACCGAGATATGCCGAAATCGGCAATATAAATCGTGAAGTCGAACGGTATGTCTGACCTTACCCAGGTTGTCGTCTCTACACGCCGGATTAGGATATTTAGAGGTTTGATATCCATTATTTTGTTAGCATGAAATGGATACAATGGATCGCGCCAGGCAGGCAAGGAAAGAAATGACGGCATGAGTGTACCATTATAGACCATTTCCTTTGTTCTGCTGAGGCCGTGATGATGGTGTGGAGAGAACTTTCAAGATTGTAATGTGCGACTGGGTAAAGCAGTATGGAGAGCTACCTGCTTATCACATAGGTCCCTATGACAGATATTATGTGCGCGTGCTTGAATCGGGTGACGTGAGCTACTCCTTGCACTGCTTGCTCCTTTTTGAAGTTTCGGTCACAAAATACAGTCTTCCGGGCAAGATTTATGCAGCAGTACTTCACGCTGTGGACGACTGTCGACTTCCTATGACCGAGCTGTTGACAAACTTCAAGAATGTCATCGATAGTTCTGCGCTCATTCTTTGAGAACTCTGCGTGCTGCCCCTGACCGAATCAATACTGCTCGAATGCACGGTCGACCGGCCAAAGCTGTTTGGCTTGTAAGACCTGCGCATACTTGCTACCTTTGTAACGATTGTTAGAGATGATACTGTTGCAGAGTTGTCGTGGGTGATTACCACCGTAGAACATACTGGCTCCGGACTGTCCAATTGTGTAACTACGTGGCCTAAGTCACATGATATTCTATTGAGGAAGGCACTGCCCGAGGGCAAGTGCACTTACCTCTGAGCCGAGAGCTCCTGTACACTGACATCATCGAACAACACAGATAGCAATACAATAATTGACGACAGCCTCCGACCGACACTGCTCACGCAGTTACAAATTGATAAGGCCTTTCTCTTCCTCGGTTTTTTGTAGTTGTCTCAACGAGTTGGTCAATGGTTGATCGATCTAGCGCTCCAGGGATCTGGAACTTCTCTCCCTGAAGACGGTCAGTGCCAGGGCACGATGAGTTTCGAGCGTCTGTGTTAATGTTATTACCTGATAGATGAACGGTCACCCATGCTCAGTCATAGCTCACTTTGTCACTAAGTAGTTCGGAATAATTTTTGTCCTAGGCGCTGCCTCGTGTCTGCTTTCCTCAGGAACGTAGCCTGAACGCTATTTACCGTTTGTGTAAATCAATCGGTCGTACTCTGACACTGATAACATGTATTCGTAGAAGGTTTGCTTCACATCCACACCATATAAATCTTCGATCAAGGTCACGCGGTTGGAAGCTTGCTGCTCCGCCGCTGATGACGGTAGAGGTGATCGGCCAATGCCAGGCTCTCAGAATTGATCTGAAGAAAGCGTGCGCCCAGCTAGCCTGAGATGCTTCGAGGTCCGTGGGAGACCACGAACAGCATGTTCGGCAGTATCTGGTGAGCTCTCATCGTCCGAGTCTTCCCATTCTGAATCTTCGCCGCTAGCTTCCAGCTTGTCAGAGCCATTCAAGGATGAGTTTGACTCAGCAAATCTCACGCTCTCCTTGCGGTTGCCATGCGTGTTACTTGTGGAAAGTGGAGCCTTGTTGGTGACGTGGGGCGAACCGGTATCAGCAAATGTGACTCTTGGCGGAGGCATGCCAGTGGGGACGGGATAATGCTTATCAGCTTAGTGGATGCGATGCGCAATGCGATGCGCAAATTCTAGACGCATGTGAGATGGACGACTACGTATCGAAAGGTCGAGTTGCTTGTGGAAGAAAGATGGGGTACATGTGAGCTGACACTGCGCCACGACTGGAAGCAGCTCCCGCGCACTTGCATGCACCCCACGTCGTCCTTTCCGTAATTGACGCTTTTTGGCATGTGGCTTCTGCCCTGCAGTTGAGTCATCCTCGCATTTGCGGCACAGATGAACCTACTCAACCCGTAGTTTATCTCGACATTGCTACGCCTGAAACAGCGCTTCAAGAACTGCAAACATGGACATGTCGTGTGCACAACAAATGGTAATGCTACTAAAGGTATATAACCCAGCACCCAGCACTTACATACCATCAAATCCGTCACTACAAATTCCATACGCCATCCCATCAATGCTCGTGTCAAAACCCAAATATGAACCACCAAACAAAGTGCACATTTGTGAAAATACCTAACCACAAAACGCTCAAACAATAAACAAAAGAGAAGTTAAACAATATACTGGTAAGGGTATGTCGTGATGCGCAGTCATGTGAAACGTGAAAACATGAACAATCGAACGAGAGCGCTGAATGCGTGGGTGCCAACTGCTACAACGAAGGAAATGATGCAATGAAATGATACTTTTTGCGTTTGCACGCGCCCGTCTTTGTCCTCCACTTACTCTATCTCACTGTTTAGATAATCATCTAGATCTTTTGATCTCTTGTTGTTGAGGTCAGAATTTGTACGTGAGCGCTGGAAATAGTCGTGCTCGTACTGGGGTGTAGCGGGCGGTTCGAAAACCGCCTTGGTGTCGTGGTGTGGTTGTGATGCAGCATATGTATCGTGTGTTGCTGCGTTCGATATGTTTTGTGTGTTGTGAAGGGAGACTTGAGCCGGGTGAGGGAGGGTGGGTAGGCGAATTGTTGTGTTGGATGTCCTCTCTTCCAACGACTTGTCTTGTGTTGGATGTAGGTGGCGTGTGTCCTTCCCATCAATAGGGAGTGCTGCATTGACTCCTGTCAAAGCTGAGGTCTGTCGGTTCGTAGCAGGGTCTGCTGTTGTGGTAGACTGCAAAGCGTATAGATCTTCGTTCCGCAGCTCGAGTTCGTGTCCTCGAACACCTTCACCGAAGCCAAGCGCTCTGTCTTCTTTCGGTTCCCACAGCTTCTCGTTAATCCTCTGCTCTTCTATCGTTGCTGTCTTGATGTCTCGCATACTCTCATCAAGGCTTTTGCGTATCCGCTCGCTTTCGTATGACTCTCTCAGAGGCTCAGCAAAGCCTGTATCTTGATGAAGTGGAGAATTGAAGTTTGTGGCGGCCGAGAAGGTAGTAAAGCCAGTTCCCACCCTATAGTTGCGCTCTGGGCGGTCGAATATGGAGAAGCCAGTACCGACACGAGACGGCGCAAGCGAGCTCGGTGCTGAGTCGTATTCAAACTCATGCTCAAGCTCGGTGAGGAAAGTCGTATCAGGAGCTTGATGATGAGTGTCGCGCTCGTCTCGATTCTGCTTAGGTGGTGCTTCCTCATTTTGTGTCTGAGCCAGCTGATGCACGCGATCACTGAACGAAGCTTTGTTCGCTATTGTACGGTCGTGGTCAACGTTCTGACCGTATTGAGGTGTCAGTTGCAAGGGCAATTGCGGTACGTCGGCGATTGTGGAAAGATTGAGTGGAGTGTGGTCGTCTGACTTGCTACCCACAAAAGAGTTGTCCAAGGTTCCAGGCGTAATGTAGACTTCCTTCGTATCTTGACTGTCAAAGTCACGCATGCTGGCTTCACCTCCACCGCGCTGAACGAGCTTCGTATCACCATCGACGTACACTTGTTCCCATCTTGTTTCGCGACTCGCTGGTAGGCTTGCCAGATCATTGTCCAGCTCAGAGTCATCGAGAGACATAATGGAGCGATGGCCCGGGTAAGGTGAGTAGTCGCTTTGTCGGTTTCTGCTCCTGTTTCTTCTGTGATCCGGGGATCGGCCACGCCCGCCCTCAGTGTTTGGCAAAATGTAAGATCCAGCTGAAGGCACGTACTCCGTTGACGGCATATTGACCTTCTCGAAAGACGACTTCGAATATGAGTGCCGGCGGTGCTGCGAGACATCGCCGTGGTCAACGGCCATCTTTGGGTCGATGTACTCCTTGTCACTTCTGTGCGACGAGAGACTGTCTCTGAGGGCAATTCTTGGTCTGAAATGGTCTACCTCAACAGGTTCCGGGAATCTCTTCAGCAAGTCTTTTGCCGACAAGCGGTCGCGTGGTCTCTCACTAAGACATGCTTTGACAATGTCTTTGAAGTATTCCGGAATGCCGGACGATCGCTTTAGCGTATCGGCAAGTGGTCTTTCCTGGCGCTCTGGTTCGTCTTGCTGCTCCGCCAGTGCCCATAATACCATGCCCAGCTGAAAGAGATCTGACTTGACACCTATGTAGATCGAGATCCTTTGGCCGCTCTCGATGAGCCTTGCTAGCTCAGGTGGCTCCCATCCCACCGGACAGCCTCTGCGATTAATGTCGATAATTTTTGCGTCGTCATTTGCGTCGATAACGATGTTCGATAAGGTAAAGTCGCCCTGTACAAATCCAGCTTCGTGTATCTCCGAGAGTCCTTCAACTATCTGACGAGCCCACTTCTCGCGACGCTCCCATTGTAGTTGATGCTTGAAGTCATATATCATGTCGACGAGAGCACCTTCCCGTGCATAGCTGATTAGCAATCCTTTGATCAGCTCGCCGGTCTCGTCAACGATGACGCCCTCAAACTGAATGACTGAGTTTGAGTCCTGAAGGCTGCTGAGGGCGTTTATCTCGTAGAGGAACTCTTCCACAGCATCTGGCCCAGGAATCTCTTTCTTTATGTACGTCCGGTTCTTGACACCAACCTTGTACACGAACCCGGAGATGTGCGAGTCAAAGTCAACGTCCTGCTCTTTGAAGCACTGATATTCAAGATGACTGATTGCAGAGATCCCAGGGTACGGTATGATCTCGTTGACATCTTCAGTGACGTGGACGTGTAGGCGGCCATCAGATGTTTCGAGCTTCAGGTTTGTTACGGTGTCGTAGAACTGTATGTCTGCCAGCGAGTCACGTATCGCTTCGTAGATCCTGGCACTCTTATCTCGTTGATAGTGTAATGACTTCAGATCTGACTCCAGAGAGTCCGGCTCGAGGTGGCGGTAATCGCACGAGACCGTGACTCTTCTCCACTTGTTGCGCTCTTCTGCAAAAGTGACGAAGAATTTCTCCCGGTCCGACATATCCCTGAAGTGCATACTGAGGTTCAGTATCCACTTTGCTTCCAGCTCTTCTTGCAACCGTACATCATCAACATCAGAGACCGAGTGGTGCGACGCATGTTCGTGGTATGTATCCTCCAGCTCGATGGGCAATGAGCTGCTTGCAGTCTCGGGCTGTGAAAGGTTCTCGATGCTATAGTCAACCTGTCTTGCCCCTGCAGGTATGTTTGAGTCTGCCCCGCCGCCAATTGTAGGTTCCTGCTCTTGTTGCTCCTTCCCTTGCTCTTGCTTATGAATGTCGCTCTCGTGAGGACTCAAGACGTCAGGCGCTGATACGGACGGTATGGATATGGGCGGGGGCGAGAGGTTGCGTTTCGGAACGATTGAGGGCTTGCGGTCTGCAGATGTAGCGCGTCTCTGCTCAGGCTCAGGCGGCACCTCGAGTAACTTCTCCCTCATCTCACTCTGCATGCGCTTGAATGTTAGCGGTCGCGGCAGCCCTGGCACGACCTTCCTGCTGCCTCTTCTGTGAAGAAGCCCTCCGCTTGACTGTGGCCTATCATTCTCTTTGTTCCCTGCGCTTTCAGGCCTACTCTTCGTTGGAGATGACGGCTCATCATCGTCACGCTTCAGCCAGCTGCCAATCTTATTGAAGCCCAGACGATTCAACATGCTCCTGTTTGCGCCAACTTCTGTCCTTGCCCTCTGTCTGCTTCGATCGCGACTCGTTCCCCCATTCTCTGCTGCCGGCGCTTGGGGCATCTTCTGCTGTTGGATGTCTCGCACCCACCGCTCGAGCGCGGCGCGGTGTTATCGCTCAGCCTGCAACGCCAGCCGTCTTATCCCCTCGATCCTCGCCTAACGCGCAAGATAGCTTAGCCAGCAAAAGCAACGAGCGCGCTCTCGATATGTCGCAGGGCAGGAACAGCTCCGGCGCGCTGCGTGTGTTCGGCTCAATGGACTCGTGGTATCGGTTTGGCGCCGCCGTCATGCTGTGTCGTGTTTGGTGTCACTGTGGCTGCTACCAGCATCCTTGGATGTGCATTTCCCCTCTCCTCAGCCTCTTCCCTCGTTCTTCTTACGAGACAACTCTGCGCGATAATTTCGCGTGGGTAAAGTCGCTAGACAGTAGCTTCGCTTGTTATATTCTTGACGCCCAAGGAGCTTTCCCGTTGGCGCCTAACTCGCAAACAACACACCGGATGGCAGGTAGCAACGAGGGCCTAAAGATCTTGGATGAGGCTCAAAAGGGCACGATCGAGTAGGCTGACGATCAAAAAGGGCTCCACGGCGATACGATTGTGCGTGTATGCGAGTGGGAGTCCTTTGATGTAAGTTGTGAGGCGCAAGGCTGGGGTAGCGTGCCGACTGGGATGCACTGATTGGGCAGGAACGAGAAAACGTCCTCCCAGGCCCTGGAACTCCTGTACACCCACCAAATGCGCGCCCAAAAAGGAGGTCCCAAGTGCTACACAAAGCCAGGTATTGATACAAGTTTCACCAGAGCGGGGAGCAGAGGACGTCAAAAAGCGTGTGTGCGCAGCTTCGTTGTGTTTATGGCTACTTGTGGCGGTCAAGCTGCAAACACAATTGGCCGGCCAAGCAGATCAGGCCTGCAAAATACGCAGCTCAGAGCGGAAAAGAAAACCACGAGTCGAATCAGATGTAGGGCGAACGAGATGCAAGCTGCAAGAGAACGTGTATGAAGGGGTGATTGGTGCGAGCTGCGCACGACAGCCACCTCTCGCGAGCTGCGGTGAGCGTGTCATAATGCTCACGCTTCATTGTCAACATCCTTCCTGTCATCATTGCCCGTTCTCTCAGGTCTTGGAACACTCACCAAGACATTTCCTTTGCAAAGTTTATATTTTCCAGCCCCTCTGTTTTCACGTTCATGCCCTCCTTTGGGCCTGCATGCGTTAGCCTACGCATAGCGCAGCGGCTAACCTCCCAACTAGGTGTACGATCCAGCTGCAGCTCATAACAGACGCAGGCGATCGGTACATCCGGTAAAGTCTCTGTACACGAGTACCCCACTTTGAAGTCGCACAAGAGGCGTTCTTCGTCACCGGCAGATTCGCTTCTGCACGTTGTGCTGCAGAGAACACAACATGCAGGACTCGAAGCACCTCTTAAATCCGCGGACGCAGCGTCCTCCTGATGCTGTACGAAGAAGCGAGTCGACACTTTGAGGTCTGAACAAGGTCCCAAACTTTTCGTCGAATTCATCTTCGAGCCTTTCAATCTCGCAACGAGTGCAGTCCTTATTCAGGATGATTGCATTGTACCTTGAGGCTCTCCAGGGCTCTCCTCTAACGGTATTGACAGCGACGTACTGCCAATGCAACACCAAACCTCCGTCACGATTATGTTGATTACAGCTTCTCATACCATTCGTCCTACCTGTTCGCATAGCCCTACAAGACGCATGCGTTGTCCGCTGCACTCGTTCTCAACTTCTCACGCACAAGGGTCGAGCTGTCGGAGCTTGACACGTCAACGTGGTTCACGCGCGCTGCGCGCCAGCTGCAACTGCTGAGACAGAACAACGAGGCATGCGCAACAGGGCGTACACGTACTACATTAGCTGAGAAACTTCTTGGAAAATGTAGCATACAGATTGATGACGTTACCAGTATAGGCCGCACAAGTTTGCACGAGCAAGTCCGTCTTACATGTCTCAATCTTACTCGAGACAAAAAAGGCTCGCAATAAGCAAAATCTCTTCGACCTTCTTCCCTGCAGATGACGATAAAAGCAAAGTAGGTTACAAGATGAACTTTGGTTCGGAACGGCCCGCGGTTTTGAAGGGATAATGCTAGACCTCGCGTGCAATATGTGGATAGATATCATTTTGAGCTGCTGTGCTGTGCGGTGCATCCCTGCATTCACCATGGATAGCTTCCGTAAAGTAGCTTCAGGTTAGATTCTTGCCTACACTTGCTCTCTCAAATCTCTTGCTCAAGTCTCACTGGAGTGTTTTGGACGAAAGGATATTTTGGGCTCTAGCGTGCCCCACTTGCTCTTTGGAGCCTCGATGTCCCCTTCCTCAGCACAAGCAATTGCATCACCAGCGACGAGCATATGGGCACGAGCATCGCAACCTTAGTAATGGTCATCTTCCAGTCGATACCTTGCGGCAATGAGAGCTTTTGTTTCTCTAGAAGCGCTCGCCAGCAAGAACCCTACAGCCCAGCTATCGGTTGATAATTTGATATGAAGCTGAGCCGCAGCTAATCCCTCGAGCTCACTTCGTCACCAAATCGTTCTGTCGCTCATTCCTCTTCTCTTTCACAGCATACTGTAGTCTAACATCAGTCATGTGGAGTACCTTCCATAGGGGCTCATCGAGTTCAGTCTCTCGCGTCGGATGCCGAAACATAATGTCTAAACTACGCCGCACCTAGTTGCCGGGACACAACAACAACGGACACCGGTTCAACTCACCTTCATCCCTAGCACCAGGTCGAAACACACACATTGGATTATGGATAGTATCCCTCAAGTGTTGGTTGATCGCATCAGTGACTACGTGACCGTCACGGACCTCAAGCATACCCTCACCGTTTCACGCAATTTTCAGTATGCAGCTGAACGGACTTCCGGCGTATACAATGAATTCGACCTCACTAAAGCCAATTCTGGAAGATTCTTCGAGCTGTACAATGGTCCTCGGTTGGGTTACTTGCGCCATGTAAAGTTCAGGGCAACGTTGCCTCGCTACGAAAAGCCTGAGTACGAATAGCTTGCAAACATGAGGGGATCCGGACTGGGTGGAGCCGGGTTATGAGAAGGAGTACGATCTTGTGATCCAAAGCGAAGAAGTGAATTCGAAGTTTGAGGCATTCGAGGGCCAAGCAAGCGACGAGGCTCCTCATGATGGAGACCGCGACCGATGTGGACGACATACAAGAGCCTCTCATAGACTGAGACTTCAATGAGAAAGGGAAAGAATAGTACGAGATGTATCAAGCAAGCCCACATAGGTCGGGAATCTGTCGATGAGTTACGAGAAAACGATGAAATGTTTACAGAGCAAATCCGCTTTCTGTTTAAGACTCTACGAGTCTTGAAAGATAGGGTCGGGACTGGTAGCTTTCGACTGGCCATTTTGTACCAGAGCGAGAGAATTATGGCTGTCTTCATCGCAAGTTTTCGAGTCGGCGATTATACTTGCTGTCGTCAGACACCCTGCCGGAGCTCTCATCTGTCAACACTCTAATGCTGAAGCCCATGAACGCTTCCATCGATCCCCTGACAAGAACCCATACCTGGAGAACAAGATAAATCGATATCGAAGCTCGATATCCGCGTGCCAGGCGACCTGGCGGCCAGGTTACCCCAGCTGAAACTCCTCGCTTGTGAACTTGGGTACCATGAATGAACGAGCAAAATCACTGCGACTACAGACAACGAATACCATAACAATGCGTGGAGATCATATATTCGCGATTTTCAGGCATGAGCCAAGATAGTCAACATGACTTTGCTCAGCTTGTATCGACCGCCACCCTACCACCAGCCCTCAGATGCGTACAACTCAACTCTCTCGCCCTAATAATGCCATTACTTGTGGCGAACCAATACGAGTAACTCCCAGACCTTGTCACCTCACACGCATATGACTCGGTCTGTTTCAGTCTCCGTATCTTATCCTGCAAGCTGCGACGCATGGAGTTGAAAGGTGTCTTCGATGAGACATTGTTCTGGCCACTTGACAGCCGGGAGCCTTCATGGCCTTGTTTAGAAATCTTAAACGTCTATATCCACGCGACAATTGCTTCGGCAAATGAACGATTGGCGGCCGGATGAGACACTGCATAGACTACTTATTGTATAAGCGATTCAGGCGCTAAGCTCGATGAGCGCTGGGACTACGATTTCTTGTATCAGTTGTCGGACGGGCTGTGAGAGGACGATTACCGGCTACAGACTTGTCGTGATCTGTGACTGTCCGTGACAGATAACAGACGCTTGGAAGGTAACAATCAATGCAGAGGTGTCACATTGAATTTTCAATCTTCACATCGACTGGCTTGTATATAATTATTGACATCGGTATTCCCTGCTTCTAAAAGCAGTTTGGGTGTCCAATCCACATAGCACACAACTCGAGCGTTCAAGCACCTTCTCAACCAACAACTGAGCTTGCACATTTAGCCTTCTGCCTCATGCCGCCACCCGCACTCTTAGTTGCAAGTCTCGTATTCATCCCTGTCTCCATCGGTATTGCTCTTGCATACATTTTCTATCGACGACTTCGCGCTCGCCGTATCGAACGGCAAACGCAACATGCCAGCTGGCACCGTCGAAATGATATAGACATAGAACTATCGCCCATAAAGACTAAGAGTACCAGCAAACAGGCAGTGACGCGCGGTGACTGGCCACGCAACCTACGAGAGGAACAGATCGTCCCCAAAAGATTCACCCCGCTTCGCACTTTCGCCACGTCCAAATGGGGCACTGCAGACAGTAAGGCCTCACTTAAATATCCTGGCCCCGCTTGTACTTTCATCAGATATGGCGGAACCGATAATGATACCATCGTGCGGAGCTGGAAAAAGACAACACTCGATAGTGAAGAAGCAAGCAGCTTCCCCTATCACGCTGGAGATCGTGAGAGTAGTGATCCTGCACGCGAAATTTGGCGCAAGATCGAGGCACGAGAGCGTCTAGAAGATAGACGTACTGGTACTGACCAAAAGAAGAGCGAGCCAGTAGAGCATGGTGTTGTCAAGACTGTGGTTGAGCACACGTTCCGTGGCTCGAAAGAATGGCCCCTCAACAATACCGCCGTACCGCCGCTCCAAGGGGACACAGAAGAAGGCTTCAGAGTCGATAAGGTCGCGAAACAATATGCACTGGCTGCTGAAAGACAGCACCTGAAACAAGAATCGCATGAGTACAAGGCGCTTTATTGAAATCACGTACTCACTACCGCAGCTTTTGATTTCCTGTGCATATTACACATCAAAATGCTGACATGACACCGATACTTCCCTCTCTACCTCCATCTAACACCGCCTAAGCGAGTGCATCAGCCACCCTATTCATGCTCCTCTCAACATGCCAGAACTGCACCTCGATCCCTCCATAATCACCAAACCCCATCTCATCCAACATCTCATGCAACGCCTTCAGCCGCTCATAATGTGCCACTACCTTCCCGAGCCAATACCCCCATTTCCAATCCACAATCCGACATGCAACGACATATCATCGACTAAGTAACTAGAGTCTGTTGCGATCTTGATGTGCTGGAGCTTGAAATCCTTTGCGCATATTTTCTTGATGATCTCTAGAACGGCTGCGAGGGCCACAGTCTCAACATGCGTACTAGGCTGTAGCACTGTACTCGGCAAGAGACCGTTGGTGTTGTGTAGTGAGTCAGGTCCGAAGTAGATGCCATATGAAGCGCGCGCACTAGTTGTGCCATTCCCGCGACATGCACCGTCGATGTAGACAACGGGACTGAACTCGTCTCATGTGATGGGCATGTTGGGGTTTGCGGCTTTAAATTGCAGCTGAGAAACGTGTGTAGACTACGAGATTCGAGCGGGGAATGCGGAAGGGGCCGGGGTCATCGGAGAAGATGAAGATGTTGGAAGGAGGTTTCCACAGGTATCAATTACCTGATTCAGCTAGTGTGTTTATAGTTACGTAGCCTCTCCAAGAGAATTGAACAATCAATCTTACACCTTACTACAATACTTCAACAGAAGAGGCGGCGGATCTCTTCGCCAATGCTGTATGTGATCCCATTGGGGTGACAGTTGCACGTGTATTTGGTGGAGAGGAGGAAGAGTGCAGGGGAACGACGGATCTAAGGTGCCCCACATCAATCACCTTGCTCAAGTGCCACTCTTGGAAGCAACGCTCATTACATCTTTGAAGACGACTATCGAGCCAGCATATGACAATGGAAGCTTCTATTGCGGGGTTGCACTTTTCTGCATATGATCGCCTGTACGAAAATTGAAATGCGGCTGGAAGCTAAGTACCCAGGCATCATTCATCATCCTTGAACTCAAGCATCGATCGAGCAGGCTTGAACATGCTTGATAGCCGCCTTGATTCACGCTGCTCACAACACCACCCAACTCTCATTACGATTCCTGCTCAACTCTCCAGGATGCATCTCGAACATGATGTCACGGCCTTCGTACGAGGAATCGCTGTAGCCAACCTATCTATGGGGCTCGCCGAAAACGCGGCGTAAGGCTCTGCTAGCCACATTTGGTAATCAGTGATAGGGCTATAGCCAAGGAACGAAATTCTTGAAGATCTCCATTGTTCTATGAAATTTCGTACATTCTTGGCCAATCGGCGACGCGTCCTCACGCGGTTACACAAGTCGGGTGGGGAACATCACGCTAACATCATGGTAGTGAGCGTCGTCCGGACGTTGCCGCCAACGCTAACTAAGATGCTATGAGATCACTCTTTGCGATCCGTCATATGGTCAGCGCTCAGGTCACGTTTGTAAGTTGAGAATCTACGTTCCAACCCCACAATCAAGCCCCTGTTATAAACAAACCCAACGCTCCTGCATGTTGTCGACTCATTGAGCTTCGCCAGCATGTCTGTACCATCTTCAGTGAGCGAAGACAAAGGTTTGAGAGCCACAGATTCATACTTGTACACTTTAGATTGACGACAACAGGGAATACCTCACAAGATGGCACTCAACACCGTCCCAGCATCTCAGGACGCCAGCCAGAAACTCGCACGGTGAATGGCAAGGAAGTAGAGATCCACACATGGGACGGTCCGGACGACAAAGATAACCCGTACGTTCAGTTCCAAAACTGTGAATCCCTAAGTCTAACCAGTCAAATAGCTTCAATTGGTCGCCAACGTACAAATGGGTCGTCACAGTCACCGTATGCTTCGTCTCGATCTTGACAGGTCTGCCTGCTGGTTCATACGGTTCCGGAAACGACTGGATGTCACCCTTGTGGAACGTCCAAAACGATCCCTTCCCAAACCTATACTGGGCAACAACAAGCTGGAACATGGGTGCTGCCCTGTTTCCACTGCTCTTCGTCCCACTGACAGAGAACACGGGTCGCATGCCTGGATACTTCGTACAATCCTCTCTCCCCACCTACAATCCCGAGCTTCGCTGACGATCAACAGATCGGATACATCGTCTTCGAGCTCTTCCTCTTCGGTTCTGCCTTTGCCAACAACTTCGCTACGATCGTGGTCACCCGTTTCTTCGGTGGTGGCGCCTCCTCAGTCGCCATCAACATCGTCGGCGGCAGTATCAGCGATATCTGGAAAGGCGACAAAGCGCGCAGCTTGCCCATGTCGCTGTTTGGCTTTACCAGCGTAGCGGGCATCGCACTTGGCCCGTTCGTCGGCAGTGCGATAGTGCAGATTCGGAAGCCGAGCGTTGGCCTCGAGTCGCCCTGGCGATGGTAAGTCCCGTTTGACACGTTTGAGGTCTGGTGGTGATGTGAGAGGCTGATGGTGACAGGATCTACTACATCCAAATCATATACAACGCCGCCCTTATTCCTGTCTTCTGGCTCATCCTGCGCGAAACGCGCGGCGACGTGGTTCTCAAGAAAAGCGCGCAGAAGCTGCGCAAGGAAACCGGTCGGGCAATTTACGCCGAGTCCGAACTGGACAAACCTTCGGTTGTCGAATTGTTGAAAGTGTCTTTCATGCGCCCCACGAAGATGCTTGTCTCCGAGCCCGTCGTAATATTCTTCACCCTGTGGATATCATTCGCCTGGGGCATCCTCTTCCTGTTTTTCAGCTCCGTGGTTCAAACCTTCGGTGACTCGTACGGCTTTGGCACCTTCCAGACTGGGCTTGTGCAGCTCGCCATCACCGTCGGCGCTGTGATCGGTACATTGGTGAACCCACTGCAGGATTGGATGTATCTCCGCTCGGCTGGCAAGAACGATGAGAGACCCGGCAAACCTATCCCAGAGGCACGCTTGTACACGAGTATCCCGGGCTCTCTACTCTTCACAGCCGGTCTGTTCATCTACGGATGGACGTGCAGACCGAGCGTACACTGGATCGTGCCCGCGATCGGCATAACAATTGTTGGAGTCGGGATCTACTCGATCTATATGGGCGTAGTGAACTATCTCACCGACGCATACGAGAAGTACGCCGCGTCCGCGCTCTCCGCTGCTTCGCTCGGCCGCAACAGTTTCGGCGCCTTCTTGCCGTTAGCTTCTGGCCAGCTTTTCTCGACGCTGGGATTTGGGTGGGCGGGCAGCTTGTTGGGCTTCATCGGGCTGGCGTTGAGTGTTGTGCCGGTTGTGCTGCTGTTTAAGGGCAAGGAGATCAGGGCTAGAAGTCCGTTTATGTTGGATAGTACGTTTGATAGTGAGGAGGAAGCGGGAAGGAAGAATAGCTATAGCAAGAAGGGACAAGGGAGGAGTGGTGGGGAGAGTGAGGTCTGAGGTTGGATAGCGTCCATAAGCGTACATCAATTGGCCAGAAATCGGTTTCAGCGTTCAGGGTCATACATGTCGCTTACAAAGACTGATGTCGTTTATTATGACCTGTATCCGCGAGTAAGGAAGCTAATGAAATTGTGCGGACGCAGATGCGTCACGTTTACACAGTGCACTCTCGATAGCACGGAGGGGTCGCGGGTGGCGAGAAGCGACCTCAGGTTCTTCTTCGAGCAAAGAGGACTGTGCTCGCGCGAGAGTGGTACCCTTTGTTCGGTAGAGATCCATTGCCATCGCCAGACCTTCGCGTGATCATGTGACCTCAGACAGCAAAATGCGGTGTTGTCGCGTGAGAGAAGGTCAGAGAAGGCAAAAGACGCAGGGGCCTCGGCTTTGCGCTCGGCGATTGCGTCGGAGCTTGGACAGTTGATGATGTCGAGACTGAAGATTACAGAGCAATTCGCAACGCCACACCATTGCAACACCAAAGACAAGCACGCTGCACGCCTTCTTGGCTGCATCTCATCTCTCAAGTCTCGTGCGGACAAGCTGATTGGGCGCGTGCATTTCCCTTGATTCCTACCTCACCCTCTCATCCCAGCGGCTTCCGAGGTCGCTCTTCCCCGTCATGCTTCACGCCTCGTGGCGGGCAGCTCTGCGCCAGACGTCGCGCTCACATGCCACCCTCACCGCCTCGCGCGTCTCGTCGCGCTTCCTCCCCGCACAGTGTACTGCGTCGCTGGTAGCTCGATACCCCCACCGATGCCCGTCGCCGCCCGCCGCCCTGTGCGCCTACCGCAGCTTCTCCACCTCGCTGAGTCGGCAGAAGGAGAAAGACGCCAAGGCAACACCGGAAGAGAAAAACACCGAGGAGACAGACGAGTCGAAGAAGCCCAAGGAGCAGGAGAAGGCGGCCGACGAGCTCGAGGCGAAGACAAAGACGCCCGACCCGATACCCTCAAGAACAGGGTCAGGCCGAGGCAGCGCTGCAGGAGGGGATGGCGGTCCTGGCGGCGATGGAGGGGCCAGAAAACGCAAGCACAACCCGCTCGTCAAGCCCTCGATACCAGAAGTCTATCCCCAGGTCATGGCCATCCCTCTCGCCAAGCGCCCCCTCTTCCCGGGCTTCTACAAGGCCGTCACCATCCGCGACAGAGAGGTCGGTCAGGCAATCGCTGACATGGTCAGGCGTGGGCAGCCGTACATTGGTGCTTTCATGTTCAAGGACGACGCTGTCGACAAGGACGTCATCGACGATCCGAGCGAGGTGCACGACGTCGGTACCTTTTGCCAGGTCACGAGTGCATTCCCTGTTGGCTCCGAGGACAACTTCGCCATGACCTGCGTTCTGTACCCACACCGCAGGATCAAGATGACGAGCCTCTTGCCACCCAAGGGCGAGAAGCAGGAGTCGGCTGGAGAGGCGACGATTGCCGAAACACCCACACGCGAAACGGCACCGGCCGAGTCCAAGGCCAGCGACAGCGAGTCCAAGGGCGATGTTGTCGCGAGCTTCGAGGAAGCCAGCGACGACGCAAAGTCCAAGGACGAAGATCAGACCCTTGCCATCCTCAAGGGGCGGCAGGTCAGCATTGCCAACGTCCAGAACATGGTCGAGGAGCCCTTCAACATGAAGGACAACAAGGTCATCCAGGCACTAGTCAACGAGATCGTCAACACTTTCAAGGGCGTCGCGCTTTTGAACCCCATGTTCCGCGACCACGTCGCCACCTTTTCCGTTCACACCACAATGAGCGTCGGCGAGGATCCCGTCAAGCTGGCAGACTTTGCTGCTGCTGTCGCCCAGGCCGAGTCACACGAACTGCAGGCTGCGCTTGAGGAGATGGACGTCGAGAAGAGGCTAAGGAAATCCCTCGAGGTTCTGAAGAAGGAGCTCATGAGCGCCGAGCTGCAGAAGAAGGTCAGCGACGAGGTCAACAACCGGGTACAAAAGAAGCACCGCGAGTTCATCTTGATGGAGCAGATGAAGGGCATCAAGCGTGAGCTTGGTATCGAGTCGGACGGCAAGGACAAGCTCATTGAGAAGTTCAACGAGAAGGCAGGCAAGCTGGCGATGCCTGAGGCTGTCAGGAAGGTCTTCGACGAGGAGATGAGCAAGCTCTCTGGCCTTGAGCCCAGCGGATCTGAGTTCAACGTCACAAGGAACTACCTCGATTGGCTGACACAGCTTCCTTGGGGTCTCAGCAGCGCCGAGAACTTTGGCATCAAGCACGCACGTGAAGTTCTCGACGAGGATCACTACGGCCTGAAGGATGTCAAGGACCGCATTCTGGAGTTTATCGCAGTCGGCAAGCTCCGCGGTTCAGTGGAGGGCAAAATCCTGTGTTTGGTCGGTCCTCCCGGTGTGGGTAAAACGTCTATCGGAAAGTCGATTGCAAGAGCCTTAAACCGCCAGTACTACCGCTTCAGTGTCGGTGGTATGTATGATGTCGCTGAGATCAAGGGTCACCGAAGAACATACGTCGGTGCCCTGCCTGGTCGCATCATCCAGGCGCTCAAGAAGTGTCAGACAGAGAACCCGCTTGTCTTGATTGACGAGATCGACAAGCTCGGCCGCAACAGCAACCACGGTGATCCTGCCGCAGCGCTTCTCGAACTGCTCGATCCCGAGCAGAACAACAGCTTTTTGGACCACTACCTAGATGTACCTGTCGACCTGTCCAAGGTTCTCTTTGTTTGCACAGCCAATATGTCAGACACGATCCCTCAGCCACTGCTCGACCGTATGGAGATGATTGAGCTGTCCGGCTACGTCGCAGACGAGAAGATCGCCATCGCCGAGAAGTACCTCGCACCCGCAGCGAAGGAGATGAGCGGTCTGAAGGACGCTGATGTCATCCTCGAGAAGGAAGGCATCGTTGAGCTCATTAACAAATACTGCCGAGAGTCTGGTGTGCGCAACCTGAAGAAGCAAATCGAGAAGGTCTACCGCAAATCCGCACTCAAGATCGTGACCGAGGTTGGCGAAGACGCGCTCCCTGAGTCCGAAGCGCTCACAGACGAAGGCAAGGCCGCACAAGAGGAAGCCGAAAAGGACAAGACAGACGTCAAGCAGACACCAGAGGATATGGAGAAGCAAACATCACCAAAGCCTCGCGTCGCCCTCAAGGTCCCTGACACCGTCCACGTATCCATCAACAAAGACAACCTGAAGGACTACGTCGGTCCACCCGTCTTCACTGCCGACCGCCTCTACGACTTCACACCACCCGGCGTCGCCATGGGTCTGGCCTGGACCTCGATGGGCGGCTCAGCGCTGTACATCGAATCGATCCTGCAAAACGCGCTCTCCGCGTCTTCCCACCCGGGTCTCGAGCGCACCGGCTCGCTGCGCGACGTGATGAAGGAGTCCACCGGCGTCGCGTACTCGTACGCCAAATCTGTGCTCGCACGCGACTTCCCAAAGAACAAGTTCTTTGAGCACGCAAGGCTACACTTGCATTGCCCAGAGGGCGCGGTGCCGAAGGATGGGCCCAGTGCGGGTATCACCATGGCGAGCAGTTTCTTGTCGCTGGCTCTTGATACGCAGATTCGAGATGGCGTGGCCATGACTGGTGAACTTACCCTCACTGGCAAGGTTCTAAGGATCGGTGGTCTGAGGGAGAAGACTGTTGCTGCACGGAGAGCGGGCGCGAAGATGGTTATTTTCCCCAAGGACAATTTGAGTGATTGGTTGGAACTTCCTGAGGTAAGCCATTGCTCCTCGTCCCCCCTCCCGTCCGTGGAGAACCTGGAGATCAGAAACTGACGAGTACACAGAACATCAAGGAGGGCATCGAAGGCCACCCCGTAGAATGGTACTCTGAGGTTTTCAACCTCATCTTCCCGGACCTGAACAAGGAGGTCGCAAACAAGCTGTGGGAGAAGGAACTCAAACCGAAGAAGGGGGATCGCAAGAGGAAGGAGCAGAAGCGGAAAGATGATGATGAGGAGAGTGGGGAGGACGACGACTGAATACCCAATGCACAAGGGTAGTACACTTGTATGATATGAGGTGTGATAGCAGCCACGCATTAGCGGCGTTTGGGCATTGAGAATGCGGCCTTTTGAACCGCGATGTGAAGAGTGGTGGATGAAGCACAAGTGGATCTCGACTCTTGCATATAGATTAGGAAGAGATCTGCGCCAATAACTATTGAGCCAATGAGATACTTGTACCATTCTCATGTATCTACCTCGAGGCCAGTCCCTTGAGCTTCCGCCTTGACTAGACATGATGATTGTGCACACACCCGCTCATGGGCAGATACGCAGATCATCCGACAGCATCGATATGGCCTCGTCCCTTGAGCGGTCCTACCATACGACAGCCCTGCGATGCTCTTAGCGAGAGCCCGAGTCACTAACATTGATCCGAAATGCGAGAAAATGTAGTCGGTTCGCTGTGCAGACTACCGTAAGCTGACTCCACTGGCGCACGATGCTGATATTACCCGTTTGGGCAACCGCTCCACTCGCACTAGGCAGGTCTGAGCCAGCGCTGTGCACACTTATTCTGAGTGTATGTTGCGTCTGGCAGAATGCTCGACCGAGCATAAAGAGTGCACTAGGTGCTTGCTTGACTTTCAAAAACAGCCTCTTCCACGTACTACTGATACAATCGAGCGAACATGACCGCAATGGATTCCTCGTCATGGTCCGCATACGGCAAGATCGATCCAAGCTTCGAAGCAGTGGGTAGAGTTATTATCGTTGCGTGCCAACGCTGATACGCAGAAGCTCCTCCCACACCTCCCACCCGCAAAGTCTTTCGCAGACTACGGCACCGCAGCCGACCTGCGCGCCGGCATCGCGGCACAAGTCGAGCAAATGCTTTCCGCCGGCATCGTCAAACTCCCTGACTGGACTGGCGTAGAGAAGAAGGAGATCCAGATCCCTGTGCGCGACGGCAGCTCAATTCGCGCCGTGGTGTACCGCCCAGAGAACGCGGAGCCAGGACCGTTGGCTGTGTACTTCCACGGCGGCGGCTTCACGTTTGGATGGCCTGAGAGCTGGGAGCATGGCTTCGAAGTAATGACCAAACAGCTCGGTATCACGGTCGTGGGCGTCGCGTACCGGCTTGCGCCCGAGCATGTGTTTCCCACGGCGGCGGAGGATGCGTGTGATAGCTTGAGGTGGTGTGCTGAGCATGCTGAGCGGTTGGGTGCGAATCCTGCAAAGGGGGTCGTTGTTGCTGGGACGAGCGCTGGGGCGAGTCTGGCGGCTGTCGCGGCGCATGATGCTGTTGAGAGGAAGATGGAGCCGAAAGTTACTGGGGTGGTGTTGATAGGTGCTGGGCTGGTGCATCATGATGCTGTGCCGGAGAGCTATAGGGAGCATTATAAGAGCCGCGAGGAGAATAGGGATGCGATGATTCTGGATGTGCGGGGTAACGACTGGTTCTTTGGTGAGTCGTGGGTATAGACGTGAAGACGGAGCAGAGCTGACAGACGGCAGAACAATACAGACCGGATCCTAAATCGCATTTTGCCAGCCCGCTCCTCTGGCCAGGCGGGCATGGAGGGCAGCCGCCGACGTACTTGCAGGCTACGGGGTGAGTGAGTCTCCAATATGATCGTTGCCTAACTGACAGCTTTGTAGCATGGATCCGCTGCGTGACGACTCGTTGATCTACGAGCATGTTTTGCGGGAAGAGTATGGCGTGCCCACGAAGCTAGATGTGTACGCTGGGATGCCTCACTGTGCTCCTGACTTCTTTCCCATGCTGCCAGTTGCGGGCAAGGCATTGGAAGACCTGAAGGCTGGTGTGGAGTGGATTCTAAGCCATAGGGCCGAGTAGTCCCGACGGCTGATCGTCATAGTCAGTGACAGCATGGAAGCTTTTTCGCAGCGAGCATTTGTCTCGACTCTATACACGGTCTTCAAGACATATGATGGTGTCTCAAAGTTGGTGTCTCAGAGTTGGTGTCGCCAAGTTCGTGTCTCTGTCTGACGGGATGAAGTGCAGACAGCCTAGTGCACAGACGCGTTGTGGCCCCCTGTTCCTAGGGCGTCATTGCCAGCCAGGTTCCCTTCACTACTGAAACACCCCACCAAAACATTGACACGCCTAGCAAAGACGCGTCGCGACGCGCTGAGACCCCGCAGCAATGCAGAGCCACCAGCAGTCGTCGTCGTCGCCGGGCGCTGGTAAAGACACTACGCCGCGAGGAGGTCCACGACCCATCAACAATGAGTCAAACTCTCTTTCACGCTCGGTCAAGCGCCTTTCACTGCACACAAGTACAAGCAACCTGCGTGACCCGTCGCCCGGCCCGGCTTCACCTAGACTACCAAAAGCGCGCACGCCGTCTTCACCTCTTCCCCAAACGCTCCGCCGCAGCTCCAGTACTGCGAGCTTGAATCGCGCCTCTTCCCCTGCACCCTCACTCGTCCTAGGGCGGAAGTCCTCGAGCTCGTCACTGCGCGGTGACATCAACCTTGCCGGTACACCAAGAAACCCAGCATCTCGCCGATCGTCATTCGCACCCAATATGCCTTCGCCAATAGGGGCCAAGAGCCCACTACAGCCACATTTCGAGGAGAAACCGCCGTTGCGCGCGTGCGATGTTGCAGAGGAACACTTCAAGAAAGAGCTCGCGCGACATGAAGGGATGGCAGGCACAGCGAGTGCAGGCACAATCGTCATCGTACACGACCACTGCTATGGACACCGCTATTCTCGACCAAAGACGCCTAAGAACATCCTCAGTCTGATCATGGAGCGACCGGAGCGTATACTGGCCAGTGTTCTGGGTATATCGACAGCGTACGTGCGACTCGGTGGGCGGCATGCGCAAGGATATCATCCGTTGCACCCTGAGCAGAATCCACCCAACCGCATACCCTTCAAGATTCGAAAGACCTCACGCGTAGTCGACATCACATCACCTGTCGTAACAAACGTACATGGCACAAGGTGGATGGAGGAGCTGAAGTCCTTGTGCGACAACGCAGGAGCAAAGCTGGCAACAACGGGCAAAGAGCTGGCCAGAGACGGACCAACAGCACCAGGACAACCGCCGAAACATGAGTTTCATGCTGGCGACTTGTACCTCTGCCAGGAGTCACTAGATGCTTTTCAGGGAGCACTTGGTGGTGTTCTGGATGCAGTTGATGCAGTCTTTCAGGGTACCGCCCTGGGTGGTGGGCCGTCTCGAGCCTTCGTTTGCGTGCGTCCACCAGGTCATCACTGCTCAGCAGGCTTTCCATCCGGATTCTGCTGGCTAAACAATGTGCACGTCGGTATCGAGCACGCCATGATGCAGTACGGTCTAACACATGCGGCCATCATTGATTTCGATCTACATCACGGAGATGGTTCACAAGCCATTACCTGGGCGCGGAACAAGAAGGTGCAGAATATGCCAAAGGGCACAGCAAATCGCAAGAAGACGTCTATCGGCTACTTCAGCTTGCATGACATCAACTCGTATCCGTGTGAGGACGGCGACGACGACAAGGTTCAGGCAGCGAGTCTTTGCATCGACAATGCACACGGACAGTCGATCTGGAACGTACATTTGCAGTCGTGGAAGACACCAGAAGAGTTCTGGGCTATCTATGAAGACAAGTACCTTGTGCTCCTCGACAAGACCCGCCAATACCTCAAGTTCCACACAAAGCGACTGAAGAGCGGGCCGAACCAGCCTGCTCCCAAAGCCGCTATCTTCTTGTCTGCTGGTTTCGATGCTAGCGAATGGGAGACTGCTGGAATGCAGCGACATGCAGTCAACGTGCCAACAGAGTTCTATGCCCGCTTCACCCGGGACGTCGTTCGCCTGGCTGAGGAGGAAGGTACAGCTGTTGATGGTCGTGTCATCTCGGTATTGGAAGGCGGCTACAGCGACAGAGCCCTGGCAAGTGGAGTCATGAGCCACATCAGCGGCCTCACGGACGGCCAGGTATACAACGACCCCAACCCCACGAGCGGACTCGCACTCGACATGCACCAAAGACTGGCTGGACTGAGCATGTCAGATGTAGATCTACCTATGCAGTCAGTCGAGGCTCACTTGACACCCGTCACATACGACCCTTCATGGTGGCATGCTACACACCTTGCCGAATTAGAGAACCTGGTGAACCCTCCGCCACCAGTGGCTATCAAGAAGCCAAGGCAGGGACCCCAGGCCCACTTTTCATCTCCTACGCAGTCCTTCACTGCCAAGGTTGTCGATCCAACGAAACTTGCACATCTACAGCCTGGCCGAGGTGTACCAGTCAATCCCTTACGACCGACTACCCCGCCTCCACCAGATGTAGACTGGGCGACCGCAGCGCATGCATTGAGTGCACTGCTTGTACCTTCGGATCGTCAGACCAGGAGTTGCAGACCTGAGGAACTTGCTCCACCGCAAGTCAAGAAAGAGAAGCCCGCTGCACCAGCATTGGCCTCCGTGAAAGTCGATCCCTCTGGTCGTCAATTGCGTGGCCGCAAGCCTGTCACATCGTACGCCGACGCAGGGTCCGATGAGGACAAAGCTTCCCTTCGGACCGAGTCGCGGTCGAGTCGACGACAGACCATCGCCGACTTTCAGCTTGCATCTGCGAAGCCGCCCCCACCAGCTCGGCCAGTGTCACGTCGGATGAGCATTGCCTCAAGTGTATCATCTATCGGTGACCGCAGCGTCAGTCGTGGACCAAGCATCCCACCGCCAACTTCGAGGAGGCGAAGTGTCGCACCTTCGACCGCACCTTCAACCGAGCTTCCAGTCAAGAAAGGTCGTGGAACAACTAGTGCAGCTTCATCTCGAGCGCCTCAGCGGCCGCCGCCTGTAGCGCGAGTGCCCTCCGCCTACTCCAGCAAAGTGGCTCCTGTCAAAGGTAAAGAGAACGACGACATGGACTCGCTGACTTCAGGCTTGAAACGCGTCACACTGAAGATGCCTTCAAAGGAGGAATACGAGGCCCGAGAGAGAGAGAAGGAGGAAAAGCAAAAGGCCCTTGAAGCTTCGAAGAAGACGACCACCAAGACCACGACTCGCAAAGCACCCGCAAACCGCACCACAACCACCAAGGCAGCTGCTAAGCCTGCTGCTGGCACTGCGAAGAGAGGTCCAGGTCGCACATCAAAGTCATCAAAGACGTCGTCGCCAGCTACCACGCCAGCACCGAGCGTGACACCAGAGCCCCCAAAGCTGCAAAGTGCCGCCACAGCACCACTCGAGCAACCAGAGCCGGTACAGCCAGAACCAATCTCTAGCTTGGTAGATCCAGTGAACCGACCTTCAGCTCTGCAGGAGACCTTGTTCGCCAGTGTCTCCGAGGCCAGTCGCCGTGGCTCCGGTGGCATAATCGAACCACCAACCGATATCAGAGATTCAGTCATCACGCCCGAACAGCTTCGCGAGCAGCTTCCCCTACCTTCATTCGTGACAGAAGCGGAAGCACCTCCCACAATGATACCCCCTCAATGCGCCGACACACCTCCACCACCACCACCTGCTACTGGCTTGCAATTTGTAAATTACAACGCGCACTCGTTTGATACAGCTCCTTTAGCAAATGGCGTGCCTCACACATTGGAGCCTCAGACCTCAGCAGGCTTACGCTGGCTACCTCCGAACACCGACACAACGGCAACCCCACCGAAGATGGGATCCCGTCCCATGTCGCCTGCCATGAGGCAAGATTTGCCTTTGTTCACCGCGAATAGCATCATACCCTTTGCCGTACCAGCTCCTGCACCCGCTCCTCAGCAGAGCGCGTCTATCAAGGCAGAGAACTACAAAGACGTCTGGGAAGTACCCGACACACCTGCCCGCTAGTCGTACAGCGCAATTGAAGGATTGGTACCAAGTAGGGCGTTCGTTGGTGGGACTAGACGTTTGAGGCGTTCACAGGATTGAGTGCCCAACAAGTTGGCGCGCTTACCGCAAATTTCTTGCGGTTCAGCTGCAAATTCTGTAAACCCTGTAGTTTTTGCTATGTAGAGATACCCGCTTTCGCGCAGAATTTGATATTTTTGTCTATTGACAGTTTCATTCTTACATCATTCTTACGACTGAAACCCATTGCTCCACTAGTGTTCACTAGGATTAGAGCACCAGGCACCCCTCAACGCAACACAAGGCCCTCCGTATAATCGCCACTTTCATGCATGCAATCCCTCAAGTGCCCGTTTTCTATTCAGAGGTGTCACAAGATGCAGGGTACCTTCTCTCGGGAACCAATGGCTAACGCGTAAAGCTGTCATGGGGCGGGTGTGAAAGCGGGGTCCACGCTAGAACGTGAAATCTCGGATGACGCACATTGCTCACGGTCGCAGGTTATATGGCGTGACAGTACGCGTCCTTAAGTATCTTGATCTCGTTCGTGCTTGGATACTTGTCGATATAGCTGCGTCCCAGCTGTAACACGTGTAACACCTGCCTCTTCGCTTAGAACCGACGCCAGCTCTTCCTCCGACAGAAACACAACAGCAAGTAGCTATCAACATGGCTGACAACTCGGGCAGCAGCAACCCATTCGCACGTCGCGAGGAGTTCTCGAGCCAATCCATACTGCTGTACAAGATCTCCACAGGTCTTTCGTACATCATCCTGCTCACCACAGCATTCTACTACACCTTCAACAAGCCCAACGAAGGCCATGGGCCACACCACCGCTTCTGGCAGCACCAACCAGCAACCCCGTTTGCGCAGAGCAGCATCATCACCTCGATCTACTGGTATCCGTGACCCCTCTATCCCCAACCAACCTCGACACTAACGTGACTGCAGGATCGTCCTCTTCATCCTCCAACTAGTCTACGCCTGGTCCCTCTGGTCCTCCAATAACACCTACCTCGTTGCCGCCGCCAACATCGGTACGCACTACATCACCTCGAACCTGCTGCTCTTCGGCTTCATCCACCTCTGGGTGCGCAACCACTTCTGGATCGCTGAATTGCTACTGATTATCAACTTCTTCAACCTGAGCTTCGCATATTTCAGGCACTCCACCACCCCGCGCGCCATCCACATCGGCACTGTTGCTGGGCCTCTGGCATGGAACTTTGTCGCGCTGTACTGGGTTGGTGCTGTAGCGTTCCATTCGACCCATCTTGTGGGCAGGATTGTTGCTAATGTGTTCATTTGGGGCTGGCTTGGATATGGTGTTTTCTTCCTTGCTGCGTACAAGGACTACACCATCGGCTTTGCGCTGTCCGTGCTGTCTTTCTGTAAGTCAACTCTACTGATCGTCATAGATATTGAATTGAGACTAATGGCTTGCAGCCACGGGTGTCGGGCAATTCCTCAGCAAGCTCCCCATCCTCCAACTGCAGTGGATCTTTGCATTCACCATTGGCGGCATCCTCTTTGTTCTGTCGCTTGCGGTCGGTGTCCCTGGACTTCTGGGTCGTGATCCCTTCCCACGTGGACAGATTGTGAGCGAGGACCGTGAGAGGGCGCCTCTGCTGGCTGACGTGTAAGGGTTGCGACAGGGAAGTGCGTGGGGGAGATCCCGCGTATCAGCGTGTGCGCATCGACCAGTGGACAAGTGCGGAAGTGCTATTAGGAGTGGCACAAGTCGCTCAGTCAGCATTGAAAGTGGTCTATAGCGGGAATAAGTCGTTGGTCTCGACAATCGTGTTATTTGAGGGAAACAGTTACAACTTTCAGCATCATCGCAGCGTTTAGGGTGGATGTGGATATTGTTGGCATCTCCTTCCCCCGTTTAATATCTTTGTAGCCAAATCAACAAACTGATCTCCACAGTCCCCAATTTCAAAACTCGTCTGCAGCCTCACACTCACAACAGCTGCGACGCAGGGACCACAGACAGCGGATCGGACCGTCCATGGGCTGCAGCATCCGATGACGATCATTCGCACGACAACATCGGATAAGATTTCGCCTTACCCAAACGCAAACGTCGTTGTCCTCTGTGGGCATGGGGTACGAAAAGCCTCCGAAGTACCACCTAGAGCCTGCTATCGGTGCTTGCCAAGATGTATGGACCCCCCTGAATCTGGCTCGCTACCGAAGTCCTCTACATCATGCAGAAGCGAAGGCTTCCGAGTGGCTGTTGATTGTCCGGTTGACAGTTGTGACAGCTTGCTAGACGTCATGCAAAGCACCAACGTTAGTAATAGCCACTCACAAGCTTGTCCGCACGACTATACCATGGTGCAGATGTACTTATCGTATCACTGTTCCAAGTTCAGGGGGGTTCGTACATTTTGACAATCATTATATTACTCCGCCAGCAACCCCTCAACATCAACTACAAAGGAATAGACGCACCACTTCAATCGATTGACTCTGAGCGCTTTCACACTACACCGCCTGTCTTGAAAATGAGAACAACCTACGCAGGCTGCAACAAAAGAATCATGGAAACACCACCACAACCATAGCATCCACCAAACCCACAAGTCCTCTTCGTCCCCGGCGCCTGGCACAAAGCCGCCTCCTACACCCTGGTAATCCAGTCCCTCAACGCCCCCGGCTACGAAACGGCAACCACAGAGCTCGCATCCGTCGGCCCTGTCCCCAGCCCGCAGGCCTGGGCCGACGACGTATCCAACATTCAGGCCGCCGCCGCCGCCGTCGCCTCGCTCGCCGGCGCCAGAAAGAAGATTGTCCTCGTCGCGCACAGCTACGGCTCCCTGCCCGCTGGCGCGGCCATCAGAGGCATCCTCGTCCGCGAAAAGGAAAGCCAAGACTGGTGGATTTCGTGTACATCAGCGCGTTCGGACTGGCTCCTGCTACGAGTTTGATAGATGCGCTCGCCGCCAACAGATCCGCCGTGGTTCAGAGCCAGCGAGTCCAAACTCGAACTCGGACCCAAGCATCCTGCCACTGTCTTCTGTAACGATTCCGAAAAGGACGAGCACGATCTCGCCGCATTGCGAATTTGCAGTTGTTCGGTTATCAGGCGTGCTTCCAGAAGACGACTGCTTCGTCTACTGCACCATACATAACGCTATCCTATTACCTATTCAGCAAGATATGGCGGTGGGCTCCGGGGTGCAGTTCAAGACATGACAGTCGAGGCGAGTCATAGCCGGTTTTTGTCGAAGCTAGATGAGGGGGTGGGTGCGATTGTTGGAGCGGTGGAGGTGTGTAGGGAGGAGGCTGCGCTGCTGAGTGAGAAGACACTATGTGGTGACGGGGGCAAGAGATGTATACGCTGAGACTTGGAGGGAGGTTTGAATGAAGTTCTTCAGCATCAGGGTCGACAGGGTCATCACGACTATGGGCCCTCGATAGATCGCTACCAAAGAAGCAATGCACACCTGTCAAAATATCTTCGGAGGTCGCTCAACTTGTATTGTACTCATGCAGGTACATGCACCACTCATACGAAGCGCCGACACAGCTAGCCACCAACACCGTCACCATGAACCAAACACCCTACACAAGGCTCTCTTCTTCCGACACCCTATTACCTCAGCCTCAACTATGCACTCTAAAACGCCGCGGCGCAACCAAAGCATCCCTGCCACGCCATCAGATCCGACAACTACACTCGAAGCAAGACGATGCGTCGAGCGCAGACCGACCGACGCCGTCTCCGCGACAGGTTAGAGGTAGATCACCTATACCGTATGCACATCCAGTACAACCCCGCTTCTCGTCTTTACAACGCCCACCAGCCCAGCCACCCCTCGGCGAGGTCTACAAGAAGTCTAAGGTGCCGACACTGTGTAAGCGGATTTACCTCTCGCTGATCGACCGATTTGCTCTGACGCCGGTCAAGATAGCCCAGAAGAGGATCTCCCTACCGAACGGTTCAGTTAGCCCAGTCCCTGCACCGGATGTCACTGCACAGCTACACTGCTATCTTCTCGAAATACTCTCTTTCACATTCGGTATGGACTGTCATGTGCTGAGCCAGGCTCTGGGGCAGCAGGTGTATGCGCACGCGACGACGATTTTGAGTATCCAAGAAAGGCATGATTTGCTTCAGTTGTCGCTTATGGTGCAAAGACTGCATCAGAAAGTAAGGAAAGGCGAGCAGAAGAGCATGCTGCTCACCGACAAAGAGCATGTTCTACGAACGATAATAGAGCCGGTGTTGGAGAGCGGATATCAAGCATTCGTCCTGGATCTGATAGCTTCTTACGCTGACCACCAGGGAGACCCAACGAAATGGCGGGGTACACTGATGGGGCACTGGAGTCGGCGACGTGGAACGAGGCGAAGTCTCTCAGCCCAGGTTGACTATGTGTTCGAGACACATCTCGAGCGTAAAATCGATCCGATGGAGTGGCGGCCGTCCGACATGGGGGACTGGAGTCAAAGGCGCAAATTGGTACAGAGTCTTATGAGCCATGCTAGATTGGTGTTTGCGATCGCGCCGAATGAGGAGGTGAAATGTTTGTTTGCGCTGGCGATTCAGAGGTATCAAGAGGAAAGAGAGCTCAAGATTTGGAGTCTCGAGAGCTTGGCACAAGGGAGTTTCGAGCCGGCGATAAGAGACGGTTTCAAAAAGGTAGCGGAAGTTCTTCTGAAAAGTAAGAAGAAAAGGTAGATTGAGCTGATGACTCCTATACCCACAAAGAAGTCAGTACGAAGGACTGGGAGTGGCGTTTCTAGTTGCAACAGAGGCTGTTGGAGAATACAAGAGCCTGTTAAGTGAAAACAGTACGTCCTTCACATGATCGGGAGGACATCAATCTACCAGGGAATGCTAGCGACACGCGCAGAGACTGCTACTTGAAAATGGTTAGCCAAGTTTTCCTGTGTATGAGTGTAGAAGAGTTCGTTGATATGTGGCTAGTACTTGTATCGAAGCTCTTTGTTCTCCCTGTCTGTCATGTCGCTGAACTCGACGTCTGTCTGATGATTGATGCCTGCAGTATCTCTTCTGAGGTTTTCGAGTCGGTAGTAGAAAAGTAGAAATGCGACAGCACATAGAACTGTGACCTCGACAGCCACAATCGTGATCTTGGCAGGTGTATAGTTGGGTGCGTCTTCGTTGCGGAACGTCAACGGCCCGAGGATGTTACCGAGACAGAACGACATCAGTAAAATGGCGTTCATTGTGACTTTCTTGGTATGTCCCTGGAGGTTGTCAGTACGCTTGGAAAGCAGGGAGTAGCGATATGGAAGGAATTTGTTGCCTACAGCAAAGTTACAAGCCGCGAAGGCGTACGCAAGTGGCAGAAAGGAACCAGTCATGTTCGTCAAGTAATTGCCCGCCAGTCTCCCTGCCTGAGAACTATCAGGCAAGAATGCGATCATACCTCCGCCGACGATACCGCCAAGTGCAGCCCAGGTAACAAGCATAAGGCCCCGACAGTTGTAACGGCCGGCGATATAAGTACCGAGAAGCGTACTGACGACCGTGATCAAGCCACCCGGGATCTGAATGAGGGCAGTTTCCTTGTTCGAGAACCCAAAACCGGAGATGATAACGCTCTGAAACGATGACACTGCGCCGTTGGGGATACTCGCGGCGATGGTGATGAACGCTAAGAGCCAGACCTGTGGATCGCGGAGTGCTTCACGGAATTGATAAGGCTTGAAAGTCTTGTTCTCAATACCGGTGTTGTTCTCGCGGAGACGCGAGACTGCCAGAACCTTCTCCTCGTGTGTCAATCTACTTGACATTGGGTTGTCGGGTAAGAAGAGAATGACGATGATGCCAGCAGATATGGTGATGAGACCGACAACGAGGTACATGATCTGCCAGTTGTTAAACTTGTCGCCAGTGTAGTGCTGAAACCCGTATGAGATAAGCGAGCCGACCATCACTGCGGCGCCGACGCCAGTGTACCAGAAGCCAATGCGCTTGGGCTGCTCGTCGCGCTTGTACCACATTGATGTTACGAGGATAAGCGAAGGGCTGATAGCTGATTCGAAGGTGCCTAGAAGGAATCGGCACACGGCGAGGGAGGCATATGAGTCGCATGCCGCTGTACATGTCACTGTGCTCAGGTCAGCGATTACCTCCAGGGTTGCGTTTCATTGTGTCAAGAAGCATACCAACTGTACCCCATGCGCATACGCAACCACCAAGATACTTTGCTACAGGCAGACGTTGCATGAGATATGCATGTGGCATCTCGAAGACCAGGAATGCGAGATAGAACAGCCAGGATAGCGTGCCGTACTGCTCGGTCGTCAAATTCGCGGTTTCTCTGATGCCCATGACAGCGGCAAAGTTTACTAAGAGTCGTCAGTCATTCAACTACATTGCCTCAGAAGGTGGAAAGCCTACACAAAGACTTGTCGAGGTACTGGAGGAAGTAGCATGCGAACATGATGGGCACAATCATCCAGTCAATCTTCTTGATGAGGGCCTTTTCGTCAATGGCAACAACAGTACCTTCTTCGCTGTCCTCGTTGAAGCGGAGAAATTCGAGTGCCTTGTCTGCATCCTTGTATGCGTTCTTCTCCGGTACCTTCTCATCGATATGGCTTGGCTCTTCGATCTCGCGTGCCTGCATCGTGCTTGTTGCTGCGCAGATGTTGCTTTAAGCTGCAGTCGTATGCAATTGAGATGGTACCGTTCAAATATAAACGTGTTGTGAAAAGAATTCATGTTTATGGTTGCATCCTCGGAATTGATAAAGAGCGTGTTGTCAATCATGATATCGTTCGCTATCAGCCCCACTCTTCCAGTTTTGGAAGGAGAAGGGATAGAACTGTCCAGTAAGAGAGTTGCCGAGCACTGACAGCGAGCCAACGGTGATCATTCGGTAGACATCAATCCATACATTGCAGGCGGCTGAAGAATGCCGCTGCCGGGATAAGATACCTTATCGCAGCAATGGGGTGGCGATACCTGGGGTTGCAGCTTGCGGCAGTTGAGATGGAATGGTTACGGGCCACCGAGGCTGTCATTCCGGATGAATGGGAGGGAGAGAGATGTCGTGAAGAAGTCAGGATATAGAAATGTTAGCAGGGCGCGGGCGTTGCAGTCATGACTGCCACGACTGTCACGACTGTAGAGGTGGTGACGTCACAAGGTTCCGGGGGAACGAGCTGGCCTGCGTTTCCGTCTCAGTTGCGACAGGCAACATTGAACCAGTGCTAGATGGCATGATTAGACAACGTCGCGGCATAGAAGTGCAGGGAGGATGGGAGGTTTGCTAAACAGCGTCAACTTCTGCACTGTCCTTCGAAGCGCACGAACGTCATCAGAGCTTCAACGTTGATATATACATCTACATTAGCCAGCTCATACTCCAAATTGGAGCTGGAAATTACGACTCGACTCACAGCAAGAGGTCTTGATTCCCATCTGCACCGCCTGGGTTCATTACGAGCGACTGTGGCGCGTTCTGGTTCACAACCCAACCACCACCCATCCCAGCATGGTCTTCTGCTATGGGCGACCCACCAAATGTGCTTTGCCTGCCAACGCTGGCGAAGTACATGTCAGCATCGCTTACTGCGGCTGACATGTTGCCGTTCGTCGGTGAGAGGGAGCCGTTACCGTTGGGCGCTGTGTCGATTCGTGAGCGGTCTGCTGCTGCGCGCTCGCGCGCTAGTTGTGCGGCCTTGACGGTGGGTAACTCGTGCCGCTGTAACGCAGGTGACTCGATTACCCTGCGGGGGCGGGCGGTGCGGAACACCTGGTTGACTGGCTTGAGGTAGACTGTTGCTAGTGTACCCACGTTGAGACACATCTCTTCCAGTGTCCCAGGATCTAGCTTCTCTGACTCCTCTGCTGTAATGGCAGGCTTCTCGCCCATAACGACCTTCTTTGCTTCCTCAGGCGCAGAAGATAGCAAGCGCCAGTACATGTACCCTCGATCTCGCAGATCTGGGTTGTCTGTTTCTTCGGTTGCCCACTTTAGGACCTTAGGGACTAGTGCCGAGCCTCTTGTTGGTCGCTGAATGAAAAGCTTTACTGTAGCAGTCAGAAGTGCCAACTGCACCTCGTGTGTCTCCTCTTGGAACGAGTCGAGGAAGTCTTCGAGGAGGACATCGGAGTCTTCGATACGGTCGGCGTACTGTCCAATGACCCAGATCATAGCAGCTTTGGCTTCTGGCTCATCCAGCGAGTCGAGGTTCTCGCATAATGTTGAGATGATGGACTCGTACTGATTGGGATATTTCCGGAAGATGTTGCGGATGACTACTGTTGCTTCTTGCACGATGTAGGAAACCTTTGTGCTGACGAGAGAAAGAAGGGTGCTGATACACAGTTGCGCTGCTGGTGCAATCTTGATGGCCAGCTTACCAATGGCACGTACCGACTTGCGTACGAAGTCGACATCGATCTCAGTAGCGTATCTATTTGGGTTAGTGTGCAAAATGGCGTGTCCACGTAGGATGTGACTTACTCTGCAAGCTCTGTCAACACCTCCTTGATGTTCTTCTCGGTTGCCAACATAAAGATGAGCTCAAGCTTTGTGACCTTGACGTAGATGGGGTCGTTGTATTTGCAGAAGAAGACGCGGATGTCGTTTCGCAACACTTCCGGCCGCCGTTGCAGGATAAGGAGGGCGTTACGAAGAGCAAGGTACTGAATCTCAGGTCCTTTCGACAAAAGCGTGACAAGCGGCGGCGAAAGCTTATTGCACAACGATGCAATAACCTTCTGGTCGGAGATGTAGTTCATTAGGTAGAGGATGACACGGATGCACGTAAGCACCACAGCGGAGTTGGAATGCGACAATCTTGGTGATATTCGCTCGGCGAGCAGAGCGGCTTCGGACGATTCCTGAGGAACGTAATTCATCATAGCTTCCATGATGTATGTCTGACCCCACTCTGAGCAGTCTGCCAGAATGGAGACAATCTTCGACGCACTCGCATAGTCGATGGTGAGCTTGATATTCTCACTTCTTTCCCAGATGTCCATCAAGCCTGCTAGTGCGCTGGAGACGACTGTGGGGTTCTCGTCTCGCAACATGCCATTGAGCTTGTCGATCAAGTCCGAGGACTCCACCAGATGTCGGTCGTGGTCGTAGAGCTTGGCGACACAGAAGGCGGCTGTCTTGCGTACGTAAGGGTCGGAGTCTCGCAGGAGGTTCTTCAGATGCGGCACAGTTGCCTCGACGTATTCGCGGACGTGGATGTAGGACATAGTCCGCAGTGCGAGCGCTCGCACCAGAGGATTGTTGTCCTGCATGTCTTCCTGGATGATGGGCAGCGCCTTGAGGGCAATGTCAGGTTTTATCCTGGCATAGTTGACCAGATACAAAAAGCACCTGGTGCGATCAGTGAGCGCTCACTGCCTGTGTATAGGCCGTGGACCTACATCTTCTTTATCTCCAGACTCGGAATGTGCATGCATCCCACAATGTCCGGGAACAAGGCGACCATGTCGTTGTTGCTCATGGTCATGTTGGCGACGATCTTCTTCAAAGCCGTCTTCTTCGCGGAGAAGTTCTTGTCCTTCTTGCCGCCACTGTTCAGTTCGAGGCGCAGCTCCGCTACTTTGCCCTGTGGTGTGCGGGGGTATTGTGAGTGCTGGCTAACAACCGGGGGCAGGGGCATGAACATAATCATGGCGGCGGCCATGCGCACGGCGGCGCATGAAGAGCTGGGTGTGTACGAAAGAAGAGAGGACGTACCCTCGCAAAGAGCTTCGCATCTTGGCCGCCCTGGCTCATGGTGGACTAGCTATCACGAATGCGCCAGCTCGGCGTTACCACTGCGCATGTGCCTTGCTGTATTACAACCAAGACAGCTCCCCTCTCCCTGCCGCTTTAGCGCCCCTCTCTGCGCCGTCAATATAGATGCGGGGCTCTGATAGGTGGTGTCGTTCGTCAATCACACTGGTATCGTGTGCTGTCTCTTGGAGGGCTCCGGACGACGTTTCGAGGGGTGATGCTTGAGTCCGCGGCTCGTCAGGGTGAACAGGGCGTCTAGGATGTTTTGCGGAGGTCGTCGGGGAAGCGCACGTGCATTTCGCCAAGCCCTGTGGAGCCGCTTTGGTGGTGACAGCTGCTCAACACCACCGAAGCATCACGAACGCCGCACATCATCCTGACTAAACTCACTTCCAAACACTACCCGGCCATAGCAGTGCGTCTTCAGCTCGCCGCCAATACAGCGATACAATGTCCGCACCACCGCCCCCGCAATGGGTTGTCGACCTCAACTCGGCGCCCGCATCGAAACCCAAGAACGCATCGCTCCCAGACCCACCAGGCTACACAGCGTCCATGACTCGCAAAGAGCGCGCTCTCTCCTCCAAGAAGACCCGCGTGCCACCTACCCCAGAAGAGATGGACACACTCAAGATGAAAAAGGCGTGGGAAGTCGCCATAGCCCCCGCGAAGCAGCTGCCCATGAACGCTTTTGGTGGGTCTTGAATGAGAAGGCGCGGCGCAGGATACTGACTGCGACTAGGCATGTACATGACCGGAAACTCGCTTCAGATCTTCTCTATCTTCATGGTTTTCACGCTCTTCAAGACACCCGTTATGGCTGCACTTGGCATTCAGCGCACATTCGCACCCTTCGAAACACCCGGCACAGCTGGTCGCCTGCTGGGTGTCAAGGTCGTCTATATCCTCACTAACCTGCTCATGCTCGCATTGGGTATCTGGAAGGTGAATGCAATGGGACTGCTGCCAACGACCCGGTCAGACTGGCTGGCATGGGAGGGCGAGAGGACATGGTCAGAAAGAGCCGTGCCCAGGGAGTGGCTGTAAAACGACGAGGTATGGCAGTAGCATTGCACGGCGTTGGTGGTCGAAGTCCGTCCGCGACTTTCTTTCTTTTTCTTTTCCATCCTGGAGCTTGAACGCGCTAGCCACGAGTCTTCCCACCAGGAGAGCTCACATCAGCTACATCGGCGGTCAAGGTGCGGCGCAAAATCAACACAAGTTTCACAACAAACGAAATATCTCTCTCCGTTACAATTGAGCCAACACGAGTGTCATCATCCGCACGACCCTTCTCAGTCTACGGCAATCGGTTACAAAACACTTTCCTTCACTTTTAGTGGGTGCTCGGTCTCAGCTTTGTGCTTTACTTGCTCCAAACTTTCCCAATCTCTGTTCATCTACTACCTCCTCGCCCATCTTCAACCCATTCGCGCCCTGTTTCGCAATGTCACTTTCAGTCAGCGAAAATCTGAGAGCGGTAATCAGGATGATCAACCTTGTCCTTGGTATATCGGAGGAGATCGTTCCATGTTCGCACACCTACGGCATCGAAAGACTTTCCAGCACCGAGCAAGCTGTGCAGGACCAACGTATATGCGAGGCGAAGTTCAACAAGTGTCGTAAGTTCTGATCCGGCCTCCTTGCGCGCCAGTCACCTCTGACACCTTCATCTCTGAAGTGACGGCAGAAGAGCCGAAGTCCAGCGATGGCCCGTGTTTGAATGTCCTCAGAAACAGCTTGCGCCTCTAAAAGGACTCATCTACAAGGCCCACCTCAGCCGAGAGGAGCCATTCTACCGTGGCAACACTGCATTGAAATCTCCTTAAGACACCAGGTCTGACATGTCGAGAGTTCTTTAGATGGCGAACAAATGCGAAGTCAGCGTGATGGTTTTGCGAGAAGTCCTCACCGAGCTCTTGGCCAATAGTAAGCAAATAGTGCTCCTTCAAGTAAGGTCGCTTCGATCTAATGTCAGTCGGCGTAGTACACTCGAAAATTACGATAAGCTGGATCTCTTCGAGACCCCCCCCCCCCAGTTTCGCATTACCTTCGCTCGCCGTCCTGCCGAATTTCACTCCGTCCTTCTCGTTGAATGCCCTTGGCGTTCAAAAATCGTTCTCGACCCGACCGCAGAACAGGATGGCTTCCCAGCAGCAGTGCGAATATCAAAGCTTCGCTACTACAAGAAGCACTATATTATTCGAAAAGATGACTGTGACGGCGAGCGATTGACAGCCGACACCCGAGCTACGCTCCAGCATGACTGCAGGATACGCGTAAGCCTGTTGTACTTGACAGAAGAAGGCAAGACCTCCTGGAGCCAGTTTGAGGAAGAATTGCCCGGGTGTGGGAATATTGGAAAGAGTACCTAGCCGGTGAGAAGAAGCTGTGGAAATTGGACGAAGAAGCTCTCGCTTTGGAGAAAGGAATGCTTCTGGACCTTGTACAAACAAGGGTCAGAAAGGTCCAAGATGACCAGGTATTCACGCAGTGGCTTCGAAGCCAACCATACACTGCCTGATTATTCCGCTCATACTTGTAAGTCGAGTTCCAGCCCCGGGGAATAGATCGACAGGTACATGCACCATTCCGGCTAAACACCAGTGATATGATCTGACCATACCAGAACAGGCAACTAGCCGTAGATGTACCTCGTTTACACTTTACAATGTATTGCGGCCCAGAGCATTCCCTGGTCGCGGGACCGCATTCGCCAAACCCCAGGTTCACTGGACAGTTCTAGAGCTCCACATGTTGTTACAGCTTCCACAAACCATTATGGCCTCTACATGTATAAAAGACAACGCTGCTTTGCAGCACACAATTACAAACACCTCTCAGCTCCACTTCTTTACTCTACTCGCCCATCATGAAGGGCTTCACGTACCTGATTTATGCTCTCCTCACTTTCGTTTCCTTCTCCTCAGCCCACCCCGGCATGGGCGACACCATGGCAGCAATGCGTCGCGAAGCCAACAAAGTCAAGCGCGTCGAGTCAAAGGTGCTCATCGGCGACCTCAAAACCCTCAAGGACACCCAACTCACTCCAATTGGCAAAGACATCAAAGCTATTCTGCTCGACCAGCTCGATGCTGAATCAAACATCATTGACACTTCCATCCCCGCCGGCTCTCTTGGCAGCGCAGCATGCAAAGCAGATCTGTGCTGCGTCTGGAAGTGGATTAGCTACGAGATGACTGCGAAGTTTAACGGCACATCCGGGCGCTGCAACAAATTTGCACGTCAAGCTGTCCGTCTCGGCTTCCACGATGCGGGCGTCTGGTCCAACACATCCACTTACGGCGGCGCAGACGGCTCCATTCTCCTCAGTGATGAAATGACGCGCGCAGACAACAACGGCCTCTCCGCCATTGCTGACCAGATGAAAGCTTGGTACAACAAGTACTCGCCCTACGGCGTCAGCATGGCTGACCTGATCCAAATGGGCGCCAACGTCGCTACCGTTGCATGTCCCCTGGGTCCACGCATACGGTCCTTTGTCGGGCGCAAAGACAACAGCAAAGCCGGACCTGCAAGCTTGCTGCCAGGACATCTCGACTCCGCGGATACGCTGATCAAGCTCTTCGCTGCAAAGACAATCGATGCACATGACCTCGTTGCTCTCGTTGGCGCACATACGACGAGCCAGCAGCATTTCGTCAACACCGGGCGCGACGGTGATCCGCAAGACTCCACGCCGGGCGTCTGGGACGTCAAATTTTACCCCGAGACGACTGGCAACGCGGCTCCAAGAGTGTTGAAGTTCCAGTCCGATATCAATCTCAGTAAGGATCCGCGGAGTGCGGGCGAGTGGCAGGAGTTCAGCAACCCGAGCAATGGGCAGGACCACTGGAACGAGGATTACGCCAAGGCATACACGAGGTTGAGTCTGCTTGGTGTTAATAATATCAATGACCTGAAGGAGTGCACGAAGGTACTTCCGCCGCACAGGAGCAGCTATGTCGCGGAGGATCAGGTTATCCTGGATATGTGGCTGCAGGGGCAGTTCAACCAGCTGAACAGTCTTGTGGACGATGCGATTATGTTGACCGGGTTTGGTGGTGGAGGGAGCGGGACTATTATCACACCTTGAAGCCTTCTCTCTCCTTGGGTCCACAACGTAGCAATCAATCAGAACTACTCCTTCTCTACTTCGCCATGTCTCTTTATAGATCTTTACCTGACAAAAGCACCACCCCCACCAGCCCCCAGCTGATTCCCCGTCATCCACCCGCTCTCCGGCAAACACGCAATTCCCACAATCCCCGCCACCTCCTCCAGCGTCCCCGGCCTGCCCCCAATCTCCCCCGCCAGTCTCAGCATATCCTCCGTATCCACGCCCGGACGTTCTCTCGCCAGCGGAATCAGCGCATTATACAGCTTCAGTGCCTCCCTTGGCGCCTCCGGCAGCCCATTCAGTAATCCAGTGTCCATGGGGCCGGGGGAGACGGAGTTCACGGTTGCGCGTTCGGCGAGCTCGCGCGCCCAGACGCGCGTCATGGCTTCGATGGCACCTTTTGTGCCGGCGTAGGAGGTCTGTTGGATGAGGCCCCATGTCGTCGTTGCACTACTGATATTCACAATACGACCTGAGCGGTCGGTGGGCAGGTAGGGATAAGCGGCTTTGATGAGCAGTGCAGGAGCGCGGACGTTGAGGTCGAATGTTTGCTGGAACAGATCGATATCGAGATCTTGGATGGGCTGGGCGTTGACGATGGCGGCGTTGTTAATTAGGATGTCAATTTGGAAGGAGCCGTTTTTGCTGAAGTGGGATTTTGCGGCATCGATGAGTTGTTGCGGCGCAGAGGGATCGAAGAGATCGGCGCGGATGGGAATGGCGGTGATATTGTACTCTGAGGAGAGTTTCTTTGCAAGGTCGCGGGCGCGGGTGTCGGAGGATGAGGTTGCATAGTTGATCACGACGTTTGCGCCGCGGGAGGCGAAGTGTGCTGCGAGGGCAGCACCGAAGCCTGATGTGGAATCAGTATGATGTTAACGAGTTGATGTCTCCATGTGAACATACTGCGCGATGCGCCAGTGATGATGGCGAGCTTGCCCTCGAAGACCCTTGATGGAGACATTGCTGATTTCCGATGGATTCTTTGTTGGCGCTGAAGCTACAAAGGTCCTGACCGTTCTGATAGTTTTCTGATGCACAGCACCAGCTTCTTTACCATCGTCACATCGCGGGGCAGCTCCAGCTTTGTACCCCTCTATCCTCAAGATCATCCAGCTGTCCTGCGGTAATGGCCGCAGGGCATCGCAGGCGGTGTAAGGCTTTGACGCAGCTTCGGCTTAGCTCCCACTGCCGCGATGGAAGAGGCGTTTCAAGCGCCAGCAACATCCAAGAACGAGCATCTCATGCTATTCGAATGAAGGTCTCGCGCCCTTGAGGTGGATCTGGCGGTGACGATCGCTATCTGGTGTTGTGGGTCTTGTGTAAAAAGTCCGAAGAAGCGCCATACACGAGCATGGATGCGGAAAACAAAGTGTAAGACTTGACGGCTACTTTCTGTGTCGCGTCTTGACGAGAACAGATACAAAATTCTGCATCGCTGACCCGAAACTCGAAGGAAGAGTGCGTTTGTTGCTGCAGGTTCGACAACGATGTTAGTGCATTCAGCCTCACCCTCAGCCCCACGTCAAGGCTGAAGAGGTCCACCTCATGGCCTAACGTTTCGAGGCTGCCGAGTTCATGCCAGCATTTGGTCTGTGCCATGACACCAGCACATCCAAGTATGTGTGTCGTGCTTGCTTGCATCCTTCGCGCAATCAACATCTTGAAAAGGGGTTGTCGACTAGCCAAACCTCGCTTTGTCTGGCCAGCCTCGGTAGCAGTTGAAGGACTGTGAAGTTAACACAAAAAGCTTATGCATCCCACAAAATGCGGAGAACAATGCCGCTGGGACTCGAACGGTAGTCGCGGCATGTCAAACCTTGTGCGGCCGCCGTGGCGGGTGCCAGCTCCCGTCCCGCACCGTTGTCAATATCAAACTTCGCTGTAACTTAGTCTAGACATATGCCTAAAGTGCAGCTTGGCGTGAGGATCGTGCCGCATTGGGGCGGGGGACGTGTTGGCGTTCCCTCGTCCTGGGATTGGAAGGATGCAGGGTAAAGAACTTGAAGGACCGAAATAAGGCGTGAGGAAGGTTGGGAGGTACATTTGGATATGTTCTTCGCCTCCTTGCACTCCACATCTTGACGTTCACTGTCGAAAGTCGTCTCCTCTCTTTGGAGATCGAGCTTTTCACACCACCTCATCGTTGTTGTAATTGGAGCTGTGGTCAAAAGACAACATGGCGCCCACATCGTACCCAATGGCTCTGGCAGCCTTGGTGCCGCTGCCTTTCGACATCGTCTTTACAGCGCTGCGGTTCTACATCCGATCGAAGAGGAACGCGTGGGGACCTGATGACTGGGCGATGCTGGTCAACCTTGTAAGACTGTCTCTATATCCAATACAAACCTGAGACTGATCTGTTGTCATAGCCTTTTTGGACAGTGAGTACTGTAGCTACCATAGCTATGGCATGGAGTGGCATCGGCGCCTACGATGCCTCACTCACCGAGTATCAATACTCCAACTCGCTGATGTGGTTCTACATCTTCCAGGAGCCATGGTGCTTTACGTTGATCACCATCAAGTGCTCAATTGGCTTCGCACTGATCAGAATTGCCAACGGCAAGAAGTGGATCGAGTGGATGATTTACGCCTGCATGGCGTCCTGCTTCGTCGTCATGGGTGGTACAGGCATGTATTTGTTCTTCCAGTGTACTCCAGTACAGTAAGTCATCTCACTCCTGCCATTATGCATGGTTTGCATAGGAACAATGCAGCTGACGTCGAGTAGAAAGAACTGGTACACCACCATGCCTGGTTCCTGTCAGGACCGTAGCATTCAAACAAGCCTCTCATACGCAGTAGCTGTTGTCTCAATTCTCAGTGACTGGATCTTCGCCGTCCTGCCCATCTTCCTGCTGTGGAACGTGCAACTCGACTGGCGCGTGAAGTGTTCGGTGATCGGTATGCTTGGACTAGGTGTTTTGTAAGTTTCCCACGTCTGTTCAATGTTTACTCATGCTGATGGTTATAGTGCATCAATCGCGCCCATTGTCCGTCTCAAATTCCTGATTGGAATGAACGATCAGTCCCGCTTCCTGCAAAACCTCGGCGCCATCCTTGCTTGGGCCTCCGCAGAGATGAACGTCGGGATGCTTGTCGCAAACTTGCCCGCTTGCCGTCCTTTACTCGAACGAATGATTTCGCGCTTCTCGTCATGGACCGGTAGTGGGAGTCGCTCCTTCGGTGCTGGAAAGAAGCCGCACGCCCGGGGTACCTCCCGCACGGGAGCCAACGGCACGACAAAACAGTATCTGGAGCTTGATGAACGACCGGGCAGTACAACATTGCAAGGTTACCTGAAGAACGGCCATAAGACCGGCGGTACGGGGATAGAGACAAGGATCTACGGCGATCTCGACTGTGAAAGCAGTGTCAGTCTTGATCGAGACGACGGGAGCCAGAAGCACATCGTCGATAAGCCGAGCGTTGACGGTTTCCATGTGAATGTGCACAAGGATTTCAAGATGGAGGTTAGCGGAGGCAAGCAACTGCCCAGGGCGACAGCGCCGGGAGGCATGGTGTAGTCAAGAAGTCGAGGGAGTTCGTGTTAAAAATGATACCCAAATTAGTTCAGTTATCAATATAGACGCGTACAACACGACGGAGTCGTATTGACCATCACATAGTGGGGAAACTGCTATGTGAGTGAGTAAAGGCCGTGATCAGAAGATAGCGCTGTCAGTAGAAGCTGAGATGCACAAATGATGGAACGAAGATGCAAGGATGCAACGTTGAGCAGCAGATGAGAAAGCACGAAGCTGACAAGATGCACGTCATTCTGATTTCGGCTAGCGCTGATCTAAATCCATCCACCCCAACGGCAGGAGCCCCTTCACAGCCACTCTGCAACAATACCACACCGCAGTCTGAACATATCATAGACCAATCATTATCGGATTCAATCTATGGCACACTAATGTCTGCATCTTGTGTAGCCTCATGTACAGGCACAACGCGGAGACCCGAAGATTGCGGCTGCGGCTACGGCTGAACGCCAGCTAGCCTCGTAAGGCGAAGCATGCTGCATGTTTAGGGCTACGGCGTAGCTCAGCTTACAACAACAGCGCCCTTTTTAATCTGTTTCTTCATTTCATATCAGTAGGCGCAAAACTCAAATTCACTGTGCATTCTACCAGGCTTATCCATCCCTACAATCTTCAACACATCTTGATTCCAAGTAACTCCTGCCAACCGTGTTGTCCATCGTCTTACCAGCCCCGGACTCTTCGACTCCGGCATTTCCATCTGTCAACGGAACAAAACGCCTTTGTTGTCCAACATGAGACGTATATCAGGCCTCTTCTCGCCCCCCAAAACCACCTTCCAGGTCCTCTCAGACCTGCATTTGGACCACGACTCACAATACCTAACCTTCCACATCCCCGTCAGCGCGTCCTTCCTAATTCTCGCCGGCAACGTCGGCCGCCTAATCGATTACGAGTCCTACCTCTCCTTCCTAGTCCGGCGGTGCAACCTGCACGAAAAAGTATTCCTCGTCTTGGGCTCCCTCGAATTCCACGGACTCGGGTGGATGGATGGCCTGCAACTAGCACACAAGATGGAGAAGGAGCCGTCGACGAAGGGAAGGCTGGAGGTGCTGTATGAGACGCGGAGTGAGGTGCCGGGGACGAATGTGGTGTTGCTTGGTGCGACGCTTTGGAGTAAGATTCCTGAGGCGGATGTTGCAACTGTGATGAGCAAGATGCCTGAGTTTGATGAGAAGAGCGGGATTCAGGGGGATTGGATTGTAGAGACGCATAATGCTGAGCATAAGAGGGATTTGAAATGGCTGAAGCAGGAAGTGGGCAAGGCGACGAAGCCGGCTATAGGGCCTGATGGAAAACCGGTTTCTGGGTTTGTGGCAGGTTCGGAGGCGAAGCAGGTCGTTGTTGTAACGGCGTTTGCGCCAGATTTGAGGGATGCGCTGCATCCTTGGCAGGTCGATGCGCCGTGGAGTTCGGCGTATGGGACGGATTTGCTGAATGGGACAGAGTGGGCAGGTGTGAAGATGTGGATATGTGGAACAACTGGGCGGACGTGTGAGTTCAAGAAGAATGGTACGACGGTGGTTTGCAATCAGAGGGGACGTGAGGGTGATCATGTCACTGGACTGTTGAAAGATGGGATGTCAGAGAAGCAAAAGATTGGGTTGTTTGACGTCATGAGGGTAGTCAGGGTGTGAGCAGCTATATGTAACTACGTGGCTCAAGTCACCTGATATCCTATCATGGGAGGCACTGCCCGAGGGTAAGTGCACTTACTTCTGAGCCAAGAGCTTCTGTACAAGAACATCACCGACAACACAGATAGCAATAGAATCATTGACTATAGCCTCCGACCGATACTGCTCACGCAGTTACACTATATGATGCTAATGTCAAGGCTGCGTAGTACCCAATGTGCTCACAATAATTTGTCCTTCGTATCGACCTTGACCTTCAGTGCCCAGTGCCCGAACTAAAATTTACACCTTTGACACGCACAGTACGGACAGTCGACGCATCGTCTTCATTCTTACTAGTGACAAGCCTGATACCGGAACACTTGTAGCATTGCCTTACCCGATGATGAATCGCGTCAGGTTCGTCTGGGTCAATGGGGTCAAGTGTCCTGTATTCTACAAATCATCGTTAGCAAGTTGACATACAGATAGCAGAATACCCACTGGTACGAGACTACCGAGCAGCCTTTGAGGTACGGCGTAAACCGAATTCTGGACCTCGCTTTTTCTGCTGTTGTTCCTCGCGCTGTAAGACTGATGAAGGCTTGAACTCCTGCAGCCGATATCCGCGCTTTTCTTGCATGCGTTGCTGAGGCACAATCTTCTTATCTTCGGCTGCCTGACGCAAGTGGGAGTTGATCTGTGCGCGTTCGCAAGATTATCGTCCGAGCTCTTCCTCCTCCTGAAGTGAAACTTGCTGGCTTCTCACAGCTGCAGCTTCCTCGCGTGCTTTCCCTTCCCATCAGGCCTCCTTAAGATACTTTTTAAACCAAGCTACCGCCTCTTCTCCTTCGATTCGGATAGAATCTAGTAGTGCGCGCAGACGGTTTAGGCCGTCACCGGATTCTTGTCGCTGGCGGTGTACTGCATCTTGGGAATCATTAATCTCCGCATGTTTTCGTTGAGCATGTGAATGTTCGTCGAAGGTATCGAAGCCTTCTTCGACGGTGGGCTGACGATAACCGCGAAGAGACCTTTGATCATGATCCTCCTCACCGTGGCCTCCTCAAAGGTTGAAAGGCCAGCTTCCACTACGTCACGTTCTGTCGCGAATCTGCTGCATCCACCAGTCGTTATTCGATCCAGTAGCACAGCCTATTGGCGGACGATTGCGGGGATTTGAGCCTGGGATGAGGCCAGCTCCACATTACAAACCTCCATCACGTAGTCGATTCCTCCAATAATCTCGGACATCGTCCATGTAACGCCATATGAATCCCGCTCAGAAGGCCAATCCTCGCGCAGTAAACAACAAAGAGGTCCGGTGCACTCTTTGTCATCATTGTGATTACAGCGAACACCACCCCGCCTGCGCGGAGCACGAATTGTAGTATGTTGCCATAGTGGCCTAGGTCCATACCCACCACATCCGCCTTCTCCACGGCTGTAGATATGGAATTGAGTATCACGTACTGTTCTATAATACGCATCTTCATCGAGCGACCAATCCTCAGGCGACAGGCACCAAATCGTACCACTGCAGCGCTCTCTTCGGCTGTGCGTGCAATAGATTTCCCGCTCATTGTCTCGCATTAGCTCGTCGACGGGCCAAGGGCGAACGCGGTCAAAAGGTCCTGTTCCGAATCCACAGTGATGCTCGCCCCAAGCGGAAGTATGACCACCAAAGTCAGAACGTTGAGTAATGTTCGGTGATGTGAGCTGCCAGTCCATCTCCCTGAGTGTTTGGACAGGCTCGTTGTTTTGTTGTTTCAGGTTGAGTGTTGCTTACCTGCGGTTCTGCTTCATCATTCTCTTATGTAGGGGCCGCTATCGATTCGGATGCTTGCACATATCGAGTCGAAACTTGTTTCTCTTCGATGGTGTTTTCGTAGTTGGGACTGCCTGCAGCACCCTAGTGTGCGGTCTGCCTTGCATGGTCACGCTGCTGGCTGAGGTTGGCATCGTTGATGGGCATTTTGACTGTGTGTTTCGTAACTGCCAAGAGAGTTGGTTGACTTGTGGGACAGTTGTGCAGTTGTGCGAGCCGTTCTTGTTTAGAGTGAGTGCATTAAACTGACATGTAAAAAGGCGGATAGCGAATAGTCGATCAAACAAACTGTCACGCCCTTGCATCTTCACAACATGTCGAAAGAGGGCTGTTCGAAGTTTAGTCACGACCAAAGTTCATTGGTTGACTTGGAAGTTGCGACCGACCAGGGTAGGCGAAACAGAAGGTCCAGTGACGTCGCGTCGTGTTCGTGCCTCCCTTTGATACGAACCCCGCAGTAGCTGACAAACCTCACCCAATCAGGTCGCGTTGGTTCTCGACTCAAAGGGCGTACGCCTTCCTTCAGGAGTAGCTTCAATTCCTCTGCTGATTGCTCCATTGACCTTTCATTCTCCACTGCCACGCTCGACAATGACTTCGACAGACGACTTGACCGTCACGCTCACCTCGCACTGCCTGTGCAAGGCGAACAACTTCACAACTCAGGTACCGAAGTCGAAGCTTCCTCTTCCGGCCCCAATCTGCCATTGTTGGTCCTGCAGACATGTCACCGGTTCTCTCTACACAGCAGACGTACGCTGGCCAGAACCACGAGCAAACGTCGACGTGTCAAAGCTGAAGGTGTACTCATTCACACCTCGTGTCAACCTGCTCTTCTGTCCAACATGCTCGACGCCGATGTTCTGGGAAATGCTTGATGAGCCTTCTTGTCCGCTTGGAGTGTTCACTGGAACGCTGACGAACGAGGGGGTGAGGCCGATCAAGTTCATCGAACAGAGCTTCGTTGGTGACACAATTGATGGAGGGGCAAGCGTGTGGCTGCAGCATGCAAACGCAGATGGTCCAAAATGCACACGTTTCAGGCTCGAGGCTGAGGATAGCGCATCGAAAGACGCGTTACCACAAGACTGGCCTCCCGTGGATGAGCTTACAGGGTTTGAAAAGAAGACAGGGGACTCGGTCCCCATTCGCTGCAAGTGCAAGGGTATCGACTTCGTTCTGCAGCGCGGTGACTACTCGGGCGTGAGTAAGGATCACCTTCCTTGGAACATCGATCCGGACACGCATAAACTCTCGACTGTCTTCTGTGGTTGCGACTCATGCCGACTGCAGGGCGGTATCGACATATGGTACTGGGCCTACTTTGACATGAAGCATCTATCTGCCGCCCAGAAAGACGCGCCATTTCCCAGGTCGAAACACGAGCTCAAGTCGTTCATCGACAAGCAGAACCCCATCATTGGCAGTCTGGCCTATTATGCATCCGCAACAAGGGCTGGTGTCTTGCGCTTCTTCTGCAGCACTTGCTCGGCCACCGTCTTCTTCGCCGAGGACGAGCGTCCTGAGCTGCTGGACGTCTCGGTGGGTCTTCTTGATGCCCCAGACGGCGCTCGAGCAGAGGGCTTCTTGTCGTGGTCTTTTGGCAAGATCGATTTTAAGGAGGACGCAAATGGTGGATGGCGACTAGGGCATTTCGACAGCGTAGAGATGGAAGCTGAAAAGTGGAGGATCGCACGAGGTTATTCTAAGAATTGGAGGAGGCTCGGAGAAGAGACTGCCTAGGGTGGGCAGTAGCTGCTGTGAAGAGGCTGGAACCGCTATCATATCACAGGGTGAATGCAAGCCAACCAACGAGAGGATGGCAACAGAGGGCTGGGTGCCTTGGACAAGCACACCGCTATCATCCTTGTATCGTCATGCAAACGAAAGCCAAAAAACCGTGAGCTCACCTTGTTGCTCATGAAGTCTATCGGGTCTATATAGATCATAGATTTGGGAGTGATCTCATCGGAATAAGGCTGACTCATGGTATAGAAGAGATTAGCACCACCCTCAGAGTTGCACGCTAATTAGGTGGTGTGAACTCTTTTGCCAGTTGCTTTTGCAGCTGACCTTCACATCTTAAGGTACTCGGTTCGAATACGCAGATGTGGGACAGTCTTTTTGCGTTCCCCTGAACTGCTTCCAAACAAGGCTGTTCAATCGCTTTGGAAGCAGAAAATGGTGCCCAGAGGCCTTCAGCACGCTGCAGAAAGTCCAACAACAGTCCTGCTCTACCTGCGGAGGTGGACCTCTGATCTCTCCGCATATTCCAAATCTTGGAAACACTGCCAGGAGGCCCCTAAGTTGAGAGTGGCCGAAAATTGCGTTGCCAGGTTATCTATTCAAGAGATCCCAAAGAACAAGGTCGATATTCCTATGTCACTGCCCGTCGGACATGAATATTTGACTGAAGCTTCACGGCTTCACGGCTTCAAATGGTTGGACTTCGCCCTAGGATACCACGAATTTTCAGAGTCTGATTCCTGCACCTTATGTGCCGGTACCAGAGCATTGGCATGGAGATTCCCATATTACGACAGAAGCGACTAGGCCACTAAACGAAGCATGCAGGAGGCTGTCGAGCAGAGAGTGGTGTGTCATTCTTCTATTTGAATGACTTCAATAGTCTCAAGTACCCCAATGGGACACGCAGACTACCCCAGGAAGGTGGCTACCAGCTTGACTCTTTCAGCGTTCTCGTAACATGAGAACCTGCAGTGCTGCCTCAAAGCGTCCATCATCTCCGCATGACCCCGACCATCTGGCTCCTGCAACATGTGCTTCAACCTGTAGTTGAGCCGACCGCTTGCCTCTCTACATCCTCGATATCAGGGCGTAGCTGCCTGTCCATTCGGTATACGTGTAGCCGAAGCTCTTCATCCTCGAATAACCTGCCTGTATCCTCTCCACCGTATACTGAGGGCTTCTGTGGCTTTTCATCCTGCGTCCGTAATGCATTGAGGTCGCATCCAGGGTGAGCGATTCGAGGGGGAACGGCGAGTCGAGTGTGAGGATGAGCGTGATGGACGCAGTGAAGGTCGACGATCTTATAATCTCTGCCAAGCCGTCGATATACCCATTGCCTCTTGGGTTTGGGTTTCGGCCGAAGAACATTCTTGTGTATTTGGACAGGCAGGCATGGGATATTGGTCAGCTTGGAGAATACAACATGGTGTGGGGCAGTACTGCCTTCTACCAGCCAGGCCAGTACTAGACTCAAGAGTGCAATACTCTTCCTGCACATATCGCAGCTCAAGACATGCAGTATACCTTCCAGCGAGGTTATCCAAGGATCCCATCGAGCCTTTCCAATGACCTTGAGTGGCATTGCAAACACCTCCCGGTCGCCTTCGTGATCAGTGCGAGTGGTGTGGACATGGAAGAGAAGTAGAGTCATCCGGTGGCACATGAGCATGTTTCAGATGGAGGCAACCCTGATCAGCAACCGCCAAACCACTCAAATACGGCGGCCCTGCGCATTTGCGGCTTCATCGGCGGAGAGGTGTTCGCGAGAGCAGTAATAATGGCATGAGCGTGCGCCGAAGATGTCGTCGTAGGGAACGTCGAACCGATTGCATGTTGACGTCTTGACCGCACCCGGCGAAATAGCAGATATTGATACCGAGAGACATGATGTCTGTGAGAACTCGGAGAAGAAGAGCCTTGTATATCTACTGTACGTTGAGGAGGTCAAGTCTTGAGAGCGGGGTCAACGAATGGGAGGTGTTGGCGGAGAGCCTTTGCGCGCACACCCCTCCTCATGTCGACCTACGATACCCCGCACGTAACTGCTCTCAAAATTTTGAACACTATTGCATACAGGCGAGAGCTTCATGATCTCAGTGCAGGCATTTGGAGCAGGCAGAAGTGGTGGTATTAAAAAGATATTTACAGAAAGGCTTTCGACCACGGCAGTCCAATCACCAGAAAGCTCAAAACATCTCAACGTCTAAACGCTATGATGCAAGCTCAGCATGCATGTCTGATGGCCAGCACCGTCACAATCCCTCACAAGATCCTCAAGTTGCTCCAGGAATCTTGCCTGGGGACCGTAATCTATCGTCTCAAGCTGGCGTCGCAGCGCTTCCATCTCCGTCTTCAACGCAGCAAAAATTATGTCTCTGGCTGCTTGAAAGCCTTCTGCGCTCATATCTAGAAGGGACTTCATTCCTCCGACAGCCTCAAGCCCCCTCGCCATCACATTGTTTGTGGTGCGAATTATTGCCTTTGCCTTGCTCTCGTGCCAAACATCTTCTTCAGACTCCTCCCAGTCTTGGAAAGACTGTCCGAAATAGTGTCTCCGAGCACAGTACTTGTTGTAACAGAGGACCTTCGTGGCCAGATATTCACGGAAGGTGTCGATGCCGTTATCGAAGGAGTATTGGGCATATGATGCATCTGCAGCAATCGCGTCTTCGCCGTTCTTCGGGATGAAGAGGAGGATGGTGTGGTGGTAATCGGTTCTTGTGGGTGCATACTGGCCGGTGTACTGCAGCTCGACTTTGTGAACAGGCTTCTGTTCGGCAAGCGTTATTTCTTCGATATCGATGTTCAATCCTACAGTCGTCGGTAAAAGCAGCAGAGACGGGAATCGGCACCGAATATTTACCTTCCACGCAAAATGCCAGCCAGGCGGAGTTGTAAACGATGGCAGCGACACATTTGTTGATACTGACAAATGTTCTCTTCATGCTCTCGCTCACGACCGAACCGAAGAGAGGTTCTTCTGCCTCAGGCTTTTGGCAAACTTGTGCAGAGATCTCGAGAAAGCCGTCGTCAGCCAGGTAGTGGTCGACAAGCACATCCCAGCACATCGCCCGCATCTGCTCGAAAGCAACACCGTTGTACAGGCTGGCGAGGCGGCGCATGTCTCTGTTGGTATCTCGGGTATTGCTCATGGTTTCAGTTTGAAGGTATTTGTTGCTGTTGGCGCACTTCCTTTTGCTGTGGGCGTTGTGGTAGTGAGTGATTGGGAAGGTCTTGGCGTGGAGCCTGGATTCGATTTGGCGCCGAAATGCCACCATTTGGACTACGAACGGCATTTACTGAGGCTTGACAACGCATTTTGGGAAAATTTGATTCAGAGACTATTGCTTTTCGCATTTGGAGCATCACGCTGAATGGAGTTGTGCCTGGATTGGAGACAAAGAGAAATTCGAGAGTTCTGAGGCAAACACCTCGAATGCGCCGGAAAGCTACTACGAATGCAACGCTACGTCATGTGCGCACGAAAGGTTATGTGAAATGGAGACGTTCCCTGCATCTTCGACTAGTCCAGAATAGCCCAATGTGCATCGCTATGGCGCTCTCTGCTGGAGAAACGATACCAAATCTGGTCTATGTCCGCGCGCAGCATCTCCATCTAGTCCCCAACACTATACACTACGAGGTTCTCAATCTCCGCCCAAGTCTTGTCCTTCGTAGGTCTCAATACTCAAGGTCTTCCAGCTGCTTCCACCTAGTAGTGTGCGATTGTGGCGTGTAGCGATCTGGTGGACTACACGGTCGAGAGAGTGGTCTGGCTTTGTAGCCCTGGAGATATCAAGTTTGTCGTGCTGTCGCGCGTATGTGTGTTCAAGAGGGTAGCGGAGGGGCCCAAGGTCTGGTCAAAGGCAACTTTCTGCAGCCCTTTTCTGGCGCCGGTCCTGTCTCTCTGTCGTTCATCCAGCTCACCATTGGTCTTATCAGATGAAGCGCGGGGCGCATCATGGAGGTCTTCAAGTCTTGTTTCTCTGTCCCTTGTGCAGATCAGTGCTAGATTGGCGACTACATCAGCACCTGGCTCTCTTGTTCGTTGAATTGTTTTCGTCTCTTGAAGCGGTGCAATCCGCTTCGACTGTACAGAAACTTGTTTGTGTCAGTGCATGGAGGTTTCTAGTTATGCAAGCTAGAACAAACCATGCAGACATGGACGAAGCCGGCTCCCAGCAATTGAGCGAGATCGTTGAACATGATAAGGATGGGCATAGCAGCGTCTGATGATAGCAAGGTCGAGTTATGCAGGGGTCCAAAGAAGGGCGAAGTGAGTGTGAGTTGGAGGGTTGGGCAGAGGAGTGGGGCTCTATGGCGCGCTTTTGCTTTGCTGTCTCCGGAGCTTCGATCGACTTAGTGAAGTTTCTCAAGCTCCATTCCACCATTTCTCTCAAACTGCCTTAATTCACAACGTCATTACTCAAAATGCTGGCTACAGCTCACTATCTCTACCTCGCAATGAATATGCAGCTCAACGTTTGTGATCAAATCAGAGATCACAAGCCCTTACGTGCCCATCGACGTCTCTCCCTCCTCCCACTACAGACTCCAATGGTCTGGCTGGTGCAGCATTGCTGACACCTGGTATGTCAGACTTTAATGCTATCTTTTATAACTGAAAGTTAAACATCATGTATTCGGCAAGCTGCTTCATGCCAAAGATCTCTCCCATCGACAGCTCAGTGGTAATGACTTCGTGAGCTCGCCCGCTCGCTCTATGATCTTGTTAGTACCCTCAGTGCTCACGAAGAAAGAAAACAAACACAACTACACTAAACAACTATCTACATCCTCCTACAGTGAATCAACCATCCTTCTTCCTGATGGCATAGGCAGCGCGACGCATGCTGAGGTATATATAATGAACGCAAAGCCAATGTGCAAGTGACAGTGTGGGGAATGGGCGCTCAAGCGAGATGAGGTGACGACATTGACAGTACGCTCAAGGCTGCCAGAACTGCTGAAGTACACACTGAGCACGGATCCCCAGAAGTGATGCAGTGGCACAACGTAGTGTGCTGACCCAGTGCATCTTGCTTGACAACCAACTCGACCTAGCCTGAGAGTGTGAAACTCAGGCGTTGAAATGTAGAACATCGAATCCAAATTTGGAGGCAGGATACACAGCCACAGTAGACGCGAAGCGATCAAAGTACCGCAGTATTCACAGGCTCAGTGCGCGTCAAGGTTGTGAGTGACTGCTCATATGCAAGAGTTTACAAGCCTAATGCTCGAGTGCAGTGCTGTAGTCGGCTCGCGCGAATAAGTGCAGAAAATTCTATGCGCGATGACAACGTTTGCCGTGGGTATGTTGTTGGGCTTCCGGGCGCGCAGGTGAATGCTCGTTTGTAGGTATCGTGCTTGGTCCAGCACCAGCAAACTTGGAAAGCTCCGCTCGACGACTCCAATGACAAGCCACTACCAAGATGGGAAATCTATGCTGCGCCTCCAGAACTAACGCAGCAGGCGAGACAGACATATCGCTGTCAATCGCACTAGACCATGTTCTTACCGTCTTCCTCCTCTGCTTCGAAGCCGCCATTAACACCTTCCCCTTCTACCCGCCCCTCCTCTCAACCACGCGACTGGTTCCAAGCAACACTATCCCCTGGCTTCCTTCCCACATCAAAGTATGGGAGTTCACTCGCGACTACGAAGCCTCCTTGAAAATCTCTCCTCACAATCTTGGAGACCTCCCGACCTGGTACCGTGGAGTCGACCGCGCGCTCCGCAAAACAGATCGCTGCGACCACTTCTGCCTCCTTCTGGATAGCGCATTTCGCGCAAAGCTAGAAGGTACGAACCCACTTCAACTCCAAAGCCGATGTACTGACCGAACCCGCAAGAACACAACCTCGGAACAAGTCGCTGGGTGCGCTTCCCCCCTCGCCCGCTTGCCCTCTTTGCCGAAATCAAGCCCAATCAGTCATCCCCAACGTCTCATCTTGAAGAGCTTGACGAAATCCCTCCAGCGATGCACTCCGTCCTCGAAATCACCACGACGAACGGCGCAAAGCTGATATTCGATGGCACGCCGGAACAGTTTGGGTGGAGTAATTCGGCATGGACTCTGGACAAAGGGGATATTGAGAAGTATTACGTGGAAGGGGAAGTGGGCATGATGCATTTTGCTGATGAGGAGAAGAGAGCGCTGAAGAGATTGGTGTTGGAGCAGGATCAAACCCCCTGGGAAACCTTGTTTGGGAGAATGGAGGAGTTGCTCTCTGAGATGAACTGGGAGGCCTTCAAAGAACTCGAGGACGAGGAGTTATGGGAGACGATCAAAGACCAGGCGCGTCGCAAGTTTGAGGGCGTTGGAGATTCGTGACTGATAGAAGACAGGATGACCATGGCGACTTCTAAAGAGAGATGATATGACCTTGCTTTTGAGCGTAATGTGCTAGAGATGCCCCTCCTATGGCGCTGTTGGTGCCCACTTACTCTTCTCTCTTATCTTGGCTCCGTAGATATAGAACAGGATCGGCACTGGTAGGAAAGCAACGCAAAGGAAACCTAACAGACTACTCGCCCATGGCACACCCAAATTATGGTACATTGTATGCGTGAACAGCGGGAAGAAGGCGCCAGCAAACGATCGAATAAATGTGTTCACGGCAATGGCGCTGTTCGAATAGAAGCCATAGCAATCAATGAGGTAGCTCAGACCTTGCCAAAATGGCACCATGCAGCCGAGACCGATGAGTGCGATAGAAAGCACCTGTGGTACCCAGGTAATGTTTGGATTGCTTGCCCACGCGAACCTGAGCAATGTTAGCTATAGTGACTTCTGCCAGTAATCTGTAAACTTACCAAAACAACCCGATTGGGAGGGCAATAGCACCCACAATCATTGGTGGTAAGCGCTCTTCGGGTATACTCTTTCCGTGCTTCTTGAACGACCGCGTGAAGTTGGTAGCTGTGCTGTATGCAATGACACCAGCACCCATGATAATGCCGACGATGAAGGCACCGAATGGAAGCTGAGAGATGCCGAGAGACCAGCCACGTTCTTCTTGGAAAGATACTGGGAACGCCTCGAAAAGCAGATAGACGATGCCGTACAAAAAGCTCATGTATGCAGTGACTAGAGCCAGAATAGGCTCCTGCACAAACATAATGAAAGGCCTTCGCAGATAGACGTTGACCACAGTGTTCAGCGTCAGCTTCTGCTGGTCTGCCTTGGAATAATATGCGGTATTGCCAGTGTCTTTGCGTAGCTTGGCAGCTCGCAGCTGCAGGATCCGAGCAGCTGAAGTCTCAGGAATGACGAGGAATCCAATGATGCCAAAGAGTCCGGCCATGATCAGAGTGATCCAGGATGTCCATCTCCAGCCCAAATGTGACTCAGTGATGAAGCCTCCAGCGATAGGTCCGGCGACGGGGCCAGCAAAACCGCCAGTTGCAAACACACAAATGGCGTAAGCTCGAGGAATGGGGTCCCATAGGTCGGCAAGCGCTCCTCCAACTACGGCTAGAGGCGCTGAGGCAAAGAAGCCGCCAAGGAAGCGACCAACGCAGATAGTCGCGACGTTCTGGGCGAGCGCGACTGGGATCTGGAAGATAGCGAATAGCGCAAAGCCAAAGAAGAGGGGTATTTTGCGACCAAGGACTTCTGACAAGGGTCCAAATGCGATAGGTCCGAACACAAAGCCCTAGAGGTATATGATCAGTTCTTGTGGATTGAAAGTATGAGGGCGACCTACCAAGACGAAAAGTGCAACACCCAGGGTGGCGGTAACAAGGTCGACATCAAACTTCTCCACGATTACGCCAATATTGACACTGAAGATAGAGCTCGCGAACGTAACATTGAAAACCATCAGACCCATCGATATCGTGATTCCCCATCTGTGCATCGGTGTCCAGTTCTTTGGGTTTCCAGGATCGTTGGGGTCGGCAAATTCCACCAGGAACCTGTCCGGTACAGGTTCGCCAGCACAATCTGTCTCAACACCTTTCTCGACATCAAGTATTGCACCATTTGAGACGTCTTGGTGGTCTCCCTCGCTCTTCCGCGGTGTCTCGTTGCTCGTCATGGTCGTTTTCGATCGATCTCAAGGCGTGCGCGCCAGCGGCGTGCTTGTCGCTGTTGTTGTTCCTGGCATAGCAGATTTGTGGAGGATTGGTCTTGTTCAACTGTAATTAACGGCTGGGGCATCTTAGGGTTTTGTAGCAACAGCATCGGCACGTAGTGCGTAATACATGTTATTTCCGGCGCGCATGTCGAGATAAGCGTGCATCAGCCTGACAATCTGCCGCAGCCGCCCTCGCAGAAACGCTCTACCAAGTATCTAGCCATTCCCATAGGTTGGAGATGGCACATTGGGATGTTTCCAATTAACTGTACGGACTGGAAAACGATGTTGCGCGATTCACAAGTGCGACTGATGAGGTGTGATGAGGCTCTAGTGTTGGAGGGAGTGGAGACGTCATTGATGTTGGGGCGCGCTTGCCATTTCGGACGAGCCACCCTGACAAATGCACCTCCATCTACAGGAACTGTCCAAAAACCCATTATCCATCAAGACTTCAATCACGAAATTCATCAGAAACCTTGCGAAATGCAGCCCTTCCGCCCTTCTTCTCAGCTTATTCTTGTGCCGTATTGCCGATAATGCTCGCGTTCGCTTCTTCGGCCTTAGACAACGCCGAGCTTAACGAAACACACTTTGCGTCCTAGTTTGCCTGAGAACCACATGGCATATCTTGTACTTGTAGTCCTCCGAGGAGCATTCTGTGTCCTCATCCGTTTCTGTCCACCTCATTGTCGTCTCTAACCCAGCGTTATACTGATCTTGCTTGTCCACGTTCTGTCCGTAAGTCCTGCCTCTGCCAAACGATGTTTCTGGGCTTCTGCGGTCCGAAAGTCGTCGAAATTCTTCAATCCGCTTAATTTCCAACTATGGCGGCAAAGCATTTCTCGGTCTCGATTTGGAGATGCAATACAGCCTGGGATCAGGTATTGTTGTGGTTAAGGTCCGTTTAAAGGTCGACTGTCCAAAGCTTTCAAGGAGAGGACTACCTTCTGCACGTCGATATGCCATGGATCCAATACTGAGGCTGCGGTGGGGTTTTGGAGTAAACAGAGGCCGCGGTTTCAAGCGCTGTAATGCAAATCTAGGTAGCATAAGTTGGGACAGAGAAGACAGGTTATGCGCGCCGCAATAGGACCGACGTGTGCATGTGTAGCACGCTCGCCGTACATATGTGGTTCTAACAGGACCGGACGGCCGTCTGGCTGTATGTAGACTTTGTCTTCGATGGAGAGGACCAGTTGGTGCAGGTAGAGAGCGGAGGCGGGTCTGAGCGAGTTCATGAATTCCCACTGTTTGTCATGTTTTTTCATAGTGCTGATGAGGTCGCGAGGATCGTCAAGGTGAGATGCGTAAGATATGTAAAGCCATTGAAGGGCTTGAAGTCCGGGAGCTCTTTCTCGAGTTCGTATTTGATTTGCTTGCAAGAGATATAGACCGACAAAGTGGGAGGGAGGAGAATGAAGAGGGTCGAGAACGAAACGGTAAACGCGGACGCGGAGCCCTGCTGCTAGAGTGATGTTGCGGTATCGGTCGGTCTGTACAAGGTCTGACTGTACCCCTGACAGACTACCCTAGTCTAGTGTGTGACAGGTCACTGGCCTGAGGTCAGGTATATAGTCGTCATCTCCCAGCTAGATAGTAATTCAGCGCAGTATTCAATTGATGCGATAGTCCTACGTTATCGTTTACCGTAGCTATCAGTACTCTACAGTGGCACACACCGCAACAAGTGAGCAGGCGGCATTCTTGCGGAGGAGGATCGTTGATTTTGTTGAATAGACGTTTAATAAAACCGAACATCGCCAGCGAAGCAAGGAAAGGAGGAGACGCTGGAAATGACTATCGTATGGTGGTTTTGGTGGGGGTGGTACAGCAGTGCGCAGTGAGGTGAGCGTTTCTTTAGTCAGACCCAACTTGCTCACTACAAGCGGCACCACCAAGCTAGGACTATTACCTTGCTACACGTGCCTGCAAAAATTCGCCATCCTCGATAAATTCTTTCTATCTAAAATGTCACACGCTCTTCTCTTTGACCGCCGATATCAGCTTTCAAAATGCTCGTGCTCTTGCTCAAGATGTTCGAGCTCCTGCAATGCCTACGCCATCTCTTGTCTCCGGTTGTGCAAACATTTGACTTCCTTCGTCCGCCAAACAGAAATCCGCCTCACGATCCTCGGCTTCATCGCTCCAGATTGCTTCCTCCTCGCAGTACCTCATACCAGCTACTTCAGCCTCCTATACTCCTGCACCCAAAGCCATGCCGAAATGATTCGCGAATCACTCCACCCATCATCCGCTATCGTCAATCACATGCTGCAAGTTCGACGTACTGGAGCCTTTCAAATCCCCTCAAAGCCGTCAAGAGAGTTTGCCATCCCCATGCACGTCTAGCTCGTTGTTTGTCGCAGTACAGTAAGAGATGTGACACAGTACAGCAAGAGGTCATGTTACAGTACTGTATGAGGTTGAGTAAAAGGACCAACTTGACCAGACTCCTTCAAACAGTAACAGTAACATAACAGCTTCACAGTCAATTCTTCTTTCCGTTCATCCACAGTATATAAACACACAGCTTGAGTTCAATACAACTTCAGTAAACCTCAATTCCATTGCCAGATACCTGTTATATTCAGAACCGTTATATTGTTTCCATGCGCACTGTCGCCTTTCCAACGAGACATGTCAGGTTCTTGGAAAAGCTGGTATCACTGTTGGTGCTGCATTTGAACAATTTGATCATCTCCCTCCAATGAAATCATGATGGTGTCGTGCGCACGTATATTGTAACCACCGACTCCGACATTACCCCTTTCGTGATGCGCATGGACTGCTTTCTGGGCAGCGTATCCAACGAGACGTAGTACTGTACGGTTGAGGCCTGTACCCATTGTTACGGCTCAAAACAGGTCCCTTTACTGGACGTAACAGTAGTACTGTCAGTAACGCCAAGTTTGTGCCATGCCTAGTTTTAATTAGGCAGGAAGGGTGAACGTGGGTCAGACGCGGCACATATTCCTGATCTATCTTGCCCCAGCCTCCTTCTACGCCTCTTTCTCATACAAATATAAGTCATGTGAAGGCTACTGTAGGTACTGCAGTACTACGGCTGCTACAGCTATTGTTATTGAGTACTGTACAGTCAAGTTTAACACTAGGGACTGACCGATCACGTGCCTGGCATAGTAGCAGATTTACCAACGGTAGTACGTCTCGTTGGATAGGCTGTTTCTGGCTCCCAAGTTGTGTGTGCGGAGCCATACTGGTGCGAGTCGTCATTGTATCCGCCATCATGGGGCGCTTCATCAGCTGCAGACCCTGGCGAGCACGACATGCAACATAAGAGGGATCGAAGTAGTACTCTCAGATATCAAGATGACCACGGCGGAGGGTGCAGACGCATATCAATTGCATGAGGACATTTTCATAAGGAGGCAAGGGTGGATTTACAAAGGAGTTTAAAATGGTAAGAATGTAAGGTACGGAAATTGTGACGGTTTATGGAGTGAAGCGGTCATGTCTGCCACGTGTGCTGGTGCAGTGCTCTTGCCTGTTCCAACAGCACTTTCTGGCTGCACGACAGATACGTCATGTAAACAGACCCTGATGACTGCCGGGTGAGGGACAATCACAGAACAACAACACAACAGAATATACTGATTTTACTGCTTCGCGCGGTTACCCCTGACTTACTACCCTGCGCGGTTACACCTTCACTTATTGCATTTACTGCAACAGAAATACATCAGATAAGTTCAGCGCCTTTTAAGAGAGGATGGAGAAGGGCAGAATTCACGGGTATAAGAAGGTGGATGGAAGGCTGTTGAAGGGCTTCGGCGGTCACAAGGCTAGCAAAGGGTGCGGGCGGCGGAATCTTGTATGTTTGGCAGTACGAGACAGAGTGCAGGGGTAGTATGAGTGACTTGTTGTAGTCACCAGACAGTACGATGGGTCGACGACGTAAATTGTTGCGGTACTAGTCAGTCCATACGAGACCCTATTACCCTTACTTAGACTGTTCTGGATCAGCACGTTCCAGAGTCAGTATATAGTCGTCTTCTCCTCACTAGATAGCAACTCAGCGCAGTATTCCATCGACCCGATAGTCCTACGTTATCGTTTACCGTAGCTATCAGTATTCTACAGCGGCCCACGCCGCTACATAAATCACTCCAAGCGCTGTAGGCAGTCTAGCTGCACATTGCGGGATGTATTAAACATTCTGATCTCGACAAAGACGTCCACGCATATTCAGCAATGGTGAAGTATCTTATTCTTCTACATGTGTCACGGCGCTCGCGAAATACAAGGAGGTAATAAGTGTTTGCGATGAGTGCACATAGTGCTAGTTGTCAATAATATCCCAGAATAGACAGTGTAAGGTGAGAAAACGCCATTAAGACAGTCGCTGTTTTTGTTCGCCATCGCCACCATGTAAATGCAGGCCTAAGCCAAGAGCCGTACGCCAGAAAGATGCAAGTAGTATACAAGTTCACACGCAGAGTAAGTAAGCCGAGGCCTACGATATATCCATGGGTTCAACAGCGTTGCCACCAGTGGTGTTGCTAGCACTCGCGGGTGGAGCCGGCGCGGTTGGCTGCTTGTAGATAGTCTGCATAGCAGGAGCTGGGATGTTGATACCGGCGTTCACACCATCATGTCGGACCTGAGGCGAAGGCATGTAAGCCCATACAGGGTTAGGACCGTATCCAGTAGGAGTAGATGGAGTCGCTGGGGTCGAGGACTTGCGTGGGGCTTTGTTCTTAGGGCCGCCTCCGCGCTGCGCTCGGGGAGCTGGGAAGCATGCGTTCTTCACGCGAGTTTGGAACTCCGTTGCGAAGTTGTCGAATGGCTTCTTTAACTCGGTGGTGTTCCAGCCTAGCTTGTTCTTCATGCACTCGGACTTGCGATGACTGATAGTGGAGCCTTCGATGCGGATACCGTTGTTCTCCCAGCGCCTGCAAACATCTGATCGTGACAAAATGAGGAGTACAACAAGCAAGCTGACGTTGTCGTTGTCGAGGAGGTGAGGGCAGTAGTCGCAGACATTACAAGCGAACTCGCGCATCTCCTCAAGTTCTCTGGTATCTGAGCAGTTGACGAAACGTTCGGCCATGGAGAACGGGCGCACCATATCCCTGCAAATGTGGGACTGCAGAGTGGCAGCAACGGAGGAGACGGAAATGGGGTAGGTCTCCTCACGATTAAGTCGACTCGTGGCTGCTGCTGATACGGTACCTGGGATGTAGATGATCTCGATGTCGTCCCATGGACCGCGATCAATGCGTAGCTCTTTCACCGGTTTGTCACCAGCCGCTTTTAGAGCCTCCTCTTGCTTGGTAGCGGCCTCACGGGCAGCTCTGACGGCCTCTCGAGGGGTCACAACGTTGAACTTGGCGGCCAACTCGATGGAATCCTTGTGCATCTCGAACCTTGAAAGCTTGCGTTCAACATCTGGGGCACGGATCCAATCTTCAGACCACGGCTCCTCGGCAAGGATCTTGTAGAAGACTTTGGTGAGAGCACGGAGCTTGACCTCCTGATCAGACAGCTGACGCCTGCTGAAGTAAAGTTCATCGGTCTCAATGTAGGCGTTCTCAATGAAGGTCTTGCGGTCCTTCTGGGTAAGGCTGCCTCTTGAAGGGTCATTCTTCCAGTCGGCAATGACTTGCATGAACCTGGCGTGAAAAATGTCGTCAAAATGCCTTGAGACAGGCTGAGCTGATGCTGACATTCTGTAAGCATGTGACATTATGATAGTGTGTGTTGTTTAGTCTTACGAGCTATAGCCTGTGGCGTGGATTGTTGTTGTGGTGGTGATGCTGAGGCAGCCGCATCCTGGTTGATAGGTGCAGGTGACATAATGTCTTGAGCTCGGACGCGGGAATGCACGCCACTACCCGCAAAAGGATCGGATTGGTGTATTGCAAGTTGGTCCGAATGGCTGTAATGACTGTAATGTTAATGAAATCCGATGGAGTTGACGCGCGATAGTTCTTGCGCTGATAGACGCGGGGTGGTTGGGGTGCTTTAGCTCGGGTTGCGGTGTGAAAACATTGCCCACAATTCACAGTCGCGTAATTAGGGGCTTGGCGAACGATGCATTGGCTAGTCACGTGTAACGCGCTCCCTCGAACAACACGTCATAGCTCAACACTCGATACTCCGCCCATCTTGTAACATTTACTGCCTATAGTTCTTGCATGGCTGTTTCCATTGAGATGTCATTCAGACCTGACATGTTCCTATAGCTCACAAACAGACGTGACGCTTCAGTCTAAGCCCGATCTCTAACACCAGAGCACGTCTCGCTCTGACTATACGCCGCTCGCTGCACTTTTCAATGTGCTGATCCACAAAGCTTGTCACTACAGCCAATTTCATTTGCGGCAGCAACGATGTGATCCTGAGCCTTGTGGGTTATGAGACTTTACAACGTCATGGTCAACTGTTCGTATTCAGTTCACAAGAGTGCAAGGCTCATGGAACGATGCCCTTCATCATTCCCGCCATTTTCGATCTGGTCGTTCTTTTACCCTCCTATAGCTACTTCCCATTGGATCATCATTTAGACCTTTGACCTCGGTCCGGCGTCTGTCCGCGCAGCCATCTCGAGCGAATCTCCTCACTTTAACCTGGCTCCATTTTGGCGCTGAGCAGCAACCTTGTACGAATCTATCTCGTACGAATTTTATCTACTGTACGATAATGTTAACTGTCTCTTCAGTTCACGTCATACCTGCAGGACAGCCTGACAAAAGACGTACCTCTTCACACTGTGGCATTATGGGCAAGAGCATCTTTGCGGCGCTGATCTCGTGCAAATTGATAGCTAGTACGCAGATAGGTATCTCGAAGTTATGCCAGAACACTAGAACTACCGACCTACATTTCGAAGGCGACTTGAATCTGCCGCATGTATTCAAGGGTCAGCTCTTACGACGCTGACAGGACGACCAAAAGAGGCTGTGAGACAGAGTGTACCAGCAGAGTCATGTATTCGGTATATTTACTCATTCGCCCGGGGTATCGCCAACCAGCGGAACCACCACTCTCAACAGATCTTCGCAGATGATGACATCATGCAGTGTTTCTGTACTCAGTCTGTGCGCCTTCTACACTTGATCTTCAACAGATTTCCATCCGGGCGCCTTTATCAAGTTATACGTGAATCGCTGTCCTCTTAGTGTTCACCACTCAGGAATATCCATTAGAAAATCGTCCTGACGTCCAAAACACAACAACGACCACCTCAAACCAGCCCCTCAACATCCTAGTACCCGGCTCCAGCATAGCAGGTCCCTGCCTCGCCTTCTGGCTCCACAAACTCATCCCAATATGTAGCATCACCATCCTCGAGCGCTCTCTCGTCCCGCGTCACCACGGCCAAGCAGTAGACCTACGCTTAGCATTCGTCCCAATTGTGTCGAAAATGGGTTTACTGGGTGCCGTACGCGGCAAGACCACTACCGAAGAAGGCGTGCAGTTTGTGCATGCGGATTGCAGGACGAGAGCTACGTTTCCATCGAGTGGAAACATTGAAGCACAGAGTGAGACGAGTGAATTTGAAGTGCTGAGGGGGGGAGGGGGGTTGGCAAGTATATTGGTGCTTGCAAAAATGTGCAGACTCCCCTGACCTTGGTGCAGTGATGCGTACAGTAGGTACGTACCGTGGTTCACGAAGGCGGACAACCTTGTGAGTGGCCGTTCACCACGCTGTTGCCTTGCATGACATCTACCATACAGTCAATTCTGTCAACCAAGATAGAAACAGCTACTTAGAAGCTTTCATTTTTACATAACGTAAGTCTGTCGCAGTAGTGAACCAAGTTCAGGGGGGTCTGTACATTTTGCAACCGCTATATTCATGGACGCGACGGAAAACCTAGAAAGAGTTAATTATATGTTCGACGAGGCGATATCTTCGATTAAAGAGGAGAACGACCAGATCAAAGTCACATTTTTCAATCGCCTACCACCAGCACACTTTGACCTTGTCGTCGGAGCAGACGGCATGACATCCCGCACGCGCCATCTAGTCTTCGGCCGTAGACCCAAGTGACGACGAGTACATCCACCGTCTAGGCCAGTACGCAGTCCTATTCACCATGCCACGCACCGACTCGGTATACTGCACCGCGCGGCCGGCTTCTCTTACTTCGCCCAAACAGCTACGGGAACAGGAGAACTTATATGGTCGTCACCGACTCAAATTTGTCCCGCTTTGAGGATATCGACGAGGCGATGAGAAAGGATGATGGGAAAACGCAGGAGGCCCGGTTTGAGAAGAAATCAGAAGGCGCGGGGTTCGTGAATGAGAGGTGTGTAAGGGAGACGCAGAAGGCTGGGGATTACTATGTACAGCAGATCGCGCAGGTTAAGATGAAAAGCTGGAGCGATGGAAAAGCGGTGCTGTTGAGTGATGCTGCGTATTTCCCTCCTCCGATCTCTGGCGTGGTGAGCACGTTCTGGTGGAGCGTGTATGGATACTACCGGTTGAAAGGGTGCTGGGTCTGCGATCATTGGCACATATGTGCTTGCTGGGGAGCTGAGCAGCAACCAGGATAATACACTGCATGCACTGAAGCAGTATGAGAAGACTGAGGCCGTATGTTGAGAAAGCGCAGAGACTGATACCTGGCGCGTCGCAGGTAGCTAACCCGCAGACGGAGTGGGGAGTATGGATATTCAATAAAATCACGGGCGTTGCTTCAAGTGCGATTGTGAAGGGGCTTGGTGGCGTTGTTGGGAGATTCTTGACGGCTTTTGGTGGCACAGCAGATTTTCCATTTCCAGAGTATGTGGTTTCAACGACAGGAGGAGATTGAGGGAGTTATATGTTTCATTTATGCTGCGGAAGTTATCTCATACTGCGGAATTTACTTTCATATTTGACGAATCTTAACGAGTCCTGGAGGCATTCGATGTCGATTGCAATTCCATCTTGAACCCCCACCCTGAGCCGGGAGGCGCTCTGTGCAAGTTTACGTGATGACAGCGTACTGACACGCCACCCTACTCCCCCCTACTCCTCTTAAACCTTTGGGACCTGCACCATTGGCGACTGAGAAAGCGGCGAGGAAGCCCTCACAGCCCCACGCACACGGCGCGGCGGACTGGCGAGGTTGATCAGGAGGCAGGCGCAGAGAATGGCGCAGCCACGCCTTTAGAGTTCAGCTGACCGTATTCCTCCCGGTTCTTTTCGAGGTAAGCGATGCGATCGCCTTACTCCTCATTGCAGCGCATTTGGCCCTGGTACATGGTGGTGGTCCAGTCGTACTCGCTGTCGATGTGGTCAAACTTGCCGTGGAGGCGGCGGATCTCGTCTTGGGCTTCGCGCATGGCCTGGTTGTGGTTGGCCTCTAGAGTGGCGATACGCTTACGGTGGGACTCTTGGAGACCAAGAGGCATCATCTTTTGCACTTCGCCGACATGGCGGTTGAGATAGCCGACGATCGCGTTCTTGTGGAGGTGCTTGTGAATGATAAACATGGCGACCATGACGAAGAACGCGACGATAAGTCCCGCCACGCGATCAGTGATGTAGGGAGTCTACTTAGTGTCAGAAAAACACGTTTTCGGCCAAGTGCATAGATGATGAACTTACGAAGCGCCAGAGACCCAAGAGGAAGCCAGAGAGCCAGGAGGGGACAGTCGCGAAGACTTCAATGTTGTTGAAATTCATGGTTACTGTTGGTGGATCTGATGGATGATGTGGCGAGGTGTTTGTGGTAGTAGTGGGGTGTTGATTGTCAAGTCGAGCGTGCTGCGTCCTTCTGTGACTACACCTGCTTGGCAAATTGTCCGTTATTCGCCTGGAGCAGGTTGGGATGAAGGGAAAATGTTCGGAACGTATAGAGGCGTTCCAACACAGGATGTACTATCACTACCTGCTCCGTGTTCTGCCAATGTCCAAAGCGAATCGTGCGCGCTGTTGCAGGTCAGTGGCGAAGTTCGACAACGCACGTTCACCAACGGTAACAGTGGAACGTCATGAGTTTGGGCAGTACCCACGCGCGCTTCTGAGCACCTGAATCCCTCAACGCTTGATCCACAAACAACACTGTTCGATAACGACCACGTGACCTGCCGAACGTACTACTTAACTTCATTCACCTCAACCCCATCGACATGCCCATGAGTACATTTCCATCAAACTCACGTTGGACGATAACGTACTGACTGCCTCCACAGGTACTCTGGACCATCGCCGGCAGAACCATTGTCTTCATCGCCATCGCCACCATGACCTTCTTTGGCTCCTGTTGCCCCTTACCATGGTCAGGAGGCAACCGCGACCCCCATAACAAGGACGCTCGCGATGCTGGAGCACATGGACAGCGTCCGGAGTTTCAAACCACGCGCTACAGCGACACACTACAAGGCGCCCCATCGGCCACTGATGCTGACGCAGCCTCTTTCACAGGCCCGCGAGTGTCTTCACAAACAGTGCCAACCAATCGATGTGAGGCTGTCCAGGATGCAGCGTTGTCCGTGTACTCACAGCCCACGAACTCGCCAACACTTCCACGTGCAGACACCGTTCGTTCTGCTGTAAAGGGAGAGAAGGGCGTGGAGGCAGTCAGGGGACCTGCAAACAGCGCCAGCACGGACCATCAAGCTGACCGAGGAGCGTCAAGTGTGGAGGAAGTCAGTGCATCCGCGGGAGGTGATGGCGGACAGCGGGGGATGACAGGCTCTGAAGCGGGAGAAGCAATAAGGAAGCAGTTGATCAAGAATAGGGAGGAGGCGGAGCAAGCGCAAGGAGCGAAGAAGTAAAGGGTCGTCGGTGTCAGCGATAGTACATGAAAAGGGATACAGACAGGATAAGGTGCTACAGCGACACTGGCGTAGTTAGCACAGGGCGAAGCAGTACGTATGTGCCGGATGGGAGCACTCACTCTTGATATGCTGGTGACCGGGCTGTACTGAGAGCCTCCATGTCTTTTCTCAAGAAATTAATGTCACCGACGTCGACAGTTACCTGACGGTTGTCACTGCCCTGATTGCCGCTCGTACTGCCACCATCCCAGATAAACTTGCTGGAGTTCAGCCCAACGGCGAGTAATAGTAATTCCGGGAGTTCACTTCGCACGTCTATTGTACGATGGAAAGACCGCAGAGTCAAGAAAATATTAACCACATCTTCGACTCCGAATACACGAATAGTTCTTAGGAGATCACCAGTACAGAGAATTCGAGAGTGGAGATCAATAGTGAATACTATCATTTGATGTGTATCAAGTATGTACCAGGATAAAACCTAGGACTAACGACGAGAAAGAGGCTCACTTACCTGATGACAGCCAGCCATGCGGTACGGTCCTAGCCCTCATTAGTACATCACACCAACATCACATAGCATCGAGGGGGGCCCCGGTGAAGGGGAATTGGCAATCAAGCATCATCTTCGCGCCTTGCGGCACTCAAAATCAGCGACACCTAGTGGGGGAGAAGAACCTCTCTTTTCATTGACTCCTAGTCGTCGTGCCGCCGTATATAGCCGTAAAACCATGCCGTAGTCATGGCAAACTCCCAACCCCAAGCACCGTATTTTCAGGATATCGAGAAGGAAAGGAGAACCGAGCCGTACACAACATCTAGTTGCGGGCGTTGCGGTCGCCGAAGCGGCGGGGGCGCTCGACGGCCTGCTGCTGAGAGACGGCGACAACGTTGGTGGGGATGGAGTCGAACTGCGACTTGTTAGTGGGCGCGCTAAGCAAAAAACTTCATGTGTGGAACATACGCCGAGGGACTTAAGGAGGTCCTTGGTCTCCTGGTCGACGTCGAGAGCACCAGACTCAGAGTTCTGGGTGAAGTCGAGAGCGGAGATCTCGGGAACGTATTGGTCCTTGCGCTCACGCTCCTCTTCCTGGAGCTTGAAGGAGATACCGCGGACGGGACCACGCTGGATACGCTTCATCAAATGAGTGGTGTAACCCGCGATCTTGTTGCGGAGACGCTTGGAGGCAATGATAGCGATCTGCCTGGCGCATTAGCTTTTGCACATACTCCTGCAGCCGTTTTGCATCTCACCTCATCGCAGATCCTCTTGTTGGTCTCGAAGTCGAGCGAGAGCTTGGGGTAGTAACGCTCAATGATGACCTTGGCGGACTTCTTGACGGTCTTTGTGCGGACGCGACCCATTTTGGCGACTGTGTATGGATTTACGGGGAGTCGGTGGAAGAGGAGGGCTGTTGGGGTTAGTGGTCGTCGTGAGGCTTGCGTGAAGTTCGATGAATTCGGTTGTGTGGGCGCGGCGGCATCAACAATTTTCCGGAATGTGCTAAACTCAACACACGATAGCGCCGTGGGCCACCATCAGAATACCAGTTATGGTCGAGGAACACCGGATCGCAGACTGCCGCATCAGTGATGAATAAAGTTCATGTCTGCCATATTTCAAATGATTAGGTAATGCACAAGATAGTGCCCACGATCATCGTAGTAATCGATGCATTCATTCGTATCTACACTGGTATTCCTCGCTCGCTAAATAACAGACAAGTGATGCCGTCATGCATCACAGATGCTCGCTCCAACAATCTTACAGAATCGACTATGACTCCTGTTCCATACCGGTTCAATTTGAGCCTTGATTTGTTGAGTCCTGAAGCAACTCTTTTGAGAGGACCTTGCATTTAGTGCCCACCCTCGGCACCTCCACCAGCAGCGCTGCCATGCGCCGGGTTCGGGAAAAAGAAGGCGCAGATGGCGATGATGATGTACACCATGATGCACAGTACACCCTCCAGATAGTTCGACTTGCCATCGCGGAGGAAGGAGCCGACCACGAGCACAGCGAGAACAAGGGCCACAGCGTCGAATATGGCGAAATTGTAGTCCATATGCTCGACGTGCAGACCCCAGCCAACCAAGACAACCAGAGGGGCGTTGAGTAGAGCAGTCTGAATGGAGGCGCCCATGACGTGAGCCATGGCCATGTTGATTTGGTTATCGTAAGCCTCGTCGATTGCAAGGAGATGTTCTGAACGGCGGGTTAGTAAGTTCTCATGCTGGATATACCTTCCAACGTACCTGCGATCTTCTCGACGAGAGGGATCAAGATGAGACCAACAAAAGCATCGCTGACACCACGCTCCTCCACCATGAACTCGATCTCTTGGACTAAGAAGATGGCGATCAAGGAGACGCAGGCCAGAGAGATGATCAGAGCAACGAAAGCCTCAGTCAGGGTAAGCTTTGGCTTTGCCAGCTCCTCGTGGCGGTCAAGATCCTTGTGCTCATCAGCCTCGTAAATCTCATGGAAGAGACCGTCATGAGAGATGGTCTGGTAGGCAACGTAGATGAGGTAGCCAACAAGAGAGATGATTGCAACCCCACGCGAAATCTTAGTTGCGTTGTCGACAACGAAGGTAGCAGTGGGAATTTCGTAGTCAACGTTGTTGAGCAAGTACTTGGCGAAGACAGCGGGGAGAATGAGAGCCACTACAGTTGTCAGCCATAATCAAGAAGGGAGACGTGAACAGGAACGTACTCGCAGCGACGAGCATTAAGCCACTGCCAGACTCAGAGACAGCCTCGTGGAACTCCTGGACGTCGTTCTTGATACCACCGGCGACAAAGCATGATCCAAGGCAGAGCAAGAGGTTAGCAAGAATAGAACCTAGGATGGCAGCTCTAATGACTGGAACATTCGATCCTTGTCTGTCTGTTTTGAGCAGCACCATGAAGAGGATGAGCTCAACGACTGAGCCTAACGTGGTCTCTAGAACAACGGCGATGGCCTTCTGTGGCATCTTGCGCGCAAGTTCCTGGCCGGCAAAGCCCAGCATGTTAGCAGCCGGGACCATGGCAATGTAGTTAGTGATAAAGATAGCCAGCTTCCATTCTGGCTTGGCAAAATGCTGAAGCGTTGTTAGTAGTCGTTTCGTAGTCGTTACAAAGCAAAGTCCATACCAGTGCAATTGCAACAGGGACGATAGGCCACAGGCAGTTAACCATGAGGGAAAGTGTACTGCTGCTCTTGAAGGCGATCTTCAGGAACTGGAACGGATGAAACCCCCTCCTGCCACTCTCACCATCAGGGTGGATGCCCTTTGTGACCTCATGCCCATTGTGGTTGTACTGCGGCAGTGTCTGCGCACGACTGTCCCTTCGACCGTTTGTGGAGTGTTGTCGTGACCGTCTTCGTGGTTTTTCGTTTGTGTATTCGCGCGATGTGTACTCTCTCGAGGTGTGCTCCCGCGACGACCGTGAATGTTGGCGTGCCATTGTGGTGTCTGTGTTTGTGTAAGATGCAGGGCAACGGTCAGGCGTAGCTGGAGCTATATGAGCAGGTCGGTTTTAAGGCGAGCGGAGCAGGTGCACCCAGCGCAATTGCGGAGGTTCAGTCAAACAAAAAATAGGCGGCCGTAAGAGGACAATATACAAGGCGGGCTGGGTGAGCTAGACATGTCTCGACAGGGGTGGCAGTGGGTCATCATGGCGGTGGACGTTTAATTCCTTGTTATTGAATTGTCAAAGGCCCAACCGCAGCGTGGAGCGCTGGCATTTGTCGATGCGCGCGACGAAGTGCTTGATCGGGGCAGGGGAGCACAGGCTCACAAGTGTCTATTCGCCAAACGCCTCTCTTTCTGCAGCATTATGCCACCACTCGTGCAGCATAATCAACACTCCGCGTCGCTCGATTCGATGTCGCAGCTTCTCCGCGTCAGGGTAACTGCCCCTGTGCTTGTTTTGGGTGGGTTCACGTCACCAAGCCTTATTGTGATGCTTGATGCCCCCTTGGCTTGGGGAGCTGAACTTGGTTCTGGAACGCATGCGCTGTGATGTCAGAGTGGCCCGAAGTGTAAAACTCCGCAAAATTCAGGGTTTCGAGCCACCTCACAAACTCTCCGGTCTCCACTTTCGACAGGAGGCTGCAGGCACCTCGCGGGTCGGATCAGACGGCCATCGTTCAGACAGATCAGAGCAAAATATATGGCTGCACTGGGCCAACCTGCAACGTGCTAAAGAAACGCGTACAGAATGAGCTAAGCTCCTCAGAACTCCGGGGTCGATTTTCATGCTGCTTACCCTGCATATCTTCGTGCATCAACGCTGCCTTCCATTAGCATTTTCATAAAGACCTTTTCTTTTCTTCTATCGCAAGTAGTAAGCCTGAACAATACACTGGATATTCAGCGTCGTCTTTCCAGTCGTGTTGTCCATTCTCCCATTGTGAAACTCGTCGCGTGCGTGATTTGGCGTTATCGCTGGTGGGCACGTGCGCGCTCGGCGTGGCTGATTGGCGTCATGGCAACCGCGACACACCCATGAACAACCTCCCTTCCGGCCTTCTTCCATCTTGACTTCATTCTAATAGCAGCAAGATGGTATACTCTTCTCGGTGGGTACTGTGCGCGGCAGTGATAGGCGCGGGAGCGCTGCAAATTCCTCTACTATCCTCCAACAACCAGGCGCTGCTTGGCCATCTCTCAGGATCGAAGCCTCTTGTCAACTCGACAGAGTTACAGGACCTGATCAGTGGAGACCGTCTGTTGACTCGCGCGAAGAAGCTGTATGAGATTGCAAAGCTCGGCGAGGAGGAGTACAACCATCCTACTAGGGTTATTGGAAGTGCTGGTAGGTCGATGCACATGCACTCATGTGCAACCGTACTGATCTCCAAAAGGACATGTCGGAACACTATCCTACATCTATGAGACCATCCTTCAGCTTGGAGACTACTACACTCTCTCAAACCAGAGCTTCCCTGCTGTCTCTGGCAACGTCTTCGAGTCAAGGCTTGTGCTTGGCGATGGTGTTCCCAAATCAGCAGCTCCCATGGGTCTGACTCCGCCAACAAAGAACAAGCAGCCAGTGCACGGCGACCTGGTTCTCATCGCCAACGAAGGTTGTCAGCTGTCCGACTTCCCGGATATCGTTGCTGGAAACATTGCCTTCGTCAAGCGTGGAGTATGTCCTTTCGGAACCAAGTCAGAGCACGCCGGCCAAAAGGGGGCTGTTGCGACCATCGTTTATAACTACGAGAAGGACGCTGTATCCGGTACGCTTGGAACACCATCTCCGGATCACATAGCCACATTCGGTTTGTCTGGCGAGGAGGCAGCGCCGGTATTGAAAAAGCTTGAGAAGAAGGAGCGCGTCGATGCCATTGCCTATATTGATGCCGAGGTCCAGCAAATCTTGACCGTCAATATCGTTGCGCAGACCACCGAAGGCGATCCGGAGAACTGCATCATGCTTGGTGCACACAGCGACAGTGTTGCTGAAGGGCCAGGAATTAATGACGACGGTTCAGGCACAATCTCGCTGCTCGAGGTTGCTACACAACTCACAAAGTTCAACGTCAGCAACTGTGTTCGCTTTGCATGGTGGGCTGGCGAAGAGGAGGGTCTGCTTGGCTCAGACTACTACGTTCAGTCGCTGTCTGAGGAGGAGAACCAGAAGATTCGCCTGTTCATGGACTACGACATGATGGCCAGTCCCAACTTCGCCTACCAGGTCTACAATGCTACCAACGCCTTGAACCCCAACGGGTCTGAGGAGTTGCGCGATCTGTACATCGACTGGTACGAGCAGCAAGGCCTGAACTACACCTTCATTCCGTTCGATGGACGCAGCGATTACGATGGCTTCATCCGCAACGGTATTCCTGGAGGAGGTATCGCAACCGGTGCTGAAGGTATCAAGACCAAGAGGGAAGAGAAGGTTTTCGGAGGCAAGGCAGGCGATTGGTACGACCCCTGCTACCATCAGCTGTGTGACGACGTTGGCAACGTCAATATGACAGCTTTTGTTGTCAACACCAAGCTCATCGCACACTCGGTCGCGACGTATGCTGTCTCGCTCAAAGACTTCCCTAAGCGCGATACTACCGTTGCTTCGCAGGCGTACAAAGAGGCTATCAAGTACCACGGTAGCAAGCTGTTCATCTAAATGCAGACCAGCCTGTGGTGAATTAGGCTTTGCTTGGACCTTCTAGAGCATTGTAAGCATATACATAGCATCAATAGATTCACGTGTTGCACTGACCGTACGTTCACATGTTTCGGTCTGACGTGCTCGTATCAGCATAGTCTCTGGGCAGGCACAGATGTATGAAGTACGAAGTAGTCTTCTCGACATTGCTATACGAGGCAGATCAATCTAACACGCGGAGTACAGGCAACAAGACCAACTGCAGTAACGATCTTCTAGTCGTTGACAAGATTTCGAAGAATGTCGCACGTCTCGCCGATACTTCGTCGGACACTCGGAGAGCGCAGAATCGCATTAAAGACAACATGAACATGAAGTATCAAAACCAACTGACCCATGCCGACCATCTAACATGCGCACCTATATTTCTTGTGTACCTGCTACACTGTACCTACTGTAGCATCTAGCCAGCGGACTGCGTGCGTAAGAACAGCAGGCTGGTGGCTACCTGACCACCGACTTCAAAGGCGACTTCCCCCGTGTTTTCTTTAACTGAGCCCCTGCCTCAGCACCATTCACCTTCTCGCCGCTAAATGACGGTCGAGCGGTCCTGGTCCCAGCGTCAGGAACTGGCGGAGTACAAGACCCTTTTATCGTGAAGGCCCAAGACTCATCCAAGGTCAGTGGTGCTCTCAAGTGGAAGTTGGTTGCACCAGGAAACTGACAAAGATCACCGCCAGTTGATAGTTCTGGCCACTGATTTGGGTATCGGGAAGACGACTGGGCAGCTGCGCAAACGAATGGGTCAAGGAGTATGTTCGTCTAGAAGTCGAGCAACGGCATATAGTGGTCCACAGATCGTCTCGTGGAACTGATGTCTGCGACCGCTGGCTATGTGAGTTCCCACACTGCCTTCGATTACCACGATACTGACAAGCACAGGTCTGGGCACCACCAGCCATCTGGGGCGTAGACCGGAACTCATACGCCGGCTTCTGGGGCTCGCGTGTCTACGCGGCAGATGAGATATCTCACACCCGGAATTGCGCAGGACCCGTTCATATGCTACTTGCATACCGGTGACTTCAAGACCTTCACGGCGCCAGCGCGATGGAACACCGACGCTTCTGCCACCGTCACCGACCAAGAGATCCAACACCTCGGCAACAGACCCTACGTGCGGTATCTCAGCAACATCGACACAATGAAGAGAGTTGTCCTAGACAGATCTGACGATGGCCTGTTTGGTACGTGGAAGCGGGTCGGCGTGCCGGTTGATAAGTTGCACGAGGATCCGGCGAGCTATCAAGATATTTTGAGACCCCAGCGATTTTATCTTTGGGAGGACGACTATGGGGGTGCGGTTTATGAGTGTTATACGGAGGATTTTACGGTGCCGTATGAGCCTTGCACGCCGGGTTTGACGCCATGGAGCTGTTATTTAGATCGGCGGCGATACGTACGCTAGGCTGTCAAATTACTGAAATGCGGACTGCAAAGGTGAGCTAAGATGGTTCCCGCTCCTTGCTTGTGCAAGGCTGAGCAAAGCGGTGACTGGAGTCGACGTTAAAATAGGAGAGAGCGGTTATAGGACGTGACACTCAAACCATGGTTCCAGTCCGTTATGCATATCAATCGTGCAATCAATACTATGAAAGCGCCAGATCACCCTTTCAGAATTCGAGATAACGTTTTAACTTGACCATCGATTGATCCACGAGTGCAGGCTGCTAGACTCGATATCTACACCTCCTGAAATTGAGAAGCATGTGTACCACCATGCCTCTTCGCTTCGGCATAAAAAAGCCTCAACAGCGGTGACATCCTCAGTAAGTGTATAAATTTTAGACACCGAGACTGACCCGTCGGAGACCTTTTCTTTCCTCAGTCTACCAGCCGAAGTTCGACTCTTGATCTACTCCTTCATCGACACTCCGCTCTATGCCCCACGTCCCAACTACCGCGGCCTATATCACTCCTGATAACTCATCAAGCGCGAGATGAATCACGAACGCCTCGTCCGCGCATCAACGGTCTTTGCAACCCTGCGCTCTCTAGTCAATCAAGACCTGCGCTTGCAATCCTCCTGCGGGTCCACCTGAAATCGTCAACCACAAGGCACTGCCTAGGCATGCACCAACGCAAGCGTACACGACCAATTACAAACCCTGCACATTTCCCTGTCGCTCTGGTCATTCAATTCCCCACACAAATTGCGGCAAAACGAGCGTGCTAAAGTCGCTCGTTCCAGTCGCGCAATCGCAGTTCCACACCGTCGCCATCGGTGTACATTACCCCTATACCCCAACCCGTACCCACACCTCTACCACTGTGGTAATTTTCATGTAGAACAGCTAGCCGAGTTCGCCGAGGACATTATCTGTGCACTGTGCCCCTCAGTGTGTCCGCGTGGTAGGACGCCGCGGTGGCGGGAGGAAACCCACACACAACTGTAAAAGCTCTTGTTATCGACAACAACAGGACAGCTATTTCTCGTTCAAAGACGTAGGAGTTAACAAGTTGGCGTGGGAGTTTAATGGGGACTATGCGATTGAGATGGGGTTTGCATCGACAGCTATCGGATGCGTACGGAGCGCCCGATGGGTGCGGTGGAGTTGTTGAGAGAGGTTGGGTAGAAGATGGAGGTGTATACGGAAAGGGATACGGAGGAGAAGGTTGGGTGGGGGTTGCCGCAGACGTATATTTGGACGAGGTTTAGTGAAGGTAGGGGGGGGGGTGATAAAAAGGTGGGTGAGAGAAAGGTGCGGTAGTCAGCTCGAGCGACTGGTCTCTTCATGAACATGCAGAGCAAGGTTAGGATGAAGGTGTCAGTTTTTTCTCTGAGAAGTGTTGATAGAGGGAGGTCAAAGAACAGACACATGATACGAGAGAAGTCTGGATGTATGATAGTGGTCTTGTATACGTACAGCAACAGTGAAGTAAGGGTATATCTATATGCAACACCATAGAACAGAACTCCCAAGAGTAAACGAGAAGCTAGAGAGATGTACACGGCGTATAAGGTACAAGACGGGTATCGACAGGGAAATGTGAAATGAAGAACACAACGCCGTAGATAGAACGTCCCTGAACTGAACAAAGGATAGCAATTATGGCTCATCCTTTTTTACTGCTAGCATCTCTCTTATCCGTCATCTTCAGCTGTACAGCTCATCCTCAGAATCCGGCTCGTGCGGGCCATTGTATAATGCCTGGTTCATGCGGTGGGAAGCCTGTTGTGGCTGTGGAAAGTTGTGCCCAACTTGAGGGCCTCGCGCACTAGGCAACGCATCGCGCACGTTGCGAACATCCCATGGGTCGGCGGTGGATGCGTGTGGCACGAACGGGTTCGTTGGCCCATTGCCGTAGGACGAAGAAAATCGTCGTTCGCGAGCAGGAGGTAGATCAGTACGATTGTAGTATGACACAGGTGGTTGACGGCGCTCTTGACGAGGTTGAGGTACACCAGTGCCGCGTGTGCTGGGTGTTCTTCCCAGGCTCCCCATGTCCGGTCGTTGTGCAGAACCAGAAAGGCTGTTACGACGAGACATCGAACCTGCACCACTGGAGATTGCGCCGTTTCCACGAGGATCATAATATCTGGGATCTTGCTGCTGTTGCTGGAGGGTAGGTGGATATTGTTGCTGTTGCATCTGCTCTTCCCGCTCCATAGACTCTGCGTTAATACGCTCTTTGCGCATCTGACTCTTATCAGCATCAATCAGTTGCTGCTGTTTGGCGGCTTCTGCTGAAGTCATGCGAATGGAGGTCCTGCGTGATGGTGCCGCTGGCTTGGAAGTACCCGTTGTGGGCTTCGGTCTTTTCGCTGCAGCCTCTCTTGCCGCGGCCTCTTTGGCGGCAGCTTCCTTTTCCGCCTGAGCCTCTCGAATTCTTCTCTCCTGCTGTCGAAGCTGCTCGCGTCCCTCATCGCGTTCGGCGAACGTCCTGTCGGCTCGCTGCTCAGCGCGACCTTGTGCACGAGAGGGCTCGAAACGAACCCGTTTATTTTCTTCCCTCGTCACACTCGTAGCGACCTCACGATCGTGAGCCTCCTGTCGTCTGTCTTGTTCATCGCATCGAGTGATCTCGGACGCGTAAGAAGCAGCTGAACGCTGGCTCCTGTCGGTGCGGTCATGAGTTTGGTCATACACACCTCGAGGTGTCACAACAGTGGTACGATAAGTACTAGAAGGGCTGCCAGATTGGGCGCGCTTAGTGTCGATGGGGGATGGTACATGACGTGGAGCATGGTGGATTACAGGGCGAGTTCCACTTGACGTGGCTGTTGTTCCTGTCGCGAGGCTAGGCGTATCATATTCGTCGGAAGTGTGGTACATAGGGGCAACACGACCAGGTCCTGTGAACGACTCGTCTGACGATGGGTTTCGGTATTGTCCTGGTCGGGAATGAAGCGCGCCATAGGTTGAATTGAGAGGAAGAGTGGCATCAGGATAACCTGTACGAATGGTTTGCGAAGCGTCTGAACCGGGAGAATCAACAATTGAGCTTGAACCCAGTGATGTTCGATGGTTCTTCTTGGTTGAAATGGTAATCGTTGGGTATCCTTTACCTTTACCATTCTTCGATCCGATCTCAATGACGACCTCGGGCTTGACTTTGACTGTTCCGTCCCTAGTTGATGGCCGGCTTGATGTTGATGGCCGACGTTCTCGAATGTTGAAGCCAGATCTGCCAGGAGTGATTGGACTGCTCATCGGAGATGAAGTGGGATCGTGAGAAGAAGATCCTGTCCTGTACTTGGTTGTGTGCACCTTCGTATCTGAGCACGTTCTCTTGTGGCGACGGCCCCTCTCGCAAAGGAACGTCTCGTCGAAAACAGACTGGTTACCGTCAGGGCTAATGTATACTCTCTCCTCGATTCGACACATCGTGGTGGTATGTGATTGCTGTGAAGGATATCAGGGACGCCTGCAAGCGCCTGCTTCGTCTTTGTCGGCAGCCTGTCTACCAGCGGCAAGAGGATCCCAAGCTTTTGTCGAGGGTGTTGTGTTGTTGCGCTCAGTACGTAGGACAGAAGGTGAGCGTCTGTCCAATAGCAAAGAGAGCCACGAGTCTGAGATGGTGATCGGTACAAGAAGGAAGTATCGACGGTACTATGTGGTCTCTTCGGTCTTGGAAGCGTTGTGTGGTATTGAGAGTACTAGGCAGTGAAGCTTGGCTTTTGTTGTATTTAAGAAACTCAATGACGACGCAACTGAGACACTTCGTAAGTAAACCAGTTTGAATGTATGTATAGAGGGGCAAGACGTACCAAAAGCAGAAAGAGTAAGAGAGGCGAGATGTCAGTACAGAACGGTGGTAGTATAGTAGAAGGCTGCAGCGCGTTATGCAGGAGTCAGAGCCAATGAGCAGCCCTTCTGGGCCGAATAAGGTGTGGGCGTGACAGAGGGCCTGACTGTAGCCTGAATTGCACACTAAGTGGAGCGATGGGAAGAAAATCGCGGGAGACCTGAGCGAACATATTTGCATAAAGAAAGATTGGAGTGGCAGGCCTCAGGTTCAGGAAGGAGAGGGCCGAGCGTTTTGGGGTCCAGCGGTGAATGGTTGCTGCACAGCCCGTACGGTGGAAAACAGCCACAAAACGGGCGCCTTACCAGGGGCCGCAAACTTGCCTGGTCATGAAAGAAACGGATAGTGTTTCTCTTGGATACTCGACATTGGAAGAATCTTCCAGCTGTCCCGTGCGCCCTTTCGTTGCGGTTGGTCGTCATGTTCTCAGATTCGATGGGCAGCAATCGAACAGCCGGCGCTGAAGCACACCTTGCCAAATCTGTCGGTGACATTTGGTGTCCAAGTCAGTGCGAACCGCTCCCTTGTCCGATGCGACGCGCTCGAGCCCATCCGAACGCCTATTTGCCTGTGATGTTAACGATGCGAACCGATGCCCAAGTCCAGTGATCAGCTGCACAGTAGCTGGCAGATGCGTGGAGGCTATGCATCGTCAACCGCCCTGCAAACGCATGAGACGCTGCTGTCAGGGACAGAGGGCTGGCAATTTGCCCATCAGCTCCCAATGCCCAACCCATATTGCTTTACTCAGGCACGAAATACGATGAACAGAGCGGATGATGGATGAATGCAACGCTTGGTCTTTTCATTTGCTGGTGGGGCATGCAAGCGCTAGCGCCCATCCACCCGGAGATTCCACGCATCGTCTTCGCAGACCTCACTTGGACACCGTATCGACAATCTGAAGAATTTCAGAACTGCAAACTTTTCTTCGCCAGCGCCCTCATCCTCAATATCGCAGCAACCTGGTGCGTTAGCTCCCCTCGATCCGGATGTGACAGGCAACAAAGTGGGCGCGCGTGAGCAGCCATTGCCTCGTTGCCTTGAGCCAGCCCATCTGGGGAAGGAGTGACTCGGCTCGACGATTTACATTTTCTCTCGAGACACTCTCTCATCCAACGGACAAACTTGTCGGCGACATCTTCATGCGCACATCCGAGCTTCCCTTTGCCGCTGCTCGTGTTTTGACCTGAGGCTGCTTACAATTAGTATACTGAGTACACGACCACTCTGACCCTTACTAATTCCCAGTACCATCAGCCTCATACGAAAAGGATACACTGGTTACACTAGCGGCGTCAGGCGATAGTGGCGGCCGGAACTGTCACTCTCCCATCGAAAAACCCAGTTATCCCAGTTTTCCTCAATCTCACAGCCTTGCTCGGCAGTCAGGGTTTACGCATCCGTGTGCGCAGTATTTGGGGGCCATAACACCCCGACAACAAAGAGCGGAACTTCAACACTATCAAGTCTCTCATATCAAGTTCACATCACCGCTCAAGTGCTAATAACATGCATTGACATGACAAGCTCGCCGTAACGGGAAGGGAAGCTGCGCCACAGCAGTAAGCAGCCACAACACAGCACTCATCTGTCAACACCATCTTCACAAGATAACGGGCTATTGAACGGTTAACCACATATGGTGTGGCAGGAGAGGGTCAGACGACATTCGTACGGACATGAGTATCGCCAATCCCCACCATCGAACAAGCTCCGTCTATGGACGCTTGCGGTATCCGCAGTGGAGAACAGATGGAGCAACTCATACGAGCTCCCGCTGGCAGTCCACTCAGCCTTGTGTGCTTGTCCAAACTTCACGCTCTTAGACCCAGCTGAAAGTCGATGCATAGAGGTGGCCTTGCACACTCAGAAATGCGACATCTTGCGTCTACAGCCCGTACCTAGCTTTACAAAGCGTACCGAGCAAGACTCAGTACCCACTTCGATATCTTCTCTCGCTTCGGTCGGAGTACGGGCGCCCTGATCATCAACCACAGTCGGTATCCCACACCTTGGGCATCACATACCATAACTTTTCAGTGTCACTGTGAGGTATGAGTAAGGTAACCATACGTCCGTCAAGCTTCACAGACTCCAAGTAGCCCTACAGCCTACCACCGAACCAATCAAATCCCAACCCAAGAATTTTTTCGCCCCTTGTCCAGCTGAGAACATGGATCTGAGAGATATGTTGTAAGGCTCCAACGCGCGTACCTGCATACGTGCACACTTGCATGGTTACATACCGAGCGTGCTTCTCGCGGCACAGTTACTTGTCACCGAACGTTGCAGTAGGAGCGAGAACCGACCGCACAACGGACGTGTTGCACGCCAATGTGCATACCAGCCTTACAGCCTAACGAGATTCCCAATCACCCTCGCTATCGCATTCTCTGCATGCGAGCTCTACCCCCATAGCTCCTCTTTGGTCCGATTACTGCTAGGGTTTCGATTTCTACTGATCCATGCCCAGCTAAAGACAAGCCAATGTGCTGACAAAGGCTGCAATCTACGTTCCTGCATCGTCGCATGTCGCCGTTAGTTCTACGGCGCAGTTGATACTACTGCAGAGTGTTGAGATAAGACTGAAAACCAACCGTACAGTATCACTCCAACCTTACAACCTTGCAGCCTTATTGCATACATTATCGCCACACTTGCGGGTCTACTACGTGCATTCCTACCTCCACATGTACTTCGAAAGCCCAATCACACTCCATATGGGCTTTCTGACTGACCCTTGTCCAGCTGAACACCATGATTACCCAGCCTCATAAGGTATCGAGTGCAAAGCTGCCAAGCGTGCATAAGCGTCTGTACAGTTATACTGTTGCACTTTAGAGTGCACTTTGCGGCGTGGTCCATAGTGAACATGTCATGGTAGGCTCGGCGAGTGACCAGAGGTCATGAACACGAGAATGCCGCAACACCTCCAAGGCCGCACATGGGGCGACCACAAAAACCCTCGGCGTTTAGAGAGCTGCTATCGGCCCGTTGGCCTACGGCTCTTGCGGGCACGAGCTTTGGGCTGCAATACCGTATCGAGTGTTGAAAACCACTCCCCGTCAGCTTTCCCGCCTTTCCGCCCTACAGCCTTGATGTGGTAAGCGCAATAGGCCTGGTCGCCGTGTGCCCTAAGCCGTCTACGGATCGAGGCAAAAGTTCACTGTTAGACTTGCGGACCATTTCTTCATGTCGTGAAGATGCAGTCAAGCCTTTTGCTGGATGATAGCATGTGTTGTGGTTGCTGTCCTGGATATTTTGCAAGTTCTCGGTGGTACCTGGGGGGAGATGACAATGTCCGGAGCATGGAGGTTAAGACCGCCACAATGGCTCGTCATATCATGATGTCTCGTTGGTAAGCGGCAGATGTACACGAGAAGATCTTGTGTCTAGCAAATTAAATATAGGCAGACCGCGATTGAAAATATAGGTATCGCGGCGCTATCATGGGTCGGGAATGGCAACTGGCACACCGACATCAGAAGCACTGCAACGAACGAGGAGGCAACATGTGTTGAAGATTGATCAATGCCGATGCAAATACACCCTATACAAACTACTGCCACTACTAATTACACCCTATTCTCCCCCATTCTGACACCTCAATTCCATCCAACCCAACTCTTGCTCATCACGCGCCAGACGCGTACCTCACCCGACCTCAAATCACCCATCCTGAAACTCTCAGGCTTGACCTTCTTATGCTCTCTTCCTTGCTCCCACACGCGTACCTTCTTCTTGCTGCCGTCCCACTCAACGACCACACCGACGTGGTCAGGCTTGCCTACGTCCACGGCGTACTTGGCGTGCATCGCGCCCGCTTTGCCCTGGAACTTTGCGTTGCGGAAGGTGATGATGTCACCGGGGCGGATCTCGTCGTAGGACTGTGTGGATGCGTTGGCGAGGTTGGCGTACACGAGGGCACCGTAGGCGCGGGTTGAGACAGGGGCGAGGGCGTCCTTGTGTAGCTTCAAGAGCTCGTCGATGAAGCCGTAGGGTGTGCCATTACCGACCACGCTGCCCTGTTTCGACTCGGCGTCTTTGGCAATCTTGCGGCCGAACTGTTCGTATGCACTCTCCAGCTGGTCAGGGCGCAGACGAGGTGGAGGTGGCTCTTGACGCTGCTCCAGCTCGACATCGGACACGTTGTTGCTGTCGAAGCGGGCGGAGATGATGGTCTGCGAGTAGTCCATGAACAGCACCGAGACGAGCTTTTCACCTACGTTGCCTGACTGTGACTCTTGCAGGTCCACGAGCACATCTTTACGGGCCTGTAGCGAGGGTGGCAGCCTCTTCGACTGTGTCCACCAATGACTCGAAGCACCCAGGTCGATGTCGCTAGCCATGAAGTCTTGATTGATTTGGGGACGTTGCTGGTCCATAGACACGCGGCTTTGCAGTGTTCGGCTGGCGTCGAGCGACTTTCTTGCACCCATAGACGGTCGAGGCTGAGACTCAGCTTGTGGCGGCGAGAAAGGGGCACGCTCTTGCGGAGGCGGCGCTTGTGGTGGAGGTGGAGCATGCGGTGGCGGCGGGGCCTGCGGTGGAGGTGGCGGCGGTGCTCGATCTTGGGGTAGCGGCGGTGGTGCATGCTGGTGAGGTGGAGCCTGAGGAGGCGGCGGTGGAGGTCTATCGTGAGATTTCCTGTTGGGAGGAGCCGAGTACAGGTCATCATCCTCTGATGACTCGGCCTGCTGGTAGTGTGGGACCGGAGGAGCCACTGGCGGCATTGGTGGCGGCGGACGACTTTGAGGTGGAGGCGGCTGGGCCTGAGGTGGAGGCGGCATGCCTCTTGGAACAGGAGGCGCTCCGGTAGGTGGTGAGGCCACAGAAGGGGAGGTGTACTTGTATGGATCATACTCATCATCGTCCTCTTCTTGAGCACGTGTGGGTGGTGGAACAGGCGGGAGAGGGGGCGCGCCACGGGGAGCGTCCATGGATGGTCGACTTGGGGGCTGCTGCGGAAGAGGTGGCGGTACAGCGCGAGGAGCTGTTGGAGGCAGCGGTGGGATGCCGTGTGGAATCACAGGAGACCCACCAATTGTGCTTGCATCTAAGCTTGCTTCGCGGGCATGTGACTTGAGAGCATCCTTGTGGGTGTCTCCGGAGGCGATATCTGTGTCGTAGTCGCCTTCATAATCCGTCTCGTGATCGAGTTTTCTGACTGGCAGCTCTGCGCGGTGAGCAGGAGGCGCGGCTGTAGGAGGCGGGGGCGGAGGTAAACGAGCAGATGATGGCGAGGTAGGGCTTGCCAGAGGGATGGGAGGCACACGTCGACCAGGCGAGTCTGGGGTGGGCTCCTCTCCACTAAAGTAGGAGGCACGCTTCGAAGGTGGTGGGAATGGAGGAGGAGGGCTTCTTGGTGATAGTGTGTGAGCACCAGCATCCGTTAGCTCATCACCAGACTCAGATCCCGGGCCTGGAGAGGCGATGGGTGGTACAGGCGGTGGAAGAGGTCGAGCTTGAAAACAGATTAGCAAACGTCGAAATCATGGTGTGTGTGTGGGGGGGGGGGGGGCGCGCATACAAGCAGCAGGCACTGGCGGCGCTGAGCGGTCAGCTGTGAGCACTGGCGGAGGAGCAGGCCGTTCTACATGATGTTAGCAATCGCATCGTGATGTGTGCAAACCCCTGTCAGAGCGTCACCGAACATACTGAGCACGCTGACAGTCATGACATACTCCGAAACCCCATCAAAAGCCATGTAGGTCTTTGACACAGTTTCCGAGGATGGCAACTGAAGGTGATCGAGTAGTAGGCGGGCGCTGGAGTTGATGGGTTTACGAGGAATGATATGCTTACTGTCTTGCGGGACGGGAGGTGCGCTCTCGCCTGTCGGTGTTCTCGAGATGGGCTGCGGCGTCACGTCCTCGACGTCTGGTACCTCATCTGCCGGGTGCGTGCCCGTCACAGGGTGATACGCTTCGTCCTCCTTCTCAACAGCCAGCTGCTTGTTCTCCTGCTCTGGACTTCTTCTGACAGGCATGCCTGGCATAGGGAACATGGCAACTCGCTGCTGCGGTACGTGAGGCTCCTCGCTCTCCTCGACCTTCTTGTCGCCAGTCGGCTTCTTCTTCTTTGGCGGGAGACCACCCATAGGGATGCCACCGAACATGCCAGGCATGCCCATGCCGCCGCTCATCTTGGCCATGCGCTCTCGCAACTCCAGCTTGCGCCTAGTCTCGGCGTCCATCTCGTCCTCTTCTCCCTCCTCCTCTTCGTCTTCCTCTGCAACATCCTGCTCATCGCCGACATCTGGCTCTCGTGTGGGCGCAGCAGGTGCTCTCGACGGCAGCGGTGGCTGGTGACCGACTGTTCGCTTCTCGTCGCCCTCAACGCTAGTCGAGTCGCCATCTTGGTCCTCGGTCTCGCCGGCGCCGGACTGGTCGGCATCGTTGGCATCGCTGAGCAGCTCACGATCGTAGTGCTGCGAATCGGGTGACTTGATGTCGTGCGACGGACGTGGAGGGCGAGCGTGGTCGGTGGACGCACGCGTGGTGGAGCCTGCAGTGACGACCTTCTCGAGCTCGGTGTCTTCGCTGTCCTCCGCGGGGCCTTCGTGGGACTCTAGCCTCTTCTTCTGTACCGGTCTCTTCGGCTTCTCCTTGTGCATAGCCGCGGCAGCTCTCTCTGCCTGCTCTTGCTGCTGCTTCTGCAGAAGCGCAATTCGTTCCTTCAAGCTGAGCTTGGGGCCCTCCTCCTCGGCCTCGTTCGCCTGGGTATTGCTGCCTGTCAGACCAGACTTCTCAGCCGCCTCCTGATCCTGTGCCTGGCGGTCGGCGATCTCAGGGTCCTCCTCACGCCTGTATGTCTTGACCTGTGGGGCCTCTTTGGGAGGGGGGACGTAGGCATTGCGGCTCGGCGGAGGGGCCACGAAGGGCTTCTTGACGAAGGTCGGAGGTGGGGCGGGAGACTTGAAGGGCTGGATGGGCGCTGCGGCGGGCTGGTTGAAGGCGGCGATGCGGTCGCGGAAGGCATTCGACTTGGCGGCAACTGGCGGGGGCGGCTTCTTCGCAGGTGCTGCGGCCTTTGGGGCTTCGGCCAGTGGCTGCGTGTCCTCGGGAGACTTGACGCTCTGCGCAGAGCGAGGAGAGGTAGGCGACAAGACCGACGACGGCTCGGGTCCAGCTGCCGGGGGAGGGACCAGCAGCGGCGGCGGCGGCGGCGGCGGCTGAGGCTTGGGTGCTTCCGGCTCTTCGAGCTGCACCGGCGCAGGCTGCTGCTGCGGGGCCACAGGCGTGGGCGGTGCTGCCTCCTCGATGGGCTGCTCCAATGGCTGGTGTCGCGATGCCCGGTTGGGCCGCGGCGGTGGTTGCGGCTCGTAGCGCTCGACGAAGTTGCGCGGGAAGAGGCCATCGTGCTTGGTGCCATTGTCATCGGTGTACTCGCCCACATACCAGTCGGCGTCCTCCTCCTCGGTGACGGTGATGATCTGGCCGGTGGTGAAGCTCAGGTCGTCATCGTGGGGCGACGAGTAGTCGAAGACGGCCCTGACCTTGTACATGGTGGGCGCCAATGGCAGCTCAAGGCGGCAAGACAGCAGCGGGACGCCCAGAGAATGCAGGGAATCGGACTGCCGCCAACGGGCGCTGTGGTGTAGCCGTGGGTGCTCGCTGGAGGAGTGGTGTGTACTGCGGGCCTTGTGGAAGCTGGCGGTGCTTGCCGGATGACGCAGTTGCCTGGCGAGAGTGCAACGGGGGGTGCGCCGGGAGCTTGCACAGTGGAACAGTCTCTGTAGCGCCCCGTGAAGCTGCGCGCGAGTGGTGGTGGTCGAGGTGAGGGCTGCTCGCGGTACGGGTGCGGTTGCTGCTGGTGCCGGGGGGGCTTCGTCATGCAAGCCACTCACTTGAACCCCTCGGTGCCGGTCCTCTTCTGCTTGGCGCATGCAATCACAATGCACGCGCCCGCCAAACCCGTCGTGCACTGCTCGACTGCTGCTGCTGCTGCTGCTGCTGCTGCGTCCACACATCAAACACACAGCACGCCATGCCGCCCAAATCTATACTGAAGAAGGCCGCTGCGCCTGTGCCTGAGCGCAACGGGACCCCCGTGAACCAACGCCACCTAGAAGTTGCCCTGCACCATGCAAATATTCTCGAGCAGCGCAAAGCTGTCGAAGCGCAGGTGCTCGACTCGATCATGACACTAATGGAGTATCCCCCCTCACCAGACGCAGATGCCAAGCGCCCCCGAGCTGCAGACGCGCGCGCCTTCGAGGAGGCTGTTGCCGCCTTCCAGCCTGCAGACTACGACGCACTCATCGAAGAGCGCAACATCGCCGACAAGTGCGGATATGCGCTGTGCCCCAAACCCAAGAGGAGAGCACCATCGACAGCAAAGAAGCAGTTCGTCGACACAGACAAGGGCGTAGAGATTGTAGACAGGAAGGTGCTGGAGGTGTGGTGCTCAGACGACTGCGCAAAGCGGGCGCTGTACGTCAAGGTGCAGCTGAACGAAGAGCCTGCATGGCTGCGCTCGGGTGGTTATGGGGGGGGGATCGAGCTCATAGTAGACAACGCGCAGGAGCTGCGCACAACACTGCCAGTGCGCGCCCAGCAACAAGCTGCACCTGCGCCAGTCAAGACAGAAGAAGAGGAAGACATGGACGCCGTGTGGGCTGCGCATGACAGCGCTACCGCGGAGCTCGCACGGGAGCGAGGCGAGAAGCCAGGCGCCGTGAGCAAGGCCAGCAACAGCCTGGTGCAGGACACCATCACCGAGCACGAGTCTAGCCATGCGCCGCCACAACCGCCGTCACTCCCTGCCGGCCCGACCATGGCTATCGAAGGCCACATTCCACGACACAACCGTCCCAAGGAGGAAGACGAAGACGGAGACGGAGACGGAGACGGAGACGAAGACGAGCATGACGAACAAGACTGGGACAAGCACCTGCCTGGATGAGGACCACACTATCTGCAGACGCATGTGCTACAGAATCGCGTGCGCTACCACTCCAAACGCCAGTATCGCAACGATGCCTGCCCCAGAACCAGCGATTGACACCGATCGCCGAATACCCCAGCTGACGCCAGCAAATCCAGCGAAGACCCGGGAGCACGACCAAGCTGCAGCAGCGCATCGGTGTAGCCTGGCAGACGTTGCCCTCGAGATGGGAGTGGATCGGCGACGGGGCGGTCGAGGACAGTCACAAAAACCCGCGCTCGATGGAGAATACAGAGACAGTTTCAAGTCCGATATCAAACCGCAGTCTTTACACATGCTTCATCTTGCTAGCTTGCTGCTGTGCATGCCACCTGAATGCGATGTGAGGCGATGTGAGGCGATGTGATGTGATGTGATGTGATGTGATCGGAGTTCGAGCGGGAAAGCGCACGAGCCAGGTCAAAAGTGCAACTTCCACCTCGAGAATTGTAGACCAGGCCGCATCCCTTGAGCCGCCGTTGACGCCCCGCACGCGGCTGCCGCATCGCCATGGCCCTCCGCCGACAGAGCCTGTCCCCGACAGCGAACCTGCTGCGCAACTCGCGCCTCTTCTCGTTGCCGAACCCCCTGCCCCGACCGGTCGTGGGCGAGACGTCCGGAGCCGGCGTCACCAAGGCCTCAGACTCGGCGACACTGCCGTACCCGACCCATCAGGCCATCGCGACCACAAAGAGCTCGCTCGCTCGCGGAGACTGGGGCCTGAAGCGCAACTTGCCTGCGCGGTCGCATCTGCTGCAGACGAGCGACCCCGTGCTGCGCATCACCCAGCTGGACACCATCGAGAACGTCACCGACTTCGACTCGGCGGCCGACCATGTGCGCACACGGCAGAAGTGGGAGCAGATGGGCGTGCCCATGATGAAGGGCATGGGCCAGCTGCGCAAAACCGGCCTGACCGACGCACCGCCTGCCGGCGCGTTCGAGCGTCGCGACGACACCACCTCGTACGACACTGCCCTGGGCCTGGACGAGAACGGGCTGTTCCTGGAGGCGCTGAAGGACAACAAGAGGGCGAGGGAGAAGGCAGAAAAGCACAGTGGCCGCGCAGAGCAGTTCGCGCCCTTCAAGCCGCCACCCGTCGACGCCGAAGTCCACAACGCCCGCCGCTGGAAGCACGATGGCCCCTGGCTGCCCGGCCAGAGCGCCGACGAATTCATGGCATACATGTCCAAGGAGATTGGCAAGCGCCAGGCCAGGTTCAACGAGTACCTCATCGAGTTTGTCAAGAACGAAATCTACACCACCCGCCAGCTCGCCGCCTCCACCTCGGGCGAACTTCCCCCCATCGACCCCTCCGAAGCCCAGGCATGGCAGGCTGCGCGCGAGAAAGAGCGGTCGAGCATCTCGCAGGACGACATCAACGCGGGCATCAAGGCGCTGCGCAAGGAGACGGCGAACAACCCGCTCGGCTCCAAGCTCGTCACGAAGCTGATCATGCCCTTCCTGCGCCTCCCCGCAATCCGCTTCAAGTACAAGGCCTACGACCAAGACGCCTCCAACCGCGATTTCGACCAGTACCAGTTCGACCAGGAAAGCGCCCCGCTCTCCACCCACCCGTCCGCCGGTCTCGGCTACCTCAAGACAAAGTCCTACCTCGCCACCCACCCCATCCTCGGCCCGCAAGCCAGCCCAACACCCGTCCCCTCACGCGTCATCCAGGCCCGCACTCTGCCCACAACAAAGGAGCCCTATGCACGCTTGGGTGTCGCTGGTTTCGTGGCCAACGACCAGTACCGCGCGACCGACAACAACTCTGCCGGCAGGGGCAGCTTCAACAACGTGCGCGACGTCGAAACCATCGACATCGACACACCGGGCGGCAAGAAGATCCTCGTCAACCCGCAGTTCGGTTCCGTATCCAACGACGGAAGGATCCATATCAAGGTGAAGCGCTCCACCGGGCCTGAAATCGCAGTCGCGAGAGGCGAGCTGGAGGACAGGCCGCCCGTCAGAGATGCCCGGCGAGATTACGACCTGGGTCTCGGTGGTTCCAGGAAAGGTGGTTTCGGCAGATTCGCCAGCAGGAGCCAGAAGAGTGGTGTGAAGGAGTTGGATGAGTTGAGTGCGGCTGGCAGGAGGGGCCAGGATGATGGTGCAAAGGAGCTTGACGAAATGAGTCTGCAAGGGAAGGCATTCGCAGATTTCATTCAGAGCCCAGCGAGAGGGCAGCCTGGGCCGGGGTTCCCGGGGGTTGCGCCTGCGTTGAGACCGTCTGAGTAGAGATGTAGTAGTATATGATGTAAACCGTGTATTGTAGTAGAATGTATATCCAGTTCGCTTCAGGTTCGTCTCCAAAAACTGGCTAACTCCATGTATAGTCGTGGTCCACGCGCTTTCTTTAAAAGGATGTAAACTACTGTTTTCGCAGCACCGGCGCAGCTGCCCCCACATCCGCCATCTTACGCTTCGTACCCTTTGCAACCTCCGTCGATGCTGCACCGCCCTCGGCCTTACTAGCAGTCTCCCGCTTCCACACCTTCCATAGCGCCAGCACACCCCCGTTGTCTTTCACCAACGAGCATTCAAACCTCCTTTGCCTTTCCTCTTTCTCCTTGACACTGAGACCTTGCTCCGGTCGCCAACCCTCCAGCCGCGGGTCGACAATCATATCGTAAGGAGGCAGTTGACTCTGCCACTCCCCCACGGTCTCTGGAGGCCAGTGAGGTTGGGGGTACCATTTGCGGCAATGCGCTGCCAACACGCCCCCGACGCTGCGCACACTGACACCTCGTTCCCTCCAACAAGACCGGAATACCTTTTCGTCTTCAAGCACCTCGTCATTGTCGGACTCGTCAGAGTTCTCCATGTAGAACAGTGCATCGCGCTCATCTGACTCGTGGAAGCGGTCGAGGACATACTCTTTCCACGGGCGGACGATGTGCAGCCAGCCGAGCTGTCGGTCAGCAAACGCCACCGCAAACTGGCGGCCGCCCTTGAAATGGACGCGGTAGCACCAGTGTGTGCTTGTGTGCTTGTGGTTGGCGCTGAAGAGGATCTCGTCTATCTTGAGGACCGGGCTGTCGGCTAACAGACGGAGTCAGGCGCCATCAGCTCAGAATGCAGGCAACACTCACCTTGCAGCAGCTCGCTTTTCATAATGTCGACAAGCAACACCAGCACAACATCGCACTGTCGGCTAGTGAGAAGAGCTTCTTCTAGCAACTCCGTCCCCATCGACGACAGCAAGACAATCTCCCCATCTTCACCATCCTCTTGATCCGGTCTTCGAACAGCTCGCAAAGACGGCAGGTCCTGCTTGTCACCTGGCGCACCCATGTGGTGCTCGACCAACGTTCCGTTCTCATCGTCCTTGAGTACGAAGACGTCGGAAAGGATCTTTCGGCGGACCCAGAGGGAGAAGTCGAAGATGCGGAGGCAAGTGAAGAAGAGGAAGCGCTCCGCTGAGTTTCTGTCCAAGTCGAAGAAGGCCTGGCAGGCGGAACAGATCGTGTTCACGCCGGGTTGGTCTTTGTGGCCTAGACAACGGATGCAAATCAGAGGATCAATGGCATCCAGAACGTCGGCGACGTAGATTCTATTCCACGGCTTCGGAGGGCGTCCACAGTGCTTGGGAAGAGGGGCCATGTAGATCACGCTCAACCGGAAATGCGCACTTCCTGGCGAGCTGAAGTATGACCTTAGGCCGAGGTGAAGGTGTTTGTGTCACATCACGGTGAAGGACGGTATGTTCACCGCTTGTAATCAATCACACGACCGACCTCGCGCAATAAGATATCTTATGATCTTACGACCACTCCATGTTTGCTGGTCACCAGTATAAAGCTGCTCCTTCGAATTTGGAACTCTGTCATCCCGGAGATCCTCGAAGTCGTTTCGTCGTTTGGTAACTCCTTGGTCTCGCAAGATTCCTCCCTTGGCTTGGAGCAGTACACCAAGAATCTGGGAAGGACATGGTGAATGACGTTCGCGAGACAATACTCGACCATCAAGGCCGAACGGCAAAGGCCGAAACAGAGACAGTAACCAATGGAATGGAGGGTCACGACGATGACCAGGAAGGCGTTGTGCATGCTGGGCTTATACTTGAAACTATCGATCCATTCCGATCCATTCTCCGCACGGAGCGCATGGACGCACCTGGCATGAACGACATCTGCGTACCCCTGTGATGGTTCACTAGCTGACGACCGAGCTCTCAGATTCTTACATGAAGCAGCGCTCGAGCTTTACAACTTCTTCATCACGGTACAGCGGCAGTCACTGTCAGCTCATTTTCATTTCGCACATGTCCAAGATGACAATGGTAAGGAGATCCAATTTTGGTACGAAGCCGGTATACCTGGGGTACAGACAGAGTTGCCTGGTGTGCAAGAAATTTACTAGGTCGACAGAGAGACAGGACATCAGAAACACACGAGACTCAATGCCATGTAGCAGGAGCGCCTGTAGCAGGTCTTACGGATTTGCAGTGTCACATCGCTATGACACTTGTGTCAAATCTTGTGAAACAAGAGATATACGACTGTAGGTATTCTCCAAGATGTCGAAGACAATAGGAGCTCACTGTGTGGCTAGATGGGAAAGAGTTCATCGCCAAAGTCGAAGAGACCTCGTTTGCTATCACCCACGCCGTCTTTGACACTACGACTCCATGACTGTATCCCACAGCAAACATTCGACCTCATAAGAAAAGCCCATTCGTCTACCTTTGAGACTTCGTTCACATACATCACCTGCCCGCAGTCTCGCAAATCTCAAGGAATCCGACTACGATGCCCGAAACCAACGCAGCAGGCTAGCCCAAAGGCCAGAAGAAGGTCGTAAAGCCTAGACGTCCTCTCACACCGAAGCCTGGCATCAAGCGCAAGCCCGCTGCTCCTGCTGTCGAAACGACGATGAACCTGCGGACAAGGGCGCTGGCGGAGGTGGCAAAAAGACTAACGACAAGGGCAACGGCAAGGCAGGTGCCAGCAAGGGGGGCCAAACAGGCTGCGCCTCGTTCGACAAAGAAGGGGGCTGACAAAGTTCCTCGCAAAAGCACAAAGCGGAATGCACGACCCAAGAGCAGAGCCGAGATATTTCCAACAAGTTCAACATCCGCAGAATCCTTGCGCAGCGCGACGTCGAGGACGAGAGGTTCTACTTCGTCGATTGGTAGCCAACTTGGGCCGAAAAGAGAGCAAGGGACTGGAATGAAAACAAGACGCCACACACAACTCAGTAGGGCCATGCATGATACAGTCTACAAGGTCGATAACCCAACCAGCAAGACTCAAGCCCGCTTGTCCGACAGCTGATCGAGAGTGTGCTGCAGATGTACCGGAAATACATTAGTCCCGATCCCAAGACAACCGGCCGAAATGTTGTGGGACTGGCGGATGAGCTATTGTAAAATGGCGAGTGAGACATGAAGAAAGAGAGCCCCGAGCTGCCCGAGCCGCTAGGGCAGGAAGTGTGAGGAAAGCGTCTGGCAGCTGAGGAAGTCACGCTAGCGTCACATCCCTGCAACCTTACGCGAGCATTTTGGTAAGTCGCGCTCTGGGAAGTATGACACCCGAGCAATTCACACACCATGGCGCCGATGCCTTCAGCGCTCAAATTTGAGCTGCTGGGGAAATGCTCGGTAAGCTCTACTTCTGCTTTGAGACTTTGCAGCCCTAATATGATATCAAGGTGACTAAAGCGCGCGCAGCAACGTTGCATCTGCCCCACGGACCCGTACCCCTCCCCATCTTCATGCCTGTCGCAACGCAGGCATCTTTGAAGGGCCTCACACCAGATCAACTCGAGGATCAGGGCTGTCGACTATGTTTGAATAACACATACCACCTGTAGGACAGTACACTCCATCGCTCCTGCCACTTCTGACAATCTCAGAGGCCTTAAACCTGGACAGGCAACATTGGATGCCATAGGCGGCGCGCACAAGTTGCAGTCATGGCCTCATAATATACTCACAGGTGCTTGCCCATACACGACTCCATAGGAGACGGGAAACCACCGAACGACGTGCTGACTGCTGCAGATAGTGGTGGGTGGGTGATCCCTCGCTCCTCGTCGATGCACGCACCGTAGCTGACACCGCCGGCAGCTTCCAGATGGTGTCGCTGCTCAAGCTTGCCAAAGTCACCGAAGAAGGTGTACGATTCCTCAGCCCCCACGACGGGTCGCCTATGCTGCTTACCCCCGAACACTCCATGTCGCTGCAAAACTCGATTGGTTCGGACATCATGATGCAGCTCGACGACGTAATCGTAACAACCTCGCCCGATCTTGAGCGTATGAAGGAGGCCATGGAGCGCTCGGTGCGCTGGCTCGATCGCTGCATACAGGCTCATAAATACCCAGAGCGCCAGAACCTGTTCTGCATCATACAGGGTGGCTTAGATCTGGATCTGCGGCGGCAGTGCACCGCTGAGATGGTCGCCAGGGATACACCAGGCATTGCCATTGGCGGTCTGTCCGGTGGAGAAGCGAAGAGCGACTATTGTAAGGTGGTGGACACCTGCACTGGACTGCTACCAGAGAAGAAGCCACGATATGTCATGGGCATTGGCTATCCTGAAGACCTGGTGGTGTCAGTAGCTCTTGGTGCAGATATGTTTGACTGCGTTTGGCCTACTAGAACTGCTGTAAGCCCTCACGATATCACAATCTGTATCTAAACTGACACATACAGCGCTTCGGCAACGCAATCACCGCCGGCGGTATGCTCAACCTTCGCAACGTTAACTTCTCGGAAGACTTCGGACCCATTGAGCAAGGCTGCAAATGTACCTGCTGCCGGCCAACATCCGAAGGCGGATTGGGTATCACACGAGCCTACGTATACCATGTGACAGCAAAGGAGACCGCTGGAGCACATCTCTTGACTATGCATAACGTGCACTACCAGCTCAACCTGATGAGGCTGGTGAGAGAAGCTATTTTGGAGGACAGATACCCACAGTTCCTGAAGGACTTCTTCAGCAAGCTGTACAGCGGTAAGAAAGAGAAGTACCCTGAGTGGTCCGTTGAGGCACTGAAGGGTGTTGGCGTGGATCTTTTGAGCGACTGAACACGCTTCCAGTGGCAGTCAACAGTTTGTTCTTTGCATAGATCTCTAGACGACAATATAGACACCATCAGGAGGTCGATTCAGACCTCAGCGCCTCTTCCAGCACTCCGTTCACACCGGCGACTCATGCTCATGATGTACGCTCCCTGGAAGCCTGGACATACTGGTATGCTGATCGCGAATAGTAGGCTCGGCATACCTGAATCGAACAGCCGAGAAACGTCAGCGGGATCGACTCGCACACGTTGAGGCGAGACCCTGTACCCTGACGTTGATAGGTACGGAGTTGACTGCGGAAGCTACCGCATAGCCTGATCAGCAAGTGGGGCACCCCACATCTCAACCCCAGTTTACACGGGACAACGCGTGCAAGTAGGCTTCACAGGATGGTCGCGAGAGCGCCTGAAGCTGGGCACCGGAGCACCTTCGGTACCATGGTCCTCTTCATCTACCTCTCCCCCCCCCCCCCCCTTCACACGCAAGCTCAACAGGCAGGGCAACATGGAGAGCCACAGCATAGTGCTCAAGGAGCCGAAAGGTCGCGAATTGCTAGGCGCGACCTTCTCGCTCAATGTCTACATCAACTTGGAGTTCGCACCATGTTCGGTTTGCACGGTGGTTGCCTTGATGCCTTTCTGATGGAAGGCTCAGATGCGGACATTGAGCTCATCGAAACACGACACGAGACTGTTGCTGTACAGGCAGCAGAGGGGTATCCTAAGGTCAGCGGCAACACAGGCTGCTGCTTCGTGACGGCGAACAGTGGGTAAGTGGGCGAGACCCTCAGACTGGCAGTGACCATTATGCAACCACGCAAGGACAAAGATGTTCAAGGGCTGGTACTATGTAGCTTTTGTAATGGGCTTCCTGGTCTGGCTACAGCGTTCGCGGATCGAAGTCCCGTCCTCTGCGTCACGAGCAGTTCGCCCCTAAGAGATGCTGAGACAAACTGCCTACAAGGCTTTCGCGACCAGGTTGTGCTAGCTAAGCCTGTCACCAAGTCTTGACAAACTACTTGCACCTCCAGTTACATGACTGACCTGTTCCCAGTCACGAATGTCGGTGAGATCCCACGCATCACAAGCCTGGCCTGGCGGACCGCCGGCTCCGGAACGCCTGGTCCAGTTCTTGTTGACTTCCCTATCGACGTATTGTTCACGCCCATGGAAAATGAATCAATTGCTTGGGGCAACACAATACTGCGGGCAGGATGCGAAGCATCGAGGAAGGCCATGGACCCACGCTACCAACTGACATGGTACTCGCGCCGAAGCGAGTGAGTCACAATTATCTGCTGTGCCGCGCGACAGAGAGGAAGTTTCGTTTTGCGGTTGTGTATCCGGGTGTGTTGTTTGAACTCAGTGAGTCTCTTTCGAATCTTCTGACATCGTCGTTCTGAATTCCCATAAGGTTGCAGTCAGTTGTCCGGCCTGACTCTTGCAGGTTTTCCAAAACGGCATCTTCACTTTGACTTCCACCACGCACACCGCTTGTCTTCCAGACAACGGCATCAACCATTCCCAGCAACGATTCTCTCCACCCTATCCCACGTTATCAAATCCATGTTTACCAACGCATCCTTCATATCTAACCGTTCCTACCACATTGCCGACGGCGTGCTTACGCAGCAGGACGTTAACCATGTCGTCGAGAAAGAGGCAGGTGTCTTATGGACTAGGACTTCTTACTCTACCAAGGATATCCGAAAGGATGCTGTAAAGTGTATTGGGACGGGCGCGTTTGGGACGGGCGCGTATGGGAGGGGTAAGTATGCGAATAGCTTGATGGCGCCGTTTCTTGGGGCCTTGCAGGTTTGGAGACATGTGGATAATGCATCACCCAACACAAAGTAGCCGAGTTTGCTGCAATTGATACCGAAGTACGGAAGGAATTTTGCAACAGTTTCAGCTATTGCCTGGCTAGTATGAGCTCCAACCAGCTGCGGCAGCGCATTGGGAAGGTCTATAGTAAAGCCGTCCTTGCTGGCGTAGTGAGCAACTACAGCAACGAAACCACGTTTGCCGCCTTTGGTGGTGGTCCATCTGTCAAAGCCTATGTGTAACTTACTCTCCACAATGCCAGCTCCGCCCCTGGGTTAGCAAACCTAATTATCCCACAAAAAGCTGGCGTTTCAAACTCGCGGAGGGTTCTATTGTTGTCAATCAGCCACAACACAGCTGCCTGCCGATACTGTGTACGTCAAAATTACCCAGCTCATTGTACTTCTCTTGGCTGACCGTGAGGCCGCTCTTGATGGCTAATCGAAGCAAACGTTTAGCCGCCATGTTTGGGCTAAGGGGCAGGCTTGTATACAATCGGACCGTCTTTCTTAAACCGGCGGCCAGCTTTGTCAAGCACAAAGTGTAAGTTGGCGGCGCTAGTTGACTGTGTAACCTGGTGTACAGTTCCAGGAGGCGTATCCGTGACTGTCAAAATGTGTGCACTCCCCCAAGTTTAGTACCTAATGGAACTCCCAAACAGTCGCCAGGTGGGTTACTATGGGGAAACACTTGTAAATTATGTCAGTGCCCCATACCTATCGTATACCGGCACTTGTTCATCATATCTGCCCCAGTTCCCGCGCGCGATATATCGCAACTCTCCATAGTCACTAACAACACACCTTTTCATCCATCTTTCTCATATGCTATTACGTGCTTGTTGACAAATTAGCGTGCCAACAGAGTGAATGTGCACTAAAACGTCATCAAGAAGGAGCCATCACACACAGTGAGCTGCACTGACCTGCTGGTGAGTTGACACATTGGGAGTGACGTAGTAGGCTTCGACAGAGGTACTGAGGCATGTGGAGATGCTAAGTCAGGCTTTGGTGAAGGTCACCATGGTACTTGGAGTGATGATCAACCACATACATTCACTTAGTAGTGAGCTAGTGTAGTGTACCAGTACCAAAGTAGAGCTGCAGGAGCTGCCGGAGGCGTGAAAAGAAGGCCTCTCCGCAAACATTTTGCGTGCCAGCTCTCATCCCCCGTTGCTTCACCACCTCATTGTAGCCATCAGTAAGCGAAAGCGTTCTCACACATCACAAAGAGCTGCCTAGGCTCACCAGATGGCCAACAAATGTCGAGAAAGTGTCTGGAATAGAACTAGCTCCTCATGCTTTAGTGAACGTTTGATGATGCCGCCAACACCCCCTGGATATTCTCAGTTTTCTCAGCGTATGGGACCTTCTCAGCCAACAATCGTACAGATACCTCCAACAATAGGTCAGGCAGTCTACTGTCCCTCAGCCGTGACGGTGAAAGATTTTCCACTACAATGATGTATGAGGGAAGTGGCAAATCTGAACCCAAGCACAACTACGATCTTGAGGACCAATCAGACCCCAATGAAGCAGGGTTTGAGGTGTTCCCTGAGTTTCATGCGGTGAAGTTCATGGCACGTGGGCAAGCATTCTCTGCAAGGAACAGTTACTGGACGCTGAGTGCTCATCTGAGGTCTGATGACATCACTCGCTGGGTTATTTTCCCCTGGGCTGATCATGTACTCAAGCAACAGTGGTCTTTACAGTACACAGTCAGTATAATCACCGCTACAGTATACTTTTAGGTGTAAGGGGCGGGCCCTGAGGGTAGGTGCCAGAACGAATCAGATGAGTTTGGTGAGGTTTGCCGGCTGCTTGCCGGCTGATTATGTAGTGTGCGGCTGCGTGCTGCAAGCCGGAGATACCGTGACATAGAGGCTTAGTTAGCCTACCATATTCATCTGGTTCGTTCTGGCACCTACCCTCAGGGTCCGCTCCTTACAGTGAAGGAACTACTGTAGGATTTCGACTATGTCTGCCGCGTTTGGATTCGAAGAAAAGAGACCTATTCCTCCAGACCCCAGTTCGGTTATCCTTCTCTTGGCGCGTCTACCTTGAGCCGATATACGATGCTAATCTCTGAGCTTAGCTTGTTATATTCGAACTGATTTGAACTTGACGACCTGCACATTTCAAGGCTAGTAGGCTATCTGAAGTGGTCAAGGTTGTCAGTGTCGTAGCTCCAGGCACTAACTACTGATTGCCAGACCCTCGACTGAGTCAATGCCTTCGTCGTGGTACATGAATTTTTCAATGATAATCAACGGTTAGAGTGAAACCCAGTTCATGCACAGAGATTTGAATCGTGCTGCGAATAAATCTGCCACCAGGTTCTACAGTACATGAATAGGGGACCACTCAGTCTCTCGCACCGTCATACATTTCGTGCGGCATTGTCGTCAATAGCTCTATCACTGAAGCTGAGGGTCAACGTCATGGAATGGTGACGCGCTAGTGACTGAGCCGAATCTGGCGCGTCGCGCGCTCTTATCACGCTTTCAACCGACATCAACACAACATCTTGCAACTCGCACCTAAGCGAGCGAACGAAGCAGCCGAGATGTAAACCTCCAGTTGTCCGCAAGCGAGATGCGGGGTCTCTATGGGGCGGGCACCATTTCAAGCTATCCTTCGGTGTCTCGGGCTATCTGACCCGGAGTACGGATGAATACATAAGAACGAGGTCGCCACATCGCGCTGTCGCGACACGACGACCAATGTCTCACAAACATGCCAAGCGAATCACCGGAAGACAACCAGGTTGAGGGTAATGACCAAGCCAAGCCAGCGCTTGAGGGTCTGGCCTGCAATGGTTGCCGAAAAGCCAAGCTGCGCTGTTCACGAGATCGGCCAAACTGCTTGCATTGTCGAAAGACCGGTAGGCATTGAATATCGGATTGCATTGAGTCCAGTTAACTTGATCTTCTTCAGGACTTGACTGTGTTTACGAGTCCAAACGGATCAAGCCAGGCTTGAAGCCAGGTGCGGTCGAGAATCTTCACAGAAGACTAGGTATTTGATCAATCGACCAAATTCTTCTTATTTTTTGACTGTATCAGATGAGCTGGAACGCCGCATCGAAGAAAAAGGCACCAGTCCTTCAAGACGGGCCCGTGATGATGCTGACAACTTGACAGCCAGCGTCAGCAGCGGTGGAGACTCAGCAGCTCAGAGCATCTTAGCTTTATTGGCGAGAGAACTTCCAAAGTTGGTGCAACAAGAACGAACTGAGCCTGCAGCGACACCTGCATCGAGCGGCTGCAAACGCCGGCGACGAGACGATGCCACGGATGCCATATCACGAGCCAATGACGCCCCAACTTTACCAGGAGCAGGTGTTCTGGAGCCAATACTGACGGCTTACTTTGCGCACGTTCATCCCTGGATCCCAATGATCCACCAAGGCCGATTTTTCGAACGACTCGGAGATGAGACACAACGTGACCAGCTGCTGATCATCCTCCATGCTATGGTCCTGGCGGCATCGAAACTTGTACCTGGTGCAGCGATGCATGTCTGTGCACACACTAGGAACTGGGTCATCTGTAGCGCTATGAACAGTCTCTCGCTTGAGAACTTGCAAGCCTTGATCATTCTGGCATTCAACGACTTTGGAGATGGAAATGCTGAAAAGGCTTGGTCTATCATTGGGTCCATGACCCGCACCGTCGAGTACACGCAGCTGGCGCAAGAGCAGGAAGAGGGCGAGCAACGGCCTTTTTCTCAACCTTACGCCCCATTATACTACACATGCGACTGGACTGAAGTGGAAGAGAGGCGAAGAGTGTTTTGGAACGTGTTCCTTCTTGACAGGCTCTGTTCAGTGACGACAGGCTGGAATACAAGTCTGACTTCCGATGATGTCTATCGAAGGCTGCCATGCGACGGACATCTCTGGAGGAAGCAAGAAGCCGTCTTGACTCCGTACTTCGGCATCTGGGACAAGTCCAAAGGTCGTATTGGGAATCCCATCGACTTCTTATCACGTTATCCATCTCCAGGACATTGCAGCAGAAATGTTGACTTTCGCAATCCAGTCACTGATTCCCCGACAGCTACGTCTTACGCCCCGCATCAGGCTTCGGACATGTCCACCGTCGGTGCATTTGCATACAACATCGAAGCGACCGAGTCTATGAGCCGTGTCATGAGCTACTTTCTGCAACAGAAAGTGAACGTGCGCGACCAGAGTGACATCAGTTCGTGGCTCACTCGCTTCAAGGAATTGGATCTGCGCCTTGTTCACTGGAAGATGCTACTACCACAAAAGTGGAAGGCAAATCCCAACCTCACGCGGCAAGTACCACTTATGGACCCTAATCTCACAACAGCGCACGTCACACACAATGCTTCGATGATTCTTCTCCATCAAACTATCGCCTACCCGCCCCTACACTGGGGCTTCCGCAATAGACTGCCAAGTGGCTGTAGCGCAGAGGCTTGCTACTCAGCAGGAGTAGAGATTGCAACGATAACTCAGAAGTACCTGAGCAAGTCCTTGAATGACTCCCCTATCGGCAGTCAATACGCTTTCTGCATCTTCATCGCTGCCAGAGTCCTCCTCGTTCATTGGCGCTACGACCCTGAGAATCAATTACCCGCTGAGTTTTGGTCACTGGTGCAAAGTTTGGACGACATGTCGATAAGGTGGAGCTCATATGCCGATCCACCACCGCAAACACAGAGCTTGTTCGCAAAGTATGCATCACGCCTGAAGGAGCTGTACGATGTATGTTCAACCCAGCCAGGTTATCAGATCGATGTCATGAATTACACGAGCGACATCCACAATCGTTGCTCGAACGTGGGCTCCGCCAATGGATACCGCGTCTGGCCGATGGCTTCGCAAAGTTTGGCCCAGGTGGTATCTGAGGCTAACGCGATACTGCCGTCAAACGCTCCGGACTCGATGGACTTCAATTCTATTCCGCAAATCATGCTCGACCAAGACTTTGTTGACCTGGATCGGGTCATTGCATTCGATGACGGAAGCATGTTTACGGCAGCGTTCGACGCCGCAGCTGCACCCTGGTAAGCGCGTCTTGACCTCGATATGCAGCTCGCAGGCACACCGGTAAGTCCTTAGGGAACAGCAAAATTTGACGGACGAAGGATTTGGCCTGCCATTCAGTGTAAACATCAACAACGAACTCTCGAACCTGCTTTGATCGAAGTCTCACATCAAGCTTGTCCTGGAGGAACGTGAAAATGGGACAGCGAGCGATAAGCTTTCGAGCCCAACAAATTACGAATTCTATGAATGTCTAATGCAATCCCATCCGAAGCAGCCGATTCCCAAACTCGACTAGATAGTAGTCGCCATACACCAACCCATGGTTCGCGTAGCGTTTCCTCGCTTGCGCGTTGTTGTTCGCTGTGCCGAACTTCAACATACCATCGAAACGTACACCAGACCGCTCTTCCTCCGCTCGGACATGCTGGTACGGCGCTGACACGAGACGTGCCTTCTCGGGCGCAAGGGCGAAATCCAAGATGTCTCGCACGATTCTTAGCGCTGCATTACGATATCGTAATGATAGTGCCGGCTGATCAATCGTGGCCAACGCCTGCGATAGTACGAGCATACCGTTCGCCGCTATGACACCAGCGGAAGAATCTCGCAGCGGGCTCTCCTCGTCCTCGATGGGCGCATCAAAATCCCACAAAGGCACATGACGACCTTTGATACTGACACAGGAAGGCGCTGTCTCTAGTCGATACAGAAAGTACTCCGCGAGCCCGCAGGAGGCCTCTAAGAACCGACGGTCTTTGGTCCAAGCATATGTCTCAGCATATCCAAGAATGCCCCAGGCCTGCCCCCGAGACCACGTTGACTCGTGTGCGTAGCCCTGGGCCGACAACCGACGCTTCAGCTCTCCAGTCTTGGGATCAATGTTCGCCACATGGCACGTCGAATACCACTGGCCACTGTATGCATCCTTCGATGACGACAGTACGGGCTCCGGGCGCAAGTGCGATCCTAGCAGGGTGAGAGCGTGCGCCGTCGCCAGATCAGCTAGGCTTGGGTGCTGGCCATGATGAGATGCGTAGTAAAGCAGGTCCAGGTTGCACATGCTGTCGATAATGACGATCATGTTGTCGGTTTGGTCTAAGATCTCGATGTCTTTCTTCTTCAACAGGTCCCAGCTCCTTATGGCCTTGGCAGACGGCACGTATCTTGTTGCCAGACTGTGCGCCGCACGAACAATTGACTCCAGGCTTTGTGTGTTGCCGAACAGTTCCCAGTCCAACCGCAGTGCGGGCATGACGATGAAACCAATGTCATGGGTATCAGTCCGAGTGTCCATACCACGGATAGGTTCACTCCACGTGCGACACAGAGTGGTGAGCTGACTACGCACATCCTCACGACGAATGTTAGAATCATCGAGATTTATACTCTGCGGAAACCTGATCAGCCGCTCGAGGAGAAGGTACAATGTGCCAGGGAAGAAGCCGCAAGTCCAGAAGTTGGCTTCGCGCAGATTGTACGTTCCATCTGACTCCATTGTCTGAGGCACGATCTCGGGAAAGGCGAATGGAAGTGCTCCAACAGCGGTTTGTGCGATGCGGAGCGCTTTCGCTATGATGTTCTCTGCGTAGAGCTCGGATACGGTCGTAGCTGCTGACACGCTCGATGCGAATACATCGGTCATCAGCTCGTTGTGCCCATGTTCGGATGGTGGTGTACTGGTCAGAGGCGTTGTCGTGTCCTCATCTTCTGCACCACTCGCAGATGAGACCGATGTGCGCTCTTGCAATAGAGTAGATGCGAAGGTCTCTTGGGCCTCTTGGGCCTCTTCGTTTGACAATCCTTCGTCTCCAGCGGCAAGCAGCTCTGTTGGCACAAGGGAGGAAATGCTGGGCTCTACTTTGAGTTTGTTGCCAGCTTGCTCTGAAAATACAACGCCATCTTCTTGATCGCCTCCCGTTGTGTCGAGAAGGCCTGTATACTTGATTGAATTTGGTGACGGATCACTCGTTGCAGGGCTCAACGCGACAGTGGCTATTCCTGATAAGGCATGCTTGTCGTCGACAGGTAATTGCGGTGTTTCTGAAGCAACAACTCGCTGGAAGAGAGTAGGAGGCTCCAGGAATACGGTTGTATCCATGATCCCACAGAGTGAGTGTGGAAAGGGTTGAATTGAGGGACGTGGAAGCAAGAACACAAACTGCACTGGAACACCCTTCTTCCTAAGAGCAACTCCATGAGAACTGACTTCGTCCGAGCCGCATTCGCCATCTACTGCACGGAGAAGAAGCCGGAGTGATGCTGCTCCTGAGGCCGTTGCCAATCTTCCGATGGCTTAGCGACTGGTGGAGTGACCAGTGCCCCTTGCCTGTTCAGGATGTGGAGCCAGCCACTTGCGGGGTCTGGGGAAGATCAACCGAAGCGAACACACCACGACTCTTATCGACATGGCCAACGACCAAAACCATGCGTGAGCTTATGGGATACTTAAGCGGACGCATATAACCATGCTGCTGTGATCAGACTGCAGCGACAGCACCAATCGCTTCGTCACATACAAGCAACATCATCTTCTACCTGCATCACCAGCATGCCTCCACAGCAAGACGATATTCGTATCGAGCATGCAGATAATGCCAGCAAGAACCCTGTGGTGATTGTCAACGGCAAGGAAGTTGTCGTGAGCTCCGCTACAGAGAAGCCTACCCGCTCGCTTTGGGTTGCATGGCTCTACATCTTCGATGTAAGTCGTACTTTAATCGTTGCCGTCGAATATAACACTGACACCCTTGGTAGTGGTACCCAAGTTACTACTCTCCTGAAGAGAAGAAGCTTGTGCGTAAGCTTGATTGCATCCTGCTTACGCTATGCTGTCTCTGCTTCTACATCAAGTGGCTTGATCAGAACGCGCTCAACAGCGCATACTGGTCCGGCATGAGGGAAGAGCTCAAGATCAAGGGCAATGAGTAAGCTCAAGTACGGCATAGATTTTGAAAGAGGCTGACGCAACCCAGATACTCTCTCTTTGGCACCTTCTACAACATCGGTTACATGGTCTTCGAGATCCCCAGCATGATGATCATCTCGCGTCCCAAGCTCGCCCGCTACTACGTTCCGATCATGGAAATCGCCTGGTCTGTTCTGACATTCACCCAATCACGGCTGAGCAGTGTCCCGCAGATCTACGGTCTCCGCTTCTTGCTCGGCTTACTCGAGACTCCCGCAGCAACAGGCTCCATCTACCTTCTCACGTCATGGTACCGCTCTGATGAGGTATTCAAGCGCGCAGGTGTCTGGTATGTTTCTAGCAACGCCGGTGCCATGTTCAGCGGCTACCTGCAGGCTGCAGCCCATAAAGGTCTGAACGGTGCCATGGGAATGTCAGGCTGGAGGTGGCTCTTCATCATCGATGGGTGCATCTCCCTCCCGATTGGCATTGCTGGTCTCTTCTTGTACCCTGGTCTGCCGACGAGCCCGAGGGTCTGGTGGTTGACCGAAGATGAGCGCAAGCTGGCTGTCGCACGCATGCAAAGTCAAGGTACCAAGCAGAGTGGCAAGATCGGCAAGCGCATGCTCAAGCGCGTGTTTACGAATTGGCACTTCTACGTTGTGGTACTCACATACGTGTTCTTCCAGTGCACAAGCTACGTCGGTAAGTACACTGAATAATTTTCGTAAAACCAGGGCGAGCTGACAATGTCGACAGGCGGTCAGATGCAAGCCTGGCTCAAGCAGGAGGCCGACATGAACGGCACCTACAGCATCGAGGAGATCAACTTGATTCCCACCGGTGTGCAAGGTGTGGCTATCGTGACCGGTATCCTTGTCACCAGTCTCGTCATGATCTACCCAATGTGGGCGGTCTTCTCCGTTGTGACGGGCATTCTGCTCTTTGCTAATGTATGCTTGAGGATCTGGCACATCCCGCTCGGTCTTCACTGTAAGTCAACTTCCTCGACTCAGCCAATCGTGTTGGCTAACCCGCGATCAGTCTTTGTCTACTACCTTCTTGGCATGACTTCTTGCGTCACACCAATTCTCTTCCCATGGGCGAATATGTTAATGAAAGACGACAACGAAGCGCGATCTTTCACCACCGGAGCGATGATGACGATTGGGTGGGCCTTCTTCAGCTTCTACCCGATCACCGTCTTCCCCATCCTTGAGGCGCCGCAGTGGACGAAGGGCTTCACGGTCAACGTCATCTTCATTGTGTGCTACTGGACGATCTTCCTGGTTGGTCAGTACCTTTGGCGCAGGGAGGTGGCGGCCAGGAAAATCGACATCAATGCACCAGGCCACTCCAGCGAAGAAGATTTCGCCAAGGAGACAGAGAAATACGAAGCAGTGCGTGTCGAAGTAGCAGAGGAGAAGAAGGAAACCCGAGTATAATTGATTGTAGCGATGTCACGGAGGATTGCGGTGGAGATTAAGAAGGATGAGCCTGACAGAAAGCCCGAAGTAGTGGTAATGGAGACTTTTTAGCACACAAACCATAAATCTGAGTGATTGAAGCGCGAAACCTGCACCACGATCCAATACAAAGACGCTCGGGTCATTGTCACTCCGTGATTTTCCCAGACGCCTATATAAAGTCCGACCCAGTCCCACCTGTTATTGCCCGTACAAACACCTGCCTCGAACCCACCACGAACACCGTCACAACTATGCCGCCACTTCCTAACTTCTCTGAAAACGCCTTCCGTACACGCGACGACTTTGTTCGCGCCGCGCTCGCTCTCATCCAACCTCTCAATCAATACAAATCACCTCACAATGCGCGCATCAAGATCGCTACATCAACAGGCGCAGGCTTCAGCGAAACAGCCGCGCAGCTAGAGGGTTTTGCGAGACCGCTTTGGGTTGTGGCTGATCTCATGCGCTCAGAAGATGATTCAGCGCAGCTCAAAAGCTGGATCGAGGGTTTCAAAGCTGGCACTGATCCGCAGTCTTCGGAGTACTGGGGTGACCTGAGGGGCTTCGATCAGAGGGTAGTGGAGATGGAGTCCATTGCGTACGCCCTGCTATCCAGCCCCACGCCGTTTGGCTTCAAGAACGATGAGACGACTAAGAGCAATCTGATCACTTGGTTGAGGCAAATCAACGAGCACGATATGCCGAAGAGCAATTGGCTCTGGTTCCGGATCTTGGTCAATATTGCTCTAGTGAGAGTTCTCGGTGTACCATTGGAAGACGTCAAGCATCATATCGACGAAAGCCTTCGCGTTCTGGACACATTCTACCTTGGAGAAGGATGGAGTAGCGATGGTCTTTGGGGCGATGAGAGGAAGCAGGCGGATTACTACTCCGGAAGTTTTGCAATCCAGTTCGCTCAGCTGCTTTTCGTCAAGTACGCTCCTGACTACGATATGGAGAGGACCAAGAAGTACAAAGAGCAGGCAGGAGAGTTTGCAAAGACATACTGGAGATATTTCGGGCCCAGTGGCGCTGCAGTACCGTTTGGTAGAAGCTTGACGTACCGCTTCGCGTTCACAGCATTCTGGGCGGCGGTGGTGGTTGCAGATGTCGAGTTGACTGCTCCACTCGATCAGTTGGGTACCGTCAAGGGTTTGTTGGCAAGGCATCAGAGATGGTGGGCACAAAAACCTCATATATTCAACACCGACGGCACGCCGAACATCGGATACGCATACCCAAACATGTACCTTGCCGAAGACTATAACTCACCGCAGTCGGTGTACTGGTGCTTGAAATCGCTACTCGTGCTTGGAATACCGGGGAACCATCCCTTCTGGACTGCCGAGGAACTTCCATTCCCGAAGACGGATGCGATCAAGGATGTCGAGCTGATCTGGCCACCGAGACACATACTCTGCAACACCTCCGAACACCACTTCCTCCTTTCATCTGGACAGTCTACGACCAAGCGTTTCAAAGCCAGGGAGGCCAAGTATGGGAAGTTTGCGTACTCTTCGGCGTTGGGGTTCAGCGTCCCATGCGGACCGTTACTTGAGCAGATCGCACCTGACTCGACACTGGCAATCAGTTTTGATGATGGGAACGAGAGCTGGAAGGTTCGTTGGGATCCGTATGTTACGCAGACGAGCCGCCTGAAAGTTGGAGATGAAGAGGTCCCAACATTGGTCAGCACATGGCGCCCGTGGAAAGGAGAAAGACTAACCGTCCGGACTACATTGATTCCGCCAGTGAAGAGAAGGCCAGGTTGGCACATCAGGATACACAAGGTAGTATGGGAAGTCGAAGCAAAGAGCCACCGACTCAATCTGGTGGATGGCGGTTTTGCGGCTTCAGCGCAGACTACAAGCAATGATTCCATCTTCGAACAAGCTGTCAAGGCTATGTCGGACAGTCCCGATGCTGCTGAGGGATGGTACGAGGACAACGCCTCAGCTCTTGTCATCTCTGAGTCCGGCGCCAGTGGTGTTGTAGACTTGACTCCGCAGTTTATTCAAAATGATACCTTCCGGACCCTACTGGGAGTAGACATGAAGGCATTGAACATTCGTGCAGATCCAAACACGTAGGTTTCACCATATGACTGAAGAAGGATTCATACTAATAGACGGACCAGGAATCTCGTTGCGCAGCGAAGTTTGATTCCAGCGATACACCACACACTTACGCCGAAAGACCAAACTGACACGAACATCGTTGAGTACAGCTTTGTGACGGGGGTCTTTGCTATCGAAGCATACGCGAACAAAAGTCCGGATGAGATTCGACGCTTGTGGGACGACAGACCGCAGGGTAGCAGTCAAGGTGATCATATCATATTCCATCCATGATAGAATGACCGTATATGGAGTCAGAGTGCGTATATCATACACTCCTGATGATTGTAGAACCCTTCCCTCCTTTCACAATCTTACCCACTTGGCCCGGAAATTGCACGAACCCTTCCGTGCCAACAGGTGTATCCCACCACACCCTGACAGTTCCATTTTCGCCCGAGAACTTCGCCGAGAACTTCCCCAGCGCCGTTGTGAATCCCGCTTCAGCCCTCTCAACCTCCTCAAACGTACTCGGCTTCAACTCCCACCTCCTTCCTTGCGGCTCCGTAACTCTCAAGCCCACCAAATACTCCGTCAATGTGCTCGTCGGCCCACTACTCCATCCGTGCGCGTGACTCACATAGCTTGGGTCGTTCCTGTATCCTCTGTCTCCTCTGTAACCCCAGCTTCCATCTGCGAGGTAACCCTCGGGAACTGTGGACTGCGTGCCATTGGGATTGTTTACGTACCAGCCCCAAGCGCTTCGGATCAGCGCGAGCGAGCGCTCAGGATGGCCGATCTTAAAGTGCCCTTCTAGTTCGATGCTGGAAATGAAGGGCGAGATGGTGGATATATTAGCGCTGAGTTCCGGGTTGATCGCGCCGATGGGTGTCCAGTTCGTAGTCAGGTAGGTAGACACGCGTTGGGCGCGTTGGTCGGATGCGTTGAGGACTTCGAAGGCCAGGGCCATGCTGTTCGCATCTTGGGGATGGAGTGAGGTGTCGCTGGGGCTTTCTCTGAAGGCACCACGTGCTTCGTCCCAAAGGTGCGTGATAATGGATGTTTGGAGGCTTGCTGCGGCAGTGCTCCAGTTGGCGCGGTGCGCGGAGGCGTCTGGAAGGTTTGGAGACCAGCTCGCTATTGAGCTAGCTGTCACCAATGCCCGGTAGAGTCTGTCCATATCAGTTCTTGTCCACAGCGAAAATACTGATGCTTTGTACGTACAACATGCTAGCGGAGCTACGCTCGCTGGAGTATACCCATCTTCCCCAATCTGCAGTGCCAGTGACGTTGACAATGCCTTTGTCGTTGACCTTGCTGAGGATTTTGTTCACGCCCAGGACATATTTCGACCAGTAGCTTTGCAGGAAGGCTTCATCTCCGATGTACAGATAGTAGTTGTAGAAGCCAATGAGAGCCCATAGATGATAGGCTGTCGAATATGAGTTACAGTTGAAACGTCGCGATCGAGATTGTTCTAGCGAGGAAATGGGTGCACTTACTGTCACTGTCTTTGCTAAGATAAGGAGGGCCTGCTTTGGGCAACGTGCCATCTGCGGACTTCGTGTTCATGTCAGCAGTTCTCTCACCTGTTTTTCCTCCATGAAAGAGTGCTTACCTGATTGTCGAAGATCGCCCTCAGCGCGTTTCTCGTGCTCTCCATGTCTCCCGTGCTGACGAACGCGGCCGGAACAGCAGTGCCCATGTCTCCTATCCAAACCCAACGATCACGCTTCGCACCATCCAATAGGACTGTATCGCCAGGGCCAATGTATGCAGCATTGTCCCATCCCACACGGTTGGTCTGAACGTTGGCTCTTCCGGTGGTGCCTGGTACTGAGTTCGTCTGCAAAGTATACGCTCCACTGTACCATATCTTATCTAGCAGGTCTTCACTTGAGTAAAAGTAGCCCTGGTATGCCCGCAGATTGGGCCACGTGGGCTGGAAACTGATCTCTATGTTAACGTTCCGTATGGTGACAACAGCGCCTGGGTCGGTTGTGAGGAAGATGGTGAGGTATCGAAATCCGCCGCGCAAGCTGGCATCGGGCATGACGTAGTGTCCGTCGTGCCGGCCGTTCAGAGCCCATAGCAGTGCATTGTCTTGGCCCGTTCCTCCGTTGGAGTTATCAGATTTCCGTCCGATGTAGTCCTTAGCTTCCGTGAATGCGAGCCCGATTGTGGCGTTGGTGACATTGCCGCTCAGCGAGTAGTCGAACGAGAGGATGCCGCCAACCTCAAGTCCGAAGTCGAAGACGTACCCTTCGCTGGTTGCTTGAATGGTGGTTGCGTTCTCATTGTACTTCCCAATTTGGGCTCCGTTGGGTAGCGACAAGAGGGTCTGAGGCGCTACAAAGCGGGAGCTAGGGGCAAAGTTGTACGCATCCCAGGGTCCTGGAAAAGATGGCTTTGACAGACCATCACATGTACTGTTTCTCCAACAGGCTTTCACATCTAGGGCTGCAATCGCAGCACTGACGAGCAACAGCAGAGCCGCAAACGTAGTGAGCATGGTCTGTGACGGCACCCCACGGTGTGAAGTATGCAGTCAACGAGGAAGTCTCGGCACAAACGTGCTTCGTATGATCTTGTATTTGAAGCACATCTCGGCTTTCGCGACATTGTAGGGCGAGATGAGCAGGTACCGCCCGTCCGCCACAGGGATTTTGCGCTACCCCGCATTGATCGACGCTTCGATAAGACGTCAGTAAAATCGCACTCATGGAGGGCTCAAACTAATTGAACAACCTCGAAAAACTGATCTATGCGTAACTGAAATCAGAGGCCGACGAGCCCTACTACTCATTCTGACGGAGCTCTAGTCACGGTCCCTATCAATATCCTTCCGTCTTGATCTAATAATACTCTCGCGTATCGACAGGGCTATAGTTGGGCTTGTACTGGACCCTCGTATCTCCAATATGCTTGAGTATATCTTCTGCTCGATGTCCGAAGTCAGTGTTCGACCGTGTGTGGATCGCGCGGACCGCTTCCGACAGGAAAACCTGGAACGTTTCGATGGGACTCAGTGTAACAGTGCGAGAGATGTTGCGCAAACCCAACAGGATAGTGGACAAGGCCAACAGACTGAGGAGAACCGCTCCGAGTGCAACGCCTGGCCATTTGAAGTCGCTCTTGTAAAAGATAACCTCGTGCGTGTGGTAGGCTTGAAACGTCTGAGGCTGAGGGAAGATGCCGTTAGGTGAACTGAGCACAGTGAGGTTCGTGACTGAGTTGCCGTTCATAGCCAGGCGGAAGAGCGTTTCTCCCATGCCGTTGAGAATATAGTCTGTTGGATTGGACCATCTGTAGTCTGAGGTGCAAAGCGAAGAGTTCCCCTGTTTCGTATAGATGTAAAGTTGCTTGGAAAGTATGCCGAATGTTGACATTTGCGTTGCGTTCACTTCCCACCCGGACCATGAACCAAAGTAGGTAGCCATGTAGCCCAACGCCCACAGCGGTCCTGGTCTCTCATTTGTTGGGGCGTCGTGAGGTGCAGTGCGTGAGATGTTGTTTGATATCCATTCCGATGGAGTTCTGGCCAGCACAGTTACCTGCGTACCTTTGATCTCAATATTGTAATCGATTTGGCCTATCTCGATTACGCAGGTCTCCGTGACAACCGTGGACGTACAGTTCTTGGAGGTCTCTTGGGTATACGTGCTTCTAAGAACATGGACCATGTAATTATCCGCAGCTCGTTCGTAAGTTTGATTGACTCGGAAGAACCATCGTTCATCTGTGGAGGTCTATGTGAGGTCCATCGTTGTCGTTTTGTTGGTGCATGTAGCTACGATGCCCGGGGCTACAACGGTGCCTTGACAAGTGCCTTCACATCTGTAGCCCTCTTCGTCTTTCGTACGAATGGGGTCTCCCCTATACCACTGCACCGCTGCAGCGGTGAAGTCCATCCGAGCCCCTGTGCCAGTGCAGGAGAGAGATGCGAGACCTTTCGATATCTCAGGAAGTATATCGAGTGTCAGGGAGACAGCGTCTGCCTCAGTGCCGGTACAAGACTCTGTTGTCGATAATTGGAACAAGGGGTTATATAGGAAGTTGCCCACCGGTACCAAGAGGGATACGATGGCCAATCTCATGAAACCGTTGGTACTGAACACCGCAGTTTTCCAAGTGCTCTTTCGTAGCCAGAAAGCGCGATCCCAGATGCGGTTGAGATGCTCGATCGTTGTCCCTGACTCTGCTGCTCTCCACCACGAGATGCTGAAGGCTGTTGACAGCAGAAAGGCAACCGATATAGTGATGATGGGAGCCAGAATAGCGAGTAGAACAGATGGCCGTGTCTTCCAAGATGTCGTGGGCTTTCCGTCAGAAAGGTATACCACCAACCCGGCGCCTGTGGAGGAAGCTAGGACACAGAAGATTGCCAGGAGAATGGGCCATTGTGAGTGTGCTGCGGTTCGTGGTGGACGTGAGGTTTCGTTCTTTGTCTCAGCAGGGATGCCTTTAACAGCTACGCTTGGCTTTGATTGCTCCATATTGATGGATGGTGATGCTGATGCCCCGCTCGAAAGGCAGATAAGGCGGAGTACTTGTAGAAGATATCCCAACGAGACAGCCAAGGGTATTCCACGTATAGTCGCAAAACGGCGACATCTGCTGGGCCGAAGGGTACCCCGGATAATCCCATGGCGAGCTGGTGGTCGCTGGCTGCTTGTTTCTCGTCTTCCAAGAGCTTCTTGGATGCGACACGCTCGTTGTACTCGTCTTTGATTGTCTCGATGACGGGGATCTGACCCTCCAAGAGCGAGAGCTGTTGGATGAAGTTGCGCTGAATGGTCTTAATACTGGGGTGCTCGTTATATTCTGACAGATCTTCGTCGTTGGAGAGGCTGTCGAGTAGCTCCGTGAAATCTGCTCGCTGCATCTGAATAGCAACCTTCGCTGTCTGGATGTCCATCGGCGAAAAGTCCATGGCGTCAGTGATGTCGGTGGAGGCGATGTGAGACGGGGACAATATTCGTTCAAAGTGCGCGGGCTTTTTGAGTGACATTGGCGTTGGCGTGGGGCCATGCCCGCACTGCGCTTTGGGGTACGCGAGGTGGAGGTGAAAGTCGGTCATCACCCGCCCTCATTCATCTCAAAAACCTTACAACGACGTGTACGTCGTTGTGCCGATGCAGAGAACAGTAGGCTGTCCTTACAAAGCCTTAACCAGATTGTTCCGTCGACCTGTTGAGTGCAGCGATTCAACGTAACAGCAAGCTAGAGACATGGTTGTTGAGAAGATGAGTGCGGCTTGATCAACCTTGAGATACATGTACATATAAAGATGTGGATAAAGCTCTGACACCATGTCGCTGCGGAAGTGCGAAGCGCGTTCATCGGTGATGAGGAGGACTTACATCGTCCGGCCATAGGATTTTGTGGGGCATCCATATACTAACCTAGATAGGCAGGTGGCCATAGAAATGCAAGGATTAGCGCATAGGTCTATGGCCAAGTGCAGCTATAATAGGTAAACTCTAAAAAGTATATAGAACGTGTTTAGAACTTGCTTAAGTAGAACAACTAATTATATAGCTGTACCTAAGATTACTATACTTTACGTAACTTTATATAATATAAATTAACTAAATAACCTTACCTAAGCTACATAGTAGGCATAGATAATACTTGAGAAAGATATAGAATACTCTAGATGATCTGAATACATTCCAAACATGTTCTAAACACGTTCTTAACATGTTCTTAACACGCTTCACTTATATGCATCAGACCTAGATAGGCTAAATTGTATTAAGCAAGATTAATCAGCTACTAAGCCTATATTAGATTAGTCTATGGCCAGTCGCCGAAATCCTATGGCCAGATGACATGCGTCCTGGGTGATGAGAAAGGAAACCGCGATGACGTCAAGCAACAACAGGGCTAACTTCGTATTGACAGCTTCATCACCCCTTCATCACAATCCATCGTCGAAAACAATCTTGGCGCATACAGTTGAGCTCGTTACTCGCAAATTCAGTTTGCAGCTGTGGTTGCGTCCAGCGCTCCCCAGGTTGTTGTTTGTTGTGGCGCGAAGTTACACAGACGCGTGCAGGTGCAGGCAATCTCGAGATGACCAGAATCTAGGAGACCGCGAGTTGCGCAAACGCAACGCACTCGTATGCCAATCATCGCGATGGATTGACTCTTCTTTCCCATACTCATCCTTCACTTATCTTTCTTCACAACTTGACGCTGTGAAAGAGCTGGGGTGCACTTTGCGCTCATTTTGCCTTCGAACGATGCTTCTCCTCCTTTCACTCTAGCTCTGCAATGATGGTGAGGGCATGCACTAGGCAGTCCGTTCATCTACAAAATAAGTGTGCGCGCATTCTCGACTCTTCTCTTGCCCATCTGCGCGCATCCGCTCTTCAGCCTTGTCCCGTCTGCACCTTCCCGCAATCATCAGCCAACTTTTGTCGAGCTCCACGCACCTTCCTCTTCTCATTCTTTGCACTTGCTCTCACCCCTACACGTCCCACAGCAAAAAAAACCAGGGTTTGATATCCACCATGAGCAATCCTGCTTCTTTCTGGGCGGCTAAGTCCAACTGCGTGAAGTCACCCCAAGCGCCGGCGCATGTCGCTGAGCCAGTCGCGCCACGTGAGCCACTGAAGAAGAAAGGCATGGCCCTGAAGGGTATTTCATCTCTTCCCCCGGTCGCAAGCTTCTGTTGACATCCCTTTAGGTACCACGAACGGTATCGAGAAGACCAATTGGGCCGACAGCGATGACGAAGAAGAGTTCCTCGCCTCATTCACCTCATCCGGACGCGTTCAAGAGCTCGAGAAGACCATTGCTGCCAAGGTCTCCCGCATCACCGACCTGACGACTGCGCTACAGCAGAAGGAGGGCCGCATCACCGAGCTCGAGTCCACTTTCGAAGAGCAGAAGGATCGCCTGACCGAGCTTCAGGCGAACACGGACGCCTTGACCACTCAGATCGCAGAGCTGAAGAAGGAGAACCACAACAAGTCCCTTCATGTGCAGAAGTTGGTTGCAGAGGTCAATGAGAAAGATCGCCGCATTGCAGCGCTAGAGACCGAGGTTGATGAGCATTGTGCTACAATCGCCGAGTTGGACGTGGGTGACAGCTCGACACAAGTTTCGTCGCACGACACACCTGCGGTGACGAAGGAGGTTGGCACATCAGGCACCAGTTCGCCGAAGGTCAAGGTTAGGGAGGGGGAGGTTGGGCCAGCCAAAAAGGCCGCACAGCCCACAACCAAGGAGGTCACGACTGGGGATGATGCTCCAGTCATCCCCTCTCCCATGTTTGCCCACACAAAGACGGCTGGGCCGACGGTGAACCTCTCTGGATTTCCCATCTTCGCTACTCCAGCCACGGTCAAGCAAACTACGCCGCCTCCTCCAGCGCCCATGCTGAAGATGCCCGTCGACTTGTCGAAGTTTGCAAAGAAGCCGGCCTGCAAGACGGTCACGCCCAGGAAGAAGGTCGAGGCTGCGTCAGCCGAGGTTGTTAAGGATGGTCCAGTCCCTCAGATCGACCCATCGTCAGACATTCGAACGAAGTCCCACGAGGAGCGCGTTCTGTTTGCGAACGGCCCCAAGGTGCAAGTGAGGATGGGTGACATCTCTCTCGCCACTGTGCCCATGTACGTCCTCATGCAATGCTCGCCGAAGGCATTCAAGCACTTCTCAAACAACCCGGATGCTACCTCCTTCACCTTGCCAGCTGGTTCGATGGATGCTAACGCTGCAACCGCACATCTGGAGTGGATGAAGGAGATGACCTACCAAGGTCGTGTGTACTCCGTCACCCTCTACCCTGACGAAAAGTTCGATGACAAGAACCTCCAGATCTGCCGTGCTGCTCGAGCCCTGGGTCTGAACAACATGTATGTCGGCCACTTCACCAAGATCTTCTGTGACCGCATTCGCTCCAACGCCGCTTCGTACGATTTCTTGTCCAAGGTTGCCGCACTAGCGTACCCGGAGAACGACCCAATCCTCGACTGTCTCGCTAACAACCTGGCCAACCTCCGTCTGCGCAACGCTGTCAAGAAGCATGCTGGGCTCGAGGCTCTTCTGAAGAAGCACACAGGTCTCAAGGATCGGGTGGAGAAGATCGAAGAGCGCATGCGTAAGAAGCAAGAGGATGCTAAGATGGCTAAGGGTCTACAGGTTGTCCGTGTTGGTAAGAAGATGGATGTGTAGGATTACGATGTTCGTGAGAGACACATGTGACATGGCGCATTCTGGTAGGATTTTGACGATCTTCTGAGCATTTACACAGCGCGTAGCATCTGTGGTGGCACATTCTTCTCTCGTCTTTCCTGCGTGGTGGTAAAAGTAACGAGAAGTGTTCTTAACCTCCGTAAGTTGTGAGCCTTGCGTTATCACACTCCCGAATAGTATCAAAGATAATGTATAGAACAATGTTTTCCCACGGCGTTCAGAATCATATCAGTTCCCTACTGACTTGGAAACACCTTCCTATAAGATGCAAGGGCATGTAGTGATATTTGCAATATTGGATCAAAGTGGGGCGGGTCCCGGCACGCAACGGTCTTGCCAGCTCACCGCATCTTTATGCGGGCGCTGATGCCATACATCGTATTCCAGTGTTACGATCGAAGGGCAACCCGCAACAACACTGAACGAACAGGACTATGCAACGATACGAGAGGAGCCGAGGAACTGTAGTATTGATTGACCCGAGCAGTTAGGCCGCGTCAGTATACTTGGTACGAGCAGTATACTCGGTACGATCAGTATACTCAGTACCGAGCGATCTGAGCAGTCCTCCTGCTCAAGTATATAGCAAGTAGACACGCTGCCCTTATGGCATTGTGTTCAACCTCGTCAATCAACTTTGTTGTTGGAATCTCACTCGCTCTCGAGTTAGACAGTATACTCTGTACTACTCATTGCAGCCAGTCGCCACGGTCTTTGACTAGATGATTACCTGACTATTACGATGGTTATTACAGGCCCGATCGATAGTCACCAACCCCTGACGGCTTTCTGTACCTCTGCTCATCCCGAAAACCAATCGAATAGAGTCTACGAGCTTCGCTTAAGGCACGACTTCACAGGCTCATCTGACGCATGACTCAAGTGTCTGCTTTCCAGTAGAGATCGTGAGGACCGCTACCACTGGACGGTCACATGTCTTGATCACGCGCATTTAATGCATATCTATCTACTTAAGATTCTACATACCAAGGCGACATTGCAGTACTAACCTCCCTCCTTGCGTAGCAAAGGACCACTGCGTCGCGAAAGAAACGACAAGTACCGGGATATTGCAGCAACGTTGATATGTTCTAGCATCGTCATCGCTATTAAGAAGCTAGGAGTGTAATTATGGGTCCTCCTCTACAGATCCTATACTCTTTACCTTGGAATTATGTAGAAATCGTTACTATAATTAGTGCTTGCTGTGCCTTGATGTGCATCAACCCTATAACACTGTTTCTGCTGTAATAACGTAAACCTGACCTCTGGCTTGCTAAAACTTAAGAATCTAGATACTAATTAAGACTTATGCGATACTTTCTATAACGCACTTAGCCTACTTTTAGCTACATGTGTGCTGGGAAGCAAGTATCCGCTACAAAGGCCGGTACATGCAGCAAACGACAACGACTAATGCAGATCTAGCGGTATTACTATGCCATCCAACTCTAACCAGCCTTGTATTGCTCAGACTTTACCCGGCATCTACCCTTGTCTAGCATAGTACTGCTTTCTCTAATTTATATCTTCCATTTGGGTACCTTTTGCCTGTCGCCCAACGGGACTAAGGGATGTTTCATTGGAAGTAATGCCGTCCGAGATCCCGCAGCAGGAGCGCACGTGGAATGTCTGAGCCCTCGTCGACCTTAAGCGTCCTAAGCTCGACGGCACCCGTTTCGAAGCCGTCCTTGAGCAAGCCTGAGCGTTTGTGCAATCTTGGAAAATCCAGCACATCCAATAGCATGATATCTAAAGGCAATTGGCCCCTGCCTCTGATTTCAAATACTCCATGTACTCCAACAGTGCCTTGTCCAGGGTCACTATATCGATCCTCTCACAGCAATATACCAGCCAAGCATTGACCGATAATGGCCCAATTTGCGGTAAATGTGAAATCTCAGATTGAGGACATCTAGCTTTCGAACGCAATCTGCCCTGTTCTGGTGGATCTTTGACATATGCTTGAGCTAGTTTAATCAACTGAGGTGGCTTGACTTTTTGCAAACCAAGTCCGCCGAAGTATTGACTGAGAGCTTCAGGCAATGCCTTTGAAAGTGCTTCTGGCGTTGGATATGCTGCCAGACATTCTGAGGCGCGTTGACAAGCGAGATGTTGTTTGCTGGTGCGCTGGGTGAAGATGATCGCGATCAAGAATTGGAACTGCACAGACACGTCAGATGGGTAGCAGTGTATGCGTACTTAATCTTACCTGATTATCCTTGAACTGTAGAAGGGGGTGTTCTGAAGCGATGTTCGCTTGTCGAGCATTCCGGGATACTGACCGCGGATTGCTTCGCGAGCTCAAAATGTTGCTGGCAGTCGTTTTCTGGGACAAGTTCATGACGGAGATATCACTGACTTCGCGTGACAATGCAGGCGTTGATGGTAATGAAGTCGGTGAAGATGAAATCCTTGTTTCCGTCAACAAGTCCGTAATGTGCTCGAGCTTCTTCGCAACAATTTTAATGTCAGTCAGACCTTCAGATGTGTCGCTTGCTAGCTGAACCGAAGCCTGTACTCCACCCCTGCAATTATTCGTGGTTTCTGCTTGGACCTCGGATTTTTGCATGACCTTGTGAAAGTTTCTGTCATATGTCTCTAGATTTCTGCTTGTCTTCTCTACTGATCTGAGAACCTCTTGATTCATATTACGGATGTCATATAACAGGTCGCTATTTGGTGTCAGTGATCGTCAAGAATATTTCCGGATAGTCCTACCTTTGCAGCTGATTCTTGAACTCAAACATGATGGTCTTAGTCCTATCCAAGCTTGCCCTGAGCTTTTGCGTTTGACTGAGCTTGGCTGCAAACCTGAATCGCTTACGTTTTCCATCCACAAGATACGCAGCCAGCTCCTTTTTGAGATCTTCGACGCTTTCCTGAGCGTGAGCAATCGCGCGTGCCAATGCCGCGCTTTCTCGAAGTTGCACATCACGCTCGTTGCACTGTCGAATTACTTGCGTGATCAAATCTTCTACTAATTCAAGGTCGGTCTTCATCTCGCGAATATCTTTCGGGCAGTCCTTCATGTTGGTCGTGAAGTCATACAGGAACTTCAGACCTTGCGCAACAGGACCTGCTAGGCCGATGAAACTGACGAGTGCAGCGGCAGCTTCCATGACGATGCCTGAGGCCAATTTTCTCTCTCTGGCTGATATGGGAGGTAATAACGATGGAAGAGTGTCTTATGGTGTTGCTCTTATTCAAGAAGCTTTGCATTATGGTGTTGTTTAGCAGTTACTGATGTAGTCGCGACAGATCAGCTTAGAGAACACAAGCTTACTGTATAAGGGATTGAGTTGGGCTGTAGAGGCAGCATGTGGAGGCAGTGCACCCAAAACCGCTGACCGGACGCTGACCGGACGCTGACCGGACCCAGCGGGGCGGGGAGCGCTGGGCGGGGAGCACTACCGGTATCTAGCAGCCAGACGAACACAGATCGCCAACAATAGTATCTGGCGACATATTGCTCTTGTAAAGCGTAGTAAAAGACATTAGACTTATGTTGCGTAAAGTTCTTAATTTTGTTCTGCAACATGACAATCGTCATTGATATCAAACTAGAATAATATAGACAGGAGTAAAGCGCACGCCCACAAGGCAGCTTGCACTTGCAAGGCCTGTGTTACGATCAAGGAGCAACTCGCAAAACAACACTGAACGAACAGGACTACGCAACGATACAAGAGGGGCCGAGGAACTGTATTATTGATCGACCCGAGCAGTGAGGCCGCGTCAGCGATACTCAGTATGATCATCAATCTCGGTTGAACTGAGCAGTGAGGCCGCGTCGGCAATACTCAGTATGATCATCAATCTCAGTCGAGCAAATCGAGCAGTTAGGCCGCGTCAGTATACTTGGTACGAGCAGTATACTCAGTACCGAGCGATCTGAGCAGTCCTCCTGCTAAAGTATATAACAAGTAGACATGCTGCCCTTATGGCATTGTGTTCAACCTCGTCAATCAACTTTGTTATTGGAATCTCACTTGCTCTCGAGCCAGACAGTATACTCTGTACTACTCATTGCAGCCAGTCGCCACGGTCTTTGACTAGATGATTACCTGACTATTACAATGGTTATTACAACCCGCCCAGATAGTCTACCCCTGACCACCCGAGCTTTGCTTAGGTGACTGTTACGACCACAGACTTAATAACGCTACGATACGGGACAGGCGCTGCAGAATTACAGCAGAAGCAAGGGGCAACGAGAGTCCGCTCCTGTCCTGCCGCACTTTAGTATCGTAATTGGTCGCACAGCGCTCACGTGACTGATCAGGCAGGCTTGGCGTGATCAGGACGATCAGTGATCAGTGTGATCATTGATCAGTCCGATCAGTGCTCAGCAGGATCACGGAATCACTGCGATCAGTACTCACGGCACCACCAATATGCTCACTGTCATTACAGTATATAGCACGTAGACACGCTGCCCTTATGGCATCGTGTTCAACCTCGTCAATTAAGATTGTCATTGGATCTCAACCAACCTTCGAGCTAGACAGATTGCCTGTACTACTCATCGTTACCCAAGCCGTCGTTAGGTGTTTCACCCAGGCGACTTGCCCCTACTGTTCCAGAACCAGAGCTCATCCTCGAGAACCAATCGAATAGTACTTACGAGCTTTGCTTAAAGTACGAACTTCAACAGCAACACCATGTTCATGGCTTGTCCAGCCATTTGGAGATGATGTAAGGTATGCCTTGTGCTGTGAAGGATTGAAATCCTGCAGCCAGGTGTAAGGGGCGAGCCGCTGAGGGCAATATGCGATGTAGAACTTGATGGATTTGATAAGGGGCAAGTCCCAGAGCGGTACTTGCAGAATTCTAATACTCCCGCTTCGG